ACCGAGACGAGTCTTCCTTATCTGGGACGGTCACTGGTCGTATTTAGTTCCTTGAAACGTTAGATGATGTCGTAAACCGTTCTAAGAGGCACACCGAGGCGTTGAATGATGTCTCTCAGGCTCACATTTTGCTTATGAAGTTCGATAATGGAAGCGCAATGGATGTTAGCCTTCGCCATTTCTCGGAAACACATCCGAATGAGGTAAAACTTGGAAAGTAAGTAAAATATACCTTATTTAACAAAAATAAATTGTATTGGTGCACGAAAAGTGCGACAGCCAAGCTCTTCATGGCGTCAAACTTTTGTGCGGGAACTTAAATGACACCCTGTATAAAAAGAAGAAGTGTTTTTGTTATTGCAAATAACCTTTTTTTCTATGAAGGGAAGTGATAAGGGGAATGGACGTGTTTTCGATGGAATCAACGATTCAATGGGAAGTTCGAGTCATCAATATTCGAATTGAAATCATAATAATTATCCGGTTATTATCTTTTATGATGCAAAAGTGAATTTTGAAAATTGCGCGAATCGAAAAGCCGGTTTCATTTCTAAAATGGCAAATAAAGTTGGATAATTTGAATACAAATAATTTGAGATCTTGAAGCTCATAGAGGAGGCGCCATCTCTTCGAAATTCTTGAGATTGATAGAATCACTAGGTATTCTGAAATTTTAAATAAATGTTTGAAAAATAGTCGGGGTCCTGATACTCATGTCAGTGGGTAAATTTACGGGGTGCGCTTTTCGAAATGGTCTCGCCACACGTCAAAGCTTATTTTGAAATTTTCACGTAAACTGTCTTTCTAGATGAGTATACATATTATTTATTAAAATACATCACTGAATTTATAAATTAACCTCTAAAATGCAAATTAATCAGTTAATCCGTGCGAGACCATAAAGGCGTGTGCACTTAAATATACCCGCGTAGAGCAGTCGCCGACAATAGGTTAATTCAAAAATAGGTTATCTATTCGAGCCGTAAAAATACAAAATTCTCTCGATTTTTATGTGTCATGCTCTCACTATCTCAGGGATTCTATAGAGACGAACAGCGGACAGTGGCGAGTACCAAAAAGTTCGAACGGCAGCTTTTGCGAACTCTAGTAGTGCTATCGAACTGTTTATACCAAAACCATTATTTACGGGTTTCACTTAAATCCTCGAGACACCTTGGAATATTGCCAATGTGGTTTTTTTTTTGACAATTTTGAATCAGTCGATTGAAATCCACAATATTAAAATATATAAATTATCAATAACATAATTTGATATATGTATTGGAATTCGAAGAATGGCAAAAATTGCGATATTTCGACTATCAATTACACTCGGACAATTGCCAAAAATAGAATTTTGCGATGAACTTTGATGACCGATTATGCTATAATTCGCTAATGTCTAAAAATAGCGGCCACTCAAATATTCTGATTATTACTCGAATGTTTTCAACATTTTTCGGTTGATAAGAAAGATGCGTACAAAAATTGATGGTTCGATAAGCAAATGAATATTGAGTTGGTTGGAATTGGGGACGAATTTTTACCAGCGGCGACAGTAGTTGGATAGTTTCAAATCTAGAAATGCCTAATTTGCTATGGGACTCATTCAGTATAGTTATAGTATATGGTATATGTAGTAGTATTAGTGTACGTATGCATAGCCAATTTTTTGATTTGAAAATGTATATTTAAAATCCGACAAAATTGAAATCACAAATTCATTAGACGCAATTCCTTTATGTGTTTTAAAATTCAAAAAAGGAATAGTTTTAAAGTTTATAAATATTATAAATACTTATTAGTGTTATATGGTCTGAATATTTCAGGTTATAATATCGTAATCATAATGAGGGAGAGAAAATTTATAAAATTGTTTGAGAAACATGCCTCGGTAGGATGAAATATTGGCTGGTTAGGAGCCTTGAGTTCTATCCTAATGTAAGCTTATTACTAGTTTATTAGTTTCTAATGCTATCATATCACAATCCTGGGTGTTCGGCTATGAAATGCTTTCGGCGCCTAATTCAAATTTTCAGGTTTAGAAAACACTGAACAGCAAATCCATTGGATTTTACAAAAAAGAAATGAATGATAATACGATGTTAAATGCTTAAAAATCTTATAATTTACATTCCAGCGAAAATAGTTTCAAATTAATTTATATACCTGATGTTTAAGCCTGTACAGGACTCATCATTTAACCCCTAATTTTGACAATGACAATATCAGAATTTTAAGTTTACACCTGGCTAAAGAATTGCATTTTTTTTCATCCTCTTATTTGTCCTCTTAATTACCTATATTCGCTAAGAGATATTATTTTTTGAGGTCAAAAGAAGTTATTAACTAATTATTTTTTTATTCATTTAACAAAACGAAATTATCTAGAAATTGTTATTTTTATTATTATTACAGCACCCCAAAAATGAGAATGATTAGATGGTGGTATTAACAATCCAAAAAGTTGAAATGGCATTTTCATTTCTTTATTCCGAATACGGTATTCGTTCTGCCCACAATATCTCACCAATCTCATACACTTCCCGGTTTTCTGAATATACGGAAAATTTTTGGAGCTTCGACAAAATTTTAAGAAAATACGATTCCAATATAAATGATATCGAGAAAATACAAAAATGGGTTTTAATATGGCTGGGAGAGAAAATCTTTTTTTTTTTTTGATATTCTAATTTGTTCTATTGAATTTATTCAGAGTTTGCTAAATTTTTCATTTTCCCCGAATTCAATCACGTAAAATTTGTGAAATTTGAAGATAAAATTGTCTATTTCGACTATTACCATCACAAAAAAACGAGCACCTTGTATTTTGTTGTGGACCATTCAAATTTGAATTTAAACCGCGGGAATTCGAATACCGTACTCCCACAGGGCCCTCGTTTTTTGTGAAGGTATTATTTTCATTGAATAGGTCCATAAGTAGGAAATCGACTGACAGTTTTCTTGAATTATTACTAAATTCCAAATAATCAAATCATCATCTTGCGTCTCCTTATAATTATCCCCCCCCCCCCACATATTTTTTCAGGTAACTTTTCAGTATAATACGTACAAATAAATATTCCCCTAACCCTTCCTCCCTTTTTCCCCTTATTATTTTAGATATTTTAGGAAAAGAAAACATTGAGAATACCTGAGTAGAGTAGATAAGACGTTGTCTGCTAGAAATTTGACTATTCTATTGAATATCATTTGATCGATGTTCGGAGGCGGAACTGATCTTCTAACTTTCCGACGTCATCCAACGTTGAAAGACCATCGATGAGAGATAACTAGCACGTCGCTGATGAGTAAATTGGCATGAACCTGGGATTTTTTAAAATTAGTTTCATCCAAAATCCAATGAAACCCAAAAATTGAAATATTTTGTTTCAGAAGAATCCAAAAAGTTGCGTTCGATGAAATTCTGAACCTTAATTGAAATATTCCATACATTTTAATTCATCGTAGATCCATTTTTATAACAAACTTCCGGTTCTTATATTAACCCATAATTGGAATAAGGGTTCATAATTGGTCAGTTGCAAGATACCATCTGAATTAATTCGAGTTGATATCAAAAATAGAAACACAACTAAAAGTAATCATTTTCATTTGATCTCATATGAGAAGCTGTAAGAAAGATATATGTAGAATGAGGATTTACAAGAAATTATTGAAAATTTCCAAGTGATGATCATCCATGGATTAATGTTTGCCCATAATTGGTGCAAGTGTTGATTTCTGAACATTCTTGCAATGTTATTCTCGATACAAATAGAAACACTGTGCAAAATTCAAGATAAGATTGAATTTTCACTATTTTTAGGCCGGAAACGCATGAACTGTGATTCGGTTTCGGCTGGTGTTTCGATCTCTCACGAATTCGCGCACTATTTTGAACCTACGGCCACACTATGTATTTTCGTTTTCATCGTTGAACTGTTGACGTCACGAGGGTCGAAAGACAACCGAAGTCCCCCCCATGTATGGTAAAAAGAGGCGTTGAACTTCGGATTGTCTTATCACCTTTCAACTCGCAATTTTCATCTTTTGTGTCGCACACAAATCGGAACACATTCGACACAACAGCCAATCGGTTTTTGTCTTTATTCGCCTTCTCATATTCTTCGCAACATTTTGGATGATTTGTTTTGGCCTGAACTATGCGCCACTGTGAATAATGTGCATAGTTTCTCGTTGAAGCAAAACAACCATCAATGTGCTCTTTCTTGTGTCTAAATTTTGAATAAATCGTTTTTTGAGTATTAATTTATGTGTTTAAAAAGCCTACTTCCAAATGTCCGCAGCATGTATTAATTGAGGGGGGGAAGAGGTCGATTCATTCTCAATTTAGATTGAAAGCACGATAATTTTCGAATTTGCCATATTTCTCTGTATGTAGGTTCGACTTTTCGGATTAAGTTCGGAAAAGTGGAATTTTTAAACACTAAGACCATTTTTCTACCCAATTTTAATCGAAACATTAAGAATGGCGAAGCATTTTCGACAAAATTTTTCCCAATAAGCATTTCAAAAACCCTTTTTCTAACAATAAAAAATATTTAATTATGAAAACTCAACATAAGAAACTCAAATGAAATTTCGCCAAGAAATTTCCCAAAATATTGTTTTTTTTTGGATATTTACATAACAACCCGCATTTAATTGCAATCAAACTTTCACACATTTATTTGATTCTTGAAAATTTAGTGGCAATATTGCAATTTTTGTTTACAATTTTCCAAAAAAAGACAATTAATTTGAAGGAAATTCGAATAATTGTAAATTTGAAATTGAGTGAGCAAATGCGCTCTACCGAAATATCCGTTGTAGTCCTCGCGGAGAAGATTTCACATCGGAAATTTTAATTTAAAATATTTAACTAATTTTCTGAAAAATTAATCTGATAAATTTAATGTCTAAAAATTATTAATCGAAACCCAAAACATTCCAAATAATCAGTTAACATCTTATTCATAATTTGTAGGTGGCCTAAAATGAGGATAATTGAATTGATCCTAATTATGTTTATTAAAGGTCAAATTTCCTCATTTTTTGGAATTATTTTGCGATTTTCAGAATGTTTGAGCACAAAACTCAAGATTCTGCGCTTTGATGGCGGAAAAGCCCAACTAGACACGACGTCGGTGACGTCTGATGATTTATTTGAATTTAACTCCAAAGTTTTCGGATTGAAGGCAAATGGTAATCTAAAATTTACACTCTTCCTTTTTTCATATTTTTATTCTAAAAATATTCAGAACCCGTGGGTAATCGACCAAGAGCGCTTCTGATAATCAGCGTGGTCGGATCAGATTCAATAAATTATAAGGAAGTTGGAAACGAGTATCATTTCTTGGTAATATTCTCGACGAATTTATTATGTTTAAAATTCGATATTCTAGGAGAAATTTCATACTCACAATATCAAGTCGCGTTTAATTGAAGCATCCAAAAACCAATCCGAGCACGTGAATGTCGATTCGTCGGGGATTATTGGATCCAATATTGCCTACATTGCCTCGAAAACTCCGGTATCTCTATAAACCTAATTTCCGGTTAACTAAAAGTGTGTATTAGGTGAATGTGGAGATTTTCGTGTCGAATCCGCTCGTGAAGCAAGAATTGCTAAATGTATACAAGCTTAGCGAAGCCGTGAAAAAATTTGACTTCAAGAAAAAGGAAGCTGTGGATTTTTACAGGTAATTTGGTTTGATTTGAAATTAAAGTGTGAGTATTTTGCAAAATTCTTTGAAACGTTCAATCACTTGCACACGCTACAAATTCTGATTATACGTTCATGTGTTGGAAAATCGGAAAATTCCAGGATTCACTTCCATGTATCTCATTTTAAAAGCTTCAAACAAGATGACGAAGTACATGAAGTCGAAAAAGCTATGGCAGAGGTATGCGACTAAAATCGATTAATCACCCCTGGATATCTGTTACCAGATCATCGCAAGCGTTGTCGAAGCGTACGACAAAGGAGTAATGGTTCAAATCTACTCGCACGCGGTTTCAATCGACGAAATCAACAAGAATATTCGTCCGTTCTCGGCGCGCCATCTTGAAAAAATGCGCGAACGATATCAAATTCATCACCCGAGGCTTCCCGATGATTCCGTCATTTTTCTTATCAATATATTCGTCGTTTCTCTTATTGGATTTGTAAGTTATTTTTTTTTATATTGGTTCTATTTTTTCATAATCATTTTATTGAATCGATTTAGGCGATAGTTTCGTTTTTGTGGTTCCTCGCCGCCTCCGACGATATGGGTAAGAATTCGATTGTCTACCGCCTCTCGATGGTGCGAAAGAAGAGAGATTAAATCAAACTCATCTATGTCTGTGTGTCTGTGTCTATTGCCTAGTGTCATATACCCAAATAAAGACGGTTGATTTCTATAATCTGCATCCAATTATGAGATCAATATTTGTCTATACCATAGTTAGTATCTCTAATTTTGTGCTCCTTGTAATTGTAAATCTGTTGTGTTCAGAATGCTCAAACTTGGAACAAATATCGCAAGAGCAATTATCAGACCGGCTCGATTTTGCAGTTCCAATGCAGGTTTTTTATTTCTATTTTTTGCAAATTAGAATAAAAAAGCTCAGGAAGCGATGAGCCGATTGTGTTAGAGAAAAATCCGTACACAAAGGAGCCGAGGAAATGCCTTCTGTGTCGGACCGGAATTGAATTGGATTACAAAAATGCCCGATTGTTGCAGGTTAATTAAATAAATTAATTAAAACTACTGCTCATATTTGGTATAGATAGATAACCATCTGATTATAACGACTAGGGACCCTATTAATACAATGTATCGATTTCTATCTAAGAATGAAGGTCATAACTGATTCAAGGGTGTTGTCACGGACGGTCGAATTTGACATTGATGCCGAAATTTCGAAAATTGTTATATTCGTTTCAAAAAACCATTTCATTGATATGGCTTTCATTTTTTTTATATCAAAATTCCAAATATTATCTGCTATGAACGTTTTACTTTTTGTTTTATCGCATTATTTGAATAGCTGGTTGAAATTGACGTCCTTATTCGGCGATATCTCTGAACGATGCTTGTTCGATCCTTGTTTGAAAAATCCGGTTTTCGTCAACCCATCGTTGCTTTTAATTGACGGCCACCCTCTAATACTAGATGCCCAATTTTGCTCGAAGGATTATCTGTACATTAATCGTATTACAGCAATTCGTTTCAACGTTTTCCGGACGAGTATACGATCGACACATTACTGGATTGTGCGATGAGCAGCAGAAGAAGCTTCTCGAAGCAATTGCGGTTTCATTAATCTTTTTTCATTTATTTTGCAATTAACCCCGAATTTGTTTAGAAATCGCGCCGCGCTGGATACATGCCGATCTTTGTGAAAGATCCGAAGTATACAAGTGATCCGAAGCTTTTTGATCCACTTCGACCAATTCGCCCACATTCCTTCGCCTGATTTTTGTTAATTCATTTTTGTAGATATTTTTGTTTTTTGTTTTTAGATTAGTTTTCTCTCTAGTTTTATAAATTCTTTTTTTGTGATTTTTTATTGATTCGTGCTTATTTTCGAGGTTCGATTCCCGCATTGTCTAGCTCGATTTTTTTTTATTATTAAAAAATCAACATTTTTCAGAAGATGTCGGAGGAAGTGGACGGAACTGAGATTTTGGGTGGGATATTCATTTTTTTTTCCAACATATCTCATAATTTATTTATTTTTCTTCAGATGAAGCCAGTCAGCGGCATCACTTCGTGAAACTGGTCGATGAGATAAAAACCGAAGAGCAAGTCACCAATTTCCTGAAGTTGGTTTTAGTTTTACTATATATTATCGAATAAGGCATTTTTTTTTTTTGAGAAACGCGACTCACGTGTTCGAAAAATGTACGTTTCGGTTATTTTTGGAAGCGAAATTATTTGATTTGAATTGCAAAATTATCAATGTTTGTCGATTTTCAACTTTTTTCAATGCTCATGAATTTTTCTAAAATTTTCCGTTAGCTGCCAAATCCAATATTGTTAAATTTTAGTGATATTTTCGATTTGGACCATCACGCATTGGGACCTGCACTGCCAAGCTTATGCCTTCTATCTGCATTAAGCATTTCTGAAAAGGAAAGGCTACGATTGGAAAAGATCTGTTGTCAAGTTCTGCTAGGTATTGGCATTGTTATAAAATATGCAATTAGAAGCTTGAATTAAAGATGTTGATACATCACGTGGCGATCGGAGAGCGGCTGTGGCTTGCTTGAAAGAATTTCACAAAGAACCGGCATGGATGGATTTCTACGTACTAGCGGAAGGTATCGAAGAACCGCAGGTATCAATTTTAGAAAAAAACGTAACAATGTATTTTCTTTTCTCGTTTAGTTTCATATCATCCGTCCAATTCTTCCTCGAATGGATTCACTTCTGGAAGCCGTCAAAGCTGGAACAATTAGCTTTGACTATGCGAAAATTGTTCTAATTCGGTATTCGATTTTCAATTTTTCAAATAATTTGCTGAAAATTTATCAGAGCGTTTGTCCATTCAAACGGCTGGATTCGTTCGTGGGCCATAGAGAAAGTCATCGAAATCGATTCCAAGATTTTGGCGAACAATTATGAGGTGAATTTTCATTATTGATTATTTTGATGGCATTGAGTTCTTGTAGTTCATTCCGGATTATGTGATGCCCTATGTGAATAACAACGACGTCTTCTGGAGGATTCTGGAGAAAAATGAGATGAACGAATTCTTGCACAAGTTTGCGTTGATGATTGAAAATGTGAAGTCGGCCTTGGAAACGGATGACCTCAAAAGTAAGATACAAATTTTATACGAGAGAAATTTTCAAAAAATCAAATGAAGCTTTCAGTTCCAAAATAACATTATTGGGATTTTAGGGGAAAATACCTAAAATACTCAATGCATCTTTAAAATGTATTTCGCAATCGTCAATATATTCTAACTAGTGAACAAATATTTAAATAAGCTAATTTGTTATTTTCGCAACCAAAATCTCATTTTTATTATAACTATATTGAAGCTATAAAGTATTCCATGAATTTATTTCAGTCGACTTTCTCAAAACACTACTTCTTGCCATGGAAAGTATATCATGCCCAACGGCCATGTTCTTCTGCTCAACAATATTCAACGAGATCTCGATAACGCCGCTATTCAACTACGAGAAATGCACATTATTCCGACGGGTTGTTCTCCGAGCACGCTACATTCCGCACAAGTCCTTGAGAATTGTGACAATTCGCAATTTGATTGTCTTCTTTGTGAAAATCTCAATAATTGTATGATATTTATTGGTAATCGACGAGCGATTCACGATCAATTCAACTTTAGGACAATGTTATTCTACGCGAGATCTCGAAATTGCTCAATTTCATCTCGAAAGAAGCGACGGGAGAGTTTATGGATAACACATTCGCGAAAATTGATCAAATTTTCAAAGAAGCTCAATATCGACCGGAAAAGGTTGAAGATTTTGTGAAGAAATTCGACGAATATGGAAGTCTGGTAAATTTTTGAAAATTTGAAAAATATTCGATTAGAATTTCGATTTTTGTTTTAGGATCTTGCAAATTATGCCCGACTTTGGTGGATCACGTTGACGAATGACCCCGAGGCTCAGGAACAGCTTGTGAAGCGGATTGAAACTGAGATGACGTCGGTGCTTCGTGTTCAGGACCGCGAAGGAAATCGGCAGTTCGAGGATCTTCTATTCCTTATTGCCCAAAAGCCGGAGCATATTAAATTCAGTAGGATTCCGTTTTTGGTTTTCTCTTGACAAACCTAAAGGAATTGTTCAGATTTGGACTACATGGAGCTGTGCAAAGAAGTTGCTCTTCGGGTCTCTCGTGCGAAAGGAGTTTTCGAAGAAATGGAGATTTTGAAATCTTTATTTGGCCCGTTTTTGGCTAGATATGGTAGAGGATCGTGGAAATCTCTACTAGACGTCCCATATTGCATGTTTAAGTTCCCCCTTGTAACTATTGCCTCCGAAGAAGGTCAAAAATCGATTCGAATTTCAGAATCCGACTATAACGCTTGCATATTTCCTAACATTCTTTGAAATTTTCCTTCCTCGTGGAGATGATGCTAACGATTTCGATCTCGACTTTATTGAATTCCTTGGTGCCGATCCGATTGGAATTCCGTCTCCTCGACCGTAAGCTTCGTTTTTATTCGAATAATGAGAATTTTAATAATTTTGTAGAGCTGACAAAGATTATGAGAAGGATTGGAACAAGCTGGCGATTGAATATCACGCATTGCGTCTTGATCTATTTCTACGATGCATGTCGCCGTCGAAGCTTAAAAATGACATCATCCTTCGAGAATGCGTCGAGCAGCTTGATATTGCCTCGACGTTCCCGATCAAGGAGAAACTTTGCAATGTGATGGCCATTTATATCGCCAAGGTAGCCGTTTCTACTTGGACCCATCCAAATATCGAGTTTTTAGACAACCGACCTTCTCCTTGTGTTGAGCTGCATTCGCGCTTGCGTCAACATTGTGACTGAGGAGAAGAAGTCGTCGAATAACCTTCCAGCGATCCGCTGTCTTGTTCGCGTCGCGTTGAGTGCTCGTCTTGGTGTTGAAGCGACGCACGAAATTATCAAAATTTTCGAGGCTCAACTTCTCATTGCTAGCCAGAATGTTCAAGTTGCTCTAATTCTTATTCAAGGACTTGAGGAGAACTTTGAGAACATTTCGCCACTTTGGGCGCGATTTGTAATAGAAATTTTCGTGGATTTGTCATCAAAATTGATAATTTAGGTCGTGAAAATTGCCTTATTTGGACCAGTGCCTAAGAAAGAAACTCGTGTGCTCACGTTTGGCTATTCAAAAGTGTTCAATGAGGAAGTTGGACTAGAAAATGACGATCTCGAAAGGTTTCTTTTTTCTTAATTTGAAATATGAAAAATGTTTATTAAGGCTCGATGAGGTCGTTCAAAAAGCCAGATTTACTGCTGTCGTCTTTTGCGTCAAAAAAGCGGAAGTCTGCGAGGAATGGGCGACACAGATTGCCGAGCGACTAATGGAAACTTCGAAACTGAACGATCAGAGCTCGAGCAGGTTTACCAGAACTATTGCACAATCGCAAAATATCAATAATTTAGGTCATTTGGACTCTCGATGGCTCATCGACAAAAGACCAGAGCTGTTGAGCTTCTTCACTTAGTTGTTCCTCACATCGTTGACAATGTAAGCGATATTTGAGAAAATTCGGAAGAAAAATTAAAATATGGAAAAACACACACTTTTTCTCCTTTTCGGAATAGATTTTTTTCTTTTTTCCCTCAACTCCAAAAATACATTTTAGGAAACGTAATAATATTTGAATTATCCAATGACTGCTTGTTTGTTTAAAGTTAATGTTCTAAACATGTTTTTTTCTAGGATGAGATCATGAACGTTTTTCAATATTGCGTCGATTGCATTGTGGATCCTTGCCAACAATTTTCGATCAAATTGATTGTTGAATGGACGATTGTTTCGCTCTGTCTCCGATTTATCACGTTGTTCGAGGAAATTATATCAGAAGAGTTTGAGGTTTTCCGTTTTTAAAATAGAAATTTTTTATAAATATTGGCTTGAATTCAGAAGTCATTAGCTGAGAAGCGCATTGGCAGCATTTCATCATGGATCAATATTTTAACCTTGGTGGCCAGGACCGATAGTGTTGGATTACTGTAGTGTTTATTTAATTGTTTGAATTATTTTTTTTTAGGAATTGAGCGCGAAATGTCTTGACAGGATTGTTGGTTGGACGAGTGCTCAGAATTTTCCGGTTCGCTGCACTGCTATTGCAGGTAGTTTTCTGATATTTTTTTTTTCGAGTGTTTTATTTTTCAAACATTTAGCTTGTCGATTGATATACAATCAACTTGAAATCAAGGATCGACGAAAGTATCGAATTGTGAAATCGATCGTCGAATTCTGCGCTGAGCCGTCCGGCAATTCAAAACGCGTCATCGACAATCTATGCAACGATTTCTATTTTGCCAAATTGCTTCCAGAGGAACACTTTGACATGCAAACGGTTTTCAAAGAGATCCCTTCAAAAACTGGAATGCCGCCGGAAGAAACAATACCGGAGAGTATTATCGATAAGCTGAACACCACTAGGGTCATGTCGTTCAACGACGATGAAGATTTTTTATATGCCCCGTCCGAAGTGTATTCAGGTAGCTTTTTAGTGCGAAAAGCGCGATTTTAGTTGCTCATTTTCAGCGCTATCGAAGAATACTAGCAGCGCTCCTGATATGACCGTCGATCCGATTGTCGATGATGATTCGACGACGGAAACCGACACCGAGGCCACCTCATTCCAGCGCAAAATTGTTAAAGACGTTTCGAAGAAGAATGATGGCAGTTCACTTATAGTTGTTGCTTCATTAGTAGATAAGCCAAATAATCTAGGAGGTATGGTCACTTTAATACAGAATTTTAATTTTTAAGCCCCCCTTTTAAGGTATTTGCCGAACATCGGAAATTTTTGGCGTCGACACTTTGGTTGTTTCTGATGTTCTCGTTGCGCAGGTGATTTTAATTCAGTTTAAGTTTCACTTGGCTTATTCTCCATGTTATTTAGGACTCAAACTTCCGAGCGTTGAGTATGAGCTCAGAGAACTGGCAGAAGATTGAAGGCGTTCGACCACAGAATCTGCTTGCCTACCTGGAAAGCTTGAGAATGAAAGGGTATACGGTTATAGCCGCTGAGCAAACGACTGATAGTGTGATGATGCATGAGTTTGTCTTCCCAAAAAAGGTATGAAAACTTATTCGGAAGGAGAGAAATACATAGGTATAAGTATTTAGTCGGTAATCGTCATGGGTGATGAGAAAGAAGGAGTTCCGGTGAACTTGCTGCGAGCGGTCGATAAGACGGTTGAAATCAAACAGGTAACATTTTTGGGTTTCCATCGTACTTTATGACTCACTCTTATCATTTAAGCTTGGACACACGAGAAGTCTCAATGTTCATGTTACTGCAGCGCTACTAATTGCCAAATACGCTGAACAAGTGCGATTCAGCGCCCAGTGATATAATAAAAAAGCAAGCAATTTGTTGAAATCATTGTTATGCCCAATAAATTATTATTTTTTGTTGATTTGTGCCTTTTGAATTGATAAATCGATGACGATTATTATTATCAGCTGCTTCAGTCATTTGCTCGTTTTGAAATGCACGAGCGGCCGAGGCATGTTAGCGTTTATAGGCATGCGCCAAAAATTTTTGGACTCAGATTTAAGGTAAATTTTCGATGGAAGTGGGAATTCATGTATATATGAGTGATTCAGGTTGCTTCAAGGGTATTGCTCACGTTTGAAGCGATTCTTGGAAAACTGCTTCTAGTCATTTCTATTTGCTCGATTATATATTCTCATAGTTGGTGTGAGATTCAAAAATCTCCAATGATTTTCAGAAATTCCGATTATTTTAGATCCAGTATTCGTTAATTTCTCGTTTTTCGCGTTTGTCGTCTTCTCGATTATTAATTATAATAAAAGTTTGTCGAGCAAATCATGCATTCTATTATTTCCGATGCTCACTTATCAGGTAATTAATCAATTAATTGTTGTAATTACTATTGAGTTAGGTTGTTACGATGACTTGGCTCGTTTTGTGGATTTACGCGTCGCTGAATGCTGTCATGATTGGAGATTTTGATGCCCTTAAATGGCTGGGAGGTCCACAGTAAGGAATTTTTGAAAATTTTTGTTCTCATGATTTGTGATTCAGGGAAGATGTTGTACCGACAGCCTCACATCCATATGAGCCGTATAAAAATAACCCTAATAGGGCCAAAGGTGAGATTTTTTCACAAGAATTTCAGATTTGAAGAACTTATGATATCGAAAATCTCGGCAACAGTAGTTAAGCCATGGCTGAAAAACATTTCTTAAAAACGAATCTAAATATTTCAGCTATAAAATATGGCTCGATAATATTTGCACTAACAATGCTCATAATTGTACTCAAGATCTTTGCATTCATCATTGCAAAGAGGACATTCTTCCAAATTCAAAAAATGCAAATTGAAGAAATGCTCGAAGAAGACAAGGTTTTCCAGCACATGCGTTTCGAATTTTTTTTTTTGAAATGTGGTTCAGGCGAATTGTGAAACTGCAAGCGAGATATCAAATATCGGCGGCCTCTCGCCGTCGTTTCCAATTGCCTACCGCAATCGGCCGCCTAGAATGGAAGTGGTCGATGAGGTGATGGTCGAAGAATATCCGCCGACGCCAAGCCCGGTGCCAAGGAGATATGCAATTCCCAAATTTGGCGAATCGACCATTTGAAAGCAACGCACACCTTCTAATTATTGAATATGTGCGAAAACTCGCGGAGACGTGAACGATGTGCAAACACCGCACCCCAATTTGCGTCGAAACACGCCATGTGTTCATTGTTGAGCATTCGCGTCCTATTGTTCTCATCTCGTATTTTTTGCAATTTGCTTCTACCTCCCTTTAAACTTTTTTTTTCACATTGCACTATTGATTTCTCTGTTCGCTTCTCAAATTACTTTATATCACTATTATTAGGGTTGCTGATGTATTATTTATGAGTGGATGATGCCTGGTTCCTATCAAAAATTCGTTTAGTTGTCTCGAATTTTTTCTCGTTTCACACGTTTTTTTGGCTCGCCAATTTTTTCTGCGACATTCGAATATACACATTTTATGTTTATTATAATGTTCGGCTCTATTCCGCCATGGAAACAATTCGAATAAATGCTAACATTAAAACGCGTTTTCCGATGTTTCTGGCGCGCGGTTTGCGATTATTTTTGCAGGCGTTTTTTTTTGCAAATGATTCATTGGGCATGAAACATAAAAATAAAAATCAAGTTAATATTTATGAAGATGATTACTCATAATTATTTTTTCGGGCGAAAATATATTCTTCATTTGTCTCGAACGTGAAAATCGCGACATTTTTTTCCAATTTCAAATCTGTTCCGTAAAATGTTTGAAAAAGTGCTCCCGATTGACGCCGAACGCGCAAGACAAAAAATATTGGATTGAATTTCCGGAATTTGAATGTCCCGCCGGTGTCGGCAAGCACGCTCCATTGACAAACCGTAGTTTGATTCTCATTTCTACCCATGACAATTTCGTTATTTATTTGCCAAAAAAAGTTGGCTACGTCCCAAAATGTATTTTTAATTCACATTTGCACCCGAAAACCGTCCGATAATTGATTATAGCACCAAAAATGATGTAAAATGCCCGAAATTTCGGCGGCGAGCCGGAATAGACGAATCCGACACTCCCGATGGGCGAGAGAATGTGGAGTAGAACAGGAAAATTGAACTCGACGCACGAAATTATTGGATTTCTTTTCTCCATTACGCTTTCCCTCATTCAGTCACATCTCGTCATGTTTAATCTGTTCACCGTGAATTTGTTTCGGACCAATGGCATATTTATTTCATCACGACGCTTCTTTTTTTTCCAGAATGTTAATAAATTAAACTACGGGAAAATCAAATAAGTGCCGAGTTTCCAAACACACACACACATTGCCTATTCGAAACTAGGTATCCGATTCATTTCGTTCTCTGGCAGACACAAATGGATCAACATCTGCAGGTAAGCTTTCTATATCGATTTTTGATAAATGCTCAGGGCGCCGCGCAATGCGTGTGCCTTTTGTTTTGGCGCCGCCCGCAAGTCCAACCCCTTTTCGGTTGCTATGTACTTTTTTTGGTAGTTGTGCGAGCCGAACGAAGCGAATGAAAAAAATGAAGTCCGCTGCTGAAACGGGCGGTCGCCGCATCATCACTCTATCCAGCGAGGCGATTTTTTCTCCAGCGCGAGTAATGTTCAATATTCTAGATATATTTAAAATGTTTTCTGCGCCGGTAGGCGAGAAACTAAAAAAATGCGACTAATTTCTGAATTGCAGATTGACGTAGAAGTGTCGCCTTCTACGAATGGCACAGGCTCGAACGAAAGCCAAGAGCAGAATTCGATGCCTCCACCGCCAACGGATTGGAATCAACAATACAGTCCGAGAGATGGTGACGAGTTTCATCCTTTTGTTGAAGAATTGCTGCCGCACGTCCGCAAATTCTCCTACGTCTGGTTTCATTTACAGGTTTTTTTTCGGTTTATTTTTCTTCAAATTGCTATATTTTTCGCATTTAGGCCGCCAAACGAAAATATTTCAAAAGGCACGACAAGCGAATGAGTTTAGAAGAGGAGCAACTTAAGAAGGAAGAATTGATGAACGATCGTGAAGACGTGAAGCAGCGTTGGGCGGCGCGATTGCTAGGCAAACTCCGCAAAGACATCCAAACGGCGTACCGGGAAGATTTTGTGTATTCGGTGACCGGCAAACGGCCGGCAATTTGCGCTGTCTCGAATCCCGACCTCAAGGGCAAAATGAGGCGTATCGATTGCTTGCGTCAAGCTGATAAGGTGTGGAGGCTCGATCTTGTCATGGTTATTCTCTTCAAGGTGAGACGTTGTTAGAAAAAATCACATTTTTGGCAAAAACGAGTGCTTAGAATGGCGCAGATGCAAAAAATAATCACATGTCTCAAAAAAAAAAACGTAAAAGATAGAAATAAACTGACTAAAGTCAATTTTCGCGCACGATTTTTGATGACTAATGAAACTAAACTACAAACGTTGACAAGTGTCAATTGTAGTTTTCGCAAATCGCAGAGTTTTTAGAACAGGATTTTTGCCTAATTAGGCGCTATACTCAAATTACTTCGGCTTTGATCATTATAAAAGGGCAAGTATCATATCCGTTCTCGAAATTTCTAATTAATATTGCTTCCACATTTTCCACTCTGATAAACACTTGATATATTCCGCTTGAATGAAAAGTGCGCTCATTTAAGGGCATCCCGCTGGAAAGCACCGACGGCGAACGATTAGAGAAATGCAGTGAATGTATATATCCGGCGTTGTGCGTGAACCCATATCACGTGTCGATTTCGGTTCGCGAGCTCGATTTGTTTCTATCGAACTATATTCGAGTATCGAATCCGGATGACAAGTCGAAGAATGATGGTAATTCGAATTAGTGATGATTCTCTTCATGCCAACACAAATGAGCGTTTTAGATTCGAAACGAGCACATCCGCTCATGTTGCCGATTTTACAACGAACGCAGGAGCATGCGATATGGGGAACTGGCGTGTTTTCAGCTTATGAGCTGGGAACTATTTGCGAAATCAATTTTGGAGGTTTGCAAATATTTAAATTAATAGCCAACTTTAAAATATTGCTATTGCGGGCTTGGATTTCGTGTGGAAAATTTCCTTGAAATAAAATATTCGCAAAATTTTTTTCTGAAAGAAAAATTGGCTCCCAAGAGGTTTTTTTATTCTCCAATGTCTAATGACGTAAAATATCAGTTAATTCTCGATATCTATTTTGGATCACATTCTTATAATAGCAAATAACGATATGATCCAAAAAGGGAATCCCTGCGTCACACGTGCGCGAATTTTTTTGCGCGCGAAAACGTCATTTTCGTAGTCACAATGCGCATTGAAAGCTTTTGGCCCGAGAATTTTTGTGCTGATCAGGTGCAATTTACAATATCTTTTCTTCTAAACATTTGACATCCAACAAAACGAAATAATCCGTTACGCATAGTAATCTTTGAGCCGCTATCCCTTCGCTGTCTTCCAATTAGATAACTATGTTAGATGGCTGATTATTAATAGCGGAGAGTTGTTGGGAAACCTTTAAGTGGCTATATTATTTGGGAATTTGAATTTGAAAGATTTCAGAAAGTGCGAAAGTTGCGCGATCACCATCGATTCAAAACTTTTTCATTAAACAAGAGGATGTTGAACAGCCGTGGATTGTTGGAGGGAACACAGCGACGTCGTCGGCGGCGGGAGCCTCGTCGACTCAGCTTCAACCGCCAGCATCTGCTGTAGCCGCTATTCAGGCTCTTGACAATGATCGTCTTGCGGCGATGCCGGTGTCGCCGACAGCGCAGGTCGTTGGTGCGATGGTAACTGTTGGCGATGAGCCTGATGAGCCGCCGGTGGAGAAGCGCGGGAGGCAAGGATCACATGATTCGGTCAATTCGAGGTAACAATGCAGAATGATTAACGAAATGCTTACTTTTTATGGCTTCAGCACGAATGAAGAAGTTCGGAGGATAGTTGAGACGGGTTCGAATGGAAGACAAATTGGAAGCAGTATATGGTCGCCGGTGGGCTCAGCATCAAACAATGTTCTACAGGATCTGTGAGTTTTTTTTTTTGAAAATTTTAAATAATTAAAACATTCTTGAAGCTCTTTCTTTTTTAGAAATTCTAATTCATCGAGTTAATTGAATTGTAACCTAGAATGGTAGACATCTCTCAAAAATTGTTTATGCGAGAGCCTCTAGTTAAAGGCTTCTCGTGTTTTTTTTTCTCACTTTCCACTAAATAAGATTAATTTTTCTACAAAGATCATCTCTAAATGCCACGAGCATTGATCTTCTTCAATGTTTGAATTATTTCGCCAATTTTTTGTTTGTAAAAAATTTGGGGGAAAATAATAAATTGAAATTTAGACGACAAAGACACGCTGCTCAGCCGATCACACGGCTTGTCAAAGTGATCACACCGTCATCGCGATCAATGAATTCGCAAGCTGCACCGGTTCGTCGGATGACAGTGACTGCTGGAGACAATAGAGATGTTGGCATTGTGGTTCTGGACCATCGACATCCCGGTTGGTTCACTTTTTGATTAGCCTATGACTTATGGACTCAATTTTCAGTTACGTTGAGCGATGCATTATCGAATATTGCGTCGAAGCCACCCTCACAAGCAGCAATCAATCAGTCGCATGCTCCTTTGGTGGCTTCTCGAAAACGAATGCATCCGGTGCAATCGACCCTTTCTATGACGAATCATCAATATTTGATGGAAATGAAAGGCGCCGAGATTTCGCCGCCTCACGCGGCTGTCTCGTCGCTGAGAACTCGTGACAATGGTCCGTATATGGCAAGTCCGACGAAATTTACGACGGCGAGCGGCACGACGACCAGCTTCAGGTTAGGGACACTTAAAGAAAAACACCTATGGAAGTTTTTCAGTAAAATATTGCACCAAGTTGAAGAGAAGCATTGTCAGCAGCAACAAAAATTGACGGCGAATCAACCGGTCAGAACGTTCATAACGAAACCGGAAAATAGTTCGGTATGAGTTTTGAGTAGGTTTGAAACGAAAAAAAAGCCAAATGAAAGCGCTTGAGAATTACGATTTTGCATGGTTTATTAGAGTTTAACGAATACGGTAATTTGAGAAATTAGAGAAAGTTGGCGAGAATCTCAGTCTATTCAATATACGATTTTTATAGAAATCCTGCACGCAACAAAGTGAACTTTGCACCCAATACGTATTTTGCACAAAATAGATGTTTATAAATCATTAAAACATCTCCATAGATTCAATGTGTACATAAATATATTATATAATAATTTACCATATAATTTGAACTCATTTCTTTATATTATTGTAATCTGTGATAATTCATGATTTTAAGTCAAACAATAAATAAAATATTGGTTTATTATTTTTATTTTCGGCGATTGAATTAACATTTTGTTCATTTTTGCAGAAGCTCGTTGTCCCGAAAGCCATCAAACCGGTGCCGGTGATGGGAAAAACGGATTACATGCAGCAGGTGTTGTCCGCGTGCAATTCAGCGGTCTCGTCACCGATCACGACGCCAAGAGTCACACCGTTGTCGAGGCAATTCATCGAGGAAGACTCGCAATCGCTGTTTAATGCGATTGGCAATAGCAATGATGGAGTTTGTGAGTTACTTTGACCATTTTTCAGCTTTAATACGATCACATTTCGTTTTTCTTTTTCAGTATCCCATCAATTCTTGAATTATTTGAATGATGCCAACTCGAGGTCGCCGCTTGGCAACACCGCCGCAGTTGGAACGGCTTCTTTCGCGTCGTTGACAATGGGTGCCGGAAACTCGCTGCCGCCATTGACACCGACGATTTCGAATGGGAATCGGCCGGATAGTGTAGCTAGCAAGTGAGTCCTTGCCTCGCCCACTAAATGTATACTTATTTGCATCATTTTTGCAGTAGTTCCAACTCGATGAGCGGCGTTATGGGATTGTCCGCTCCGCTGAGCACCGCTCTCACTGTATCGCAAACGCCGACAGCGACGTCACCAACCGGTGATTCGTCAAATGTGAGTTTTTGCTCGAAAAAAAAATAGGAAAAATACTGTACTTTGGCTTTTCGGCAACTGAAAAAAATGAGTGAGAAGAAATTTAATTGAGCGACTTTATAGTTATTAGTTTTCTGCTGACAATTTAGCAGTTCCGTTGTAAACCTTTAAATGTAATGTTTTGGTGATACGGGCTTGAGGCTTGTAGGTCTCTTGGCAAATAATTGTTTTTTTTTTTCTATATTTTTACGCTTTTGGAATGGGGAGAAAAGGTGTGTCGAGAATCCATTCGAGAGAGCATTCTCGTATTAAATTTATTTATTGATTTATTAATTTCAGAAGCTTAAAATGCGTGATTCGCTTCCCGACTCGTCATCAGCGGACTCTCCAAAAATTCTGCGGAATCTGCCCGGAAGCGGCACGACGTCGTCTTCTTCGCCAACTTCGTCGCGTGGTTCAACGTCGAACAGCGCTGCGAATCAAGCACCGGTCAGCGCGAATTCAACGGGTCCGCGTGCTCCGACCGATTTCTCGCAAACGCTAACCAAGTGATCTTATTGTTCCGAATCTCTAAACGTTATTCCCGAAATGTGCTTCCACACTTCTTTTTTTTGATAGCCTGTATACAATTTCATTTTGAATAGAACGTTTAGCTTGTGACCTAGTCTTTTTTTGTTTTTTTGTGGTTCATCTATTCCATAACCCAAAAAACCCTCTATTTAAATAGAAACTGCGGGAAAAATACTATTACGGATTCTCAACATTCTATCCGATTCCTAGTTTTAATAATAATAATCAAAGAAAAAATAGCCGCATTTTTTGTGCCCGAATTGATTGTTTTTCTCATGGACACAGTTTTTAACTGTTTTTTTTTAATGTAAAGAGGGGCAATCCAGAAAAAAAAAAACAAAAACATCAGACAATTTCAATTAGGCAAAAAAGGAAAATAGTCATTTTTTTAAATTTATTTATTCATTTTTTCTGCATTACCCCTCAAAGTAATCTCCTTATTTAAATTTTTTGTTTTTTTTTTGTCTCGTTTGCACAATCAAATTTTAAAGTTCTCTCGATTTTCCTCCCCCGAGTTTTACTATGTTTTTCCTTCAAAATTGTCTTAATTTTTTCCAATAATAATAATAATCATATAATCTGAACGAATTGTTTTGGATTGGTTTTTTTGGCGAGGAACTCGTTTATCTATGCTGTGCGAATTACTCGATGAATGAATACCAGTTGGAGGATGACATACATATCAGAAGATATCAGTTGATTAGCAACGATAGACAACTTGATTTTGATTTGCGAAAATCTCAGGGATATTTTTCAACGATGAAGTGACCGAAAGTGCACAGAAACTCCCGAAAACTCGGATCAAAATGAGAAAAAAAAATTAAAAATTTGACGTGGCCTTGGATTTTGCTCAGTCATGGTCGAGAAAATTCTAGGCCACGATTATTTAAAATTTGAATTCCAGTATTTGAGAGGCGCGATTTTACTTTAATTATTTAAAAAAATAACATTTTCTAGAATTTGCAGTGGAAATTTTATATTTAAATTTGAGTTTCGCTAGTAATATTTTTTAAAGTTGTATTTTTGGTTTAGGTATTTGAGGCTAGCAATGGAATTGCACGGTCCCTTATCTCAAAGCCCAAATACGGATGCGTTGCGCATCATTCTTCACGCCGCATGCCCGCATCGCCGAGAATTGAGAAGAAGAGGGCGGAGTTGTTAGGGGGGCGCGGATTTTGCCGCGCCGCACCGCCGCGCATTATCCAGTTCTCGGCGAGCGCGGGTACAAAAGGCGAACAGGACGCGACGAGCAGAAGATTCCAACGCTTCCCATCATTGGAATGGACATCAAGGAAACGGAGGAGCAGCAGCAGATGCGGCGCATCGCGTTCGTCGCCGTCGTCGTCTCGACGGCCGCCGTCATCGCGTCCGTCGTCACACTCCCAATGCTCTACAATTATGTTCAGTCATTCCAGTCTCATCTAATGGTCGAGACAGATTACTGCAAGGTACTCAATTATTTTTCACTTCAACGATTTTGTTTTCAACTTTTTAGGCTCGCTCTCGTGATATGTGGCTTGAGATGACCGCTCTTCAAGCCGGAAAAGGAATGGGACACCGTCAGAAGAGAGCGTGGCTCTTCGGCCAATGGATTCCAGAGACTTCTGCTGGCGGAGGTGGCGCTGGAAGTTATGGATCTGGAGCTTCCACTGGTGGAGGCGCGAACGCCGGATGGGGAGGCTACGGCGCCGCCGTTAACGCCGAGCCAGCCGCCGTGTGCTGCACTTGCAACCAGGGAGCCGCTGGACCACCAGGACCGGAAGGACCACCAGGAAACAATGGAAAGGACGGAAAGCCAGGAGCTGATGGTAAGAACGGACGTGACGCTGAGGTGCTTCCAGCGCCAGCCAGCGAGCCATGCGTGATCTGCCCCGTCGGACCACCAGGACCAATGGGAGCAATGGGACCAAAGGGACCACCAGGACCAAAGGGATCGCCAGGCGAGCCGCCACAAGACGGAAAGCCGGGAGAGGACGGTATGCCAGGACAGCCAGGACCAATGGGACGACCGGGACGCGACGGAATGAAGGGAGCGCCAGGAGCCGCTGGTCGCCTCATCCCAGTGCCAGGACCACAAGGACCACCAGGAAAGCCAGGGCCACAAGGACCACCGGGACCAAAAGGAAACCCAGGACCAGACGGACAATCGTACCAAGGACCACCAGGACCACCAGGAGATCCAGGAAATCCGGGACACGAGGGACGTCCAGGACCAAACGGACCACCAGGACCACCAGGAGAAGACGGAGAGAAGGGAGATTGCGGACATTGCCCAGGTAAAAAATTCAACGGAAAATCGAAAAAGTCATAATTTGTGCAAATTTCAGCTCCAAGAACCCCACCAGGCTATTAAACACCAATGCGCCAACTTCGCCCATTCTAGGGTGTCATCATCATTATTATTTTATAACGCTCAAAATAAACAAATTCTTTTTGTCCCGAGTGCCTTGTAGCGAATTATTTGAAATGAAATGAAAGGAATGCGGTGAGTGAGACATCGACGAAAGAAAAAACTCGCTAACGGCTACCGAGTTTTCCGCGCGCGCGCGCGACACACGATTATCTCTTGTCCACGTCGGGAGAATCGCGAATGCATTGAAAGAGAGAGAGAGAGAGAGAAAGCGAACAACGCACTCTTTTCACATCCGGACTCTTTTATCAGTTTCAGTTTTTTTTCGCGATGCGCCCTCATTGTTCTTGATGGACATCGTAAAATCCAGGCGCGATCGCGAATCGCCGAAAGCGACGCGTACTTATCAGTTTGAAATCGAAGAACCGAGACATTTGGCGTCCTTGAACCTTGGTGCGAGCATTCGACAAATTCGAATTTAAATCTCAATGTACTCAAATTCTCTTTTTCAAAAAGCCAATCAATCAGATGTTTAAAACCGCGGATTTTATTGGCCAATCAGTCGAACGTCTGCATGTACACCGCACGCAAAATTGCACATTTTTAAGCGTCTCAGCGATTCAATCGGGATGAACAGCGGTTGTTTTTGGGTTTGGGATAACCCGCGGAACAATTTGGGGCAAACACGGGAAACATTGAACTCGGTCAAAACAAAAGTTGTCCACGGTTTAGCCCAAACTCTAAACGGAGGGCAGTTTGTAATTGGAGTGTCGTACTGGAATTATTGAAAATTTTTTAACGTTTACTCAATTTCTATATAATTTTCATCATTATGTAAAGAAAAATTAATTTTAGTTCTAGCGCAGTCATCCACGGTAACGCAACAATTGGAATGAAAAGAAGAAGGCCAACGTTTGAAGAAAATGGTATGTCAAATAATGTTAAATACTCACTGGCAGAAGTGAAAACGATGATTGCGGAACAAAAAATGAATGGTTTTTCGTCAATCAAACAGTAAAAAACCATTTATTTACCATAAAATAATAAAAAACCATTCATTAACCATCGAAAATCGTTCATTCGCGAATTAAAAACCATTCGTTAATGAGACGATTCATTTTCTAAATAATCATTTTTCATTCATTAATAATGTTTTTGCTGTTCATTCATTAACCATTCGACTTCGATCGTTCCACTTCTTCCAGTGTGCCGTAAAATATGAGACTGAAGATATAGCCTAGCAAGCATGGAATAATAAACACATTTTTCTAGAGACAATGCTGAGAGATCTTGGCATACGTGTCACAAGACCAGCGTTCTTCATGGATATGAAGGAAGAATTTTGCAATGAAAACAATCATAATTTCGAAAAGTCGCTGCTAATTCAGCCGCCGTTTATGAAAGACGATTCGAATTGTTCACTGCCAGACTCGGTCAACTACTCAATGAATGATTTGGGGTTCAACACTCAGAATGATGAGATATCGCAACGATATGACGCCATTGCAAAGGTTAATCAATTGCTCAATCCATTTTGTTTATCGAAGTCGTGCATTGAAGCCGTGCTGCTAGCGGCACATTTTATTTGTAGCTATAACTTAACGGTAAAACTATGCTAAGAGAAAAACTCACGATGCATGATTTTAGATTAATGATTTAAATGAGACAAATGAAAATGTTTTCTTATCGAAGTATAAACCTAGAGTTTCTGTTTTCTGCAACGAATGTCTGGTGTCAATTGGAGCTTCAAATTCTTGTCAAAACAATATCTGTGTAAATTTCAGGTATGAATATAGCACTCCACGAATATAAAATACTTTCAGAAAACATATGAAAAAAGGAACGAAGACAGAAGCTTTAAAAATTGTTTCATACAGTGTTCGCCCACAATTAGAACGAGTTACGAGTAATCAATTTGGTGAATTACTATCAACCCACAGCTACCATCACAGAAATACAGTGGTAATATTTTATTGCAACATTATAATCGTGATATTTTTAATCGAATTTGTTTTATTTTCTTAAGGAAACAATTCGAGATTATTCTTCATTTCACCGATCGCGGTGTTATCATGATAATATCGAAAGTTTCGAGTCTTTTGAGAATAGTCATTTGACTATTCCTATTTCGTTGGCGGTGGACGGGTTTCGACCAGTTAACCATAATAGGTATTCCCCTAAATGTTCTTGTTCCTTTTTGCAATTACTTGAAAATTTTAGAAACGAAATAACACCAATATACGTTCGTTTAGAAGGAGTTGGAAGAAAATCAAAAGAAAAGGTCGATTCTGTTATTCTTGCAGCCTTAATAACAGGACCAAACAGCTTAAATCACACGAATTGTGATATTATCATGAGCAGGTATTAAACTAGTCCGACCAAATGAAGAATGAATATTTTCATATTATATAATTCATATTTAGGCTAATAAATGAACTTGATGAGATTCGATTTGAACCCATTCGTATTGACAATAATAATGAAATCTACTACATCGATTTTCAACCAGCTAAAATGTATTGCGATTTGAAAGTTTGAAATGTACTGCGATTTGAAGCAAACTGAAATATTATTTTAGGCTGCTCGTTTGATGTATACACTTCCGAATTGGCAGAAGCTCGAAGGATGTGCATTATGCACAATTACAGGTACTAGAGTTGGGCGATCAGCGGTTGCTTTTTATTCGAGCGAGAGGTCAGAACCACGTACAAAAGAAGATATTCACCGTCTAATGGAGAGAAACGGCGCTCAATGTAAGTTATACGTTTTTTTTTTATCGCCGAACATTATAGGTTTTTTGTCTCGTATGGTTGGTCCTCAAGACATGGCATTCGATGAATTACACCTGCTTAGTGAAGGTGTTGTTAAAAATACAATAGTAAATCTATTATGTAGCAACCAAATAACATCAACGTCATCTCTGCCAAAGTTAAGAATTCTGCCGAGAAACGTCGTAAAAATTCAAGAATCGATTTTCAACGCAAAGCTACCACCGGGAATTAATTGTGAGATGGCAGATATCCGAAAACTCTCTTCAGCCACAGGAGCTCAGATTAGACAGGTACTATTTTTTCGCTTCTTTATATGCCTTTAAAAAATTGTTGTGCGGAGAGCTCAGGTGTATTTACTTTATGTATCAAGCGGATCTGCTAAAAACAATTATGTTAATTTATCCAAGCTCTAGAGAGACCACACAGAAATTAAATTATGCGTTATAGACATCAAGGATTCTCTTCAATATATTGTCGCTGTTACCCGTTTACACCGTCGACACCCGCATTTTCTTTTCTGCATTTATCAATTACGTCGAACTCTGTTTGGAGGCCAAAACGGAGATTGACTTACAAAATATGGATGATCTCAGCTCTTTCCTTAAAACAGCAATGGGAACTCTAAATAAGGAGAAATATACGCTTAAAATGCATGTAGGTTACATTCATACCGGAAGGTGGGAAAAAATTTTATAACGCTATCAAGGAAAAATGTGGATATAGTAGTTTTTTGAAAGATATATGTGTTAAATTTGTCTTAAAATGATTTTTTCCGAATACGATTATGATTTTATTATAACTTCAACCATTCTCCTTCAATTTCAGTTGCTCTTTGAACACATGGTTGAAAACATCAGAAGAAATGGAAATTTATCTTCTACTTCTACTTCATATTTCGAAAAATGCCACAATTTAATATCAAAAAATCTTTCGCAATCCAATACATCAATACAAGAACTCGGGAAGCGCTTCCTGTTGAATATTGATACAAGAATAAATAAGAGGTAGGTGCAATTTGATTTTACTCTCATACAATAAATTGTTTAGCGAGGAAAATTTAATTCAATTAGATAATTCTACGACTGCGCTCGAACTGTATAGAATCAGAAATGGCGATGAGAAAGAAGCTCGGATAAAAAAAATGTTTCCTGGATTGATATATATCAACTTATGGTATTAAGCTATGATTAAAGAATTTCACATATATTCAAATTACAGGTCTCGAGTGGTATTTCATCAAGATCTCTTATCCTCAAACAGCTGGAGAAATAACAACAAGAGCACTGTAATTTGCTACGAATCGGAATTCGGAATCGAATATGGAACATTAGAAGCTGTAGCACAAACATCAGATCGAATTTTTTTTTCTTTTTTCAGGTTGGCAGCAAGATTGGGAGACAATAAAGCGGAAATAAGTCAACATTATGAGAAGCTGATTATGGATGTGGCAAATATGGTGGACTTTATTTATTTCAAAGCTCACCGAGTTTTGTAAGTTTTTTGTAATACTTTATATATAGAAATAAGCTATATATATTCAGTAATGATCTTCGGAACAAAAAAATTGTGGAAACCCAAGGCCAAAATGGAGTTGTGCGCAAACGATTCGAACAGGATCCAAACGCATTAAAAAGGAAAGAAAAGGTAATAGAAATCACAGTTTTCTAGAGTCATGAAATAACTAAAACTTTTTTTTATTAAGAAAACATCGAACGACTTCCGCCATTCGCCGACACCGATTTCGGATGAAGAAGACGTCGATGAGGATGAAGCCAACAACGACATTGAACATAACGGTGATTTGCTTTAATCCCAATTTTTTTTGCTCTGCTCATTCGTCGAATCGAATAGAATTCATCTGTTTCGATTCAACGCAATATCTTAAATGATCAATCGATTTCCATTAGAAGTCAATTGGAATGTAGTTCGATTGTGAAACGAGCAATACGAATTTGATTCTAAATTTTTTACATTCGATCATTCATTAGTATTCGACGAATTAGCAGAGTGTCCTTGTTTTTTTTGTTATCCTAAATGTTATATTATTCATGTTTTATTGTAATCTTTCCTCTTTTTTTGTCAACGTTTTTATTTTAAATATCGATATTTGCATTATTTGTTACCTATTGATTTTGGAAAGGTTCGAATAAATATGTTATTTAAATAAAACGCGCATTACCCAATAAAATTCATGAGCTGCTAAAACAAGGGTGATTACAACACTCCGCGCGTACACCCGTCGTTTGGGTTAACCCGCGGAACATTTTGGGACGACCAGTGTGACCCCGAGGGAAGGCCGTTCATCGTTTTTGGGTTCGCCCAAAAACAACCGCTGTTCGTTCCGATTGAATCGCTGAGGTATAGTAACTCATATTCCGAATTAATTATTCACTTATTGTCGAAGAATATTTTTTAATATTTCCATCGCAATTGATTACTGTGCGTTATCGTTTTTTTTTCGGGGTGGTAATTGATATTTGAATTTAAACGATTTGAATTCAACCTGCGAATCAAATTATCTACACAGTGTGCTCGTTATTTTTCCAATGCTTATTTGTTCTTCAATCTCACGTCAGCAGACATCAATTTCGAACAATAAATTGGTCTATGAAACGTGCTTTTCGTCATGGGAAATTTTACCACCAACAATCGTATTCAATTTCTCACGATTGGTGTTCCCAAAAAAAGGGAATTCGAGGAAAATTGAAATTGGGGGAAAACGAAATGTCCAATTTTTTTCTGTCACAGTTTCATCGCTGGTTCACTTTCTCAGCAAACTTCGATTATATCTGTAGAACGGCATTTATTCATTTTCCGGCCGCCATAACAGAACATGTCACTGCAATCGTTTCCCGGTAGACAATTGGTTTCTTGAGTCCAAGGCTGGTAAGAATGTAGGCGCGATAAGGGACGACAAAGTAGAATGATATGAGTGGATCGACTAGGCCGGGAAGGCTGGCGAGAGCGAGGAAGAGATGTTCTGCAAAAAAAGGAAAAAATTTCAACCTTCCGTTTTTTCTAGAAATTTTAAGACAGAAATTTCTCAAAGACGAATCACATTGAAATTTGGAAAAGCTCAATTTGAAAAGCATGAAGTTCGAAAGAAGGCTCACCTGTCAATAATATCTCTTCTCCTGTGGATTGTGTATAAAGATAGCAAGAATATATTGGAATGTAAATACTTATAGGGAACAGCGTTTGCCATATAAGACCCTAAAGGAAGAACATTAAGGAACCGAGTTCGACTATTAATGGTGATACGTAGATTAAAGTGGTCGCTTGCTTTTTCGTGCGATCCGACATGTTCTGATGTTGGCGAATCAGCACCAAAACCTGTCTGGTGAGCAGCGCACTAATTAAAGGCACACAATAGGCTCCTAATGTTAAAATAGCTGTTCCTACGAGGAATTGGATTGATTGGGTGTCGGCGAAGCCAACGAACGGCTCATAAATCGATAGATCGTATTTGGGATGCTCGGCGTGGGTCACATTTCGGACGGCCTCGAAATTCCACGTGTCGGTGAAAGGGACTAGAAGAAGAATGAATGGAAAGAAATGGGCGGCTATGATCAATATGGCGATTTGCTTTGGTCCGAAACTGTTTCGCGTTAGGACCAGGTAGCGGAAGAGCACGGTACTGCTGATAGCTATGCCGGCGTCGGCTCCAAGAGCCTGAATGATTTGATTCGGAATAGGCATTTTGATATTCCACCTTACTGTATAAATATGATACATTGTGAAGCATGTTTTTGGTCCGATTAATTTGCATGGTCCTCTTGGAAGAATGGCAGTGGAGCCCAAATTTGGCAAAACTCTGAGCGAGCGAAACTGAGAGTTGTTTAAACATTACTGTATACGTCTTTTGGAAATCATTTAATAAAATTCAATCCGCGGACTTTCTAAGCTTTATCAAATTTGCTTCCGGTCATGTTCAATCAAAGTTCAAAAATTGCGCGATAATAATATGTTTTGCTTATATTGTTTAAGATGTTTGTTATAAAGTAAACATGTACGTATATGTAGTTTGATTTTTTAGGATTCTGCGGAATTTTTCAACCTTTGAGATGTCCGCAGATGAAAATGACTTAATAACGGTTCTTCTAGGAGCGATAATATCTGGTGCCTGCTACATCTATGAATCACCAAAATGTCCGCAGATGGTGATCCAAAAATATTCCTCACCTGTGCTGTGAACTGAATGTCGAAAGAACGAGTGCAATTTGGGTAATGCACGTATTATAAAGAAAATATTTCAAATGTTCGAGAGACGATGGCGACTTTTTGAAAATCAGAAATAATAGGAATAATTGAAGAATTAAGCCGACAATTGCGTAGAAATGATAGTAAATATCGAAGAATAGGACGTATTGTGACGAGCTCATTCCGAATATGGAATAAATATAGTTATTAGAGTGTCGACAAATAATATTCGCACATTTGAACGCGAATTTTATTATGAGAATGTGAAAATTGTGGACTCTAATTATGCGATAACATTCAATAGAGATAATTCCCATGATAATTGAATCAGTTGAATTGGATTTCCGAAAAATGAGTGCAAATCATTCGACACGAATAGCAAACGAGCTCGTGATTCCGCGTTTATCGATGTACGCCTTCTGATTTCGCATTCCGATCTTTTTGAGAATGTATTTTCGGAATGGGATAATAAAGTAGAACGAGACCAATGGGTCCACAAGAGCGGGAAGACTTGATAAGGAAAGGTAGAAGTGTTCTGAAATCATTCGGATTCGCTTTTTGAATTCGAACATGAGAGATGCGCCTTTAATACAAAACGAGATGCGAGACCCATAGTGGTGATTTGTCTAATAATGTAATGCTGAACAGATTCCGAAATCAGCTGCGAAAAAATGGAATTTGGCGCATTTTTTTCGTGTTTGTCACAAAATTAGAGAGTATTAAAGGCCAATGGAAAAAATTGAATGAAAAAAAGGCAAATTTTGAATTTAAAAAAAATCACCAAAATTTTGACCATCCACGTGGAATTTATTCGCCACAAAGAAACGGAATTTGTTTAATCGATTCATCGTGTGGCGAATTTTTAGAAAGTATCGATTTTACTTTTTTTACTGATCTTCTGGAGCAGAGATCAGGATCAGGATCAGGAGAATCAGGATTCAAAGAATCATTCAATTCGATTAAAATTGAAAAAAAAAATTATAAATTTTGATTTTTCGAAAAATGCTTATTTTTCTTTTTTTTTAATCTGAAACGCTTAAATTTTTTTATTTTACCCAAAATAAGATAATCACTTTTAAAAAAAAATAATTTTAACCCATATGCTCCTCAATGAATGATCAAAATGTCTAATTATTTACCGGTTATCAAAATCCCGTTGCCTGTTGCTTGTGTGTAAAGGTAGCACGAAAATATCGGTGTGTAGAAAATTATGGGAAACAAAGTTTGACAAATTAGGCCCTGAAAATACTTTTTTTAATCGAAAAATATTCTAAAAAAAATGTTGATTACGTAGATCAAATTTTTTGAGTGTTTTTTGGTATTTGCTGACATATTGGTCTGCTGGCCGATGAGCACCAGAATCTGGCGTGTTGATAGTGCACAAATCACCGGTATCACATATGCAATCAACGCGATGATTGAGGTGCCGAGAATAAATTGCGGAGAGCTCGTGTTGGCGAATCCAGTTATCGGCTCATATATGGCAAACTCATAAGTGGGATGCTCCATGTAGGTGGCGGTTCGGACCTTTTCAAAATCCCAGTTATCAAGGAATGGGACCAGAAGGAGAATAAGCGGGCCAATATAGGATGTTGAGACGATTATACATATTTTCTTGTAATCCATGTGAGTTCCCTTCAAGACCAGGTATCTGTAGAATACGGTAATACTGACTCCGACACCTGCAAGGGTTGATATTGCCTAAATCAATTATTTGAAAATTTTCGGACTTTTCTCATCAATTTCTTACTGTATAGATGTGATATAAAGAAAAACGAATAGTTGGCGGGCACCATACTGATGGTCCACTTGAAAGGATGGCAGTGGTGTTCAAATTAGGTAGAAGCCTGTGCTGCGAAATGAATGTCGTGAATAATACGAACACTTGGGCTGTGCTTGTGTTGTATAGAAAAATTCGCAAATGATTCATTGCTGATGATGATTTTTTAAAGATGAGAAATAGCTGAACGGATTGTAGCGAGATGCCGATAATAATATAGAATTTGTAATAAATGCCGAAGAATGGCACGTAGAACGAAGAATTCATGATGCGCTTTGGGGCTTGATGCTTGTGTATTCTAATAACAAAAAAAAATTGCGAAATTGTGAAAAATAGATTTATAATGAGGCGATGGGGGAGAAAACAAGATATATCGCTGAAAAAGTTTTTCAAACAAAATTTTTCGTGTTTTTATCGAATTATGATACGGTAGGAAAATATGTGTAACACTATTGCGGACACTTTTACTACAGTAATCTGCTTAAAAATAAATTAGAGAAAATGACTTTTTATCGGAAAAATTCGCGTCACGGCCTCTATTTTCAATAAAATTTGATTTTTCTTTTGGAAACAAATTTATTCAAAAACTCAGGACTTTTTATAATCAAAATAAAAAGAAACATTTGGTTTGTTAATCGAAATATTCATTTATTCTCAAATTTCTCAAAATAGTTTTCCCGGTATAAACTTTAATTATGAATTTCTCTCAATTTGTTTAATACCCGGTTTACAAAGTTTCCAAGAAATTTCAACCTTTTTTTTTAGATATTTTTTTGAAAATGTCGTATTTGATCTATCTCAACAATTGTGACCACACAAAAGAAGAAAGCGCGAAATTCTCGAACGACATTGTTGACGAGCTGGCAGGATCGTTAGTATTTTTCATTTTCGTTCTCATTCATTTAAGCGTCATTGTTTTTTCCAGTAATAACTACTAACCTTGTATCGTGGCATTAAATAACAAGATGGACGCGAATGGAAAACTCGGAAGAAACTCATCGCAAGAGTCGGAATCGTCTGGCAGCGGAAGCGCGTTTCAGAACAACGATTTAAGCTTCTTCAATGGTTCATTTGATAGTAAGTCGAAGAATCAGGTGAAAACGAAACTAATCAATAATTTTAGTGATGTTCCAAGGCAATTTCCCATTGTTCAATTTGATGCAAGAAAACATCTTCTCACCAAAGCCTTATGTAAAATCGGAGAACTGCCGCCTCGCCGCCGTCACCAACAACGAGAACAATGCGCCAATCGCGAAGCAACCTTATGACTTCCGCGACTTTAACGAATGCTTCGAGCCGTTGTACTCGGCAGCGCCGTCGGTTGCCGCGACGGGCAACACCTCGTTTGTCGGCAACATGTTCGGCAACGTTCGCTCGACACGCCTTCTTCCTTCATGGGCTGTCAACTCGAACGGTCATATTCGTAGCGATTTGACCCTGTTTGAAGTGATGAAGAATGGCGCGCTTATCGATTTCGCCATGGATCGCACTGGTGTCAAGTTCCTCGAGCAGAACTATCCATCGGACCCTAACAATGAGCTTCATATTCTTCTGTTTGAAAAACTCACAGAGCAGATTGCTGTCTTCTCGGTTTGATTTACACTTTTCAACGTTTGGAATATCATTTTGCTTCAGGCTCTCTGCCGCAACTCAGCTGGCAACTTCATTGTTCAGCGCTTCGTTGAGTTCTCGAATCTCAAGGAGCAAGAACGTCTTGTCGAGATTATGTGCGCGTGCAATCTCGCCGACATGTGCCTTGATAAGTTCGCTTGCCGTGTTGTGCAGCAGGCCGTTCAGAAGTTCGACCTTCAAATCGCCAGCAGACTCGCCCAGGAGCTCCGCCATGCCGATCTCTTGCCATTGTGCACAGATCAGTGCTCGATTCATGTCATTCAGCGCATTGTGAAGACGCTTCCAATTAATACATGGGATTTCTTCGTCAAGTTCTTGTGCAGAGATGACAATCTGATGAAGGTTTGCCAGGATAAATACGGATGCCGACTTGTTCAACAAACCATTGACAAGCTCTCCGACAATCCGAAGGTTGGTTAGTGAAGCCTAATTCCAATAACATTGGATTATTTTCAGTCTACCTGCTTCAATACTCGCCTTCAACTTCTTCATGGCTTGATGACGTCGGTTACTCGCAACTGCTACCGTTTGGCATCCAACGAATTCGCCAACTATGTTGTGCAATATGTCATTAAGTCGAGCGGAATTATGGAAGTTTACCGTGACACGATCATCGAGAAATGTTTGCTCCGCAATTTGTTGTCGATGTCGCAAGACAAGTATGCATCGCATGTTGTTGAAGGCGCGTTCCTTTTCGCGCCGCCAAAACTCCTCTGCGAGATGATGGACGAGATCTTCGATGGATATGTCAAGGATCAGGAGACAAATCGAGACGCGCTTGATATTCTCTTGTTCCATCAATATGGAAATTACGTTGTGCAGCAGATGATCTCGTTGTGCACGTCGGCACTTCTCGGCAAAGAGTGAAAAATTGACATCATTTTGTGGGAAATTGTTGTTTCTTTTTTTTTTAGAGAACGCCGTCTATCAATGGGAGAGCTTTCGACATATGCTGCTTGGTTCGACAGAATCCGCGAGAGAGTCAATAAGCATGCTCCAAGACTTGAACGGTACAAAAATAATATTTTTTTGTGTTATTATTTTAGAAAATCTGAAATTTAGATTCTCTTCGGGAAAGAAGATAATCGAATCGCTTGCTAAAATGCAAAACTTTAAGCTCGTCAAGAAGGAGGAAGAGTACCCGTTGTGGGCTCTGCCGCCGTCGCCGTCTCCGCTTAACGACGTGACCGCTTCGTACTTGAATCGTCTTCCGACTCATTCGTCGGTGTTCGACGATTAATTACTCACATGACTGCTTGGAATTGCTCCTCCCGTACCCCAAAACGTTATGATCTATTATTGTTATTAATCTCATAGTAGAAAAACGCACACATGCACACATTAATTTAATGTTTTGTCATCAACAAATTTATCCTTAAAACCAACTTGCTTTTACACTTTTTCTAACATATCTTGTTCGGTTTTGCATTATCTTGCACCGTCGGCATATATTTGCCAATTGTGTCTTGATTGTAGTCGGCTGAACACATTCATTTCCTATAATAATGGTATTCTTGTACAATGTGAAATGGTTTCTACCCGCATGTCAGCATCAAAATTTGCACCGCTCATTGTTTGTTGTGCCTCCCAGATGAGGTTCCCCTGAATGGATGTAATACGTATTATTCAATAAAAATAATAGCGGCACCCAAATGATTGTGATTTGTTGCAGTTGTTGGTTGTTGTTGTTTGCAAACGATTGTTTTCTTCTTTTTTTTTGCGACAACATGGTCCAAAAGTGTATGAAACAACATTTTCCTAAATATATCCATTCATTCATATTTTTTGTCTTTGCTGTAGTCATTCAACACCCCAACTTTTTTTAACGAATATAATTTGAACACAGTAGTAAGTAGTGATTTTCTTAAGACTCTCATGTTTATATGTTCCATAATCCATCATTTTTTTAATTGTTGGATGTCTGAAATAAATTTTTTATGCAAGTTTGGATTTATTGCATTGCTTGAATAGAAAATCACGAAAATTTAAAGAAAATTTGTTTCAAAAACAAGCATTAAAAAAAAATAATAAGCCCGTTGTGAGACCTTAACAAAATATCTATGTGTGCCTTTAAACTTATTACGGTATTTTATGAAAATTGTTTACACTCTAGTTCTCCATTTTTTTTTTGAAAATTTCCGTTTATTTTTCAATTTTAGTGTAATTTTTCCATTTTCAGAAATACCAATTGCAATTATAATCAAAATATCACGCTAACGGTCACAGTCGAAAGCCAACAAACTCGAGTAGGTTGGTACTTATAAACGTTTAAAAACAATTTTTTTTTCGATTTTTCATCAGCTCTCAGAATTTTCCAAATTGCAAATGTCGGCAGGTGATTGTTCAAGTGCGCCAATAGCAACTGTCTTGCGCTTTCCCCTCCTCTCAAATGTGCATTCTTGCCGAAAACAAGACGCCCATTTAATTGCATACCGTAATTAGGTAGTTGACCTTTTTTAGGCTTATTTGATTTGCGGCGGCCGCACTCATTTGTTGACTCTATGACTCGTCGCTAGCAGTGTGCTTTGAAAGGTGCGCTAATTAGCGGTACAGTTGTTTGAAGGGCACTTTATCACTATATTTGGAGTGCCCTTTTCGTCGTCCTGAATTCATATAAATATTTTTACTAGAGCCGCCGGTTTACCCCGATATGGCCGAGGAAATTATAAAAAATTGATGGCGCCTAGAAGGAAAGTGCGCCCCCCCCCCCTTCCCCTACTCCGAGTTATGCCTCTAATCCCCTGCTCGCCTATTCCATGAATCATGGATATATGTATCGGTGATTATACATATATTTATTAGAATATTAGTTATTAGGCTAGTGTGCCGTGAGCGTCTTCCCTAGTCGCCCCGAGCACACCCCATTCGTCTCGAGCCTCATAATCATCTAATATTAATCGGAAATGTAGTCTGTCGGTTTCTTGATTCGTCGCCTTGGCGACATGCGTCTTAGGATTATCACCAACCATCAAACAAGCACGCCAAAACACCTTGAAAAATTTTATTTCATCCACGTCTCTGAGTTTGTATCTCCTTCTAGCTTTCGAATGAATCGGGTGCGGCAATTAGTCGCAATTTTATGGCGCGAAACAAATTACAAAATATTGTATTTTTGGTGCCCATAAATATTTGACGACGTTCATAAAATCGCAATAAAAATTAAATACGAATAGATGTTGAGGTTATTTTTTTTCTACGCCACTCATCGGTCGTCTTTCAGAAGGTCGAAGTTGTCCCCACCATCTAGGCAACGCATTCCAGTTGAGACGTAATTTTCGTTGTGATTTTCTTTTTGCCAATATGATTATGTTGAAAACTGTGCAGTAATCGTCGTCGAATCAATTCTTATCAGTTTTTCGGTATTAACTGCTCTCTGTTCGTTTAAGCGGATTGCGACCAGCAAGGTTGGCGTGATACAGAATTGTTGATGAAGCTATATATGTGAGGATTTTGCTTTAGTCTAGTCTCAAAGAGTTTATTATCCGTGCAGTTGGTGCAGCTGCTAACCGCTGAAATTCCCCTATATATAGACTAAAGCTAAAAATGCTTCTATAATCGCAACGTTAATTATAGGTCAGTTGAAGCGAAGAAATTTTAATTTAGAATCGGTGTGCGCCCTCGAACGTGTTCGAATAATATTTGAAGAAACTTCGAGTATCATTCGAATAATTTTAGAATATTTTTAGAATACACATAGTGCAATGTGACGTTGGAGAATGATACTGTAGTGTGCGATTTGCATTCAAACAATATTCGAATAATTTCTCGGCAATCCGTGCGGGAGAAACGGATAGCCGAGTACTCGAATAATGCTCGAGTAATTATTCGATTAATACTCGAGTGATATTCGAATAATTATTTGAATACGTATTCAAGGGCGCGCGCTGTTCAGAATCAATATTTACAAAATTTTAGTTTTCAGCAGAAAATCGAATTTTCGCTCAAATTTGAGTTTTTCCATTAACAAAATTGATTGACATTCGCCTTTCAATTGAGCTTGACTAAAATTTGAGCTCATTCATCGTCCAGATGTGTTGATTCAAAATTGAATTTTCCGTCAAGTGCTCTTCACGTTTCAGACGACTTTGGAGCACAAATTGATTGAATTGATTCGAGCCGATGATTGGCTGTCTTGTAAGATTATTGACAATTTTCGGGCCACACGTCTGTCTGCGTCGGTCGGTGTAATTAGAGTTGCAGTGGGGCGGCGACCAATTTTGTTTGGTGTCTCGATCAGTGAAGCGAGTTTTTGCTCGCGTGTGCCGAAATTTGATCCCGCCGTCGTTTCATTGAGGCAGCAGCAACGGGGATCCATCTTACCACCACGTCAGTGTACGGGTCTGGCCCGGCCTGTGTCATTAATTGAGAAAATGTGTAAGTGTGTGTGTGTGCGGGTAGAGTGGCGTTGTCTGGGCTGGCTAGCCTCGTGCCCAATTTTCTGTCGTCTAATTGAAATTGCAATTAGAGGCGAGAGAAAAGAGCGCCCGGCTGATATGTGCTATGACTGCCGCTTGTCGCTACTGCTGTCCGGCTGTTGTGATTAGAGGCGCGTCGAAATTAGGGTCAATTAGTGTGGCAATTTGGTAATTGCAGTTGTTCGAACACAAACTCGCTCCAATTATCGACCTCGACACTAATTACCCGCCACCACCACCACCACACCAACCATCATCACGACCAATTTTCCATCGTCATTCTATTTCTTCCTCCTCGTCTCCCTTCTTATTCGTCGTCTTCTTACATTCATTATCCAATCTTTAGTTTTTTTTGAGAATTATAACTAGCTGCTCGCCGAGTAAATTTCAAGATTTTTCGAAATAGCCAGCCATTTCTAGACGAATGACGTGTCGCCGACAAAAATCGTATATTTTTTCTCTATATATTTATTGTATGATATTCGTAATCAACTGAATATTAGAATTCCTAAATTGTCGGATTCTTCTCGCTTAGTGCGTAGACTTAACCCAATACGTGTCAGGAGGCGGAAAGCCGAAAAAAACATTAATCAGCGTGCTTTTTGTTTGCATTTCCAATGTCGCGCTCGTCTTCTGATTCATTTAGAAAAGGGCTTACCGATGGCCAAAGTACTCGACGGCATTTTTGTTTCAAATTATTCATTACTCTCGCCCGCATAATATTAATAATAATAATATTAATAATAATAATAAACCTGTGAGCAAATCTTTCCCCGTTTGAGGCCTACGGTAGCTAATCCGATTCTCGCCACCCTATTTTTTTTGGTTGGGCGGTGTGGGCTTGTGGACGACATCAATTAAACGGAGCTAGGAAGAAGCGGAGCCGCCGAAGTAGCGAGTGCTCATAAATGTGCAAATCTTTATTATTTCCATTTTGTGTGCATCGAAGCCTGAGAATGAGAGGAGAAGAAGAAGGCCCCCAGGAGAGGTACTTAAGCAGTTTGTAATGGGCCGATGTAAGCCGTTTTGGACGACGCGTCGCATTCCATCGCGATTCCGTCCCTCCATTCATTCAATCATATATGTAGGCACAAAAACCACTTTTGGCGGCCCGATTATGAGGATGATGATGATGATGATGATGTCCGCAAACATATGTCGTTTTGCACTTATCGCCGGCTTTTGATGTGAATTTGATGGCGATGATTGTGGGGTGGCGATTTGGGTGACAATTTGAAGGTCAATTTGCTTAATTGAATGCGATTTCCGATAAGAGGTGTGCCCTAATTAGAGAGATAGACATGGAGAGATAGGTTTAATTACCCGTCGTTAATTGCCCAATTATGTTGAGTCCGCACCTATGCGACCTCTATTGCATTTTTTTTTTCGGTCTCATTGAAAATTCATATTAATGGATTTTGATCTTCTTGGAAAATGCTAAAGGGATTAGTTTATATTATCCAAAAATTACCTTTTTGGGAACATTCGATTACGGTAGGTGAAATTTGTATTAAATATTTGTATCTAATGATTCATTTGACTCATTATAAAACGCGAAAGGATACTTTGGTGGTTGGGGAAGAAAAAACGCAGCTGCGGACAATTTTATGGTACTTATTGATCGAAATAATTATGGGTATAATTATGGTGTTCTAATTATGAGTTTTGCTTCTACCAACAGATGTTGGTCAATCTCTGCGGTGAGCGGAGGGGGAAGCCATGCATATCATCACTGTTTATCTTCATCATCACCAATTATGCCAATATTTGAAGGGGATGGGTGTCTCCCCCTTCTAGTATTCATGGTCCACTGCGAATGGTCTGCGTCTCCCATGTTCGGCTGAGTGGTAAGAGATGGAGGAGGAGAGGAAGGACCATTATGAGCACGACGACCCCACAACGACCACGGACAGCACAACGAGTTGTTGCGTCGTGGCCCTGGCCGCAGCTGTATTCGCCCCGCCCCCAATTAGCTAGTCTTAATCATCTGCGCGCGCGCACTGCCTCATAGATGAGTGAATGTGTGTATGTATATATGTGTGTGTGTATATGTGTTCTGCTGCGTTTTTATTAGTTAGGCTCTGATGAATGGTTGAACTATCATTTCTTTTTCCCTCGTCCCAGCTCTTTTAGTTGTCAGCCTTCTTGCCTTTTTTGTTTCTCCCATCACCATATGCATACTCAATCCATAATAATTTGGTGCCGACCTGTTCTATTATTAGGCGCACCAATTTCCAACTTTTATGATGACCGGTCTCGCAATTATAGTCGTTTTTGTCACCCAATCATCGTGGTATTCATAATTGCCAATTATCGTTTTGATTTTGTAGGCGACGGACGCAAACATGTACATTTTGGTGAACGTCGAACGCCACAAACATGTGATGGGAGAAATTGTGCACAATCTGGTGAGCATTTTTTTAGTAGCTCTGGGTCAAAAAATATTTAAAAGCACACATTTTGCATTAAAACATGTTTCCGAAAAATATGCACCATTCTACAAGAAATTTCGATGTTTTCAGAAAATGTACTTAATGAATCAGAAAATCGCTTTGAAACTCATTACTCAATTTCGAATTACTGTAGCTTAAATGATAAATGCAGAGCATTATTTATATTGCTCTCGAGGTGCCCATTTCCGATTTCATCACGAGATATTCTTCAAAACTCGCCAATCGCTTAAATCTTTTATATTCGTGAGAATGCTTTGCCGCAAATCCATCCGATACATATTTGATTTCAAGCAATCGGCGTACTTTAGTCTTCATTTCTCTAATAAGTATTTAATAATATTATAATGGGGGGAATCTTATTAATAACCATAATTGGAGCGTTTTTGTTTTGTTTGATTAGTATTGAATTGCGCACCAATGCAAGAAAAGGGAGCGGCTTGTGTATTTAATCGGCGCCGGGTCCTTGCCAAATATTATTATTTATTATTATTATTATTATTATCATTAAAAAGGGATTATAATACTTGATAACTTATTTTTCTTGCTCTAGGTATCCGAATATGGTGTGCCGATTTCGATTGTTGACAGCATTCAAAAGATTTGCCCCAAGTGCTCGGCGAGCAGCAGCGCGGCGGCGGCCGCCGGCGGCAGTAGCAGCAGCAGCTCATCTGAAGACGCCAAAAGCGATGAGACGACGACGGAGAATGACGGAGGTGGGTGCAGCGTTGAGTTCTATATTTGGTTTGCACACGCCGTGGAGAATTTTAAATCGAGTTGACGAATATGGAAAATTGGGGGGGGGAGCCGAAAACGAATTTCGCCCCTTCTGGAAAAGATATGAGCCCAATTTTTGAAACTGAAAACAAACCTTCTTTGGACTTCCGCGGATCATTGGGTTCTTTGATTGGGTTCGCGGTTTGTACACATCCTGGGAATGCTAATTCGAGATTAACTTGACTCCTCGGATAATCTTTTAATCAAACCGATTTCAAATAACCTAATCAGCTCTCGAAAATCTCAGTAATCTGCAATAGCGAAAAATTTTGCAGGAACTATACCGCAGGAGACGAAGCCTATTATAGCCAAATCGATTCCGTCGTCGAGATCCAGCGTTGTCGCTGAGCACAACTCAGAGCCGAAAGCGAAGCAGAGAAAAATTGAGCAAGAGGTCGCTTTTTGACGAAATTCGAAATTTGCATTATTTGGAAGTTTTTAGGCGACGCCCGAATTGGAGGACCCTTCATCATCATTCACCGATGTTTTCAAATCGGCCGCCTCATTCAAAGATGCGTCAATTCTCGAGAATGCCATTGCGAATGCGTTCCAAAATAGGTAATCCTTCGACTATTTCATTTTCTCGTTCGATGTAAATAACGCGTCCAAGTTTTAGCCGCAACAACGGATTAGACAAGCCGTTTTTCCCAGCGAAAACGTCGGCGGGCAGCGACGACGGCAATTCGAATTCGAGCAATTTGGATCAGGATGACGATGATTATGTAGGAGAATTTTTTCGTTTTTTTTTTCCCCAATTTCGCTTTTTTTTTTAGAATTCTGGATTATGCATTAACCCGCAGCTTTTGGCTAGCTTTATCTCATCGACACCCAACATATTTGCCACTGATTTGAATTTATCGACGCCGACGACGCCGAATAATGAGAGGAAGGTGCCGATTAAGGATATACCGCCGTGTTGTACGTAGAGGATTACCGAAATATTTCAATTTTCCGTTTTTTTTACAGTAAGCACTAATGGTAAATTCCGAAGGGGACGAATCGTTTACACACAAAATGAGCTGGTTTGGAAAAAAAGTTTCCAAAATAATAATAATTGCATTTTAAGGACGTTCTTGAGAAGTATTACTCTGAGGACCCGAATGCTTGTGCGGATTTGAAGAAGCGGGAGCAAATGTGCAATTTGTTGAATATTGATTATCATCGCGTAAGCTTTTTTCATTCTTCTAAGCAATTCCTTCAATCCGTTCGAAATTTCAGTTGAAAGTTTGGTTCCAAAATCGACGACGAAAGGACAAACTACGTAACAAGAATGATGATGAGGAAGTGCATGAGCACGGGAGTCTCATGGATCTGCTCGCCGCATAACATATTTGATTCGATCTCGATCTTCTTCAATTTTTGTTCGAATCCAATATTCATTTTTTTTCGGTTTCTACGGAAACAATTACCAGGAAACTGTTCGGTTTTTTCTTATTGGCGACAAGATTTTACTATTTTCATATTTTGTTGCTCATATTCATATTAGCTTTAAAGATTTACGTAGAGGTTCAATTGTTCATACATAATAAAACAAATAAGCATATGAATCTTTGGCTTTTTGTTGAAGTTTTGGAGAACAATTAAACGTTCTTGTTTCTGGTCACATAATTAATAAGATTGAGAAGTGATATTGTTGTCGGAGACAGACGATCGACGGAATTTCAACGAATTTAGGCCAAATACGGTTCTGTTTTTTTTTGCCGCAAGGTAATAATTCGTGCATGCGCCTTGGATGTATACTGTAGCTTACCTCCGCCTCCGATCATTCGTATGTGACAATATAACATTAAATAATCAGCGCTTCTTAAAATTTAGACCACGAATTTTAAACTTACTCAGATATTCGAAAAGGACGAATCGCGACTGATTTTTAATTTAAACATTGGAGTTCCCAAAAAATTCGCGATTTATCCCAAAACATTTTTAACCCTGCCAGTACGACACTCCAATTACACACAACCCTCAGTTTAGCGTAACATACTAAACCGTAGGCGATTTATGTTTAGATTAATTGAATTTTTCAATTTTTGTGCCAAAATTTTCTGCCGGTTATTCGAAAACCAAAAAATGTCCGCTTTTCGTCCCGATCTTATCTTTGAATTCAATTTTCAAATGTTCTATAGTTAAAATAAAACATGCAACGAAAAAATATTAAAAAAAAAAACTTTTTTTCACATTCTACAAGTTTCAAAGGCTGAAAAAATGGAATAAAAAAGATATTGTTGGCGTCAAACGACTGAAATTAGGAGGAGCCTTCAAATTCGGGAAATTAGTGTCGATTTAAATGTATAGTTGACTGGATATTAAATGCGCGTAAACTATAATGCAATGTACGCAATCTCACTGCCTCGAGACGCATTGGCACAAAGCCAATCATTTTTTAAATTTCGTTAAGCCGACGATAATTTCTTGAAAACCTGTTCAGAACTCTGGTAGTTCAAAGCTAAATTCGAATTGTACAAATTTTACAAATAAATTCGAGAAACTTCGAATCGGATCCAATTCACAAATAATCTCCTCCGAAGAATAATTAGTCGGTTTCGACAATTTTACAATATTATCCGCAGAATCTTAGGTCGGTCATTTCATGCAAGGAATTTTCTCGGATGCGATTGATTATCGTAGATTACAAAAAAAAATTCAAAAAACAGTGAAAACTGGTCGTTTTCCTTCTCGCTTAGCATTATGGACTTGTTCTAAAAAAAAGTGGAAAAATCAAACTGATTTGATTATCGTTCTCCGGTGACTCAAAACCAGCCGGAATCTGATTTGGACAAGCTCTGGTAACTCAAACCCCATTGGATCCGACAAATACCAAATCCGATCCGACAAGTTACCAATCAGATCCGAAAATACCCAAAAAACCGATAGGATCTGACAATTTTACAATCTTATCCGTAGAATAACCAATCGGATCGGGTTGATTCCGGAGCCGAATTTTGTCGGATTCGATTGGTGTTGAGTTACCAGACAATTTTACAATCGGATCCGAAAAATAACCAATTGGATGCAATTACAAATCGGATTCGACAATTTTATTATCTTGTCCGTAATACTACACGTCGGATCCGACAATTTGATAATCTTTTGAATAATAATTTCAATTACACATCGGATCGGATCAATTTCAGGGACGAGTTTTGTCGAATTCGATTGGTAATTTTTTTGGATTCGATGGTATTCAGGTTTCAGAGTTGTGCAATTCTTTTCTTTTTAGCTGAAAATTTATGATTACACGGATTATTTTATTCTATGCGAATTCCGTTGCAAATCGATTCCGACTATTTTCAAAACGAATTACCAACGAGCAGTCAAATATTATAATTTCACTATCTAACACGATCAGAGTCGAACCGAATTCGGTCATTTTCGCACTCCAAATTTTTTCGTATTCGATTCAAAGCGAATTGCGACATCTTACAATTCAATTTTTTTTATTTTAAATTTTTTAAAAATATTTCTTCAAATGGACACTTTTCAATTTTCTCTGCCCCATATTACATAACGGCGTGAAAATCGCCCAATGAAAACAGTTTATACTTCGAATCGATTCAAGACCAAGAAAGAAACTAAACTCCATATGTATAAAATACCAAAAAAACGGGGAAATTTTGGATAGATGGGAGCAAAATAACAAAAACAAAGAAAAAACGAAGAATCACATCCAATTCAAGGCACAGCGCTGAAGAAATTAAACAATGTCAGATGACTCGTAACTCTCTAAATCGGGGGGACCATTTCTTAAAGAAGAAAAGAAAAACAAATGGTGGTATGATGATACATAATACATATATTAAATAAACACGATATACTCTCTGGAAACGTTCTATTAAAGGCGCAACCCGTAGTTGGACTACTAAAAATTTCGGACACCTAATAAATAAACTATTTGGAAAATCAAAAGAAAATAATCAACACCACAACAGGATAGACGACGAAGGAGACTAGCAACGGGTTAAACCACCAGAGTTTTAGCACAGACACGGTAAAGTTACAGTATGTATAAATATGACAGAAGCTTGAACTATTTTAGGAATCTAATTTCGCCGATTTCGGACTCGGCCCGTCGCCGGGCTCCTCTTTCACCGACGTCGCCTTGTCGCTTCCCACGTGAACCTCGACAACATCGCGCTTCACCGACTCATTCAGCGACAATTCCGATTGCGGAAGGAAAATGTCATTCTCATCGAGAATGCTCATAATCGCCGTTTTCACCGACGACGAATATTCGGCGCTCGACGATTTCCCTCGGCGATGTCCAGCGCCGGGAAAACAAATCTCGAGGAGGCTTTTGTACTCCTCGCGCAACTCGTGCCTGCAATTCGTTATCCACCATATATGGGCAAATGTACACATTCAAATGCGCTTACGCATAATCGTGCGGCTCGGTAGACATGTCATTGTGCACTTCCTTAATGTGAGCCGATGCCAAATATCGCCGCGTGTAGCTCGAACCGCATTTTGGACAACTGAATAAGGTAGAAATTCGTATTAGTTAAGAGAGAGAGAGAGAGACGGGGGGGAGGGGCAACCATAAAATATTCACACCTCACATAATTATTACCTACTATTTAATTAAGTCAAGGAGCACAGGGTGTAATTAATGAGCATCTGTTTGCTATTGCTTTCCAGGTAAACAACTCTTATTATTGCGGATTAGGAACTTGAAAAAATGCATTCATGAATTGAACGCGGGAAAATCGAACCTTCTTCTCAAGGACCAGATTTTGTTGATCAAAAATCATTCAGATATATATTTCTAATACAAATCCCCCCACCAGGTTGTTTTTTTTTCCAATTACAATTAGTCCGATTCACACCAACAAATGAACAAGGTCAACAACAACCCACCAATACTGTTTTTTCGACGCGTGAAGGCGCGCATGTCTCGACAAATGATTCAGAAGATTCGCGTATTGGCCGTGCCGCGATATGCATTTCTTGCAGAGTTGACATTGGAATAGTTCGCCGAACGGCTCCTCGTGCTTCGTCTTCTTTCCACCACTTTTCGCCTCATTCTGAAAAAAAAATGCATCAAAATTTCAACGGGATCGCGTCGAATCATGCACCAACCTGCTTCGTCTGATCGAACAACTCTAAAGCCTGACTCAAATTGAAGCTGTCGGTGTCCTCTTCAATATCGCCAGTCATATCCGGCTCATCGTTTCCCTCATCGCTCGGCTCTTCTTTCACACTGACTTCTTCGTACTTCGACGATGGAGCGTTGGCCATAATCGGGGAGACATTGTCATAAGCTCGCTTCAAGTACGGCTGAAAAAGACACCACATTGATATCGAAACGAATTTTTTCGCAATATTTCTCAACGGCAAGGTGAAATTTGGTGTCTGTGATTACACATTTTTTTGCAGTGTTTCCGTGATCTCTCTTTATCAAAACTTCTCTGATTAGTTGTGCCCCTTTTGTGTGTTTCAACACACCGTAGGAAAAATCGGAAGAAAAAAAAAAACAAACACCGCATTGTTAAACTCTAATTTCCGTCGTTTCCGTCGCGTGGGAAAATTGTGAAAAATTTATAATAGCGGTCGGAAAAGAATTTCTGCGTTCTAATGCTCAAAAAAATCCAAAACAAAACGCATTTTCAATTTTTCGACAAATAAATTACCGTAGTCCTATGGGACTATTATTCAATTGCATAGAACAGAAAACTAGTATGAGTTCTTAATAGTTTTTTAAAGGATGATGGCACGATGCGCCTTTAAAAGCAACAAAAAACAAAAATTCTTCTACTACCCATTTCACTATCAAAAAGAAATTATATGTCACCTTTGAATTCTGTTTTATTGGTGTTGAACAGGTGAACTCTGGCGGCGGTGGTGGCGCATCAGCAGCGGCGCTCGACTTCTCGCAAGTCGGACACAAATTCTCGATGGTTTCACCGATGGATAGCGTCCGATGACCATGGGAGAACTGCAATCACGAATTTTAATCTCTTTCAGAAAATAAAACCGATATTTTTTTTTGAAAGTTCTCGATGGAACACACACATACACCAATTGGTATTGGATTGCTGCTCCATAAAATTTTATTTTATGTTCAAGTGGAGAAACCTGTTTGTAAAGAAGAAAAAAAAACATGAAAAGACGCGAAATTTCGCCATTCGCCGCCTGGAACACATTGGTGGATCATAACTCGTTCAGAGTTTTTGATACCGAAAAAACAATGGGGAGATTTTGGGAAACAATGATCTTCGAATATAGTAGATTAGCAGAAAATGGGATGAATTGAACATTTTTCTCGACATTTTCATGGACTTTTTTGTAGTTATTTCCGGTTGTAAATCGGTCATGCGTCTTTAAAATCGCATTAATTTTGGTGTAAAACGCAATTTGCCGCAACAATTTGTAACCTTCGCGCCCGTGAAGCGTTTCAAACAAAGCCGAAGGGCAACTAGTAGAAAAACGAAACCAGAGTTTGTGATGATAGATTATCATCGTTTTCCGCTCACATCGCAAATCAATATAGGCGTTCGAATACGAAAATGATGTGAATTGGACGAGAACGCGAACGTTTATGAGGGATTCTCAACGGAATTCAACCAACAATCATTTCATTCTTTTTTTTTCAGAAAATGCATTCAATTGCACTTTTTTCCATAAAACTATAAGAGATTATTGAAATAAGAACCAAATCCGTTGAAGGCATTGCGTCATTAAAAGATTTTTTCAGCGAATCTCTTAAATATTGAAAAGATCACGCACGATGATGGGCGGTACCGTTTCAAGGACGATTTGAGTTTAACCTAAATCGGTCTCGAAACGGCGGCAATTAATGACGTGGGTGGCCATTTCATTAGTGTGCAAGAAGGGGCGTCAATTTTCGAAAGTGTCGAATTTCGGAATTTTTGAAAGAAAAAAGAATTTTAAACAATAATTTTTTTTTCTCAAAAATTCGCTGCATTTCTATTTTTCCGAGAAATATTATCAGCTGCTCGTTCGAACTTGCGTGCCAACTTTTCAGCTTCGAAAGGGTGCATTGTTATTTAATTACGAAAAATTCTCGAGCCGCGACGGCGGTTTCAAGAAGAAAAAAAATATAGCACGACCAATAAAAAATTCATAGAGCCAGTTTCAAATTTTTTGGCGAACAAAAAAGATTGATGCCATTGAAGGCACTTACCAATAACTGTACAACACTCTGCAGCATCGCCTCATCCTTCAAATTGAGCAGCACATACATGCCCTCGCCACCTGAAAAAAAAAACAAAAAAGTGCGAGAATTTCAGAATGAAAATAACAATAATAAACGAGGGTGCAATTTGCGCGAAATATCGCACTGAACTGCAACATGTCGGTGGGCACGAAAGTGAAAACCGGGTTGGGTGACGGAGGAGAAGGCAAAGAGCGGCGACCGACGACAATCGCCAACCGCCGGAACAGCAGCAGCAGCAGCAGCAGCTACAGCCAACGAAAACCGACTAGCCAGCAACCACCACCACCAACACTGATTGGTGATAGGGCATTTGCGGGACGGGGCGGGGTGTATGTGTGTGTGTGTGTTTGTGTGTGCGTCGATGAGTGCTTCGGCCCCGGTGTGTTGCGTCTCTTCAGATCTATACGTGTGCGTCTATGTCTGTGTGATAACGGGGCGACAGAGCGCGCGCCATCTCTGCGCCGCCGCCGCCTCGCTCCACTACTCCAGCTACCAGGGGGCAGCCGCCCAAAAATCACGCCCCGAAGCGTCTATTAACCAAACATAAACACTCACACAGACGGGACGCACACACACACACACACACACACATACACAGACAGACACCCCCACCACTGTCGACTCCCTTTATCGAAATGTGACAGTTTTTGGTGGAATGCAAACCGTCCCAGAAACCTTGAGCGAGGGAGGGAGCCACCTTTTTGGAAAGTCGGACATGACTTGAAAACGCGCACCATTTCGCGATTTTATCGCCGCCCGATCTCGCTTTTTTCGGTATTGGCGGTTTTGATGAGTGGTATTCGCGGCAGGAATGAATTCTTGAAGTGACACTTGCTTATTGAGCTGTTCCGCGATGTCAGCTGTCAGAGAACATCTAATAAACGTGTTCCGAACAAAGAATAACGTATTACAACGATACCGCAATTGTTTCATGGTGTTCAAGAAGAATAAATCAGGAAAAAATAATGAAAATTATTTTCGAAAAAAAATGGTGTCGTCGGTTAAAATGCGCCGTCCGCAATATGACCAGCGCGGTGGTTGCGGAGTTACAGTACCACCACGCTAATTTTAAATCATTGTTTTTTTTTTTCAAATTTTATTTGTTAAAATGTTTCAAAAAGGCAAAATTCCAATTTTCAGGCAGTTTCGCGTGTCGAATGATCGTGATAATGGGTAATTGGCATATCTAGGTAGCAATTATATCGTATGGAATCATGAAACTTTGCGAAAACTGAAAGTGGCAGAGGGAAAAATTCATATTTTTTTAAAAAGGTGCATGAGTCAAGAAAATTGTATTATCTCAATTTCGATAAGCGCAATTATTTGTGGCGATATTTAAAGTGTGACCAGGTGTGTTTTTTTTTTAGTAGAACACCACCACCAGACTTCTCACAAAAATTAGGAGATTGGATAGGAACGAGAAATGTGGTGATGTAGCGACACCAACGTCACCACTATCTTCGACATCTGCATCATCATCATCAGCAGCAGCACGTTCAGCGAAGAGAGAAACGACGAGAAGAACGCATGGCGCCGGGAGGGAAGGGGGTGGGCGCGCGCGCTGCCAATAATCTATATTGAGGTGGTGGATGGTGGCGCCTGCGTCCTCCTGCATTCCGGCATGGCGTAGAGAAAAAATGGTGGGCTCGCTCGTCTCGCGGCGCCCCATCCGAAAATATTGCAAGTTGGCGGTGCACCAACAACATAGACACACACGCGGACACACACACACACACAGCGACACTCTTCACATATTAGTGGCGAGGAGGGAGGGCACCCTCTCCTCCCGTTGGGTGTAATCGTCGACCAAAGGTGTGCCGGATCGGCCAGCGTCTCGCCGCAATGGCGCACTATTTCGCCCAGTGTTTGGCCCAGAATTTTTGCTTTTTTTCGCATTTTTTTCGCCTCCCCCCCCACGCCACCGCCCCCTTGACTTACAACTACTTGTTCGCAATGCATTCGCCTCTTCATCTCCGCTACTCCATCTCTCGCTCTTTTTTCTCGGACGTATGTGTATGTCTATTTCATTTGGCGGGACATCACTGTCTGCTCTCTCTTTGGTTTTTTTTTTGCGACACCGAGGCGGCGGCGGCGGCGGCGGCGCATTGCTGCGCCCCACCACACATACATACATACACACACCCAACGGTTGGCCAGGTCGCAAAACCCTCTTCCTCTACCCTTCCTCGCCCTCCCCCCCCCCACAAAAATAAATTTCGCTCCCGCGTGTCGAACAAACGGGAAGGGCGCATTTTTGTTTGTTCTCGAGTTTGAGGAGAACTGAAATAAGAATGAGTGTGGAAGTGGAGGAGCGAAACCTGGCTGCACAATCATTTCCTAATTTGTTCTAACGATTTTCTAGAGGGGGGTGGCGGACGATCACAAAGGAATTTTTAGGGTATGATGGTTCTAATTGAATGCAGAAAATGCTCTCATTGGTAGATCATGGGTTGTTCAAGATGTCGTTTCTCTTTATCTCTTCGCCTAGAAATTCTAGAATTGCTCACATCAAACAAAAACAGCAACGATAGTAACAAAAAAAATCGATTTTTTGGAGGAATATTGGCGCAAAACACAAGAGTTTCGGATGGGAATCGAATGGAATGGTCGGTGTATATTGTGTGTATGTATGAGTGTGCGTCTATTGGGTGAAAAATGTAGTGTGGGCGGCAGGCAGGCAGCGGCGGCGACGGCGGCGGCGGCGCGAGTTTTGCCTCCCGATCGCCACCCATCAACATTGCTGCGGGCTCCCACCTTGTCGCTGCGTCTCCATCGAATGGTGTACACTCTCGATCACACCCTCACCAAACATCGACGCCGCTGGCTTCTCGCGTACGCGCGTGCGCTCGTTTCGACATTTATTCCTGCTGCTGATCAAGAGGAGAGGCATTGTGGTGAAGGGTGGTGTCGAGGGAGTGAAACATACCGCGTCATGGAGAGAAAGAGGCGCACCTGACATTTTCGCCCCCCAATTCGTTCATTTTTTTCTCGTCTATGATCGCAATTTTGCCCTCTTCTTTCTCTCTCTCTGACTTTTTTTTCTGGCCGCGCCATCCAAAATTGACCATTTTTCACGGTTCACACCATTTTACAGTTTGGGGACGCCGTCGCAAATTGCCCTGACAGCGGCGGGGAGTCTCGCGAATTCCGAACCAGGGATTCGAATGACCGATCATGGGTATCGGGTCTCGAGAAGAATGCTGACATACGGAATGGGGGATGGATGATTTACGATGCTCTTTGGGTGAGCATACGGTCGCCTTCTTCGAAGATTTTTATCAACATTCTCACCTGCGGACATGTTTCGAGGTTGATGACAGCGCAGAAATTTGGATATTTCAGAAATGGAATTCACCAAAAGAAAATAAGAAATGACTGGGAATTTTGTGGGGCGAACAAAAAAAAAAACTAAAGACAGGCAGCGGAATATTTTTTTTCGGCGACAACCGTATTGATGCGATGTGAGCGAAGAGCACCCCCCCCCCTCACTCTACACGCTATACAACAAAATCAATTTTGTCGGAAGCCGCGGAACATCGTCATGTCGTCGGCGTGGTGTACAATTCAATATGACTGGGCGAAAATCGATTTTTCGAGGGAATTGAAGAAGTGCTTCAGGAGCTTAGATCTTCCGATGATACAAATGGCAAAGAGAAAAAATTCAAAATGAGCAATTAGCCGAAAAATTGCACCAAAAAAACTCAAAAGTCCGATAACCTCATTAGTCTTTATTAAAAATTATATAGAACTCATCCAGATTATTGCATTTTCACATTTTTGATTCTCATTTTGCGATCGCTCTCTTTGATCTTCTTCTTCTCGATTGCATCGGTTGCGTCGAAATCGACACTGTAGATGATTCGATCGGTGTTCTCGAATTGCGATTGCTCATGAAGAATTCGTTTGACTCGATGATCGAGAAGATTAACCTTAACCATTTGATCGATTATCGGATTAGCTCAACGAATTCTGCACCTTCGCCATTGCGTGATGGAACACTCGGTAATCTTTCTGAGTGTCCGGAATCGAGACGGGATGCGCGTCTTTCGGTTGAAGCAATCCCAATCGGCGTTTCGCCTTATACCGAATATGGTCAAGAATCTCGTAATCGTTCGTCTGACGTTCGCTGTCGTTGCGCACCTTCTCGAATTCGTACATAATGATTGTGACGTAGAGCTGAAGGATCATCTTGGATCCAAGCAGCATGTAGATGATGGCGACGATGGATCCAATCTGAGAAAGCGGAATAATCGATTGAATGTCGAATTTGCCCAGCATTCCCGCCAACGCGGTTTGAAACGAAGCAATGAAACTGCGATAGCTGAAAGTGATGGGGGGTGATGAGCACGATTCTGGAATTCTGAACGACTACCCATTGAGCTTGTTTCCAAGAAGAATGTACAAGTAGGAGTTGAAGGAAGCGCAGAAGACGATGAACACCACACAGAAGATGACAATGTCCCAGAGAGCACTGTCCAAAGTGGCGGCCAGCACACCGATCCTACGATTGAATTTGAGGATTCTGATCATCTTGCAAGACGTGAAGAAGACAGCGCCGGCGAGACAATAGGTGAAAGCGAGCTCGGTGTCTCGTTGCATCGACAAATTGATGTAGGAGTTTCCATTGAACTCGGTGAACTCGTCCATCGCCTGATTCGTGTACTTCTCTCGAAGAATGTAGGCGATCACCGAAGCGATGGCCAACACGCCGACAATCATATCCATCAATTGCCACGGGCTGAATTCGCTGAAAACACGGAGAAGAGAGTTGTTGGAAATGAGGTCGATGAGCGGCGTACCGGAACAGGAAATTGAACAGAACTCGGAATGGATTCCGCGTTTCCGGCATTCGCTTCAGCATTTTGTAGCGTCCGTAGACATAGCAAACAATTTCCTTGATGAATATCACAACGGAAAACACGATATAAATCGTCTGGAAATTAAAGAAAACTAATCGGGGGTAAAAAATAGAAGAGGTACTTCATAATAGGACACCACGTCGGAGCCACCATCGCCTGATTTGATAAGTCGAACCGATTCGATCCATGAGTTGGGCAGGTAGATTCCAGACTTTGGAATCTCAACTAGAAGACGGACCACCGAAAAATAATTGATTTGGGCGTTGTATTGTGAGAACTCAATGATAATGGCTCTGGTGTGCTGCAACAACAATTCAAAGTGATTTCATAGTTAGGCCTCGGCTTGCCGAATCAATCCAGGACTCATTTCGCAGCTTCCGGAATAGGGTCTGCATATCTTTCGTGGTCCCCGACAAGTTGATCGTGTATCCACCGCCGCGATACTTTCCCAGTGTTCCCGCAACTGTTCCAGCTGAACAATTACAAAGGTTAAACGTCTTCATGCTCCTCTCACTCATTAGCTCCTCCTCTGTCTTATAGGTGTATTCCTCTTGGGCGTCGGTGGTGTTCTCTCCGGTGAACTGCTCCCATCCCGCCTGCATATAGGTGGTTCGTTCCTCATTTCTAAACAAAATCAAATATTCCAAATTCGCCTTTTTCCTTTTCCTCTCATCTCTTACTCATCATTGATTTCCGTTTCACAACTATCAATGAATGGTTGAAACGCCTTTTGAATTTCGCATTTTGTCGATTTGCGCGTTCGCACTTGTCGAATTGTTCCGATTCCCATACTCCTCGAGACCTTGTCGTTGAGGAATGCCCGCATACCGTACGCCGGCTCATCGTCGTACCAGGAAACGCGAAGGCCTGTCGCCAGCGAGTTTTCGGCCCACGTCCAAAAATCTTGATCTGTGGTGATCGACAAAAACGAGCCGTCGCCATAATAGTTCTGATTGATGTTCAGCGTTAGACTCATCTGCTGCTGATAGTAGAATCCATGATGATCGCGACAATAGTAAGTGAGCATGACCATGATATAAAGCGATAAGAAGAAGCATATCATATCGCGGATTGTGATGAACAGCTGCTCATCCCTCATTTTTCGATCTTCGGTGTCTCGAAGCTTCGTCACGTCGGCGATCTGAGTTCCCAGTTCCTGTTCGACACGACCATATGGGTTTCCTGAAATTCACGAAGCTCGTTCGCCAATAATTTGCTTCCAAATTACTTGGGAACACTTCGACCGGTTTGATTGGAAGGAAATGCTCTTCGAGTTTTGTCGACACTTTATGACTCGGATTCCGAAGCAAAATATAAGCCATGATGATTCCCTAGAATATATGCGTTTCAAGCGGAACAATGGGGGGGGGGATTCGGAAAACCTTGATCGGCTCGAATATCACAACCCAACTGACGAACATTATTAAGAATCGAATGAAGAACGCATTGCCGGCATCATTTGAGAGATCCATTCCAGCCTGAATTGAGAGGGATTCGATGGACACCTTGAAATTTTAGCAAGCCTACAGTGATATTATAAATGGTCCCAAAGATGATAATGCAGAGGCAGACAGATCGCGAAATCAGCGTCACTATCCAAGGTTTCGATTTTCCAGGATCTTTGAACGCCTTGTCGGCCTTCTTCGCCTTTCGATAAAACCATTCCTCATGGCCCGATCGACAATTGTAAGCGATGATGATGTGAATTGCGGCGAGAATTGTCAGAAGGATGCCGTAGGCGAATCCAATTGGGATCTCAACACCGAATTGAATTGAATTGAATTGAGACTCTGACGACACTTACATCTTTTGTGCTGAACGTGAAGAATCCGAACTTCTTTGAATCTCCAATCAGGTTGGTGAAGCTTTCCTGAAAATTCATTATAATTTCAGAATACCATTTTTGGAAATGCTTACATGCTGGCAGACGATTGTGTTGATCACATTCAATAGGGTCATCGCTGTCGCAATGCTGATACTGTACTCATATCGAACGACCCGTGCGCGAACCCGATTCCCTCCGGCGGTGAACGCGGCGAACCATGACATCGTCTGTCCGAGCATGTGCATGCTCATCGATTCGTTCAGCATATTCCGTTTCGTGTCGACTCTCGCCAATCGCTCCGTTTCACCATCGCCATTTTTGGTGCCGAGCCAATTGAGAAACGAGAACGTATAGATTTGTTGGGTCTGAAGGTCTTTGACAATGATCCGATTGCAATACCAAGATTCTCTGTGCTCCAATCCAGCCTCTTCGATCCAAATTCTCATGTATTCCAGATCGCCGAGCGGGCTGAAAATCACAAATCACAACTAATTTGTTTTTATTCAGAAACGAATTACAAGGCAGTGGTCATGAGGAATCGCGATGATGTTCCCCAAATGAATGGATACTCGAACAGATCATCGGAGGTTGTCTTGAACGATCGGAAAATCTGATCGCCATCGGTTCCCGTCAAATTGAAGCAAATCGCGCTGTCAGTGGTGGCGAACATTCGATATCCAGTCTCAACCACAATCAGGTACATGTAGCCGTCAGCGGGCTCATTATCGGATAGGAATCGAATTTGCCCCTACAACATAATAGTGTGTCACAAAATTCTGTAATTCCGGACCACCTTCGATCGATCCTCTTTCTCCGATATCAAATTGAAGAGCATTAGGCCGGCGAGTAGAATTATAGTGAATAATGTGGCAAGAGACGGACGAATGTTTTTCTAAATGAAATCATAAGAAATTGCGAAGGACCACCGAGAGACTGCATAGATACCGGAATGATTTCGACATTATAATTATACTCGAAGTCTGTCGAAACTTCTGGCACAAACGCGCCGACTGAGAACATTGTCAGATGGTTCGTCATGCATCGGACCCGCTCAGCGCCCTCCTTCGGTAGAGGCGCCATTCCCATCGAATTGAATCGATCCTGCTCGTCGGTGTAGGCATAGCAGCCTTTGGTGATCACCTTGACACCATAATCCATTAGCATGTCTGAACAAGTCGAGATTTATGAATTGACAAGTATCCTTGATTTCACTCTTCTGGAACGTCCATCGTTTCCCATCAAGCATTCCATAGTCGACAACTTCTGAAGCATTCGTTGAAGGGTCTACTCGTTTCCCAACTCCCAAATAGAACAATCCAGTGTTGTTCATAAGATTTCCAGAATTCACAAAATGTGTTGTTATCACTAAAAACGGACGGTCATGATTTCTTTTTTGCTGGAATTAAAAAAATTCTGATCTACCTGAAAGATTGTTCAGGTTAAATCTCCAATCGTGATCGGGATCGCGTGGTCCTTGGAGTCGCTGATACGACGCGAACATGTATGTATCATCATTCGGAGGGATCGTATAATCTTCCGATGCTGTCGCTTCAATCTGAATCGAATTATTCCAAGATCTCGTTCGGAATGTGTGCATGTCGAGAATCTCATAGGGTTCGTATGATTCCGGTAGCATGTATGACATTCCAAACGTGTTTTTCGTTCCATCACCCTCAATAATAAATGGTTCCGTAGTGTCGGCAATCCTCAAAAGAAAAAAATAATAATTTAAAATTCGATGATTTTTTGCTAGAATTACGTGTATTCCTTCTGATAAACATCCTTGATATGCGCTTCGAGACCACCAGAAGTGATGAGTAGATCAAAATTATCAACATACGTCCGCGGATTCAATTCATAGCAAATCTGTGGTCATTCTTTTATTATTCTAGAAAAAAAGGCGAATTTCGCTAAACCAATCCGATTTGCACAATCACGTCGTCAGTGATTTTCTCATGATTCCATGACGACACCGGTGTCGGTGGAATGAACTGAAAACCATTAAATGGAATCGCGATGATAATTAATGATGTCGAACCAGCCATTTATCGCACGTTTGAGTTTTTCCGGCCAGCGAGGCGGCTTTTCCAATATCGACGACAAGGCCGGTGCCATCGACGTTTTTCTAAAAAAGAAACACTGCCAAAAAATTAAATTGTTGTCATTCCTTAATTGGCCAAATAAAAAATAATAATTAAATTATCTAAAAAAAATATATCAACAATAATATAAAATGATTGAATTTCGCAAAATTTCTCCCAAAAATTGAAGAATGAAGCTGCTCATTCTTCTCACGATTTTACACGTCGGTTTCATGCAAGTCTGTCATTAAAATCACATTTTCTTCACCAACAACCTTCTTATTTTCAGGTGTATTCGATTTATGGAAGACTTCCATCAAATAGGGGGTAGGAATAAAAATTCGCAAAAAAAAAGATTCATTAGAATATTCAGATATGGATTTTTCGGCTTCGATCCGTTGTAATCTGGTAATATGATTTTTAGTTAATTTTGTTCAAATGCCAGAGCACGAACTCGCTTTTTCCCAACAACAACAACAACGCAATCGATATGGAGAACGAGAAGAACGACAACTACACAAAAGTGAGTATCATGTTGTACATATATAGCATATCCTTCATTTGGAAACCAGCCGTTTGCGCTTTGTGGCACTCGCCATTCAGAGTTGAATTTGAAAGCTTCGAATGCAGAATACGGAAGCGAAACGCGGAATTCCGCCCAACGCTGCCCTATTGAACGAAAATTTCGAAATCTGCAAATGCGCGTCGAACACCGAATTTGACGCAAATTTTCAGAAACTGTGTTGGTGTGAATATTTTGAAAATGCGGAATTGCGCCCAACTCTTTATGCCATCAAGTTATAGTCGTCTTTTAGACGTGCGCGGGTGTCCTGCGCAGTGGCTGAAATTTTCAAGACCTCATGATCGTAGAGATCGTGGGTTTAATCCCGCTCTTGTGCGAAGTGTTTTGCTGTCTGCGACCCCTTTCAACGCACACTCTCTCGTTGTCTTGCACTCTCTCTATTGTAAACACTATCTCAAAAAGCAGACAAAGCATATGATGATGATGACGATATCAGCTTCCGATACAGGTTGGGTAGATTTACGAGAATTCGTATTTTGCGTTTTTTTTTTCAATTTTTGCTAGAATTTCAAATCGCAATTTGCGCGCCACGTATCTTCGTCACGAGATATCGTCATAGCGCAACATCGTGCGCCTTTAATTTATTGTGCAGTTCAACCGGGAATCTACTACTATATATCCTCCCAAGTGTGCGCCTTTAACAAGGCGATTCATTTTTGCATCGCATTTAAAGGCGCATATTCAACAATCAATTTCAGGTCGACGACAACGAGGCCAACAACACCAAAGATCGTGAGGGAAAAAAAAACTCAATTTTTTCAAATTTCCAATTTCAGCAAAACCAAAATGAATTCATGCTTTTCGATGGTTATCAAAGGTATATGAAAATGATTGATCATCAAATTTATAATTTTTTTTTCTAGGGATGGCATTAAAAAATTGCAAACACCTTCTACCACTCAAAAACCGACGACAGCTCGACGAATGTCAGTTTCTTGAACGAATTTCAAGGCTTGGATTGATTTAAGATCATGCGCCTTTAAACAATATTCTGTTTTTTTTTTCTTTCAAATATTACCAGACAATTTTTAAAGGCTCATATCTGAAAAAAAACTAGCAAAATGTTTCACTCTTGAACTAATCGTCACAAAATTGCAGAACAGTCGATAACTTCCTACTATTTACGTAAGAAACATCTGTAAGCTCAATCTTCAATTTTTTGATATTTTCAGACGGCGCGGATGTCTTGTTGGCCCGGGAATATCGAAAAACTGGAAATATTGGTGAGTTTTTTGATGCATTTCTTTTTTTTTGGCGAATCGCATCATTTTTCAGACGAATTTGGTAAAACCGATAAGCGCTTCTGAATTTGAATTGCAATTTTCAGACGTCTCAAGTAAAATCAACGAATAAATAATTCTAGCATCAATTTTTTTTGCTATCGGTTTGAAATGCCTCACCGCAAAACTGAACGGCACGTCGCCTGAGGCGATCGCCCTCGCAGCAATAGCATTCTCGAGACTACCGAGAGTGGAAGCCATCTGATTCGCAAGATTTTTTGCCTGAAACCGTTTTGCAGTTTTTTTTATGAATCAAAAACAAATTACGATATTCTTCTGCAACATCTTCGTAACATAGTTGGCCCATTCATCCTGCGTCATCTCCTCGACATACACGATCTCATCGGGATTACTCGGCAGCACATTGTACAGATCATTGTAGTTATTCTTTGCATACTCGAGGCTTTTCGCGAGATCGCTTGACAGCGGATTCTTCAGCGCCGTGTTGATTGCCGTCGTTAGAGAGCCGGCAATCGATAGCAGATTTTCGGCGGTCTCGTTGATCTGTTTGTCGGTCATCGTCATCCCTTTTGCGTCGAGAAATTGTTGAGCGTTTTTCAGAATATCGGCAATGTTGTTTTGGGCTTCCTGATTCATCAGACTCTGCGGAACGATTTCTAGAAAACACACAAATCCGATGAGGGAGCGGGGATCAATGAGGCTCACCGATTTTGTTGCCCGATACTTCGCCTTCAGTCGTCACTTTTCCATTTTGAATCACATAGCCATTCGTCGCGTTTCTCACAATCACACCGCCGTCGATTCGCATTTTTTGGCTTTCCGAAAATTCAATAAAAGTGCTGAAATTTGAGACCTTGAATTATTGGATGTCTTTCTTTTTTTTTGCAAATATACGTTTGGTGGACTTCAGCTCCAGATGTATAAGTTCCAGCAGTCAATTGAATTCCGTATCCTCCAAGAGATAGACTAACCACCTAAATGATCACCTAGGCGACATTCCAAACATGGTCTTGTCACACCTTGTACTTTGGCGATCCGACAACAATCGTATCGGCATCGGGCTTGTTAAAATACACCGCGTTTTTGTCCATGGTCATCGTGTATCCAACAACCTCAATCCCATCGCGATCAGCAAACAATATCTGAAAGCTGCCGTCGCCTTCTGGATCATTTCTGGATCACCTTTCCCGACATGACGATTCCATTGTTCTCTTTGATCGCTTCCTTGATCTCCGACTCCGAATATGTTCGCGATGGTTGGAATGTGGAGATTTGAATGTCTCTGGCTATAACGGAAACCTCGGGAAGCACAACGTCTGTAAAATAAAATAATTCGAGGGCCTCATGAGCGCTAATCCGTACCCGAAATCCGAATAACCAATCTCAATCCGGAATCGCCGAAAGAATTGAATTTGATCGGAAGTGTTGGCAATGTCTCATCAAACACTTTTCGATCAATATCTAAAATTCAATTCAAAATATCTCAAATCGAAAAAAAATATATATTCGACTTTCAATTATAATTGGCATTTCCAAAAACGCGGCGAACTTGGAAACATCGGAGCCGTCAGATGACGTCACAGTGACGTCATTGGATGTATACGAGAAAATCGTGGTGTCAAATTTGACTTCAATGAATCTCCCAGTTCCATTTCTAAATTATTTGGATTCGATGATGTCTTGAAAATATGAATGACCCCATCGAAACAGAATATCGGATTCCATTATAGGTGGTTTGAAATTCCAATTTAGTCGATGGGAATCGTTTGGAAGCACTCATCTTTTGAATAGTTCCCGGCTCGATCTATAATTCAACATTTGCATATGGCTTCTAGATTCTCATGATACCGGCAATGTGTATTCGACATTAGTTACTAGCAGATAGAATGACACCGATGTGTTTGACTGTTCGACGGTGGCCACAGAAGTGTGATCAAACGTCACGTTCCACAAACTCGCTCGAATGTCAGTGAACGAATCGTCGGAAGTGAATATCTGAATGATCTGATCCGTGGATTGAAGGCCGATTTGGATTACCGTAGCACTATTCGGCAGATTGGCCAAAACGCGCGTTGAGACCAATTCAATTGTGTCGGGCTTCTTGAGCGGATCAACTGAAACTGATCTCGAATTTTTGAAGAAGCTCGACGTGAATCCGACAAAGTTCGACACGGTTTCGACCTGGGCAAAATCAATGAATCGCTCATTATTTGTTCGATATCATACTGAAACGGTATCCTTTTCTTCTTGAAGGTATGCTGCTCGGGTGTCTCCTGTCACATAAATCGTACTGCCATAGACGCTCATCTGAAACGACAATTTTTGGGCATTTCAGAAAGGTTTGGATTACTGTAGATCTCGGAGCAATAATGCCATATGTTGTGGCTTTGATGTAGCCATAAATCACGGAATGGGTGCCTTCGATCGATCCCTAAACGCACTGCTCATTTTTTATTTCCAAACCATCGAATTCAAAGCCAACCGTTTCTGAGACTCCCAACGTGAACACCGTACTTCCCTTCAGCGCCATATCCAATCCGGACAGGACTGTATTCATTGTCTCCGATGACGTCATGTCGACAGCGGCGAGTTCCTTGATCACCTTCGTCATCTCCTCAGCGAGCTTCGAGTTCGTGTCGGCGATATTGTCGCGCAACGCTGTCAGCACTTCCGACGGCGACAGCCCATCAACATTCGGAATCAGCAATTGATTCGATAGAATGCTTTCGGCAACTTCGGCGAGCTCGGCGGGATTCATTTGCGAGACCGCCTTCAAGAACTCGTCGGTTGTGTTCAATTGATGATCGCCGGTTCTGCTGAAAATGTTCGACACGCGATCCGAGATATTCTTTTTGAACTCTTCGAGTGCTGCTTCTTCTTCTGGTGATAACGGAGGTGCAGTTGGCAATGCAATCTTCAATTTCACCTTGATTTACATTCGATCGAGCCCTTCTCACACATACCAATTCTTTTTTCTTAGTAGTTGCACTTCCAGAATCTCCGCTACCATCAGATCCGGATCCATCTGATCCTCCAGAACCATCAGATCCAGATCCATCTGATCTTCCAGAACCATCAGATCCAGATCCATCTGATCCTCCAGAACCATCTGATCCTCCAGAACCGTCAGATCCGGAGCCATCTGATCCTCCAGAACCGTCAGATCCAGATCCATCTGATCTTCCAGAACCATCAGATCCAGATCCATCTGATCCTCCAGAACCATCTGATCCTCCAGAACCGTCAGATCCGGAGCCATCTGATCCTCCAGAACCATCAGATCCGGATCCGCCAGTTCCTCCAGAGCCATCTGATCCCCCAGAGCCGCCAGATCCATCGGTTCCACTAGTTCCATCAGAATCACCCGATCCTCCAGAACCGTCTGAATTTCCGGATCCATCTGATCCTCCACCAGAGCCATCTGAGCCTCCCGATCCATCACCACTGCCGCTTCCGGATGATCCATCTCCACTATCATTACCGTCCTCAGGTCGAGTTGTCGCACCTCCCGAATCGCTATCCCCAGAATCATCGCCGCCACCTTCCGATGTCTTCGTCGACACTCCCGAATCATCGTCGTCACTTCCACCAGATTCTGTCACTTTCGTGGTGACGCTCGTCGTCGTATCAACGACATGAACCGTCAGAATATGTGAAGCTTTCTCATTGGTTTCCAAATTCGTCAGATTGATTCGAATCTCAAATGTGCCGAGACCGCTGAATCCCGATGAAACTGGACTCAGCGTAATTGTGCTTTGGAATGTCAACGATCTCATAGCGCTGGTCTCTGAAAGAATCGAAAAATCTCGATGAGATCAAGCCTGTTGAAATCTACCAAATTTGAAGCAGCTTGATTGTTTCGCTTCCACAAATTCTTCTCCAGTCTGCCGACATTCATACGATATCGATTTCAGCAGAGGATCCTTATTAGGTATCGGATTAATAACGAACGTCGATGACGAATAAGAGATCGTCTCCTCCCATCCAATTCCGTCAAGCGTGAAATCATAATTGGACGTCGTCGTCGTCATTTCATCTCCAGATGGTGTTGTCATCGAAATGTCGTCATCTTCAGAAGTCGTTGTGCTCGTCCTCTCAATTACATGAACGATAAGAATATGAGAAGCTTTCTCTTTCGTTTCCAAGTTCGTCATATTTATTCGAATTTCGTATGTGCCGAGTCCATAGAATCCAGAAGACACAGGGCTCATCGTTACCACACTTTGGAATGTCATTGATTTCATGGCACTGGTTTCTGAAAAGAGCAATGGGTATTCATTCAGATCTGATCTGATCATCTCGTTAGCGTTGTCAAAATGAGGCTCAGGAACCCCGTTCTTTTTCTTTTGACAATGCTTCCAATTTTGAAACAAACCAAATTTGAAGCACGTTGAACGTCTCGCCTCAAGAAATTCTTCGCCTGGCTTACGACATTCGTACGACAGAGATTTCTGAACAATGGAAAACATTCGACAATTCCAATATGTTTCTTACCATTATCGGATCTTTATTCGGAATTGGCTCAATTGTAAACGACGAATCCGAATAATAAATCGTTTCCTCCCAACTCAAATCCTTCAATGTGAAGTCGTAATGTGAAGTCGTAGTTGTGGCGAGATCCGAAGAAGTTGTCGTTGTCGACGGCGACGTCTTCTCATCCTTTTTCGTCGTTGTTTCCTTAGGTTCTGTAGAAGTGACATCTCTAGTTGTCGGAGTAACGGATTCTGAAGTGCCTTCCGCTGCTGATGTCGGTTCCTCAGTAGAAACTGGACTGGTAGTAGTAGTAGAAGAAGAAGATTCCTTTGTCGGTAAATCTGTCGTCTGATCAGTTCCTTCTTCTGTACTCAATGCCGTCGTTGTCCCCGTCGTATCCGTCTTCTCAGATGTAGTTTCTCCACCAGTCGTTTCGGAAATCGTTAATGGTTCTTCTGTACTTATTTTCATTGTTTTGCCATCCGTTGTACTACCATCTTCAGAAGAATCCGTCGTACTACCATTCTCTGAAGAATCCGTTGTACTACCATCTTCAGAAGAGAGAGACGTCGTACTCCCATCCTCCGCTGTAGCAATCGTTGTAGTCGTCGTCGTGCTTCTAGTATTGTCTTCTGTTTCCGACATCGTCGTTGTAGATTCGGTCGACGTCATGCTGGATCCCATAAGAATATGCACAATGAGAATGTGTGAAGCGCTTTCGCTTGTAATCGGATTCGTCACATTTATCAGAATCTCGTAGTCGCCGGGTGCTTTGAAACCCGCCGACACGGGACTCAGTTGAACCGATGAGGTGAACGTGAGCATTCTGACAGTAGGATCGTCTGCAATATCCCAATCAATCTTTAATATCAATGAAAAGCTACCGTTCTTAAAGCATTCCGAAGATTTTGCCGAAATGAATGGTTTCGATGGATCATTGCGACATTGATAAGAAATGGTTTTCTAATAAAAATGTGAAAATTAAAAATATTAGTGACGATGATTTTGAATCTTACCACATCCGCATCTTTATTTGGAATCGGATCCATCACAAACGAAGAATCAGTGTAGTAGATAGTGACTTCAAACCCTGGAATGTTCTTCAGCGTGAAATCATAACTTGAACTAGTCGTCGGTGATGTTGTAGTAGAATTTGCTTCATCAGTCGTCGCTGAATCAGCAGACGACGTCGTGCCGTCCGTTGTTTCTCCAGTGAATTCCGTAGTGATTACATTGGTAGTGGATTCCATCGTTTCAGTTGACGTCAATCCCGAAGAATCGCCACTAGTAGTAGAAACAGAAGCATTCATTGTCGTCGAGCTGCCGTCTATACTAGTCTCGGCAGTCGTGCCATCATTGGTGGTGGTCTCGCTAGAATCTGTAGTTTCACTGGGAGAAGTTGTGGTTTCTGTGAGGACAGTTGTGCGAGTGGTAACGTCGTCATCAGAAGACGTGCTAGTGGTTTCAGAAGCGGTTGATGCGTCAGCACTAGTCGATGCATCGGAAGTGGTGTCAATGCCCGTTGTAGTGATGGTGGTTGAAGCATCATCATCGCTAGTGGAAGCAGGCGTGCTAATTGTTGTTGTGCTTTGATCAATAGGCAAAATGGTAAGCAATAAAGTGTGCGTTGCAGTCTCCATGGTGTCGGCGTTGGCCGCGGTGATTCGAATTTCGTATTCGCCGGGACCAACGAACGCGCTGTTCAACGGAAATGTCACCGTCTTCGCCCAAGACATTTGACGCGCTAATGATGCTGAATTCAAGATGATGATGATGATGATTCCTTGAATCAATCTCCATACTTTCCTGAATGCAATCCGATGATTTCGCCTCGACAAAAGTGCCCGTCGGAAGAATTCGACATTCATATTTGACGTCAATCTGAAATTCGTTTGACTAAAAGTCAACTCCAATGATCGATCATACCAAAAATACTTCGGGATCCGGCATTGGCACAATTTCCATTACAAACGATTCATTCGTATAATACTTCGTCTCAATCCATGTCAAATCATTGAGTTTAAAATCGAACGAGCTCGAACTACTCGTTGAGCTTATAGCATGCGTTGTGCTGGAAGTCTCTGAATCCGTTGTTGTCTCCATTGTCGTCGTTGTAGTCTCGCTGATAGTGATGGTCACTTTCAATTGCTTCGTTATCACTTCATCGGTAATCGCGTCGGTGACCGTTATCTCCATATAATACACGCCAGGCTCTTTGAATATATCTTTTACGGGAGCCGTTACTGACGATCGCCAAGTTAAACTCTGAGTCGTGCCAGAGCCTCAAAATCGATCAATGTATCGTCCTAATATGGTGTTCATACATACTTTGGAAACAATAGCCTATGGCCTCAGTTGCTGGTTTGAGTTCAGTTTCAGACTCTGGCCTACATTTATAGGAAGCAATGTACTGAAATTGAAAACTTTGCAACAATTCTGATGTGTCCTTCTAACCGGATTTGCTGTCGATGTCTCGATGGTGATATTGAAAGTGTCGTACCAATCAAGCACGATTTCGCCGGTGTCGGAGCCATCAAAACAAGCATTATAGCCTTCTGAAGAAACAATTCAGACTAGAAAATTTACCAAAAAAAAAACCTGGAGATGTAATCGGTTCCGAAGTGGTGTCTGAATAATGAATAATTATTTCGTTTTAACTATTCTTTCGGAAACAAAAAAATAGTCTCCAACCTTTTTCAGTCGATGTGCTAATGCTTATAGTCGTAGTCGAAGTAGCTGGAACATTGGAAAATAATAGATTTCAAAATTTGTTTTAAAAATGTTCATATTTCAAATCATGTCAGAATTCATTTTCAGACAACTCACAAGTCCCGTTGGACGACAACACCGTGGAAATGAATGTGGCTGAAAACGGGGAATAATACAGGGGGGAACTCAAAGAAACCATAATACACTTTGGTGATGTTTCCGAGGTTATTATTGTGGTCGGAGAAGTCGGTTGGGCTAAAATTGAAACTAAATACTGGGGGAAGACTGAAGGGGGATAATACACGAAGATTCGTGATCATCAGATGGCGTGGAAGTCGATTCATCTTGAAATTGTCACCTTGTCATTCACACAATACACCAAATCTTACCCGGTGACGACGTATCCAATTTTTCTAAAAACAAGGAATTCAAACTGAAAATGCCATGTGCGGACTGGATGTGAACTTACTTGTCGTTTTCGTTTGTACAACTTCGTCAGATGTTGTCGCTTGCGGAGGAGAAGCTTAAAAAAAAGTACACACGCGTTTTGGGCAGATAACACAAAAATCGCCGAGAATTCACTTACTATCCGTTGAGATTTTAGGTGTGGTTTCGATGGGAACTTAAAAAAAAACTGAAAATGGTTAGCATTTTGGGGGTGGAGGAATATACGTGTTGTTTCAGCTGCCGAAGTTGGTGAAGTCTGGTGATTCGAAGAAGGTGATGTCTCTACAACAAACAAAATCCCCCGGGTTACATCAGATCCCAAAAACCCAAGCGACAATTGAAACTCAATCCAGAAAATCAAGAAAACGGGTTTGGTTTGATTTGTGAATATCACACCATTCACCAACAGAAATCGCTATCGAAAATTTTGAGATATTTTTTATCTGTTGAATGTTGTACGGTGTTCATTCCTACATGTGACATTGACAGTAATATTTTGAAAATTGAAAATCTTCCCCCCGATATTTCGGACCGTATTCCGGAGAATTTAAGTCCGACCACACCCCTGCAACCTACGCGCTTCTGTCGTTGTTTCTATTTCAACTGAAGTCGATGTCGACTCAATAGGCGTACTAGTTTCCGGCATTGCTGAAAATTGCGACCCTTCCAACATCAAAAAAAAAAACAATAAACTCTCACTGGTAGTTGAGAAGAAGGAAGTAGTTGATGTAATGCTCAAATAATCGTAGATCAAATACGCTGAAATAAGAAGATCAAACGAATGGCGAGAGAAGAAATTGCGACTCACAACCCTCGGAAGTTGATTGTTTCGTAGTTTCCGCATCGGGTTTTTGAGTAGTAGCCTTTTTGGAACTTGTCTCTTCAATTATCGTCGTGGTTAGAACCGCAGGCTTCAGAGTAGTCGTTGTCGGTTCCAGAGTAGTCGTCGTGGGCTCTAAGGTAGTCGTCGTCGTCGGTTCCAGAGTAGTCGTCGTCGGTTCCAGAGTAGTCGTCGTGGGCTCTAAGGTAGTCGTCGTCGTCGGTTCCAGAGTAGTCGTCGTCGGTTCCAGAGTAGTCGTCGTCGGTTCTAAGGTAGTCGTCGTCGTCGGTTCTAAGGTAGTTGTCGTTGGCTCTGTCGTCGTCGGTTCGACAGTTGTCGTAGAAGTCAATTCTGTTGTCGTTGTCGGAAGAGTGTAATCGCATATCAAGTCTGTTGCCGCTCGCTTCCTCCTTCTCAATGATGTTTGACCTTCATCATAGATTCGATAGTGTCTGGCCTCGGAGCTCTATAAAAGGATAGTCCGTTATAATCCACAAACGCGCCCTATAGAAATGTCTCGTTGTATAGCGCCCTCTCACTCTCCCTCACTATTTCTCGCCCTTGCTTCTCTGTATCTCTCACAGGTCGCAGTCTTTTTCTCTGCGTCTCGTCGAAAAAGTACCTTTATCTTCTCTCCATTGTAGACTTCCGAATTTGGACCGAGTATTTTACTCTTCATTTTCGCACTGACGGAATGTTTTACTAAAAAAAGCCTTCAACTGATTCAATCATTCTTCTCTTCAATTTCCTACTTTTCCTTCTGCAAATCTTCACACCGTTCTCCAGAAACAACAATGATGGTCGCCGGCACTTCTGATCGCCTTCGACCACCGCCATCTCATCCTCGTCGAGTTGTATCCACTCCAGTTCAGATTGGCATTCATCATTGCCGCAATCCTCGTATCGAATTCCGGCTGCCAAGGTGACCGTGTCAACATCATCGAGATTCGTCACTCTTCGACCATCGTGCAGATAAACCAGAGAAGCACTCGCGATTTTGCAATGAAGAATCTGGAAAACACAACTCGATGAAATGAAAAATGTCAAACTTGAAATCTCAACCCTTTGCAATGAGCTTCTTCCATGATCGAAATGCTCGATTCGAATCTTATTCATTCCACATTTCAATTTCACCTTCAGCTGCCCTTCGCTATCCCGAGTCATTCCATTTATGGAAGTTTCTAGAAATTTTGTGATATTTGTGAATCACCTTGATCAACTTTTGCTTACGATTATTCTTCACAGTAAATATGGCATACTCGTCATAAATTTCGTATTGAACACAATTGATTTGAGACTGCAAACACCGAATTCCTTAAAAGGTTTCATTTCATCTTCTACTTACTATTGTTAATATTGATACGAATAGTAGTTTGTATATTAGCATTCTGAAAAGAGTCAGATTGAAAGAACATATTAAAGAAAAGGGTGGAAAAGCGAAAAAATGAAAATGCGATGCTCGGCATCGCGTAGCTACCAATACATCTCCATGACGATTACAAAAATCGAAATTTATTGCGGATGGTTGGCAACGAGGAGCATTCGCGAAGACAATTATGACGATGCGAAAATCAATTTCAAACGGACGAAAGTCGGCTGGCAGAAAATTATAGGTTGCTCGAATCGAGAACCATCAATTACAGAAAAGGGTCAAAATTTATTTCAAACACGAAAACGACAAAATTAGGTTAAGCAATCGATTTTCAATGTTAACATCCGTTGCATCCACAGCCGTCGTGTTGCTCCCTATAAGCCAATTCTCGCTTTAGCTCAATTTCGCTCGAAACTCACTTTTCCTGATGATCAGCATCGCCCTCATCTTTGGGCTTCTTCTCAGGAAGCGTGTGCCCACGACAATGCTCCGTCTCGTGCTCGTCCTGCTCCCATGTGCTCGGATCATCCCAACGCCGCGGCTTCACATAGATGCAGCAGCAATTGGACTTGAGTCGACCCATGTGCTCGTTGTCGATGACGTCGGCTGCCCAGGTGACGTGCGGCGGGCTCGCTGGCGGTCGGAGTCGGAGAACGAGCTGCTCGACGGGCTCCTGGTTCGTCGATTCGACAGTTAGGGTCGTAGTGGTCGCCGAAGACATTTTCGAAAACGAAATGAGCACTCGGATTGAAATGCAATGTGTGTGGGGGTTAACACGTGATGAGTCAAGAAAATCAATTTATTCAAAATTCACAAATACATACAAAACCAATCGAATTAAAGGACTTCTTTGGCGTTGAGGACACCCAAAACAGTGCCCTTGTTGAATTGCACAATATTCTCAGCAATCTCCGAAGCCACACGAAGTTGCGCGTCGATGGTAGAAGCGCCGAGATGTGGCGTGCAAATCACCAATGGATGGTCGACGATTCCGCGCTCGGCCGGCGGCTCTTGGGTGAACACGTCGAGAGCAGCGCCCTTGGCGTGACCGGCGTTAAGGCTCTCAAGAAGGTCTTGCTCGTTGACGATTCCTCCGCGCGCGACGTTGATGATTCTGACGCCCTTCTTGCACTTGGCCAACGCTGAAATCTTGAATTTAGTCAGTGTAGTTCACGTGATGACTAACTCTCTCTGTTGATCAGATTCTCAGTCTGCTTGATGAGCGGAACGTGCACGGTAATGTAATCCGCTTGTGGCCAGATCTCGTCGAGGCTCAACAAATCGATCTGTTTGGCAGCGGCGGCCTCCTTGGACACGACCGGATCAAATCCAATGACTCTCATGCCGAATGCTTGCATGCGAACCGCCACCTCGCTTCCGATTCGGCCAAGTCCCAATACGGCCAGCGTTTTTCCGAACACCTCCTCACCCATGAAATCCTTTCTCGCCCACTTTCCGGCCTTCATCGAAGCGGCAGCTTGTGGAACATGCCGAGAAAGGGAAAGAATCAATGTGCACGTGAGCTCAGCAGCCGAACGAGAGTTGGCTTCTAAAATAGGAAGTCAAAAACGTTGGGGCGAAAATTCCAACAAAAAAAAATCTTACGTGGTGTGTTCATCACAAGAATCTTGTTCTTCGACGCCGCTGGCACATCGATATTGTCGACTCCGGTTCCAGCGCGTCCGACAAGCTTCAGTTTTCCAGCGGCGGCATTCAGAAGGTCGGCGGTAATTTTAGTGGCACTTCGCACAATCACCGCATCATGTTTCGGAAGCGATTCGAGAAGCTGCTCCTTGGTCTGTTTCGTTTGCACGGTGACCTGAACAATGAGCGCATTTTGTTTTTGTTTGCCAAACGCCGACGAATCAATCCTACATTGATCCCGTTGGACTGCAACACATCGATGCACTCCTTCTCGATGTCATCGGCGATGAGGACGGATTTAATCGACATTCTGAAGCGGATAAAAAAAACAATAATAATAATAATGGTAATTGAATGCAACAATGACGGGTCGCCAATATTTATACTATCTGGATGGTCCCGCCCATATTCATTTGTCATCATAAACTGGGTGCGCAATCGTTGGGAAACTCATAAAAATCACGTAGGCAGGAGATAGTGTGATGTAATTTGATGATTTGATACAATGATCGGTTGGCAGACATCCAATAATGGAGATACTGATCTGCTCGATGGCCTGCTGACAAGAAATTGAGCGATGACGTTTTGATGAACAGCAGGTGAATGGAAAAAAAACGTTGAAGAATATCATCGACGGACACTTTTCTAATTGGGAGGTCTTTAAAATTGTGCTGAGCAGATTTTGGCAAAAATAATTTTTTTTTGCCTGACACCATAAGAAATATTTTCAATAAAATGCGCACAATTTTGCGACTAAAGTAGCCTTAAAATTTTTCGACGCGGAACACAAACGACAGGGGCCCCCTGATAAGGCAAATGAAGCAAAAATGACCACCACTGCAGCAGCGGCAACGCATTTTGGCGGTTTGCTTCCAATGCGTAGGTCAATCAAGCAAGTTTTCCTTCGCCCCAACCCCCCACCTCCTACCATTCGTGTCGGTCGGATTGTCGGTCAACACCGAGTGCAAAATGATAAGATTATACATTCAACACATTGTCGCGAAAAAAAATGGAATGGTGATTGCGAGTTAATGGTGTTTAGTGCTATCTGTTGGTTGTGTGGTGCATTGCGACAGCGACGATGTCAGCGACGAGCGGAATTTGGGCGGCGTCGCGGTTGGAGGCTTCTTCTGGAAATTTCAAAAAATTCCGGCAACAACAATTGCGATTCTCAAACTTTGCCGAATGTTCGCTCCCAGTAGCTGTATCGCGGCGGCGACGTTTCGGTATTCACTGATTGATCTTTTAACCATACGGAATTATTTTGTCGAGTAGATCAAAATCATACCATTCGGTCTTGGTGGCGGATTTGTTTGGGTGACTTGCTCAATAACAGAATACCTGGGCGGCTCATCTAAATCAACAGGTCCCACAATTACAGTTGGATGAGGAACCATATTCGGATAAAGATAGAAGGCGTTTGGATGATGCGGTGGAAGCTATGGACAGTAATTTTTTGGATTAGTGTAGATACTTACTGGAATGGAATTTCGAACGACTTGTCGCGAAATTGCCATGGACGTTAGCAGGAAGAAAATATCGAGAGCGATGAGGATGATTAACAGTTGGACCTTGTTCGATTCCTGGATCACCTTGCAAACTTCAATCAGCCCTTCTGCAGCTTTTTTTTTGATATACTGAAGATTGAAAAAAAAAACGCTACCTCGATTACAAATATTCACCATTAGATAAGCTTTTTGCTCGAAAATTAGCGAGAAATAAATGAGCATGAATAATATCACAATTCCAAAAGCCTGACGTAACAATTGAAATTGTTATTATGCTTTTGGTTTTAACAAACTGTGAACAGAATTAACGGAAGCAAGTAGATATTTGTGCGCGACATTATTGATATAAACGCGAATAACAGTGAGACAAAGTAAACGAATGCGATGAAAGAAATCGTGTCTGAAAACGAGGCACAAAATTATAGTTTGAAAATAATCATAGTTGAAGGGACCATTTTCGGGAAATTTGATTATAATTGCACACGAGATAATCCAATGTATCAACAAATATAATGTTAAAGCACTCTGAAATCATTCCATCAAAACTATCAATTTTCTGTGTGGCGAAACCTCTGTCGAGAAATAGTCGAGCACCGCAAAAATGTGCTCATGCCAGCTTTTCGGTCGTCTCGCCGGTGCTTGTTGCTCATCATCATGCGGAGCCGCCGCATTCGGTTGCTCATTTTCAACATTTTGATTAGATTGTTGCATATTGTCTGATGAGAAACTCGAAATTTACACAATAAACAAATGAATTAGAAATGAGCAATTTTTTTATTTGACATCGTTGAATAATTGCCGATTAATCGGTCGATTCTCGTTCTCACGTTCCTCGTTTACTAATCGCAATTTTTCCCATTGCGAATATTTCGGCGGTGGTGATTCTGAGCAAGATTTTTCGACGAGAGTCTAGAAATTGAAAAAGAAAATCTTGAAATTGGGTGTGCGAATTATACTGAATATTTTGGCGGACTATCGAAATTCCTTGTGACCACTTGATTTTGCATTTGATTTAGTGCCAATAGCCGTTGATAAATCAAATGATTTCTCATTATGAGCTCTCGTCGACGTCTTTCTTGGACATCCTAAAATGTTGAGAGTTCACACGAAATTTTGTTTTTTTCGAAAATCGAATTTAAAATTTTCAAATGCTTCAAACGCGCTCCATTGCACTAAATTTCCCAAACAAAATTTTTCTGTTTTCCGCAATTTGTTTTTTTTTGGCGAAATTTATAAATTGCGAAATTTTTAAAAAATTCTTGGGCATTTTAGTTTCTATTTTTTTTTCCAAAATCCTCATGATGTTATCAATAAGCCTCCTATTTAGCTAATAAAACACCACAACAGGAAGCTGGTACCCGAATTTCGTCGAATGTCGCCGCTTGATAAGACACCGAAGTGAAGCATATCATATTGTATATCAAAAACATTGTCGTCACAATAAGAGAGGTCAAGCGATTAGCGAAAAACAATCCAATGACATCTCGAACAAATGCTGCAAATCGAGAAACTCAAAATGTTTTCGGGATCGACGGCTAACTGAGTTGTCTGACATTCTGCTCATATTCAATGGGGAAAATGAAGGTAAGAACGAAGTGACAAAGAATGAGAATGTTTACGAAAATAGTGATTAGCTGAAAAAAAACGTGTACCGATGATTTTGGCAATTGAAAACCCCCTCACTAATATTAGCAAATAAGGTATGAAAATTGCTCGAACTCTGGTAATTGTCGCCAAAAGTCCAATAATTTGTGAAACTAGATATAGCAGAATTAGTGATGACACGGTTACTGAAATCAATCTCTTAACATAATTTCGCTTTTTTTTTTAATTTTACAATTTTTCTGTTGAATGGACATGACACCGGCCAAGCCGAGGCACCACGCGATTAGTAAATAAAATTTGAAAGCTGTCTGAATGAATGCTTCTGTTCGATTAATTTCAAAAGCTAGATTCGAAACACCTCTCCAAAAACGGCTTTTGACAGCGACTTTTTCCAATTTTTGTGATTTTCTCGTCTTATTTGAGCATTTCCATTACACGCAAAATGTCTGTCCATCTATTATAGAATATCTACAATATATGGAAGCTTATTTTTTCAAACCTGTGATTCCCCGATAATAATTAAAAAACGAAATCCGAGTTGTGCGAATTGTTACTAATTGTAATTTATAAATGAATCAAACTAAGTATTTCAATTCACGCACAAAAAAGACAATAGGAATCCAGTTCAAAGTTGAAACCGAATCCTGTTCTTTTTATCACATTGATAGCCAAACTTTTCGCGATTTTCACATTCATTTTCACTTATTCTTCTAATGATCATTGTTCCATTTCTCCTTCTATTTCCATGCGTTCTAACTCAAAAATTGGACCTTCAAAATCGCGGAGAAACGGATTCCGATGAAATCGACGATGAGGACGTAAACATCGAGAAATCCATGACAGATTTCCTGTATAAGCGAATGAAACAGGATTTTGGATTGAAAAAACGGTTCCCGCCTGACGTTTATTCCATTCCAGGTCGCAACTATCCTAATTATCATAATTAGTTTCGATAATTACAGGACCGCAAGAGCCATTGCCGGGAAGAACGCATCAAGGCGATTACTGGCCGGTATTCCCATTCCAAAATCAGTATTCTGGAGGACTTGATCTTGATCCTTCAATTTCTCGCGTTGGTTCAAAATGACGCCGTTGGGAATTATGAATTAATTTCAGCATATCGGAGGCGATATGAACATCGCTGTGCCTTCATGGGGACTTCTTGACATCTACGGCCGTTTTTTCAACAGGTCGGAAAATTTCGCAATTTTCAGATGTGAAGTTTTCTATTCAGAATTTCTGACACAACTACAAAACTCGGCTATATCAATCATCCGGTGAACATGATGGATCTTGAGAAGGATGACTTCACAAGGCTAATGAGCGATCCGGGTCTCACACACAACAGATGTAGATCATCGATGTCATCTCGAGGGGACCATAAATCATCGCGATTTCAGTAATTCATCCAAAACTTCCCCTTGGAAAACTTGCCAAATCGTATGTGCCTGTCAGCTGTAAACCACCAATGTGCAATCCGTACCAAATGAATTTAGGTGTCGGCGTATGTTTGATCTACCGAATTATCCTATGTGTAATTTTGTTTTATTCAATAGGTTGAGCATGATATTGGTGGGCACGATGGAATTGAGGGCGATATTGATGTGCCAATGCCGATTTCCAAAGGTCTCGCTTATCGATTCCCGATATCTGGAAAAGTTTATTACGGTATTATTAATATGTACAAGATTGTTGAAGAATATTATTTATTGAAGATCTTGATAATATTACGATTTCTTATGGTCAGAATTTGGCTCCAATCGAGCCATTCTCGAGTTTGTTCGATTATCAGAAACATCGCGATCCGGCGTTGGGCATCCCGAGAAGATTTGACCGAAGTGTTCCTGAATATGGTCCTTCTAAACCCATGTTTAGAAGAGGAATGAGTTCTGAAATTGCCCTACTTGTAGACTGTCGTGATTTTCAATATTTCTGAATTTGGATATTTCAGCGATACAATGGAATGCTGGAAGAATTGGAATTGAGAAATTTTGAGGCGCAAGTTGAAATGGAGGCACAGATGTACGGACAACTTCTCGGAAATCAATATCTAAGTAGAACGACAAGAAGAAATCCATTTAGTAGGCAAAATGAGTGCCCCTGCTGGATGCACATGCTTCAAAGAAATTTTCAAAGAAGACGCTATCAATATATGGTGAGAAGGAGCCCCAGAAGAGCACAGGTCAACTAATGATATCGACAAATGTTAGACAATTCACTGGTTTCAGTATATTCGATTTGCCAGGAACCCATATAATCAAATCAATTCTCAACAAGCACTTTATTCTCCTCCAATGACTAGAGTGAGCAGTCCAGCAATAAATCCCATATATGGTTATCAAAGAAGATCCCCATATGCGATGAGTAGAAGCCACCAGGTTTTTTTTGGAAAGAAATAATATTTCCAGTTTTTTCAGTATGCTATAATTCGAAAAATTCCGATTTACTATCCAATTCGTCAGGTAAACAAAAAATTGAACTGAACCCATAGAATATAGTTTTCAGAGGCGCCGACGTCATTTCCTAGTTCGTAGACGTCCAATTCAGCAACAGATTCGGATGCCTTCACAGCAGTTCGATCAACCGGATTCGATACCTCGAAACTTCCAAAAAACCTCAGAATCGATTCCTTATATTCCATTTTAATTCCCTTAATAATTATGATTATTTGTAAATATAATAAATGTTTCAAACAAACAAAAAAACTTGAACGCTTTGATCTGCCACTCGATCCGGTCTTTATCACCATTTGAATTCCACCATTATTCTCGTCGCTTCATTCGCATTGTTCTCGACCGCACCTAAATGTCGCCAGTCCTTTTTATATTCCTATTCCTCATCGATCCAGGTGCTACTGAGAATAAGCTCAATCTGCAAAATGAGGGGTCCGATGAGGAGGTCGAGCCGGATGACGATGAGCCGCTTATGGCAAAGTCGGTTCAAGATTTTCTTTTTCGAAGAATGAATCAGGATCTCGGAATAAAGAAGCCATTAAAGCCGCTTCCATATCGAATTCCAGGTTAGATCTATTGAGAATAATTGCTACTTGATGAAAATTTAAAGGAGCACAAGAGCCGCTGCCGGGAAGGTCCCATCACGGAGACTACTTCCCAGTGTTTCCGTTCCAAAATCAATTCTCTGCTGGTCTCGATTTGGATCCAGGAATTTCTAGAGTATCTTTTAGGATCGTTCAATCAAATTTCGTTTAATTTCAGCATATGGGAGGTGGTATGAATATTGCCGTACCAACCTGGGGAATGATGGATTGGTACGGAAGAGCTTACTATTCAAGGTGAGTAATTCAAAACCGCCCGCATCAGTGAATTGGATGGGATATTTAGAACTTCTGATACAACTACCAAGATTGGCTACCTCAATCATCCAGTAAATATGCTTGATCTTGAAAAGGATGACTTTGTCAAATTAATGAGCGATCCGAAACTTCAGCATAATAGGAGTAATAGCGAATAGCTACGGAACACCACAGTATTTCTGTTAATTGCAGAAGCTCATCCAACTATACCACTGGGAACTGTGCCGAGAAGGTACAGACCGATCAGCTGTAAGCCGCCGCTTTGCAATCCGTACCATGGAACATTTGCTATTGGAGTATGGATTCGATTAATATCACTAAAATCTAGAAATATATCAGATTGAACACGACTTTGGCGGCGGTGATGGTTTTGAAGGCGATATTGATGTGCCGATGCCAGTGTCGAAAGGAATTGGATACCGATTCCCGTTCTCTGGAAATATTTATTACAGTAATAGGCATTTCCACAAGAACCATATTAGTTTTGAAATTTTAGAACTTGCCAATATGTCGGTTTCTTATGGTCAGAATTTGGCTCCAATCGAGCCATTCTCGAGTTTGTTCGATTATCAGAAACATCGCGATCCGGCGTTGGGCATCCCGAGAAGATGGACTAGAAGTACTACAGAACTCCACAATAGTATGGTCAGAAGAAGTAGGCCGATTCATAGGAATCCGCAGATTGAAATGCTGGTGAGCATTTGAAATCAAAATTATTGGAGTGTGAGAAATTTTTATTTAAGCAATACTATGGAATGTTGGAAGAAATGGAATTGAGAAAGTTTGAGGCGCAAGTTCAGATGGAAGCACAAATATACGGACAGCTTCTCGAAAATCCGTTCAGTTCTTCAATTATGCCAAGGCAAACTCCATTCATCAATCAAAATGATTGTTTTTGCTGGATGCACATGCTTCAAAAGAATTATCAAGGAAGGGTTCTGCATGGAACAAGGAAGTCGAATACGGTATGGTTAAGAAACACATCTTGAAAGTTTAAATTTAACATATTTTAGTATCTACAAACGGTAAGAAATCCATATACTCGAAAGCGAAAATATTTGCAATATATGGAAACACCACAATCGTTGCAAATTTATCCGAAATCGTCTAACTTAAACGACTATGCGCAAATGTACGATTCAATATATCAACCATTCCCATTGTAATAACAATAATAGTAATAAGAGATAATAATGAAAAATAATAAATTTTAATAAAAATTGTTTTAAAAACGCGACTTTCAAACTTAAAAAAAATATTCGAATATTCTTTCTATAATTTGGCCGAGTTTTTGTCGTTGAATAAACTTCGGCCACGTACGATTATTTTTTTTATTAAAAAAAATAAATATATTTAATTTAAACGATTTCTGGATGTAAAACTAGTTTTTTATAAAAAAAAATTGAAGACGTGTGTTGAATTTAAACATTTCGGAATTGAATATTCTTTTTTTTTTTGAAAATTTCAACAACTGCATGTATGGTTTAATAAATACTAGATATTTTCCGAGTTTTGTAAAAATTTTTCATATTTCTGTATTTTAATCGTATTTCGTAATATTATTCAAGGTGCAATGAACATATCGTCGTTCTTGTGATTTGATCTTTGATTCGGTTGAATGTTTCTTTTCGCCAAACAGAAAATTGTCTTATCTTTTTAAAACAGGGGTTAAAAAAGTGTCAGTCATGCGTATTTCTCAATTTATACCAATAAGTGAGTTTTGAAATGCTAAAAAAATATATATATGTTATTTCTTCTTATTTTAGTGTATTTTTAGAACGATCAATCAGTGCGGCCGTGAGAAGGGCAAGACTGGCACACGGTGGTCTTACGAAATCGATCGATGTTCGAATTACTTCTTTTACTCAAACTAGACCAATTACTGATTATTCTGCTAAGGATAGTCGTATAAACTCTAGAAATGCACGAGAAGGTGGTATTTCAAAAATGGATGGGGCTTCGATTACTGCTGCCGCGCTAAAATCTCAGGTTCGTGCTTGAATATTACGATAATCAAATAGCGAGCATCTTGTGTAATCGTGGACCATCGTATTTTTTCGAGGTCGTAATTTAAGCTTGAATTTCCGTAGGAATTGGTGTACCTACGGATGACCTGCCCGAATCAATCCATGAGATTTTTTATTGTAATATTTTTTTTTAATTGAGTGATCAGCAACCAACTATATTATTCAAAATTCGATTATCTAGCCAGTTCTATTTAAGGGCGTTGACTACATGTTTGGAGTTGTGGGATTCCCGATTATCGAAGTTGGAATGGCAGCCCAAGCACACGGAATAAAATTTATCGCCTGCCGAAATGAGCAATCCGTGAGATCGCCAGAATCTTGAAATTTTTGAATGCTTCAGTTTAGGCGGCATATGCCGCGCAGGCAATGGGCTATCTCACTGGAAGACCAGTGGCTCTTCTAGTCGTTTCTGGCCCGGGAAGTCTTCATGCTATCGGTGGTCTTGCCAACGCCACCGTCAATTGCTGGCCAGTCATTTGCATTGGTGGAACTGCAGATCTTGCTCTTGAGACTCGCGGAGCATTCCAAGAATGGGTTCAGCAGGAATCGATTCGAAGCTCCTGCAAACATGTGAGTAGGCCAACAAGTCTGAACACGATTCCTGCACATATTGAGAAGGTTTGAAATCGTTTTAGTTTTTCTATTCAAAATCCAATTTAGGCGGTTCGTCGTGCTATGTACGGCCGTCCGGGCGCGGTTTACGTTGATCTTCCAGGAAACCTAGTTCTCAATTCGACTGAAGAAGAAGTTCAATTTCCTCCGCAAGTTCCACTACCACCACCAGCTTCTGTTCCCTCACCAGCCCTCCTTCAAAACGCGATCGACGTGTTGAAATCGGCTGAAAAGCCGCTAGTAATAATTGGAAAAGGATCAGCTTGGTCAACAACCGGCGTGAAAGGTGTACAAGAATTCATCGAGAAGTCGAAATTTCCATGGCTGGCGACTCCAGGAGGCAAAGGTGTCTGCTCTGATCTTCATCCACGATTTATTGGTCAAGCGCGTTCACTGGCACTCCGTGAAGCCGACACTATCTTTCTGATTGGAGCGCGTTTGAACTGGATTCTCCACTTTGGACTTCCACCGAGATTCCGAAAAGACGTGAAAGTGGTTCAAATTGATATTTGTCCGGAGGAGTTCCATCAAAACGTGAAAACCGAAGTGCCGCTGCTCGGAGACATCGGAGAAACACTATCCATGGTAACTTTAATGAATAAATAATTCGAAGATATTCCCCAAGGAATTTCTAGTTAACACCGAAACTTGGCAATTGGGAATACAATGAAAATAGTGAATGGTTCAACAAATTAAGAGGAAACGCGGAGAAGAATAGGAACGTGGTTGAGAAGTTGGCTGAAGATCATTCAACTCCTTTGAACTACTATGCCGCCTATCACCCGGTAGGCTGAATTATCCAAGGAAATTGTTGAATTTTCAACGATTCACAGATTCGCGAATTCCTCGCCAATAATGATGTGATCGTGGTGAACGAGGGCGCCAATACGATGGATATCGGACGGACTATGATGCCTTCACGGTTGCCGAAGCGTCGTCTCGATGCCGGAACATTTGGAACAATGGGTGTCGGAATGGGATATGCACTTGCTGCTGCGCAATGGGCACGCGATCATTCACCAACCACCAAGGTTCTTGTTGTTCAAGGTGACAGTGCCTTCGGATTCTCGGCCATGGAGCTGGAAACGATTGCCCGCTACAAGTTGCCAGTTGTCACCGTGATCATTAACAATAGCGGAATTTATCGCGGATTAGTACCCGAAGAGGATAAAGCGATCAACGGTGACAGAACTCTTGAGTGAGTTTTCATGGATTTTCAAACGCACGTTTAAATTGAGCATTTTAGCCTCTCGGTACTCTCCCTCACTGCTGAATGTAGATATGAGAAAATGTGCGAAGCGTTTGGAGGCCAGGGATACTTTGTAAGAAGCGTTCCAGAAATCAAGAAAGCCCTTGAGCAAGCTTTTCAAAAAACCGACGGCCCATCTGTGATCAATGTGATGATTTCAACGGATTCGGAGAGAAAAGAGCAAAAGGATCATTGGTTGACAAGATCGAAACACTAACACTTGTAAATACATATATGATTTATAAAGACTCAATTAAATGTAATAAATAAATACAAGGCGTTTCTTTTATTATTTTTTTTGTAATGCTCACGAATTTGCTGCTCAAATCTTGACTGTTGACGATTTTCCATAATGTTACGACAATGGCCATCGAACCCCCTATTCGCATTGTATTTTAAGAAGGGGGGCTCTCGACGCGGAAGTCGTGAAGTGCAATTACGCAAACATTCAATTTGACTCATTTTATTTCAACTTGTCTACCCGATTGTCATGAATCTACACATACTCACCATAATCTCATCATTACTCAAAGCTGGTATTCTATGAATTCCATATTATTGAAATAATTTGAAGTATTGAGTTCAGCGATCCCGTGCCGCATCGACAGCAACTTACATGGCTTATTCAAAAAACAATCGAATCGACTGATGACGACAGATGGACAAGGAAGACAATCTTTAGTTTATGAAGACGTAGGTTTTCGTCACGACAGGATTGGGATCCCTGAAATTTGCAGGTTTTGATCACAAGCACCTCAATCAGCGACTATGGGGATTGCTATTTAAAATATGGACAATCATATATATTTGGATTGAAGTAAATTCGCATAATTAATTCAATTTAATTTTTAATTAATTATTTAGAAGAATGGGAAAGCCCGTATGTTTTCGATGTCTTACACCTATATCACTCTCATCAAATGTTCTTCAATTAGCACACCAATATGGTACAAATATGATCAAACAAAAATTGGATGATTGAATTGTGAATCATTTTAGAGGAAACATGCTATGATACAGAAAGGGATGCCAAAATGACATGTTTCGACTCGTCTTTGGTGTCGGTGACCGATGGAGTTCTACTCTTCCGAAGCGGCACCGAGGAGCCGGCGAGCTGTAGTCCGATCGATGGACGATTCGATGTGGCCTATCGAATGAATGACGCTGTATTGAGCTGTGAAGCCAATCAAGGGACCACTGTACTCTTTGAAATATGACGCTTTTCCTAATTGAATTTCAAATTTAGGCGGATAATTGCGATGCATCGTCAGTGATCAGTGTGCATTTTCGAAATTGCAGTTTTCCAGATTTTGGTTTTTAATATAAATAGTCCAACTTTTGAATTAATGGAATAATTTTCAGATATGTCACTTCGTTGCATTGGGTCTTGGAGCGATCAGAAATCAAAACAAAACTATTTAATAGTGCAAAACGAGGAAAATGGCGAATATCGATGCGGGGTAATTCGACAATTTCTATCTATTCGATTAATCGTGATTTGATCAGATCACTGTAGAGGAATCCAACGTGAAGAAAGTATATTTCGGAAATGATTCGACTTGTTCATCGCTAAGTGTTAAAAATGCATTTGACACGTACTATTTTCATTCAGGTTCGTCAATTTCGATCAATTAATTTTTCAACATTAAATTTTCATTCTAGAAGCTCATGCGAAACCGTTCACCCCATGCGCGTTTCCGGAATGGATGCTCGGCGAGTTTGATACGATGACAGTGTCGCGAAATGAGCTTCAATATTTGCAATATCGAGTTGGTGCCGTTCCCTTGATTTCCCATTGTGTGCAAACGTTTCAAGATCGCGTTTTGGTATATTCTGAAACCAAGTGGTAAGCTCAAAATTTATCTAAAAATGTAGGACAATGCCAAATGGGAAAAGGACTCCATTTGTCACATTCAGATCTGAAATCAAGGTCCCATTTGGCAAAAATGGTATTTTTAAATAGAGATTGACCCCCTATTGGTCCCATTTGGGATTGGCCAAAATGTATTTCAGCGGTGAACCTCTTGGTTATCATTGCCTTCTATTCAACGCTAGAAGTCAGAATCTCATCGAGTTCAAGACCACAATCCCATCAGATAGTTCAAATTCATCAGTTTGTCTGTAAGTCTCATAATATAGCGTTTCAAACATTTGATTTGCGGAAATTTTCAGAAATGAAACCCAATGGGACACCATTCCTTGGACATCGTCAGTTGTGAAGAACACCACGCCATACTCTTGCGGGGTGTTCGGCTCATTTGCCACAAAAAACACTTCCGATTACTGCTATGATGTGAACTTTGATTGCGAAGACGGCACTAGAATGAGAATATCAGTGTTTAACTGCGATGATGGCATTCCGTTTGATTGTGAGATCCGGAAATCACAATCGCTGTTGATGATTCATTCTATTCAGCTCGCTCATACACCTGTCTAGCTTCGTGGAAACACGAGGACCGCCTCATCATTTATGCGACACGCGGAGGCGACGACAACGAGTGTTTTGTAAATCCCATTTTAGCTTGCTCATATCAATTTACAAATTTGAGGTGACTCAATACGAAAACGGCGAGTACCACTTCGTATCCACCGGAGATCAATGCGAGCGTGACTTTGACTTCGAAAACAAGAAAAATATTGATTACACGAGAATGGTTCTTTATGAGAAGGGTTAGTGCTGACTATCCGTCTTTGATTGCGTTCTCTTCGGTGTCAACGCGGTTGGAGCCATATTGTGCGATGATTTGACCCTCTTCGAAACAAGCTTTATCTTCGCCTCGCTGCTTTTCTTATTTTTCAATGGAATGATCTTATCCGATTCTTTGTTCACACCGCTGCTCCGCTTCTTCCTCAGAGGAATCACCTTATCCGATTCTTTTTTTGACGCCTTCTTTGGCTCGTCATCACCCGCTTTGCTTTTTCTACGCATGGTTAGATTCCTGGGCAAAATTGTGAATTTCTTGTCATTCTCCATTTTCTTCTCGCAGCACTTTGAATACGTCTCCATTATTTTTTTTATTCGATTTTTCAATTGAATGAACGTCGGACGCTCATTCGGATTCTGTAGGCCATTAGTCAAATATTCAAATTCTACAAAAAGGTACCTTTTTGAAACATTCAATCATTATTTGTACAATGTCTGCTGGGGCTCCTTTTGGCGGACTATGGGGAACGTCGACTTGCTTAATAATAATAATAATCATTGCAAAATCATTTTCTAAAATTGAATGATACCTTAATCGTTTTAATAACTGTTTTATTGGACATATCGTGTAATGGCTTCGTCGAGCATTTTGTGAATATCTCCCACAAAACAACCCCGTACGACCAAACATCAGTCTTCTCATTGAAAATGCCTTTGTTCAACGTCTCCGGACTCAGCCAGCGAATCGGCGCTTGCTTCAGATTCGCCACTTTCACTTCAACGCTTTGAACCGACAGTCCAAAGTCCGAAATTTTCACGTTGTCATCGCTTCCTATGAGGCAATTTCTCGCTGCGAGATCTCGATGAATCACCTAGGCGTCGACACCCCAACATTTATACTCTATATATTTATAAGTACCCATTTTGAAGCTAAATGCTCCATTCCACTAGCGATGTCATAAGAGAACTTGATAAATTTCTCGGTGGTCGCATCAGGAGAATGCCGACAAAAACTGCGAACTGTTCCTTTTGGGACGAGCTCCATAACCATCATGACGGGATCGGCGAGACACGCCATACCGTAATAGCGAATCACACAGTTATGCTCAAAGAGGGACATGATTTTGGCTTCCTATGAACAAAAAAAACATTGCATGAATAAAATAGAAAATCGAAATAACATGGAAGAACTCCTTCATCTGCTTTCGATTCAAATCGCCCTTGATCATCTTGATAGCGCAATCCTTGGGTTCGGAGCTTTTTCTCATCTTCACCGTCCCTTTCCACACCTCGCCGAACGCGCCGCCTGAATAATAAAGCCAGTGTCTAAATCTAAGAAAATTGCGGCATACTTCCAAGTTTTACGCTTGTCCGTACCACTTTGTGCTTCAAAATATCTTTTGATCTCGGAATCGGCTGCAAATTGATATCCATGGTCTCTTTTTTGCTGGCAATCATTATACTATATGCATTTTATCATTATGAAGCGACCAATAATCAAGCATCTCATGGATATGTGCAAAATCTTTTTTCTCATTTGACTTTCCATTTTTTTGCAGAAGCTGAAAATTTGAAAACAAATGTTTTTTTTGGCACAAATATGAAATATTAGGAGAATTACTTTTGGGCATGACCATCGTTTATCTTCATAGATGATTGAGATATGATTGATGGCGGATTTTTGCCGAATCGAAATACAGAACACCTTGTTCTCGGCACTATCTTGAGACCGACGGACCACAAATGAATTTTCCCACTAAAAAAAAATGAAGGTGTCAATTCGATCGAATAGGCATTTGTGCCTTTAGCAATGGTTCCGCAGATTCTTTCAGCATCAAACCGTGGAACCACGGGAAATTCGATAGCGTGTTCTTCGCATATTCCTAAACCATTGTTGTTTTCATGATAGATCGTAATCAAATACGTTCAGCTGATTGGCAATCTCCTTGTTAACCAGTTTATCGGTTTTCGATTGCGTACTGGATGGTGGTTTATTCCGGGAAACGTCGAGAGCCGAGAATGGTTGAACCGAAGGCGGCACAGCTGTGGGAGTGACTGAAATCACTGGCGTTTCGGCGCCACTTTCCACAATTGTCTGCATATTTGACGAGGTCTCTTCCTGATATTTCAAATTGATCGGAATTCCAGCAATGCTTTACCACTTTCTTCTTCACATTCGCTTTTGGACCAGACGATTTTACCTCGAGATTCTCCTAAATCCGCAACTCGTCCGATTCGTCTCATATTCACTCACATTTGATTTGATCCTTCTCAACTTTACATCAGTTTTCGATTGTGCGATATTCAAATTATTATTATCGTTATTATCTTCTACATTTCGCATTTTTTTCTTTGATACTATTCTATAGAATTGAAATTTGACAAAAAAGATGATATCTCGCGAAGACTTACAATCTTGTTCGTATGGTTTATCAAATGAACAGCAATATAAAATAATGAAATTGATCATTGAGATTAGGCGTCGAAACATGTGGAATTTTTGATTTATTGTTATTTTTAATTGGGAAAAGCTTATCAAAAATTAAAATCATTTCATGAATTTCGACGTTATAATTGTTGTCATTTCAGAATCTTGTCGTCGAAAAATTGGGTTCAAATCTCGAAAGCCTTCAAACACCTCAAAATTGTTGGGTGTAACACAATACGACATCTCCACCACCACCACCACCACAACCGAATTATCAGTGCTCTCTGATGAGTTTTGGTACTCATCCTCCTCTTCCTCTTCGACACCCATCATGATAATTATTTTAATTAATTTATTCGTAATAATTTCATTATACTAAAAACCGTTGATCGATAAGACTTGTTTGCACTAGGTGATTTGTTGAGAGTTGCTCGAAAACCAGACGGATTATATTCGAGATGACGAAGACGGCGAAGCACGCAAAATGGATTGAATCAAAAAGGATGAAAAGGACTGCCAAGGTGAGACATTCGAACGATGTCCAGGCCCATTCATTGCCATAGACGAAGCAGCGGGAATACATTATTTCGGACGGGTCTCTGAATTTAGAGAATACCTCTTTTTATTGGTTATTCAGATCAATTGAATACCTAGTGAATGTTCCGGTTATTGACGAATCGCTCATCTCACAATCCAATATCGCTTCAAGGATCGGACGATCTCGAACGACATAATCGATTTCATTCAGTGAATGATCTACAAAATTCTTGAGGAAGCTGTTCATTTTGTCGTGCGCTTCCACCGTCGCGTTCATCTTCGCGGTAATTGCGTCTTGGCCAACAGCGCCGGTGATATTCTGTCGGGAAATTGCGTGAATTTCATCGTATTTTTGTCGAAGCGCAATCGGAAGATTGACGGTGAATGTTTGCAGCTCCGAGTTCGGCTCGAGACCGCGAAAACCGCAAAGATTGTCCTGAAATTGTTGATTGTTTCGATGAAGCTCATCGGCTTGTCATTTTGAAGCCGAGTATTCAAATTGGCGCGCTTGCGCGCCCGAGAGTTGGTCGCGTTGCGTATGCGTCGCGGCCGGCGTCGGTTTTAAATCAATTTTGAAATAAATAGTAGAAAATCGATATTTTGCTGTTCAGAAATTGAAGTTCGTTATTTTTTAAATATTTAAATGATTTTTTTGTAGGTTTTGTAGGTTTTTGATACGAAATAGATCAATAATGGGTAATAATGCGTTTCCAGTGAAGAAATCGTTTTTGAAAATGATTTTATAATGCACATGTGCCCGTTTTTTTTCTGCGCCTTTAAAAGTTTGGATATAGGAATCCTTTTAAGGTTGCAAAAGTGACCCCGACAATCATGGACAATCAATCCAAATTAATTTTTTTCCAATACCCTTTCGCGTTGAAGGAAAATGTTCATTTCACTCATTCCGGCGTCGCCTTTTCCATGAACAGACCTTCCATGAATATAAAATCCATATAAGGAATGTGTAAGCGACAGGACACTGGAAATCACATTGATCGAAATGAAAGATATTACAGAATTGTTACCTGATATTTGACACGGAGCACAAATCAATAAAATTATGGAAAGGATCGACTATTATGCGTTCAACTATTAGAACTTGAAGAATCCACTGAATTGCGGCGATTAAGAGATAATAGAATAAGACAACAGCGAGCCGACTCATCAGAACCGTCTGCGATGTTAAAGGATCCGAATTGTATCGATGGAATCCCGGCTCGATAATCGCATAATTTTTGAAATTGAAATATTCGTGAAGAATAATTAATGCCAATAATTGGAATGGAAGAGAGATTTTTCGATATTGTTGAAGCTCATTCCATTCATTTGCAATCAAATAAGTCCTCCTTTAAATTATAAAAATATTTTAGAATGAAAAATTTGAAGAACTCACCAAACCACCACTGGCTCAATTTCGGTGTTTTTCGATAGATCGCGAGAAGCTGGCTGACCGATATCGTCGACTTGTCGCAATTTCTGACGCTCCCAATCAATGAAAAACGTTTCTTGAAAAACGAGAAGCCCCATCGTTATAAGCAATCCGAAGAACTTCAATATCATGGCTATCACAATGAAGCGAAACAATGAATATTGCTGCTCGTCGCTTAGAATATTATAGAGAACGTAGGTTTGCGATTTATAAGCCCATGTGATCCAGCAAGCAATCACGGTGAACATTGCGAAGAACACATCCCCAAGAATGGACACCTCTCTGATCAGAAAGTAAATGATCGATGAAGCGTCGACCGCCGACGATTTTCCCATTCGTCTACCCCAACTGTATGCGCAAAGCGCTGCCCAGAACAGCGAGATTGAAATGAAAATTAATAGAAATATGATAAGTCGCTGATCATAAGTGGTGGGATCTTTGAAGTATTCGATCGAGAACGAGCTGAACAGGGAATCGACAATACTATCATCATATTCAATCGAAAGGACCGGCGGAAAAATGAATCCATCAGCGCCTTTCTAGAATGAGAGAAATCGGGTGGCGAGCGAAGCGGGATTCTGGTTACCTGCATGGTGACAAGGAGCACCACTCTCGACGCGAATCTATAGAGTTTCGTTGAATTATCGAATTGAATGCTATAATCGTCGGCAAGAAAGAATCGACGAGTCAGCGCCCAACGATTGCGATCGTGAGTGAGAAGGTTGGTGATTTGATTGTTGGTTCGAATCGCGCTGTTCAGAACAAAAATCGGGTACATCTGAAAATGAAATTATTTCTTTGTTTGTTTTTGTTCAATCCAACCTTCACGATTTGTTCGCTATCGGTAAATCGAAGAAATCCTTCGAAAAGTTTTCCACGAATATCGGGAAAATGGATTTTCGATTTTGATAATGTGCATTCTCGATGAGATTTTCTGCCAAACGTGAAAAATATTGGTGAATCGGGACCACAAAAATGGAAATTGATCGAATCGATTTCAATATATCCCTCAAATGTTCCATTAACATCGTATCTAGAAAATGAGAATTTTGAAAATCGATGAAACGTGGGACCTTGCCTTGCAAAAACTAGGTCCAACATCGAATTGCCATCAAAAACATACTGATGAGCGATCGCATTCTCTCTTTCCAGCTCGCTGTCATCGTTCAAATGCTGCGGGTCCCATGTGCTCTGCCACGGATTGTAGCTGCGTTTGATGGTGTCGAGATAGCCGCACGCATTGATCGTCGATTGCTCGTAGTTTTGAAGGACGCACAGATTCAGAAGCGCCTCGCAGCCGGCCAACAGTCGTTGAGCGCACAATTTGATCGCTTTCGGCATTTGCGTTTCGATGAAACTCGACCGCATCTCGTTGCCGTTTTGCGTTTTCACGCGCGTATACATCTGCTCGGTTGCGGTGCAATTCTGAACGAAGCATCGATGGTCGGAAGGCCCATAAAAAAAAAGTTGACTCACATCGCATTCGCATGTGTCGCATTCCCTGCAACTGCTCTCACCATCCTTCTTAAATCCTGAATTTCAAAAAAACGAACGAGTTGAAATTTGGATTTTCGGTTCAATGGATTCCAACCTGTCGAGCATGTGCTACAATAGGAGCCATTGGAAAGAAACGAGCCATCCGGATTGCGATAGGTTAGAATATTTCGACTAGAGCATTGGCATGTGCCTTCACGGCACTCTAGACACTCTTTTTGGTCCGGTGATGCGAATGTGCCTTGAAATTTCCAATGTGTTGAAAATTGAGTTTTGGAATTCACCTTCTGGGCATGGCTCGCAAGCGGCAATCACGCCGAGCATCGAATTGAATTTCAGCTGTTTGAGGCAACGACATTCCAATTTGTCTGCCGATGGAATCGTCGTATTCGGACAAATTTCACATCTAAAAAATTTGGGGAATATCAGACGAAAAAAAAATGGAATAATTGTGGAGACATGCCTAAAATCAATTCGATTATAATACTGACGACTTGTGCAGTTGCTCGGAGTTATATATGGTATATTCTGTATTCGAAACTGAGCTAAGATGCCAGTAATTGGGAAAATCAGCGAGAAGCCAATCATGGAGTTTCATACGAAGCTGGATTCGGACGCTAATTTCGACCGTTGGCTTGTCGTCATAGTAACGCGAGGGAGGGCGGCGCGTTTGAGGTGGCAGACACGAGAATGCTGCCGGACATCTGCCAGATGGCCGGTTGGTCCGTCAAGCGGTGGAGCACCAATTTGAGCATAATCGAAGAACAGAGTTTGCTTTTCACGGAAATGCAATTGCTGTAGTAAAAGGACGAAGTCGACAATTTTTAAATTGGTCCCAGCGCTGTCTAAAAATAGAAGCCCCCGGCATGGCAGTGGACTTGTAACCATGCGGGTTCCCCCATAAAACTCGTGTTTGAATTGCCGCCACGCGGTGCATCCCTTTAAACGTCCGCAGATGAAATTTACAAAGGAATTTCTCTTGTTGAGATTCAAAGAACAGCTCTCGCCCCTCCCGACTCTGAAGAGGCTCTGGCCAGGTCGGGGCGCCCATTTTTCTCTGCTAATTGCCATGAAACCCATGGCAAAATATCGAAAACATTAAAATTTGAGAAATTTACTGAGTTAATGTGACAAACAAATACAAAAAGGAGTCTAATTGCTCTTTTCCGAATCGGTTCCTTTCTTCTTCTTCTTCTGGCTCTCCTTATCGCTCTCGTTCGATCCCTTGTAATCCTGCGTTGGATTGAGGTCCTCCTTTTCTCGAGTATCCTTATGGACAGGTGTCTTTCGTCGCGCCGATTCATGATTCGGGCTCTCCTTCTCCTTTTCTTTATCGTCGTCCTTCTCCTTGTCCCTCTTCTTCTCCTTCTCCTTGTCGCGTACCGTGTCCTTCTCTTTGCTGTTGTTCTCCGACAACTTCACCACCGAGCGGTCAGTCTTCGACGGCGGCGTCTGCGAGACCGACACGGGTCCGAGTGTTGACATCGTCGATGGCGCGTTCGAGTTGGCCTTCTTGCGCGGCGTCGGCGACGCCTTCGAGTCGGCCTCGTTCAAATTCGACATTTGCTCACCAATTTCGAGATTTTGCTGCAATTGCTCAAGTTTTGCTTTTTGTTTTTTGAAGGCAATTTCGCTCACTAGTGATTCTTTGTCGTCTTCGGGCGCTTCGAGTTCAAGCTCAATCTGGAGCCACTCTTCCAACGCCTTCACAATCTCCTTCATCGTCGCACGCTTTCTATGGTCGAGCAAGAACACATTCTTCTTGACAATCTCAACGAGCTCCTTCGGAGCATCTTTGTCGATCGACAAAAACTCGCCAGCGAGAATGCGCTTTTTCGCTTCACCGCCGGTGATTCCCTTATACGGCTCGCTGCACGTATAAATTTCATATAAAAGAATCTGAATTCGATTCATCGACGAAATTGGATCAAAGAATGATTGAGTACGCCGTAAGTGAAGACGTCGGATGATTTGTAGAATGTGAACGCGCTGAGCGATTCCGGCGCCAGCCATTTCGTCGGCATTTTTCGGCACTTTTTCATTTTATACACATTCCCTTTACGAGACAATCCAAAATCGGACAGTTTCACCTGAAAATGAATCGGGGAGTTTCATTTTCGCTCAATTCTCGCTTCATACATAATTTTTTGGATCATAAAGGCAATTTCTCGCAGCGATATCTCTGTGCATGATATCCTGTGAATGCATAAACTCGATGCCCCAAGCCGCCGAAATTGCCATCTGCAAATTTTTTTTTTCGATTTTTTTTTGAATACAATTCAATTGTCACTTTATTTTTGTCGTCTTTCGTCAGAGTCTTGCTGTTTTTCTTCAAATACGAGTCGAGACCACCACCGCCGATAAAATCGATAATAATATAGAGTGGTTGTTCGAGAAGAGCGACGCCACGAATTCGGACAATATTTGGATGATTCAAGGCTCGCATCAATCGAGCTTCGGCCATTATTTCGCGCATCAATTCGTCATTTGTCTCGACGTCAGCGCGCATCTTCAACAAAAATCAATGCCAATTTCCAATGTGAATCGAAGGAAAACCGTTTTTACAGCAACATCCACAGATTTCGCTTTTCCCTTCCTCATTTTGCCTTTATAAACTTCCCCATAAGCACCCTGTCCAACCTAAAAACACAATATCAACATTCAGCTTTTTGCTAAACGATTCCGACTTTTTTGATAAGAGTCACTTGAGAATGACGAAATTCCCAAACGCATAGGCCGACGGGATGAAGTAATTGAACCGGCGTTTTGGACTTCTGAAAAAAAAAGGCACGCAATAAAAGTTTTCGAAGTGCTATCATAAAGTTTACGATGGAAAGTTGAGATTGATAAGAAATTGAACATAGTAAATGCAAAATTTGGAAAGAAAAAATCGAATACCGGAATTTTGATGCCATTATTTCGGTAGTACTCAAACAGCTTGTCAAGTCCTGGAAAACCGATGGTCGCGTCGATATACACCAACTCATGCCCCCGTTCGATTACCAAATTTTTGATCTACAATTTAATTTGCGTGATTTTTTTTTGATAATCTTGAATATACGTCTTTCAAGTTTAGAGTTCCGTCACTTTTGGGATTTTCGGGCCAAGCAATACTCAAAACCAGTTCGCGACGGCGACCTTTCGGTGAGGGACGCTAAAACAAACATTTTCTTTTTAAATTAGGCTGTCTGGATTTGTAGACCTCAGTGGTCCTAACAATATAATCTCCCTTCCTCTTGAGAACAAACACTAAGTCTTCTCTTGGCAAATATCTGCAACAGAAGACCATTATCAAAAAAAAAGTTTCACACAATATTCATCATATACCCATGATAAAATGTCTGCTGAATTAACCATTTTGCGATTTTAAGCGCAAGCTTATCTTCTCGGTTCATTTGTTTTCTGTTTCTATCAAATCTCGCCGGCGTTTGATTGCTGCAACAAAACTACTCAGAAATAACCAATGAGCCAATCACGTACTGACCTTTGTTTACATAATTTTTGAAAGATAACAAAAATTGTCAAGTAGCGACTATTTTTATATCGTTGAGTGCTATTTTTGAACGAGTTTCGACGGCTATTATGGATGAAGAGTTGTTTTAGAAATATTTTACGCGCGAGGTTACTGTAACCGAACGATTCTGCAAACTGTTTACACAATGAAAAAACTACAGTAACGAAACAATTTATTTTCGAATTTTTCAAATTAAGTTTCTGTTTGGGTTTTTTTTCTTTTTTCTTGTTTTTCTTACACACGAAACTTTTTTATAATTGATTGCAAAAATTTATGAACCAAAAATCGCGCGAACCGGTTGTATATGCCTATATTTTGATAACATCCAACTAGTTTTCCGTTAATTTCAAATCCATCCCGACGCTTTCGCAGAAAACTCTTTCATTTCATCATCTTACTCGTCAACAGCCTTTCTTTTTCGTTTCAATTCAAAGAAACACTGATCAGTATTTCGCTAATCTGCAACCCACGCGTAAATATCGAAAAACCGCAATTGAAAAAATGATCTGATTAATTTGATAACACTGATAGCGTTGACATCGCGAAAGGGGTTTCCCCAAAAAATTTTGCTGATGTCTGACATGTCATTGAAAATTGCGATCGATCAATGAACTTCGAGTCCTTCCATGCAAGAAAATCTCATGCAAATTCGTATGCAAATTTCGCATTAGAGCACATTTGCAACCATCACGAGTCTCAAAAAGCTTATTATTGTTGTTTTTGAGTTTGAGTCGCACTTCTATCATCTTTTCCTCTCCATCAAACCTAGATCAAAAAATCATTCGCTGATGTCTGAACAAAATTTTGTAGTGAGCAGATTTCCTCAATTTATCTCTCTAATTGACAATCGTGAATTTTTCGACCACGTGACATTAAAAAAATACCAATTTGAAGTGTTATCATTGAACCATCGCAAACAACCCCATAAAATGTCTGCAACAAAGTTATAAAATGAAATTTCGAATTTTTGACGCAATTCGCCGTTTATGGGCTCACGCGATTTTGAGATTGATCCAATCAAGGAATAGCCATTATGATGTCGCAAACCTAGACTTTAAGACTTTTCTTCAATTTAACCTCTAGTTACATGAAATTCGTATAGATTATTCATCATAAGTCACGATTCGTTGCGATCTTTTGTTCTCAAATTATCAGCATTTTTCGATGTTTCCAGTTAATCGGCAACACACAAAAAAAAAACCAGCACCCTTCTAGAATCATCAAAAGCATCATGCGTAGTTTGGACAATCTTTGAAATTGAGTTTCACTCGCCCAGTCAACAATTGTCGACGTGACAAACGCAACAATGAATCCAATACACCTAGAATGTCCCAAGGTCGGCAAACACGGCAACGATATGGGTGCATCATCGCATGACAATTTCCGGCCCACGTGGGGGGAGATGTCTGAGAATGGAAATATTACGGAAAAACGAATTGTCGTTGAAACGATAGCGCCGGTAATCAATCGGTTTGATTCTTTGAGGTGCCGGTGTCAAGGAAAAATGACGCAGACTTTTTGTGTTTTGTTTTCTCATTGTTGATTAATGTTTTCAAAGGTTGTCAATTTTGGATGTCGATCGCAAACAATTGACGATCAAAGATTGAACTAACTGACACACAACCGGTAGTCGGACCATACGATTGTTTTCATCAGCGTTTCGTGAGATGATACTTGCGGAAGTCGAGTCATCAGAGATTGTGACGTAGATCAAAATGCTTCGAAATGACGCCAGCTAGTGTTCAAAAAGATTGCCACAACCAAAAATGGTGATGGATTGATGAGAATTCGTCTTTGAAGTAGGTGATAGTTTCTTCGATTTCTAGAGCTCTTTTCTATGAAAATAAATCCAGTGTAAATCTTGATTAATCGCCTACAGATTATTTCATCCAAATAAGTTAATAAAATATATAAAATAGTGTTCTATAATCTAATATAATATTTTTCTTTGAATTATAGTTATAGATTAATCTCGAACAATTTTTGAGATTTCAATTTTAAATTTCAGGCTCCTCTAAAGGATTTGAGTAGAAAATTTTCCAGCATAACACAACTAAGCTATCCTTGAAATCATCCCAATTTCTCTATTCTAGAATTGAATTGTTCTCTGAATCCTTTCAATTTTTCGATTTCTTCTCATTAAATTAGATCGAATCTGATCACCTCGATTATCATCTCACATCAGTCTGATGAAAGAAGCAATCAGCAATTTTGTCGAAATTCGAAGCACCTCACATTGCTATTTTGAACGACTGTTAAAAAATACTAGTTTCCCTCTCAAAACTTCCCGGAAACTGCTTGATTGATGGTATTAGCAATATCTCAAAAAATATGTCGCTTGTTTGTTTTTTTCTCCTCGTAATTCGCCGAATTAAATTTCTATATTGATCTAAATAGTCGAAAAAAAGAAGGGACGAACGAGAAATCAGAAAATCGTTCGTCGAAAGTTTCGACCCATTTTTGTTTGAGCACATTTTTTAATACATTGAATAAACAAAACCTCCAAATACTATCCATAAAATTTTAAAACCCAGCGACTCCTTTCAATATTAATATCTGAAATGTATAAATGCCAAAAAAAGCAGTGGTAGTGTTCTTAGCGCAAAACTAAAATTATAAGGGTCCGCGCACCGAGACAATCTTCTAATGCCTCGAATTTAAACTAGTAAATTTGTGAGGCGAAATTTGCCATTGGAATTATTTATTTTAAACAGAAAATAAGAGCAATATCGGAATTTTCTAATATTTCGCCGCGAGAACAATTCGAATTATTCACGAGAAAAGCGCATCTATTTTGCCGAAATATGAAAAATGTTTCATTTGCTTCATGGTCTCATCTACCAACATGTTTATTGTTGTTTGGTCTAATTTCAACCAGATGTGTGATACGGAAGTTTCGGTGGTGAGCATTTCGAATTGAAACATGCGCATTTTGAAGTCCAATTGAAGTGGACGAGTGTCACGTGGCGCCAGGAAGATGCAACAACAACATTAACCAATTGATAAACAAGCCCGCCTCTCGGTTATCTCATCCCCTCCTCGATGATAGTGTCTATCTCGTACACACAACACACACATGGGCGTACATTCTAGAATGTCGATGTTCCAACTCCGACTATAAAAGAGCGAGTGGTGAGAGACCGTATACCCGCTTTCGTTTGCCACTCGCGATCTCTTTGATAGGCGGGAGAACGGTGCAAAGTTCGAAGCGAAGCGCCGCCCTCGAATCTACCCACGTGCGGTGGTCAGTCAGTCAGTTTTGGGGGAATCCCCCAGCCGCCGTCCCTACCGGTTCTCTCGCTATCATTGTTCCACTACTTGGTGAGTGTCAATCAAAAAAATTTGTTTCTCGCTACAGTAATATCGTTCAGTTTTTCCTTCTTCTTCTTCTTTTTCATCATCAATTTCTTGTAGGCCTATCAATCGTGGGTCGGTTATCAGTTCTTTGTCCAAAAAGTACGCAATGTAACCCATTGTTTCGATTTTTCTTTTGACGCTAAAAATGAAAAATCACAATGTGAAGAAGTGCCCGAGAGTGAGTGAGTGTAAAGCTCAAAAAAATTTGATTTATGTAATAGCTCTATCGGATCAGAGATGAAAAATCGAATATCTGAAATTGGAAATTGATTTCACGCCATTTTCTACAGCACTATTAGCGTTTTTTTTTTTGAGAAATTAAAATTGATTGGAAACTCATGAGCCCATGAATTCTCAATTAGGACCAATTTAGGCAAGGCTTCCACACCTCACGGCTAGCGTGAAATTGACGAATTAGCTTAAAAACTTAATTGTTCCAAAAGATTTCTATAAAGAGCGTGAGCGGTTTTTCTTTAAAAGTTTTATTTAAATTTTTCCGATTCTTTTAAAACCACGTCACATGTCCTACAGTAATCCTGCTTTCTTTGTGATCTCAATCTCCAACATTTCCCGACATGATTATCTGTGTTTTATGTACCGTAGTAGCTCATAAAATCCGATTAGGCTATTTATTACAACAAACGTCTTCGATCGCTCTTTGAAGTTTGAAATGAGTCAAGGTGATTCCGAAACGAAAAAAAAAACATATTTCGAAACGCGAAACATTGAATTCAAAATCGATCAAAAATCGTTGCAAAATCTTTTTTCGAAACATTTTTTCGTTCCAATTTTTGTATAAACAAATACAGGGGCATCATTCAAAGGTTATCTATTACATCGAGACAAACAATGAGACAATCGAATGTCAACATGAGCGATACAGTAACCGAATGTTCTCGATGCCATCACTCAATATAGAGAGAGATAGAGAAGTGGGAGAGCCAATTGATCATCTCAATTTTAATCAAGACTCCTCCAGCTTTTATCATGTTTGATTGAGGACATCGATTCCCGTTTCCAGACAATCCTCAGGGCAATAAAAATGGCGTTTTCCCTACAATGGTTTTTTTTTGCTTTTTCTTCCAAAGCGGCGTCCTGTCTGCCAACCGATGTCATTTAATATTTGTGAACAAAATGATGATCGCAGGAAACGCGTTGTGTGTGCGTGTGTGTGTGTGTGTGTGTGTGTGTGTGTGTGTGTGTGTGTGTGTGTGTGTGTGTGTGTGTGTGTGTGTGTGTGTGTGTGTGTGTGTGTGTGTGCGTGTGTGTGTGTGTGTGTGTGTGTGTGTGTGTGTGTGTGTGTGTGTGTGTGTGTGTGTGTGTGTGTGTGTGTGTGTGCGTGTGTGTGTGTGTGTGTGTGTGTGTGTGTGTGTGTGTGTGTGTGTGTGTGTGTGTGTGTGTGTGTGTGTGTGTGTGTGTGTGTGTGTGTGTGTGTGTGTGTGTGTGTGTGTGTGTGTGTGTGTGTGTGTTGAGAGAGGACAACGCGCGCCGCGTCTACCTCCCAACGACACTCGTCGCACCCCTTCCCATCGCTTTTTCCCTTCATTGACATCGATTTTGCTCGTTTGCTACCGTTTCGTCTTTTTTTTCTACGCAAGCCGGTTATGGTACGGATGTTACGATGGAAGCACATTTTGTTCTTCGCACCGCCCGTTGGCTCGTCATGCGGCTGATGTTACTTGTCTTATCATTTGGCGAAGTTGCGTTGTTATTCTTCTCGATGTTGCTTGAAAGAACGATCAGCTGTACTAATCAGTCGACGAGGGCAAAGTCGCACAAGCCCCGCCTTCTCGTTTCATTCTTAGATCACTTTTCTTTTGTCGTCGACTTACTTCGTTTTCATTTCATTGTTGTTCACATTGGCTTCGTTAATACGCCGATATTTAGGCTTTTCGCCTTTCCCCTCTGCTCTCCAGCACCACCAGCGCTCAGCTTGAAAAGCTGTACCTGAACGAGAAGGATGATGTTCGAATATGAAGAAGAAGAAGACCCAATGGAATGCGGCGAACAACAACAACAACAACAGCCGATTCTACAATTTCAGCATCATTCAACGGATGGATCTGGTAAATATTGAATATTCTGGATTTTTTTTAAATTCTAGTAAAGAAGAGGGAATTTTGTAAAAGCTTGATTTAAAACGTCATGTGTCTTACACACTATTATAGCCAGTCAACATCATTGAACAGTTTCTGAAACCTGAAACCGCTGATAAAAATCTGTTTGCGATTTTCGAACAACTATAGTATTTCGTATTAGTTTTTTTTTGTCAATGCGTTCTCTGGAATAGTAAAGTGGTGTCAGATTTTGAACGAGGAGGGGAGAGGAAAGGATAGGAGCAATCACTTGAAAGTGATTCCTGAAGGATGAAGTTGTTTGCAGGCAGCCCACAAGACAATCCATTCCGTTTCTCGAATAACGGTAAACGCGCAACCTCAATGATCGTGACGTCGTCGTCGGAAGACCTTGCTGGTTACCATCAAAAGCATCTTCTCGACTCGCCAACCGCTGTTCAGGTAAACGACGTCTGAATTGATATATGAAGTTTGTGTCGAACCGTAAGATCATCCCATCGTTTAATCCGATAAGAGAAAATCACGCGATTCGGTCGTTCGGTTCTCTGCGCCTCTTCGTCTCGAATCTAGCTATGAGCTGATGCAGCTGCTTTTTTTTTTGGCTGCTAGAAAGATCAGCCTATACATATGTATCAAAGTTCAGTGTCGTATCAAGACACTTGTCACTTTAGTAGAAAAACTAAATAAAAATAGTGGGAGGATGACGATGATAATGTTCGAGAGAAAATCAGCAATGATCGTTGAGTGAAATGTTTTCAGCGCTCTTTGGTGCTGAACGCGACGTCGACGCTTAACATCGATTGTGAACTATCGGATGATGATTTGAGCCCGGTGACTCAACGCAAGCTGTGCATTTGTGCGAGTCTCAATCCAAAAGAAACCCAAGAAGCTGGACTTCGACAAGCCAAATCATCACTGAATGTTTCGTTCCCATATCATACTCATCAAATCACCGAGGATTACACCATCTCGGCGGAGATCATCGGAATCGGCGAGTCCGGAAAAGTCATGGCGTGCTATAAGAAGGCGACCGGCGAGAAGTTCGCGCTCAAAGTGCTCCGCGACGGGCCGAAAGCTCGCCGCGAGGTTGACCTTCATTGGCTCACATGCAATCATGAGAATGTGGTGACGATTCACGATATTTATGAGAACACGTTCGACAATGTCAAATGCCTTCTGATGGTCGTCGAGTTCCTCGAAGGCGGCGATCTTTTGAGTCAATTTGAAAGTCAGGGCAGCAAACCCTACACGGAAAAGAGTAAGACTGGGTGGGATTTCGAATGGAATTAATCAACGGGTTTCAGAAGTCGGCGAGATCATCCGACAAATTGGAAGCGCTGTGATGTACCTCCACGACATGAATATCGCGCATCGCGACATCAAACTTGAGAACATCTTGTGCAGCAGTACGGGTCCTGATTGTGTTTATAAGCTTGGCGATTACGGGTTTGCGAAGCGTCCCGAACGCAACGTGCTTATGGAGTCGCCATGCTGCACGCCATTCTACGCGTAATACCGCCCTATTAGAAAACAGTTTTTTGCATATTCGAATTTTACAGACCACCGGAGGTACTCGGACGTGAGCGCTATGATAAATCTTGTGACATGTGGTCGTTGGGAGTGGCTATGTATATATTGTAAGCGTTTTTCTACACCATTTCAAATCTTTCTTTTCACAACTCTATTCTTTCAACAAAAAAAAGCAATTCAATTCTTTCAAATCTGAATAGTAGAACAAATTTAATTTCAATTTTGAAAAAAAAATAAACGAAAACTTGTTAGGGTGCAAGATGAGCTCAATTACAGGCTCTGCGGGTACCCGCCATTCTACTCGATGAAGGGTGCCGCGTTGTCTCCGGGTATGCGATCGCGTATTGCCAAAGGTTACTACGCGTTTCCGCACGAGGAGTGGGACGTTGTTTCGCAAGAAAGTAAGCCAAAAAAGTTGACAAGATTTTCAGAATTGCTCAAATTTAATGAAACTTCTTGAGAGAGAGAGAGAGAGAGAGAGAGAGAAAAATATCAATTTTTGTTTGACATTGTTCCTTTCGTACTGAAATTCGTGAAAATCGAGAATTCCAGAAACCTGGATTTGATTTTAGAAAATTGATCTTCTATTCTATTCTTCTTTCGAATTCGTCCAACTACTCAATCCAAATTGTTGTATTTCAGCTAAAGATGACATTCGCTGCCTGTTGCGTACGAATCCTAGCGATCGGATGACGATCCATGAGCTGATGGCGACACCGCTCGTCACTGGACAAAGGCCGGAAACTCGCCGCAAAGTCACTCACGCTGTCGATATTCGCGGAACACATAGCGACGAGGATGAGGAGTTCCGATTCGCGAGTGATGAAGATGTGGTGCCGGAAGAGCTTCCGGTGCCGAAAAGTGTTCGCTTCTTGCGCGAAGGTGTCAAAGCACCGAGATTGCACAGTATTCAGGTAGCAAGATGTCATTCCATGAGCACTTCGAACCATAAGCTTGTAGGAAGAAGTCGGTCGCGCTTTGGAGATCATGCGCATGGGACACGACACCGTCTACGTCAAGGATCCGGCAGCATCGTGCAACAATCTTTTTGCGCGCCGTCGCACTGCTCACCTCAGTATTCCACGAGTTCAATGCTAATTTCTGTGAAACGAATAGCGGAGAATGAAACTTTGGTTGTTCTGATTCTAGGAATCAATCGACCTCCACACATTTCTTTTATAATTCTATCAACCTATTTTCTATTTTCTTGCACTCTTCTATTTTTTGAAGCCCACTCCTTTCAGTTTTCGGTGATTTTGTTCTATTATTGGTATATTTAGATAGTAAAATACCCAATGAATGTGTATATAATTAAAAAAGAAATTATAATTCAAGAAAACAATATAGAAAGAATGAAAAAGTGATTTATCCTCTGGTAACTCAAAACCAATCGGATCCTACAAAAAATCAACCTTATTCGATTGGTAATTATTTGTTGAATCGGATTCGACAAGTAATCAATTTTATCTGTAGAATTACAAATCGGATTCTACAATTTTACAGTCTGATCCGACAAATTGCCAATCGGATAAGGTAGATTCCGGGGCCGAATTTTGTTGGATCCGATTGGTTTTGAGTTATCAGAGGAGTTTTAGGTGGCATATTGACCGTCTTTCTCTTAATAGGCTCATTTAAAAAATAGTATTCAGACGGTCGACTTCATATCAAAGATGACAACATTTTTTTTCATTCGGAGTTTCTCAGGTAATTGAAAATCAATCTGATTCGAAGAACAATTAACGTGATTCATATTGAAAAAAAATTGAAATACGATTGAGAAAGTGTTTAAATTCGATTTGAAATCTTGTCTTCGATTCAAAAATCTTCGAATTTATTTCTCATTTTTAATTTTGAAATCGTATTTGATTGAAATTTTGAAATACTTCGATACAGATTAATTTATCTTCGATTTCGATTGAAAACGAAATTGTTTTTGAATCCGATTAATTTTCATTTACCAGAATTTCAGAAAACGATTCTAGCGATCTTCTATATCTGAAATTGATAATATAACTTGTCTGAAGTGTAAATGGTGGTATTTCAACAATAATTTAAATTCAATATTGGCAATAGGTCAATTTCGATACCATACTTCAAAAAAATTAGTAGTAGTAGCTTTTTCTAAGCTTCAAAAAAGAATATTTTTTTTAATATCTTTAAAATTTCATTCTAAAATTTTGACAAATATATTTAATACGAAACTAAATCAATAATCTTTGTAAAACTATTAGCCAAATTACATTGCAAATTCAATAATGAATCTTTTGCAGCGTTTGGACTTTCAGCTTCTCAATGGAGCGCATTTGCTCGAAAAAAAAAATTGTGCGCGTTTTTTTTCAAAGAAAGACAGCTTTTATTATGCAAACTTTTCACCCTGAAATGCTCAATTTTTGGAATAAGACGAAAAATCTCAAAAAATGTCCCGTAAAAATATAAAACTCAAAATCGAAATTAATAATAATGCCAAATAATTGCACGACGTTGTCGAATTGCAAAAGTCGGTGTCCCTACAATAGCAATTGACGGTATCGACGCCGAGCACCTCCTCATCTTTGCAATACTGCCGCATTTTGAGGTGCGGCTCATACACATTTCCAGATATTCTGAAATTGAGAAATTCGCACAAAAACGATTGACTAAATGAGACTTACGTTAAATTCTCGCATCCTTTGCTAACATAATGATTGTTCACTGAAGGAAAAAAATTATTTCGAAAATCTAAGCCGACGTACCTAGCGATTTGACACAAATATCACCGTAGCAGACTCCGGTTTCGCAGTTGTACGGCTGATTGCATTGAAAGCAGCGGATTTTCAAAACTGAACATTTGATTCATCGTAATTGCATCCCGTCAAGTGTCCGCAGATGGAACTTGCCTTTCAAAACATACCATTTTCTACAGTATAGCCGACCGATTGGCGAGACCTTCCCGGACCGTTGTGATACTCTTTGTAGGCGGCTACCGTAACGACGAAAATGAGCAATAGCCTCGACATCACATTTCAAAACGGCAGCCCCCCTTTGAATTCGCGCAGACGTCTACAAACCAGAAATCATTTGGTTCCGGGTTTTCTTTTTCTCTTTTGATAGGTAATAGACGAAATTCGGCGAGCAAAAGAAAGAGCTCGAAAGATGATGGTTGCCGTCTTGGGAATACCATTTCATCGATGATTTTCATCTTGTTAGTGGCGAGCTTCGACGGCTTCGGATGAAGGATAAGACGGACGGGAGAAAAAAAAAACATTGGAGGGGTTGGAGGGAAGAGACCACGAAAACGGCAGGGGGGCGAACGAACGAGAAGTTGGAAAAAAAAATTGATGGAAACGAAACACCACAATTACGGCGGCCCCCCCCCGATGGCGGCCAACGGGACCACCAAGAGTTTATTCTAGCATCAAATTGAATTGAATTAGCGATTCGAGGCAAAAATTTTTTTCCAAAAAAGTTGGATTTTAAAATTTTGCTTCAATTTTTCTGGAAGTTCTCAAAGAAAAAAAATTGAAAAAGAATCTACCTGGTCTCGCAACGACATAGAGCTTTTCGCGACGAGACCCAACTAGGCTATATTAAAAGCGCATGAGACCTTCAAAGAATCCCGAAAGCTGTTGTAAACAAAACATAGATCGCATGAAGCCCCAAGGTGTTTACCGTAATCATGCGCCTTTAATATTTTTGCCAAAAGCTCATAAATTGCAAAAAAAATGTCATAAATTTGGGCAAGATATTTAGAGTTAATGACGCCTGAAATGTGAGAATTTTAAGAATTTTTTCTTTTTTTTGTGTTGGCAAATCTGAGAATGTCTTCGTAAACAACAAATAATTTCACAATTCTTTCATTTATTGGGAAAAGTCGAACGGATAACTTGCCAATTCTACAATTCTCGCGCATCTTTTCCAAATTTAATAATCGGATTATCTTTTTTGACGCGATCGGATTAAAAGTAGAAGATGGATGAAGTCATTTTCCGAGAATCGATAGCGCTTTCAAATTTCCGAAATTTGTTGGGCAAATCAACAAAAAGTGCACAACTCTGATAGGGGCATATGCGCCTTTAAACATCATCGCGCAATATTTGTGTTTGGGTCCCAATTGGCTGGAAACCTGCAAAGTGTCCGCAGCCATGATTATTTCTAATCAATTTCAATACGTGCATATTTATCGAATAATTATCGAAATAAAATTCTCCGCGTGGAGTACACAGACGCATCTCTCTCTTTTGGGACAAATATTCATTATTTTAAATCTTTAATGAAAAGAAGAGAAAACAAATAATTTCAAAAACTCATCATCTCGCGATTTTTTTTCTCAAAAATTGCAAATATTGAATCGAAAAAGAAATTATTTAAAATTGGCGCTGGCTGAAAATCGCGAATTTTCAAAATTCAAAATCACCTTTTTTTTCCAATGAATCTGATTTTCCAACTTTTTTTCATACATTATTATTATAGGTTGTGTAATGGTAAAAAAAAAATAAGTTGTATGAATACGATTGAGGGATAAACTAATCGGCGAAGGGCTGTGTTTGTCCACATCACCTGTCAAAAAATTTGTGACATTCGACTGACTGAGAGGCGGGGGGGGGGAACTCCGCAATTCCTAACAATATCCCTACTATTTATGGGCTCAATAGTATATGGGAAAGAAATCGCCGTCGCCACAAGTCATATACCAAAAATGGCAACAACAAAAATGAAAAAAAATATATATACATGATATTTTTTTGGTTGGCTCGACGCTTGCTGATCGCGCGCGTCATTTTTTTTTTCAGGGGGTTGCGACCAGGCGTTCGGGGACCTCCCAAACCGACCCCGACTCCGCCCCCTTCACTTGTCATCAATTATGCGAGAGCTTCTATTCGGCCGGATTTTTTTGCGTCCCAAAAAAATTTGCGTTTTTTTTCGAGACAAAACACCTGGTTTTTATTGTTTGTGGAGGGCGCGAAAAATATTTTCGCGACAAAAACAAATCGAGAGCTTCCGAATACCCTAGAAGGCGCGAGTTGCTTCACAAGAGAATGACGCCACTGGGTCCTGTATGGAAAAAAGCTAATTGAAAGTAGACAAAAAAATATCTGATTTGCCAATTTTTTCGATTTCCGAAGTTTTTATGCATATTTAAAAAAGTAGATTTTGAGCAAAAAAAAAATAAATCGAAACCGATTAAAAATATAAGAACCTAAAAGAAAAATGGAAAAAAAATTTTATCTATTTTTTCTGTGTTGGCTCTTTAATAAAATCTTAAACTGCTGTACGCGAGTAGATTTACATGCATGCGCCTTCGCTGTGGTCCCGCACGGACAAACGGCTTTTTTTTGCATTCTAGAGGTCATTCTCTTAATTTTTAGTTTCAATTATATCAAGTATTCGAAGAAATGATATACTTATCAAGAAAAATTCAACAATTCACGTGAAAATTTAAATAAAAGAATTCATGCGTGACGAGACCATTTCGAAAGGCGCACCGCGTAAATCTACCCGCGTACATCAGTCGACAATAGTAAACTAAAATAGTATTTCATGTTTCTAATTTCTATAAACCATCTGCGGACATTTTGAGACTACGTGTTAATAAAAGACTAGATAGAGTAATTAAGCAGAAGAAAAACGGCAAAGGGGATCATTTAAGTATGGTCTAATGATGAAGTGCTATTTAAATGAGCATTTTCCGTAAGCCAACATGTCAAGCAACATATTAACCGCGATTTGAAGTAAAATTGCTGAAACGTAAAACTGGCATGCAAACGAGTATATCTTAAGGGCTCAACGAGCTCAATCATAGACGACGATGAAGTAGAAAGAAGGTGGTGCTCAAATAAAATAAATACTCGAAATTTTCATTCGTTGTTGCATTATTTTTTTGTTTCATTCAAAAGGTGAAATTCGAGATATTCGCTGCTTGCCGCCCCGCACCGCCTGAGGCGTCATCTTCATCCAATATATCTATTTGAGCTTATGCGCATATTCATGGTGATGTAAATATTGAGGAATGGGGTGGGGGGTCCGAATACATCCTGTAACATTTTCGTGTCGAGATATTTGATTAGGAATGCTGAGGTGTTCGGCGAAAATGATCGAGGAGGCTCTGACACGGAAAGCGACACATTTTCCGTCAAACGGCCGCCGACTCGCGGGTGGCGGAGCGCTCATTCAAAATCACTTAGCAGGTGAATGATTGCCGTCTCGACGGCTTTTAGCCTAGCCACATTCATTCTCACTTTACTGCTGAAATAAATAAATAAACCCCCGATATACGGTAATGAGTGTGCGCCTTTAAATTGGCCTAGTTTGTGGCGGCTCGTGATTGACTTCGTTTGGGTTGGTGAATAGAAGAAGAAAAAATTGAGAGGGACACTTGGATATTGAGATGAAGAAGCTCAACGCAAAATTAATTTTAAAGGCGCATAAGACAAGTTCTCGAATCGAAAAGAGGAAGAAGTGCATGAAAAACATTGAATCCTTCGAATTTTGCCGAACTCAATTTTAGATGTAACACTCGGCAACATTTCGATTTGTCACACTTCTGAAATATCGCCATAAGCAGGTGCTTTTTTGTTTCTGGTGACGTCACGACCATTTAAGGAAAATGTCCGCAGATGGCAACTTTTTATGGGAATGAAGATGGGCGGCCAACTGAATTTCAATAAATAGACGAAAATTGCGGCTCTCAAAATATGATCACGCTCAAATTTTGGTGACTAAATAAACAAGAAATCCAGCGACAACAACGAGCAGCAAAAAAACAACAAGGACACGAAGATGTTGAAGTAGTCGCGACAAACACTCCAGCACCACCACCAAAAGCTAACCGATCCCATGGGATAAGAAGGGTGGGGGGGGGACCCACTGGATAGTAGTAGTAGTCGGGAAAGGCCGCCCGAGTTTCTTTCAAGCGCCGGATGTGGCGGATTATCAGCCACGCGGAATCGTTGCCCTTTTAGGCGAACTTCCGGCATACATGCGTGCATTAGATTCTGAAAAGGCAAAACGGGTTTGATGTCGACGGAAAAAATGTAAATGAAATTGAGACGGACCTTTTCAAACCACCCCCCCCCCCTCCGGAAAAATTAGCATCATTGGAATTGAGGCGCACAAAAACAAACGATTCGCTGAAAATTGGCATAGTTATTGAGTGTCGAATGAGTCAGACTGAATCCTAATAAGGTAAAGTATCGGAAGCCAAACGTATCAAACATCAGCGACCATAAAATCGCTTATCCATCCTGTCAAAGAGTCGTTTATACGAGAAATTCGCATTTGACACACTTATCACACTTTATATTCGAAAAAATTGGATTACGCAATCAATTTTCTTTTTTTTCGCTGTTTTACTTTTGAAAGAAAAAATTGAAAAAATAAGATTAGGAACCAGATTTTTGCACTCAAATTCTGATTTTTTTCAGAAATTAACAACTCCAACTCGTTTTCTTAAATTTCTATTCAAGACCAAAAAAGAAACAAAAATATCGCGGCGGATTAGATGCCTTTTTATAGACTAATCCAGTCATTTTCACCAATGAGATATGAATGAAGCCTACGGTAGCCGGCAATCGCTAAACATCGCCTCGTCAGGTTGTTCAGGCATTGGAAAAAAACAACAAACAAACAAGAATAATGAAGGTGATGCGAGACCAGAGCCAATCACTCATCGCAAAGCGAATGTCGAAAACATGGGAGAGCAAAAAATAAAATGCGGGCACCGCCGCCTGGCGGCAGTGGCGATGGTGGTGGTGGTTGCTATCCGAAATGACAGGTGATAAAGTGCTTCGCGGCACGCTCAAGGCGCCAGTCGAACAATATAATTTAGGGGAGGAAAAAAAATAAAACAACCCCGCTCGCAAGCATTTACCTGACCTCCAATTTTGCCATTTTCCTCGTTTTTTTTTTGAGACTCGCCAACGAGTCACTCAATTTTTCATTTGAACAACAACAAAAAATGGACCCAACGCCACTCACTCATAGATATGAAAAGTGCAACGAGAGAAGCGGCGAAGGAAACAAAAAAATGTTATTGGGTTGTTTCATGCGATATGTCGATTTATGGCCGCCTCTAATCCGATTTTCACACTTTTTTTTTCGCTGCCGTTTTCTTGCCGTCGATAATTGTGGTAAGGAAGTATTCGGTGAGGTGACGATAACCTGCGTGAAATTATAGGGTCCTTTTCTTTTTTGACATTTCGGGTTGAGCACGAAAGAGCTTATTTTTGGAAATTGTTCAGTGTACACCTGACAATGGCAAGAAAAAACAAACAAACCGGACGGCTCGAATTATTCTCGAGGCAAATTCGATTCACATCTGACCCCTGCTTACTTATTTTCGAGATCCTCCTATTTCAGCTGCATTCTGAATGTTTGTAGTTTGAGCTTCACCTGCTTGTATGACGACACCAAATATGATGAGCACTATAAAACGACCTAGAAAGGCATTTATGGCTGGAAATTGAATCTTAAATTTCATGGATTTCTTTAAAGGCGCATAAAAATTGATAGAGTTGAAATCGATCGAATATAATATTTCCAAGATCAAAATATTATGGTAAATCCATTTTAACCTTTTCAAGTAAATTTCATTTAAAAATTTTTACCTGCTATTGGAAAAAATCCGGAAGCATATTAGCAATCGTTCCTGATTCCAACATTCATTGAATCGCATACTTTCAATCGAATGCTTATCTGAAATATGTTCCCAAATGCTTCATAAATTCCTCGATTGTCGCTCTATAAAAATAGTTACGCAATTAAATGGCGAATCCTCAAATTTGGTTGTTTCCCTCCGCCAAACAGAAAGAATTCCTCCTTACGCAATCAAGTTTTTTTTCATGCTAATTAAGGAAGCGCTCCTGAACGAATGAATGAAACAAATTAATGAACTGGCCGGGTCCCTCACGGTCGGCGATCACGTGTTTCCGAAATCCCGATCCGGGAGAGACATAGCGCAGCACGCTATCAATCAACTGCGAACCATTGGCGCCATCTCGACGATCCGTCGCTAAATAGGGCAACACGGAGAAGCGTCGTCGAAATCGCCTACCAGGTGATATATGGGTGGCAAAAAAACGAAGACGTTTGTTGATTTTTGTCGGCGATTAGAGGTGTTGAAAATGAGCGGTTTCGATTTGTTGTGTGAACGTGAAGCCGATAAAATGGGTCGGTTTGCATGATTTTTGCAGAAACAACTCGCGCGCGCGCGCGCGCTTCCGCGCCAATATACAGATCCCATCTCGTTTTTGATTTATTGAATTGATGGGGGGGTCAAAGTCGAAAATTTTGATTGCAACTCATATGATTAGGTCATGATTCCTTACTGACCTAATTGGGTGATAATTAATATGTTATAATTGGCGTCGAATGCCTTCTCGCATTAACGACGACATTTATCAAAATGGATATTTCCTTCGAGAACAATTCGATCGGCTCGTTCTAATTCCCACTGAGGCTGATTGACTTGATTGCCAAAGACGAGGCTTGTTGTTATAGAGATCATCGAAACAAAAAAATGTCCAAGAAAAAAGTTCCTCATCAACATTGGGTATTTAATTCAAAGATATACTTGCCATGCTCGAAATTGAATACTCTGAATTCAAGTCAGAATAACGATTTTTACCACTTAATCGATCTTTATCCACTTAATTGCTGTAGCAGTTTTGTCAAATGTGTGCAAACACCGGTATATAAAAAATAGAGAAAATAGAAACAAACAATTCAAATTTAATTCCGAAACATTTAGAGTTCTTTAAAGCATCACTAAATAGTTAATTTTAAGAAAATATTTTCAACTAATATTTTTTTTAATATTTGGATCACGAGAATTCCACACTCAGCCGTTAATTTGCATGCTTAATTGATCAATGAAGCTTATGGAATCTCACCGACGTGAAAAAGAGAATTGGCTTAATTCTTCAAACCACGCTACTTCTTTTATATGTTTGATTTCAATGAAACATTCACTATTTATGGAATGGTTTGAGACTCGCCGCGCCCAAATCCCACATCGAATCTCAATCGTGTGGCTATATCTCTTCAATTTTTTCTCTCCGTCTTCCTCTCGATCAAATGATAAGTTGCAATTGACCGAGCGGAGGTGCGGCGAACGCAAAAAAACTTGAATACCTTTTGGCGCACTTCCCAGCAAAACCATCATCATTGTTATTTCGGCCGTCGGCCACAGTTTATACTATAGGCCACGCCCAGCGTATGCGAAAACGTTTCCAGGTATATAAGACGGGTTGCGATCTGCCATACCAATCCAATCCTTCTTCTTTCTTGTCCTCAGTCCTGATATTATTTCGCGAATCTCAACATCTTAGCCTTGATTCCAATTTCAGCAGGCTCGCTCAAATGTCAGTGACGTCAGCGACATCGGGAGCCTTGGTGTTCTCCGGCGCCACCCTTTTGGTGTCACTATTCGCCGCCGCCAGCATTTACGCGCAAGTTTCCTCAATCTGGAATGAGCTTGATGCCGAAATTGCCAATTTCCGGGTATTTCGCTACCATAATTCTCTTCTCACAAATTCTTATTTGTGATTTTTAGTCATTGACCGAAGACATGTGGGTTGACATGGTGAAATTGGGAGCTGGAAGCGCGTCGAACCGTGTTCGCCGTCAGCAATATGGCGGCTATGGCGCCAGTGGTGTTCAGCCACCAGCGCCATCTGGTGGCGGATATGGAGGCTATGGTGCCAGCGGACCAGCGCCACCAGATCACGGACCAGAGCCAAACGGCGGAAATCAGCCAAGATTCCCAGGTGGTGGACCTGGACCATTCCCAGATGGTCCGTTCCCTGGACCAACACCGAATGGTGGCAACAAGTGCCAGTGCACAGTTGAGAACACTTGCCCACCAGGACCCGCCGGACCTGAAGGAGAAGCTGGACCAGACGGACAAGATGGATTGGATGGAGTGCCAGGATTCGATGGAAAGGACGCTGAAGACGTTCAGAACACCCCTCCAACTGGATGCTTCACCTGCCCACAGGGAGCCCCAGGTCCACAAGGACCACCAGGACCAATTGGACTTCGCGGCATGCGCGGAGCACGCGGACAGTCTGGACGTCCAGGACGCGACGGAAACCCAGGAATGCCAGGAGACTGCGGACCACCAGGACCACCAGGACCTGACGGAACCCCAGGAACACCGGGAAGCAAAGGAGACGACGGCGAGAAGGCGATTGATCGACAAGGGCCACGCGGACCACCAGGAGAGCCAGGACCAGAGGGACCAGCTGGACCAAATGGACGCGACGCCTATCCAGGAACTACCGGACCACCAGGAGAGCCAGGAGTCCAAGGATACGGAGGAGCTGCCGGATCTGATGGGTAAGAGACCTAATCGGAATTAGGAAAACTGAAAGATTAATTTGCAGACCGGAAGGACCAGAAGGACCACCAGGAGCTCCAGGCAAAGACGCCGAATACTGCAAGTGCCCAACGAGAGAAGGTGATGCTGGAAGACCTCACAGAAGACATAGAAAATTCCATTTGTAATTTAAAGTTTGAAATTGATAAAATAAACCATTTTCACATGAAACATTTCAATTGAATCAGCGAGTTATTCATGTGCAGTGAAGCGCGTGAAAATTCTGACGAACACAAAGAGTCGAAAAATCGAAGGAACATTTTTCATTGGGTGGCACACTGAAGGGAGCTTTTGTGAGGATGCTGTCCAAATTCGATGATTTAATACAACTATGGTCTGTTTCTGAAAGACGAGCGCCAGAATTGGTTTCAGCGGGGATCACACCAAAAACGACAGGCCTCCTTGTCAAAAATGTTTTTCTTATAGTTAAGAAATTGAATAAAGGCTCATAACACGAAAGTGTGTGGTCCTGTAGCGACCGATCCAGATAGTCGCTTATTTTTGAAACAGACCATATGTGTTAGATCTTCGGCTTAAAACCATGAATGCGCCTTTAAATTTTAACGTGAATTCCTGTTTCTTAAATCATGGACCAGAAGGTGAATGAAAATTTTACGAAGCTACGATTTATAAGAAACGTTGTTTCTTTAGCATTGATCTAGGATAACGCCTACTACGTATTGGGATCAGCGATGTGTGGGAAATTCACGGTGGGTCAGACAACAAATCCCAATAGACAATGACACCAAACAGCAATGGTATAGAAGCATCGCGAAAACAACATGCTTTAGCCAAAAGCAGGACTTACGTTATGAACAATTTTAGTCTTATGTTTTAAGCAATATAAAAATCATACTTGCAAATTTCCGGGTCGAGACGGGGCGAATCAGTAAAAAAAATTCGCGACCGCCCCGCTCCGCAACAACACTCCAAGTTTACAGCGCGACCTTTGTTTAGCGTAAATAGAATTTCGAATTGCATTATTTTGAGTATAATTAATTGTTCTTGGAACAAACATTGCTCAGAAATCCCCAAATAAAACGGATTGAACCAGCTTTCACTGTTTTTGTTTCATCTTTGGTTTTTTATAATAAACTTTTCTTTAAAAATCGATCAGCGGGTAGGACGGGTCGGGTCGGTAAAATTTTCACCCTGACCCGCACCGCCCGTTGCAAGTATGATAAAAATCAATCTCTTTAAAGGGCAATAAAGTGAAAATGAAAACACAAAAAATAGACAATTCGCTTTCTGCATAGAAATGTTATCTTTCTTCCTGTTTTAATTTTCTCTGTATTGACCCTATAAACGATTTCAACTTACAACTACGAAAAAGAAAACTATGACTACTTGAACACGGGGTGTCTAGAATGCGCCATTTACGGAAAACATACACAAAAAATTTACGAAGTTTTCAATTCCTGCGATTTCTGGCTGATTTTTAAGTAATACAGAACACTAGGAGTTTTTTCAAAAGATGGTATAACCTAGGACGGACGAATTTGTGAGACCTGTTCTTTAAATTGCAATTTACAGGCGTGTTTCCGATTTTTCTTTTAATTAAAGGAACGGCACCACAAATTGATCCGTCCTCAACAATAAATCTCAAGCGCAAGGGTCAGTTCACGCTGAAATTAAAAAATTTTCAACAGAATTTTTAATGACGCATAAACACGATGTGGAATAGCGAAAAAAAAAACAAAGGCGGGCGATAGAGAGTGTAATACACTCCTGCGTGTTTGCACACATTGCGCGTTACCTGACGACATTTTCAAAAATTAAAATCTCAAAACCACCGGACGAATTAATGGCTCTCGTTTTCGAATGTTGCACTGTTTCGCCGATTTGAAGAAACCAACCAATTTGTTCAATTTTTATGTCATTGTTTCTCTCAAAATTTATCATTTTTTTCGCCAGAACGATGATAGTGTCAGTTTCCGAAAAAAAAAAATTGGCTACGAGAATAGTTCGAAATTATCCCGAAAAAATCCCTCAAATATTCTTGAAAACCACAAATTTCGATGGTTTCTGTTGAATTTTCGTTCATTTTCTTTTATTTGATATTCGATTAACCAGAAATTCAAATGGAAATTTTTAGTAAACTCAATTCAATTAAAACAAATTAATTATTGAAATAAACTTACTTTACTTTACTCTATTGTATTTTTTATTGATTGATTTATAATTAAATATCACTTTTAGGTGCAGCGCTTGGGAAATCACAAATCACCTTGGAAAAGTCTTGCATATTTGAGCAGACTTTTCACAGCATAATCGGACTCCCCAATTTCTGCTGTTGTTTCACCCCGGTGACTCTGATTCTTCGGCACTATTTTATAATGAACCCTCTATGAAATTAATTTATTATTTTTTTACGGAATCGCTTTATTTTTCAAAAAATTTTCACTAAAGATCTCCACTTAATTGTAGGTTTCAAGAATTTGAGTTTTTCTTCTAACTTTTCGTTGTTCTGTTCCCAGGTGAATTTACCACGACGTTACGAATTTGGCATTTTTCAATCAAAAATTCGTATTTTATTATTTTTTGGGACTATTTTAGTCGTTAGATTAAATCCAAAGCTCTTCGTTGTACTGTTTGCGGCAATCGTGTCATCTGATTGTAAGTAATGTGTAGTCCACACGGAATATGAATTTGTTTTGTTCTGCCTGGCGATTTGAACTGTCGTCGCGAGACCACAATTAAATGATTCGATTTTAATCGTAAATAAATATCAAACGATTTGATTATAAAACGCCCATTTAAAACACACAAACTATGCATTTTCGTTGCGAGACCAATACTTTAAGAGGCCATTTTGTTGGTATTTTTGTACTGTCTAAAATAAACCCAGGGACCATTGAAGTCTCTTGACTTTCGCCATTTCTATTCCGGCTTCATTCCAACAACAAATTTTTGAATTGCGCGGCAAAAATTTTGTCAAATTTTTACTGTTTAAATTTAAATTTGAATTACCGCCTCGAAAAATGCGATGGTGATCGTTTTTATTGTGATGTTAATAGTATAATCAAGCAAAAATTAGCAACTAATTACTAGAAAATTTGGGAAGCCCGTGTAGATGTCATCTGCGGACGTCTTACACGATAGACATGTTCTTTTCTACGCCATTTTCCATTCGAGACCTTTAAGCGAAGCATTTCCAATCTTGTTTACCTCTTTCGACAAATTTCTGACAGCCAAGCCAAGCCTTCTCAAATAATTGCTAGTCTTCCATGTCATATACCCCCCTCCCCTTGGTCTCCTAATAGGGTTTGCACCTGATTGTGACGTCACCACGTTCCAATAAACATTTCCAGTGTCTGCGTGTTTTTTTTTTTCAGAATTTCACTTATATATGATTATAATAATCAATAATTCTTATACGTTATGGGTGAATATTCCGATCGTCAATAAGCAGCACTACAAATCGCCGAAATTCCCCTACGTGATCTCGTTCGATTTTCTCTGCTTTCTCATCTGCTCAACATCGCTTATAAAAACGTGCCGAATTATTTGGAAGCGTCCGGTGTTTCATAAAAATCTACTCATCGTTCTAACATTTCATATTTTGTTATGGTTCGAGCAGGTGATTGGCAGACTAACGATGATCTCGTATCTTCTAGGGACCAGGTTGATTGGCGGTAAGTTGTGCAAATTCTCTGGTAACGCCAAACCAATCGGATCCGAAAAATTACAAATCGGATCCGACAAAATTCGACTCCGGAATCAACCCGATCCGATTGGTAATTCTACGGACAAGATTTGTATTTTTTCGGATCCGATTGGTAATTACTTGGATCCGATTGGTAACTTCTCGGATCCGATTGGTAATTGTTCTGATCAGATTTGTTTAGATAATTCGGATCCGATTCGATTTTTGTATTATTTCAGATCCGATTGGTAGTTTCTCGGATCCGATTGGTATTGAGTTACCAGAGTTTGAAATCATAAAATAATTGTATGGGTTCGATATATAAGGCATTAATTCTTCATGCCCATATATATTTTTTTTTAATGCGGGTCGTCGCAAAGAATTGAAGAAAATTAAAGAAAATCGCGATTATATAAGTAAAAGTGTGCATACACAGGCACGCAAAAGTGCACACATTCTATAATTTCTAATGAATTTTAAACCATTTTCAAATTTTTCCGAACAAAAATTAAGTAATTAAATTTAAAAAAAAAACCAAAATTTCGCTTTTTTACTAAAAAATTATATTTCATAAAATGCTTCGAGTATTCCCCGTGACCTCTGAATTGATTCTGAAAAATTTGCAGTTCGGTTCATATTTATTGTATAAAAACCAATAATAGGCTGACATTTTTACTATCGTATATGTTTTTGAAAAAAAAATGCAAACCAAAATAATTGCATTGTTGAGATCGCCGTGAGACCCGAAGGCATTTTTTTTCCGGGATGCGCCTTTGAAAACCCGAAAAATTTATGTTTTAATCACAAAATTATACTTTTGATAGTTAAACGATCACCTATTATAGACACAACAAAAATGTACGAGTATTTCTGGACGGATAATATAAACGAGATGGTGCCGATACCGTGTGTCATCGATGAATGGTCCCTATTCCTCGGAAGCCTTCTAGTCGTCCATTATTCGACATCAATGACCAGCTGCATATTCTTCATCTCAATGGAGCGCCTTTTCGCTTCATACTACCTCAATGATTATGAGAAGCGCTCGCGACGGCATATTTCCGTTCTGATCATCGCGATTTCTGTTGTCGTTTCGTGGATTGTCTCCATCATTTTCACCGCCAATATTCTCAATTTTGTCGCGTTTTACACAATTTCCGCGTTTGTTATATTGATATCGGTTTTGGTGAGAGAATTCCTTTCTTTTTTGGAAAATTATTGTGTAGAAATGTTGTCGTCAATTTAAATGCATTGTCCGCAATGGCGTTTTAGAAAACAAATTAGCCTGCCTGGAAATTGCACACGATGCGCTTCAATTTACGACAATTCACGGAGATGAATTTCCTCCCGCCTAGATTAGACATATTCATTTTCAGCTGCGGACATTGAACTCCACTGAAATGCACTACATAGTTTTTTTTTTTAGCTTTAAGACAATTTTTTGCAGATGTATTACCTTATATGGGTATATAATAAGAAAATCGCGAAACGAATGAGCACTAGCTTCCACTATTCATTAGCGAAACGGTTTCAAACAAAAGAGAATCTTCTTGCCTTAAAAGTTGGCACTCGCTCGAATTTAAAGGATCATGAAAAAAAGTTGCAGCTCACTCGTCGGGTCTCAATGGTCATCTTTTCATTCTTATTCATATTTTTTACAATATTGCTGATCACGTATAACAGTGTGACAACGTTTTATTGGAAATATTTCATGTATTCAATGGATACGGTAGTCAACATGTAGGGGAGAGAGGAGAGAGATCGTTGTGGGACCCTTATTGATTCCAGATACCCAATCATTTTGTGTCCCGTCGTTTTGACGTCGGTCGATGATTGGAAGCACGATGTTCTTCAGGAATTACCATTTCTGAAACTGCTTGTCAAAACGAGCAAAGTCGCCGAGAAAAGTGTCGAACTTCAAATCGAGTCGCAAAAGGTCGCGCATTTCACACAATTGAGCAATGTGTGGATTTGAGAATAAATATTGCTCGTCGAGACCCGCAACAATGTGCCCAACAAAAATTTTCTATAAATTTTTTAAAAATAAATCACTAACAGGAATATTTTTGATGATGGTGTTGAAAATTGGCTGCCCCTTTAAACATACGTCTTCTACTGCTCTAGCTGGACCACAAATATAGGCGAATCCAGGTGAAATCAGAAATATTTGGTTTTAACATCAAAGCGTCATTGTTGTGACCAAAATTGTTCAAATTTAACAATTTTTTTTCAAAATATTTTGTGTATGGAGATTTGCGTGCATCTCGCACGGACTAACTGGTTATTTTGTATTTTTGAGGTCACACCTTTAATTTTTAATTTCAATGATATCAAGTACTCAAGGAAATGATATTCTCATTAAGACCAATTAAACAGTCCACATAGAAATTGAAATATAAGCATGCATGAGTGGCGAGACCATTTCGAAAAGCGCACTCCGTAAATCAAGGACGCCGACTTTATCTGCTTCTGCTGAGACGCGAATCTCAGCGTTTTCCGATTCACCGATTTTTTTTGAATGGGCCACCGAATGTTTATAGCACCAAGAGTTCGGGGTGATCTCGAGCATTGAACACTTGCTCGTGTTGCTGGAACACCAATTTGGCGCGACCTTAATATATTCAGAATTTTTTGAAGAGTCTTTTGTGAAGATCCAAATCGACACTTTGTAATACGGAAGAATTAAATTTGTTGTTGACTAAATAAATCATAAAAGGAAAATATCTCGCCAAGAAAAATGTGAAATGAGTCAAAAGCGTCATAAAACAAACAATTTTCGATTCTTTGAACGTTTTTTTTTTGCCAAAACGCCCAAATTGAGGAAGGAAAAGGCTGTGAGCACAAATCGACTAGAGCAACATTTATTTTTGGCATTTCCCAATATACTCGAGTTGGCTTCTCATTTTTCTTTTGGTTATTAATTTCCGTAAGCGGGTTAACGGGTACACAAATTCCCACAATCTAATTTTGAATTGCCGCAAACATTCTTCGTAAACAAACAGTTTGCTCGTTTTTTTTTGCCATGGTTATAAATGTTAAAAATATGTGTAATTTTGCGTGCGTGTGCTCACACGAAACGCTCTCTTTTTTTTAATGACTTCCTCGTCGAACTTCGAATTTGAATGTCTCAAAGGACGGCTCGCCGCAATGCTCGTTATGGCCTAGAAAATTTAGTAGGCATCATCAAAAATCAAAAATGCAAGTGCGGCACACAGCCACAGGCTAATTTTTAAAATTATTTGAAGTTGTGGCTTTTATTTTGATGTTCAGTATTTGAATTATTAAAACACCCAGAATGTATACGTATTCATTTATTTCTACTTAATTAAATTAACAAATTCATCAAGTGTGGCCGTGGCCGAACCTAATTTTCAAAAGCATTTTTCTAGGCCACACCAGCGCTGCCATGAAACATCCTTTTTTCTATCAATCTCTCCCTTTTTTGCAGAATTTGTTTATGATAATAAAGGTTTCGAGTTGCAATTGCACACTGTGGATTCCATTATTCTTGATCCATCATCCGCACAATGCTCTCTCGTATTCGATAGCGCTTCTCGAGATCATCTTCTCAACAATTTGCTCGATTCTGGTTGTGAAAACGGCGTATGCGGTTCATTCGAGCAGTGTTTTCCACAGAAATTTGAATTGCTTATTTTTGTGGGCATCATTTTCATGGGGCGAATCGCTCATATTCAAGATTGTCACGTTATTCTATGTGACCGGATTGGTGTCGTCGGGTGGTGAGTTGAGTGCACCTTTAATTGACGTTACTATTATAACAATGTGAAATATTATTTCTTCAATTCAGCCTTTCATCAAAAAATCCTAATAGGTGATAAACCCGCTTCTGGAAAACGATTTTGCGCGACAAGACCAGATTAAAGGCGCACGATTTCTTTTCCCAATGATTTCTCCAACCGATCCTCTTATTTTCAGTGCCCGAAGATCAAATAAGTTTCTGGTACTCCGACGACCCCTCGATCTACCCAACGATCAACAGCATCTCTGACATCGTTCCGCTTTGTATTGCCTGTCTATTTCGATGGCACTACTTCTTCACGATGACAATGATGTTGTTCCAGATATCGATTGAAAGAATCTGCGCAACATATTACATATTGTAATAATAATATACAATTTTCTAGATGATTTTGCGAATTTCAGAGATTATGAGAAGAAGAAGCGGAGCCATATTTTCTATTCGCAGCTCATTTCCTCGAATCTCATATCGTTGCCGATGACATATATTGCCTTTTATAATGTGCTGGAATTTCGGAAAATATTCGCCGCCCTACTATTCCCGAATATTATTGCCAATTTTGTAAGAAAATCTCTAAATCTCTCCCTTATTTTTATATTTACTCAATGGTCCCCAATTTTAGTTATTCGTCTCTAATATAATATTCAATCATCGAATTATTAAGAAATTCAGCTATGACTCGACGAGCTATTCATTGGCGATGCGATTTCAAGCCAATGAGAATCTGAAAGCGATTACGGTATTTTTGTATCTCTTGAAATCGTGATTGACTCGATTTCAGTTGATCCAAAGGATCATGATTGCTGGATTCGTATTGATCATTTGCGGATTGTCGAGCATTGCGATTCTCGTTTTCGGATGGCTCGCCGAATTCAATGCCGTCATCATTTTTCTATTCGAGATCATGGCACACTTGTAATTGTTCATTTACGGACCATTCCTTTCGCTGATGGTTCCTTATTCAGAAATCCATTGATCCTCTGCCCATTGGTTCTGATATCGTTGAAGAAATGGGTTCATTCATCTCAGCGTAATCAAAAAATTCGGAATGATCCCGAGATTGACGTGTACTTCAAACAATTGAAAAATGCTTGGAAATAATTGGAAAATGATTTGCCATTTTCAATTCTAGACATAAATTATAATTCATATTAATTTCAGGTCTCAAGCATTAATTATTATAATTGACATTTTTGGGAACTGTAGAGTATTGCGACAAAATTTCGATGAAAATAATATGCTGAAAAGTTGTCGAATTAAAAAAAATTTCGTTGTGAGCCAAAAGGAAGGTATCTGTTTCTAAAAAAAGACTCTCTGAATTTTCCGCGGTTATGCGTCTTTAATCAATGATTTCATTTAATTGAAGCGATTTTTCAAGTTTCGAAAATATTTTTATTTATACAAATTAAAGATCTCACAATGACCGCTTCTGCTAGCTGCTTTTTTTCTCAGAAACAGACTATTTCTAATTGATTATTAATGGTGTTAAATTTTTTTTTTAATGATTAATGCAACAACGTCAAATATCCAGTAAAATGTTGTATATATTATGTTATATGTAAAAAGTGGGCGGAGCGTGGCAAATTGCCAATGGCTTATTGGGGTAGTTTAAGCGACTCCGTTCTGAGGAAAAAAAATGGAAAAATGTGATTCCGAAAAATTTATCATTTTTTCCATGAAAAAATGAAATAAAATTTAATTTTTTCTCTTCATTTTATTATTTTTTTTATTTTTTAACCCAACAGAATCACCCCATTGAGATCATGCATCATTGAATTAAGCGAAATCTAATTTCACAGAATTAATTTTTCCAGTTTTTTTTTTGCTAAAAACTGACTAATAGACATTACGCGAAAAATGCGAGCTTATTATATGTTTGAAAACAAAGAAAAAATAAATATCAAAAACAAAAAATGACGACGAATTTGTTTACATTTCCAATTGTTACTTTTTTTCTAACATTTATGATTTTCTCAAAAATGTCAAAGTTCAAATTGTTTGATGTGGGCGATTCGATAGCAAAAAAAGTCCGACCCTCAAGTAGTTATTTTTATTTTTATCTTTTTTACATTCAATTATTACCATCACATTCTTCGAGGCGGTAATTCAAATTCGACAGTGGAAATTCGGCTACCGTACTCTAGATAACCTGCGTATCAAACTCACTGTAAATCAACACAGGGTGCTCGTTTTTTTTTGCTGCGAACGTAATAAAAAATCAATTCTGACGATTAAATTGTTATAATTCGTACATTTGGGGTGTCGCTAAGGACCGCCAAACTTTTTTGCCGATTTTCTCGTGAAGACCTTTAGTAGACGTTGCGCAGTTTCTTATGAGAGTCTGCTAGAATTCTCGACACGAAATTTCTTCATTTTTTTGGAATCTTTTTTTTATAGTCAGGCGCCTGGTGTACGCGGGTAGATTTACGCGCATGCGCCTTGAAAAAGTCTCGCCACACGGCAATCTACCCACGTACAGCAATCTCCTGACGCCGACTATATTTGTTGTTGTTGTTTTTTTTTTTAAATGAATCGTCCCCCACTATTTAAGCGCCAAAATTGAATTTTCAGCGACTAATCGAATCATTAGTAATTTTCGCACGACTATTTCAGGCATGCCGTTTTCTAGTTGCTCCGCTGTGCTTGATTTCAGTTTTTCGCGTCACGTCTTCAATTTGCTTTTTCAGAAATGAAAAATGTTCGTGAGAAATTATAGTATGTTCCTTCGAAAAAACGAAGAGGCTACCGTGTTTTTTCTTGCCGATTGTTTTTTTTTTTTTGAAATTCATTGCAAAAATCGTACGATTCCCAAAAAGAGCCTTGTATAATTTCGGACCATTGCAGTTTTTCGAGGCAGAATGCCAAATTCAAAGTTAAACCAGTGGGAATTTTGATACCGAATAACCGGCTCATCAAACTCAGCTACCAGAATCGGTGGCTGTCCGTCGCGGTACAAAGAATCCTGTCTTGCGCCCTTAATCGCCATATTAATTATTTTTAAAAAAAATATTTTAAACTTCACAAATGACTTTAAAAATCGCTAAATTCGCTAATATTCTGTTCAATTTTCAATTATTGTAAAAAACAGCAAATTTTCCAAATTTGGCTAGCAATAAATTGGTAGAATAAAAAAGGGCTTATTCTCCGTCTTTTGACACCCATAAAAATAACAATAGTTCTCAAAATTCATTTAAAAAAATTAAATAAATTTCATATAATATTGGTTAAATCTCGCTCCTTCGAATTTTTCTCCAAATTCGCTAATATTTTAATTTTGTGATGTTCAAATATAGTCGGCGTCCGGCGGGTAGATTTACGGGAGATGCGCCATTCGAATTGGTCTTGCGCCGAAAAACTTATTCTTTTTTATGTAATGTCGTTGGAAATTCAAGAAAATGTTGATCGTTCACGTGAAAATCACAAAAAATGCGATCACGCGTTGCGAGACCTTTTCAAGTAAATCTACAATAGTCGGGGATTTTTTTTCTCAAAACCAGACAATAAACGTTTATTTTGTTGTCGAATTGCAAAAATAAATGTATTTTTGCCTAAATCTGAAAATTGTTGCAGTTTCGCATGATAGTGAAGGTGTCGGATTGCGATTGCACACTGTGGCTCCCAGTATTCGCGCTTCATTTCCCGCAAACCGCTCTCTTCTATTCGCTAACCGTCGCCGAGCTCATTTTGTCGCTCATCTCGTGCTCTCTGCTCGTTCGCACGATTCGCGCGATTTTCTCGAGTTTTGTGTTTCACAAAAATTTGAATCTCGTGCTGATTTGGACGATTGCAATGTGGATCGAATCGCTCGTCTTCAAAATTGTTTATGTGTTTTATTCGACTGGCATCGTTGAAGTTGGAAGTGAGTCGTTTTGAAAAATAAATGTTTCGAGAGAGAAGTTTTTTTTTTAAAGAATCTTTCAAACTGCCTTTTTACTTTGTCGTTTCACCGCGGCCGCGACGCATACGCAACGCGGCCAATATTCGGCGCGCCTCGGCTTTGAAACAACAAGCTTCGCTTTTTTTTTGTTTTGTCGAAAACCTCACAGTGCCGTAAAGCTCAAGTTATTCTGGGAAACGTTTTGTTGTTTTTCTTTTAAATCCAAAATCTTGTTTATGCCCATATTTGCCTTTGCAACACCATGTGATATAAAAATAGCGAATTCAATTTATCGGATTGTCGTTGGTTGACGAGTTTGAAAAGATCAAAAAAACTTTGTAGTAACTTTGTAGCATATATGTTGGAGTTTTTTAGTGCATTTCAAACAAGATTCAATCGAAAATGATGCCAAGATTATTTAGGAAGAAACTCGCAACATTTTGCGTAGGCTTAAATTAAAAGTTGAGATGTAAATTAAATTGTAATTCCGCAGAGTACACGCGCCGTGTTTGCGTAATTGAAATGTATTGTCCGCTTCTGAAAAAGAGAAACGAAAACGGCAATTATTAAGCCGTGTGGTCAGCATGTTTTGAGTGGGGGGCTCGCGATTTTCAACGGACAAGGTTGAGACCTTCATCAATCGATTGGTAATTAAATTTAAAAGGAAATTTAAACAAAAACGGATAAAAGTTGCTGAAAATGGATAAATACTGATTCCCATTTAATCTATGATGTATCAAAGTTGTGCCATTTGATCTACGCCTTATTCCTACCCAATACCGATTATTTCAGTGTCAGCAAATCAGACCAATTCGTGGTATTCGGAGGACGATCTAATGTTTCCAACAATCATCCCAAATTCGACACTCCTGCCGCTACACATCGCCTGTATACTTCGATGGCATTATTTCTACTCGTTGGCATCTCAGATGTTCTTTTTCGCCGTTGAACGATGCTGTGCCACATATTTCATACTGTATGTGATTTCTTAAAAATCGACTGCCAGCATTGGAATTTTTTTTTGCAAATCGCTTAATTACCGTTATTGGAATCGCGTCACGTGGCACTTGATTAATTTTTTTGACTTTCTAGAATATATTTAGAAACGATTTGCAGAGATTATGAGCAGAAGAATCGGATCTATATATTTTATTCGATTTTCATTGCTTCGAACGCATTTTCGCTTCCAATGTCATTCTTAACCTATTATACTTATATTCGATTTACCGCTGCATTTTCTTATATAGCCATTCCCAACATTGCTGCGTTTGTGGTAAAACCAAATCAATTTTTTAACGTTTAAAATATCAACAAAATTATATGGAGCAAAACATTTTCTTTTTTTTAATATTAACAAGAGAAATTTCATTTTTCTGAAGATTTCTATTTGAAACTGAAAAAATAAATTTGCTGAGCAAATTTTGGGACAGCTCACCCGGTGAGTCGCCCAAAGCCTGCTCCGTAAGCATCGAGCAAACACGTGGCAACGTTCGCCCCGGGGGTTCCAAAATTCGCTGAGCGGAATTTTTAAAATGTGCCAAATCTGAAAAAAGAAACTTCGCCTTTTCAGATGATCATTTGCAGTTATATAGTGAATAAGAGAATAATGAAGAAATTTGGTGAAGGCGCCGATAACTATACGCTAGCTATGCGATTCCAAGCACACGAAAATATTAAAGCCATGAAGGTTATCAATTCTTTCTTTTCGACAAATTCGAATTTTTTTTTCAGCTAATTCGTCAAATCATTTTCTGCGGTTTCATATTTGTTATACTCGGCCTATCTTGCATTTTCTTAATGGTTCTCAACATTTTCCCATCGATCAATGTGGCAATTGTGGTTTTGTTCGAGATCATCGCGCATCAGTAAGAAGCCAATGTCCGGCAATGTGCGAAATTGTTTGATTTCAGAAACATGCTCATTTTATGCCCAGTGTTTTTGATGGCGGTGAACAAATGGCGAGATAAGCCCGCTGAAAAAATGAGTCGTTCGATTCATCAAGATCAAAACGAGATTGAAGTCTATTTTAAACAGTTGAAAACTGCTTGGAAATAGAATTTAATTTAATTTTTTTTATTGCTCATTTTAATTAAATTGCACTTTTAGTTATGAAATTTTCAATTTTCAAAAGAATTATTTTTTCATTTCCTTTTGAAATTAAAAAAACGCAAATGTGAAATTTCACATTTTTATTTTCTGAAGATTTTGAGACAAAACTGATATTCTCTGCTGATTCGTTAGGTTTGATTACATATGGAAGAAAATGTTATAAGCATAACATAATGCGTTTCAAGCAAGTGCCGGTCTTACATTTGACTCCACCCACTAAACTTGCTGAACGTGGCCGATGAAAAACTAGGCCACCAAAAATATTCCCTAAAACTCTAGGAAGTAATTTTCTTTTTATTAATTTACCCAGACAAAAGTATCTAGAAGAGGACTAGTTTAAAAAACCGTTACGGGACCCGTCTACTCGGCAGTATTCAATCGAAAAATAACAATTAGGGACACAATTTTAATTGTCGGCCTGCGCCAATTGAATGTCATCGTCATTGACATCGGCCTGATTGGCGAAACCTCGGCGAGCCATGACACCTCGAAGCCAGGAGACGAGATAGCAAAAGAGAATGAGACTAATTAGGAGGTCGTCCATCAGTCCTTAATTATGATAATTAGCAGGAATTCATCAGATATGAGATCTACCAATGGCGCCCATCGTGCTCTCCGGCATCAAGTCCATCGGATTCAAAAAGTAGAACACGATGCTCATCGCGATGACCGCAATCCGAATTCTGGAATTGAATCAAGAATGAGAATACGCTTGAAAAATTAACCGTACCGATAGAAAATGGTGATGAGGTCATTGTTGAAGAAATTTCGGCACAAATATGGAATTACCACCGGAATATCGCGAATATAATCAAGAATCTGAAATAAATAGGTGAGAATCGAAAAGAAATTAGCGGGTTTGAGACACCAATATCAAAATTAGCATTCAAAAAATAAATCTCACCGTACGATTTGTCGAGAATCTTCGATTATAGTCATTGATTCGAATGTTGTTCTCAAGGAGTTGCTCATTCGTCATTTCTCTCTCATCCTCGACACCATTCTCATCATCTTCTTGTGCGGTTGGATTAATATGAGAGGGCCAGTTAAGAGGAAGAAGCATGTGAATCTAAACCAAACACTTCAATTTCCCAAAATTCGAATGTGCAAAAGCTAACCACAGTCCGGCAAATCGCGCATTGCACCGGCTTCAGAATAGAAGTCGTATGCTGCCAGTAGCCAATTATGCAATCACCTAAATTTGGAGTTGTCAAGACATATTTAAATCAGCAGCATGAAAAATAGAAACCACGCGGTTTTCAACAAATTTAAAAAATTTTTGAAAAATGGCTGTCGTGGAATCTAGCGCTCAAGTACGCAATACACCGAAACGATTTTACCGTAATCCGTACAACAATTTTTTATTTCTGCTTTTTCATAATAACCCCAAATTGGGTTTCTAAATATGCCGATTAATGGAAAAATGTTTGGTAATTGATCTCGCGCCATTCAGAATCAGACTACGAAAATAGAAAACGACTTACAGCAAAATACATGCCCGCAATCCGTGAGCAGTGCGAAATGCGCGACTCCGAGACAAATCGGGCACTCATGATCAGTCTGATTCTTCGCTTCATCCATTCGCTGAAACGATGCCTCTAGCATGGCTACACACTGTATTAATGATTACTCGTCTCGTCGATTGCCGCTGCCTCTCCATTTGCTCTTCGTCTCGCCGAAACTCATTGATTTCGGCCTCGTTTTCCGGATGAATGTTTTGCCGACGTCGATATCGACGTCCTCTGAACAACCAATGATGAGATGAAATCGCAAAGATTTGAAGATTACATGATTCTGACGATTTCCGGTGAGAATAAATATCCTAGGGTTACCACGACGACCATCATGAACCAGAAAACTCGCACAACCTCGTCGCCGACACCTTGAAAATGAATTGAAATGAACGATTTTGTGGATTTGGGAAAAAATTGTCGTCAAACAAGAACAATGCGTTGGGTGAAATTTCTGAAAAAGTTTGAAACCTAAAATCTAATCTTTAAAATTAAAAAAAAAATGAAATTACGGACAACTTTGGAAAAAAAAAACTTACTTTGGAATCTTTTCATAAACTTCTTACACAATTTTGATATTTCGGCCTTCTATTTTCAGTGGCTTTGAACAATTTAGGCGTCGATTAAAATGCAAGCCCGCAAAATTAATGCGACGTGATTGCACAGTTTATATAAATTATGTTGCGAACTAGAAATTAAAATCACAAGAGAATTTTTCAACACGAAATTATTCTCCGATTATTTTTCGATTGCAGATAAAAAATTTCGAAAAATTTTAGTCGTCGTTCAAGACTATTTTCGAGCAAAAATGGTAACCTCAAGAAATGTGCAATATTTGATTTGAAAATTTCAATTAGAAAAACAAACCTTCAATAGTCGATTTCACTGGCTCGATTTGTTCAGTCGCTTCCATTGTTATCTGTAAGCAAAAACAAGAAAAATTAGGCAAATAGAAAATGTTGTGCGTGAGCCAAAAAAACGAGAGGTGTGCCATTTATGCGTTAGTTTTCGAATCCAAAAGGAATATATCGGCAGGATAAACGTGTAGTAGTGGCAGCGAGATGTCTGTGACTACATCATATGGATCATCGTTTGATTCGGAAAGCAACGTTATTTCGTTGGACAATAAGGTTGGTTGCGAAATGGACGGAGGTGGTGACGCCGCATAGAGTCGCTGCGTGGCCGCGGCCGCCGTTATTTAACGCGGCCCCCTTTTTTGGATAATTCACGCCTAGTGGATGGATGGGTTTGAGTTGCGAAGATTGACTCCGCTAACTATGCTAATTATGCGAATGTAGAAAACATATCATTAGAATTGGAATTTTAGCTCATTACTATATGTCAAGCCTCCGTTTTTGGAGGTGAGCCATGTTTTTGGGATATGTAGAAATTTTTTGGCGGTATTTTGAAAAATATTAAATGCACAACAATTGTTTGAAAATTCCTTTGTCATAAAACTAAAAAAAACTCAAAAAAATATTTACTGTAATATTTAAAGGCGCATACTACAAAATTTGTTGAAGCTCACAATACATATATTGAATTTAAAAAAACTTTCCACATTCATGAAAAAAAAATAATTTGAAGGAATTTAATCTAAAATTAAAGGCGCAGGTAAATAATTGAAGATACTCTTGAAGCGAATTAGGAGAATATTTTCATGTAAAAATATGAAATATCAAAAATATTGAAAGAAAATTCACAATTTTTATGGTTTCTTGAATTATTTTTCGAAATTCGTATCCTATGTGCACGTATAGAAATGAAATGCAATGGGTGTGATTATCACCAACAATAGAATATAACGAGATTTGGTGAATGCTGGAGGCTAGAGACGCGAAGGTGCAAAAGAGGAAAAGCATTGGAATAGCGAATCTATGACTTCTTTTCGATCTCTTCAACGAGCCAACTGATTGCAGATTATTTCACTTGAGCTCTTATCGGACAATTATGAGAAATATGTGGAAAAGGTTTGCAAATTTCGTTGGTTTACTGAACTCCGAAAAAAAAAGATTTTTATAGGCGGAATACTTGGAATATAAGGTGAAAGATTATCGGCGAAATCATCGAAAAAATGAGAAGGAGGTTTTATTTTTTGTGGTTTTTTTTTCGATTTTCGATATTGATGATGCTTAGATGTCGCAGAAGCTCGCTGCAATGAAGAATTCTTTTGAGCGAGTTGGTAATGAACTGCGCGAGGCTTGCGATAATCGATTGGCGAAGCTGAAACAGACATTGCAGCCGTTGCTCTCGTATGGATTGGTTGAATTCAAATTGCTCAAATTGTTTTTCAGCTTCAGCCCGGAAGCGATTCAGAGTGTTGGCCAGAAGCTCGACGAAAATGAGGAGACGGCGATGCTGAAACACAAAATCATGAAGATCATGTCGAAAATATCGGGAATCGAGGCGACCGCAAAAAGCACCACCGAGTTGTCGGCGCGAGTTGAAAACGATCATTATCTGTTGGGAGCCGCTGAGAAGAAGGCAATCGAAGATTGGTGTCTAGCGAATTTTTGCGAGTTTTCAGCAGAATGATGCGATTGCGCGATTCGAGGAGGTCACACGAGTGTTGGCTTTGGCAAATGATATTCCGCAAAGTGATGTGGGTTTCGTCGAATTTTTTTCCTTTTTCCAAATTTGCAAGATTAGTTTTTTGGAATCTTGATTTTTACTAACTTGAAATTTGAAAATCAAAAAGAATAATATAACTAAAGAAAATGAAAAAAAAAATACAATATGTGGGCTTCTTTAAAGGCGCATCAGAAGAAATATTTTTTGACTGATTATTAAAAGGTCGCACCTGATTTTTTTTATCGGATTCTGTTTTTCATAAACTGGCTCTCTTTACTGAGGAGTTAATTGATGATATGCGAACGTCTGGATTTATTAAAATTCATCTGCGGACAAATTCAATTCCCAATATTGTCACGATGAAAAGCCAATTGATGTTTTCAGGAGCGCTTTAACATTGTCAATGCTCCGATGGCCCTTTTGGCGTTGACACTGACGCCCAACATTGCTCCATTTTACAGGCAGAAGCTCAAGGTCTGTATCGTGATTGCTCGAAATGATCTTGTTTAGTTTCTAGAGCCTTGAAGAGCGCTTGTCGGTGATTGCGGCTCAACTTCGATTCAACAATGGTAGCACTAAGGTGGGATTCGTGTGGTGTGAATTTGAAGCACTCGTCTCGACGCCATCGCTTTTTAGGAAATGACGACACTCGATGGCGAAGTGACGACGACGAGCTTGTCAACGGCGACCGATGGGCGTTTTAAGAATGGCGAGATTTCCGGCAAATCGACAGATCCCACCGAGTATCCCGTTGCTCGTTCGCTGTAATTATGGAATAACAGAAAATGCTTCATTTTTGAGAATAAAAAAAATTATATTCGGATTGAGTTGGTGATTTTTGTGCAATTTTGCGCCGCGGTATATTCATATGAAAATTATTATTTATAATTATTGCACATCATAAGAAAAACAACAAAAAATTGCCAAGAATGGGAGAAAAATAACCAACTACTGACGACACTCTGCGTTTACGGTGCCCTTTGTTTAGCGTAAATATCGTCGGCGGCAATTCAAACAAAGGTGATGCGTGGGTCCCGTTTTTTTGGCAACTCTGCAAATCCGCACGTTTCTCGAAGCGAAAAATTAATTTTTTTTTCGCTGCAACATCAAACACACTTAAAATTACGTCATCGACGCCGACCGACCGCCGAGATTATTAAGCTGCTCTCGCGGTTTTACCACTGCAACTGCGCTAACAGACGAAAAATAGTTAAAAAATAGTTGAAAAATAGTGCAGACTTTGGATGAAAGAGGGATCTGTAACAGATCTATTTTCAAGTCTATTTTTCATCAGCGCTTCATCTATTTCTCAGCCATTCTCTATCTATTTAGCATCTTGGATTCATCTATTTTTCATCCATTTTATGTCTTGTCTCTGTCCCTCGTTCTTGCATTTTTCATCAGTTTTCTATCTATTTCTCATCCATGATTCATCCTTTTTTTAACCCATTTTTGTCTACTTCTTGTCTCTTATTCATCTATTTTGCGTCTATTTTTCTTCTGGATGGTTTTTATGAAAAAACAACAGTAAACGGAAAACAACAAAATAAAAAAATAGAAAAATACAATAAATTGTTTAACATTAGAAATATCAAATTTCAATTAAATAGAAAAATGCTGATTGAAATATTCAGCATCGGGCTTCAGTTTTTTGAGTTGGTGCTCTTTTCCAATTTTGATAGCCAAACTATGCGCCATAACTTTGCTAGCGTGGTGAGATCCTTTCTGATCGTTATAATTTGAACGAAGGCGATCGCTAAAAGTACATGGTGTTATTTAGTGAAACATTCGCATAACTACATGAAAGTAATCGCAGACTCTTTGATTTGCACAGCAACTGAAGTAGCTTGATCCGTCGTTGGAGCAATATCTAATCCAATGAACAATGCTTCTTAATTTTTTTTTAACATTGTTCACATATGTATGTATTATCAGAATTACCAGATATCATTTGATTAACAGCAGAATCCATGTGGAGATATTCCAGACGAGCACCAGGCGTTCCTAACAAGGTATAAGCTATCAGGTAGTTATCCTTATCGTAAATCTGCAAAATATATATGAGCTCTATCTAAGACAACTTTAAACCTCGGCAAATACATGACGCACCAGTTTCGATGCCGATGTCAGAAGGTTTTGACCAATACTTCCGACAAATTTTGAGCAGATTTCTGCGATATCGACAACTACACCCGACGGCAGTGTGTATTTACAGTGTTGGTGATTCAATAAGCAGCCTTGGAATAGGTAGATGGTCTCATCGATATCAACATTATTCTGAAAAAGTTCACTGCACATATCATTATGCATTCAATACCTTTTTCCAGATGCGCGTTCGATATTCGTCTAGTCTATTAAACTGAAAAAAAAAAACTGTATAGTCCATTGTCCGAGCAGATTAAAATTTTCATACCATAATGGCCATCCCGCACATACTCATCCACATTTCTTTCACGCCCTCATCTTTCTCTGCTTCGGCTTTTCTTGCAAAAACGTCCACGTCAATTCCATTTGTTGCGTTTTTTACAAAGTTATTTACTGAACTCTGGAATGAATTTATCTTTAACAGCAAATCTATGTTCATTAATTGTTACCTTGACTTCATCGTAAGATTTCGCTATGTCGCCACCAGAGAAAATTACACGGCGTGCAAGCTGTGATGCGTTGAGGTATCCATCTTTAACCAGCGGCTCATTCGACTTCTAAATTGAATGAAACATTAAAGATATTGGTTGTATGGCAAGGTGTTCCGAGTGCGACGAAATAGTAGACGCAGACACCTATACACTCTCACTAATGCATAGGCGAGTTTTCCTTTGCATCTCTGCGCCTCCATCTCACTATGAGAGGGAGGCCCAGCCCCTTTTTTTTGGGAGTTGGTACGCTTGCCGCTTTACAGGCCGGATGCCTCCGGGCACCGGCCCATCTACATTTATTCACAATAAACCATATTTAATCACACTGTGGATATCTGGTCAGCTAGTCAGGGCATTGACAGGTTAACGGTACTCTCCCGTATGGCGCCGGGAGAGGATGCGTTACACGAGGCAAATAAAAGTGAAATTAAGAATTTACCTTGTTTGTGCGGACATGGGTAACTATATCCAAAGGATCGCGCTCCGTGGTTGGCTTATTCCGATGCAATGCATTTGATGATGTTTCGTAATACTGTAAGAAAGACGCCAGAACAATATTAGTAAAAGAATAAAACAAAATTACATCATAGTATTTATGAGGAAGATGTGACCTCCGGTGGCTTCTTCTCTGAAAATAATGCAATATATGTAATTTTGAAGCTTGTTTTTATTTTTCCTATGTCTGTGATTACTGTTGTTGTCCGTGTTCATAATTTTGTGTATGGCATAATTATTTAATTATGCATATTTTAACCCCTTCCAGAAATATTTCAACATGTGACCCACGAGTAAAATCAAAGTAAAACATACTAAGAATACGTCCTCAGCCTTATTTGTCGATTCCATATCCTCAATTAGCGTACTTCCTTCTTCTTCTTCTTCTTCTTCTTCTTCATATAATTGTTCTATAAGTACAAAAATAGCTTTAAAAATACACGAGTGTCGTTAATTTTTTTTCTGAGTGAAACTAATTGCTTATCGTCGAGAATATTTGAAAAAAACAAGTGTAAATAAAATGTTGTACCGTTGAAATGTTCTCGTGGCTGCAGGTATTCAAATTTTTTCTTCTTCGACAATGGTGAAGCTCTTGGTTCATGTTCTGCCATGCTGTTCCTAAATTTACATTATCCGATTTAAATTACTGTTTAAAATGTATTGTTCAAATAGGTTACAAACCAATTTAACGTGAGAAAATTGATGAATTCAACGACATGATAAACGATTTATATATTTTTTGACATATATTTAAAGAGACAAGGAGTGAAAAAAATAGTAAGCCTTTATGCATGATATCCGCATCCTGTAGAAACGCACATTGCGATGTACCCATTCGATATTTCGATCAAACAACCTATACCAACAATTTCATCCAGACCGATAAAAACCTCCTCCGTTGAGATCTTCCCGTTGCATAAGAATGAGTACTTCCTGCAGAAAAATAAAATCGATAGAATACAGTTTTAGAGAGTAGTTTTCTCACCGCACAATCTCATACAATTTTCGATATTTCAAGTTCCTTAACCACGTGAAACTGTTGTATTCTTCTTCAAACTTCTGGACGCAACACATCCATCTTTCGGCTTCTTTGAAAACATAGATAAATCTAAAAATAACGTCATAAAAATATATGAACGATCTTTGCTCACCTGCAGACTCTCATTGAAGAATTTTTGGTGAACAATATATCTTTCTTTGTGTGGATTCCACAATGTTTTGACCGAATGATTCCAAAATTCAAGTGGTACGCTCCAAACGTGTTTTCTCCGTTTGGTCCCATAATATCTAAAGGTTTCGAAGCTCCAGAGAATGGAGTTTGCAATGATGGCGCATATTTACAAAAGTTGTTCAATAACGCCGATGGGCTTTGTGACAATCTTCGTTTAATCTCTCGTTCGAGGTTCACTCGCATAACATATCTGTAATATTCATTCGTGTTTTTTTTAAATATATTTTAATACCTATGAAGTACAATTCCAGGAAAATTGTTTGTAATATGGGTACAAAAATCCCGAATTAGAAATTTGTACATTGCTTCAAATGACGCAGTAGATAAGCACGCAACGTTTCCAAACATCTTGACGTTGTCAACGTAGTGGTAAATGAATTCCTATATATGAAACCATGATTGCGTTGTTCAAATATTTTGGACATACATGCAGTTTGATTGTGAAGTACGTTGGAGAGTTATCCAAAAAACATTTTTTTGCAACGTCACACAAGTCAAAAGTATCCCTATGGTTCAACATTCCATTCGTGCACATATTATTGAAAATAAGACCTAAAGCAATAATTGCACATCGTCCATCTGAGGGTAAACTTGAATTGCAGATAGCAAACAAGAAAATTTGAAGTCTGAATAACTATAAGAAAAATCTAAAACATTATATCTGAAACATACATCTAGTTTTTGCCTTCCGTTAGTGAGCAATCGAGTCAAATCGGCTCCTTCAATTGGCAATTGTAGATGTTTGTCGAAGTTTTCGAGCATGGTTTCATCGCATTCGAACATTGCAGATTTTTTTCTTTGAACATCTAAACTTTTTAGGCATGAGCTCTGGAATTTCTGCCGTTTTTTTGGTCACACTTAATTTTGATACCTTTTAGTATCAACATTACAATTCCATCTGAACAAGTGTGAAGAACATCCAAGATTGTATTGTACGGCTTGACATATTGCACCATTTTCGCCGCAACAGGACCAAATCCATTAACACCGCGAATACTATCTTCTAGAGTCTTATCCCCAAATCTGTCCAATCGTCGATCTTAAATCAATATAAGCGATGAATAAGAGGGTTTAAAATTATTATTGATTATTACCGTTTCCAAGTAGTGGTTTGTGCAGAGTTCCGTGAGAGTCGCAATAAAAACAAGCTTGTGGACTTGAAAAACCGCTCATTCCAAGAATTTTTCTTTTTGCTTTAAACTGAAATCTATAGAAATTTTTATCACTTAATCCTTACTGGTTGGTCAGAAACGAGTGACACGAGGTATGGAGAAAATAAAATATTGTTTACAACAAATGTTGACCCTTCGCCTTCCAATCGATTCATTATAATTTCCGTGACGGTATTCAAAACAAGGGTTGTTGGATTATTAGCTTTTAATTGCAGCATTCCACAGACTACAAGATTAATTGAAAGTTGCGACTTCATTGTAGGCAAATCCACTAACTGTAAAGTAATTGGCCACAAACTTCCTCTAAATGGCACATCTTTAATAAACAAATAATAATAATACCTGAAATGTCCTCGGGGATTGACGCCGTCCAGACTTAGCACCATGCTCAGATCACAATGATTTTCATCCTCGTATTTCCATGAACTGGAAAAAGAACTTCCTTGAAGATTGTGTGTGAAGTTTGGTGCTTTTTCCTTCAATTTCTTTCGAATTTCCATTATATCGTCAAAGGACGACTCCACAATCCCGCGAATTTGTTCGGTGAGAGGCAGCATAAGAAAAGTCGCCAAATCGCCGCAACTGAAATTGATCATAATAATGTTTGAAATGTGGTATATGTGTTTACCATTCTTTCTCTCTTCGACATCCACACTTTTCGCATATTGAACGCTTCATAATATTCTTCTTGAAATCATACCACAATGAGCGGGCTCTTTCAATCGGGATGAAGTTTTTAATTGTTGCCAGTCGTCTCAAAAAGCCTGCAACCATTTTTTGTCTTTGGAAAAGTATTAGTTTTACCATTTTCTGTATCTTTTCCGAGTACCGAACTATACATGCACAATAATAGTTCATCGGCCAATTCCGATACACGATCATGTGCGGGGTAATTCGGTACGCATGACGGCCCGACTACTTCGGAGAATTCTTCAATTTCGCTTTCAGATCGTTCTCTCATGAGAAAGGATGTTGTTGATGGATCATTTTCATTATTTTCGTTGTTCGACGATTTGTTTCGAAGTGAAAGCCGGGCGTTTTTTCGAGCAAAGACCACACGTTTGGTCGGCATGCATCGCGAACCAGCAATTTGATCTTAAAATAATAAACAATCAGCAATATTAATATACGAAACAAACCTACCTTTCCTCAATTTGAGACCTTCTTTGGGTAATCGATGGCGAAGAGTTTTAGGCATTTCCAAAATTGATTTTTAAAAAAATTGTGATTAACATGGCGCCATCTGCATTCACATTACGATCAACTGCACAATTCCATCTATTTTTCACCCTTTCAGTGTCTATTTCTTATCATTATCTTCTATCTATTTTTTCCCAATTTTTCATCTATTTGTCATCCATTTATCGTATATTTTTCACCAATTTTTGAGATAATCTATTTTTCGCCCATTTTTCTCCTAGTTTTTATCTACTTTTCCGAGTAATCTATTTTTCATCCACCTTTTCACCATTTTTCGTCTGTAGCACAGTTGCAGTGTTCCGTCGAGCTGTTTTGTTATTTATATGTGTTGAATTGGCGCCCCCCCCCCTTCCCCCCTTCCTCTCCGCTTCCCCGCGTGCAGCACCAGTGTAAACGTCGTGATTCGCGGCCTCAAATACAATATATGTATAGTCCTTCCGGTTTTGCACCCTCAATTAATTTCCATTTTTGCTCTTCTTCTAATTTTAAGAGAATCATATTTCGTTGACCTCTTTTCTTGAAAATGACACTCGAAAACCGAAGCTAGAAACGACCTTGTAGGCTTTCACTTCAAACCGAAATAAAGGTAATTTAGAATCGTGTTCAGATCATTTCTTTGCGAGACCCAAATCTCTGAACTTTTCCCTCATGATCCTTAATACTGAATGTTTTGACAAATTTCGCCACGAGACCCGAAGTTTAATGGGGTTTTTTTTTCCAATAAAGGAGGTTTTCCGTGACCTTAATTTGGTAAACATCCTCCCTCAACTTTCAATTCGAAAAGGTTTCCATTTCACCCCTCTTCCTCACCCTCCTCCTCCCGTTGCTTTGATTCATTATTTCCCATCTGCGGACATCGATCGATGTTTATCTCTTCCAGTCGAGGTCATTTTTCAATGTTGCTCATTACGAAATTCGCTTGTTTTCGCAACACCTGTTGCAAAACAATATCATTCCAGCAAAACGTTGGCACCTACAAACAATTTTTTCTTGATTTCGATTCTTCAAAACGCTTTCAATAAATCAACAGAAATGAACATTCATATATAAAACAAATGGGTCGTTTCGAGTTGTAAAAATGCTCTCCGGATTTCTCTTTCCGAGTGTAACAAAAGCTGTGGGGTTGTGGGCAGCGAGGACGACATAGTTGAAAGAAAAGGAATGAAGCGGCCAGTCGAATAATAATAATAAGAATTATTTGCGCTCGCCTGTCCGCATCATTGTTTTTGCATTGTTTTTTATTCATCGAATTCTGTCGCCCAAAAATTATTGTTGAAATGTTTCGTTGAACATGGCCAGCTTCTCCTGCTACTGAACCACTTGAGTATGCGTTGCCACAAACAATGAAACACGCTCTTTTCGGTGTCCGTTTTGTATAGGCAAATTTCAAGAGTATTTGGCCACTTTTCGGCCGCTGCGATATGCCTCTATCAATAGTTCATGTGGCTAAAGCTTCATTTATATATAAATGAATATTTTTTAAGGCGAATTTGGTTCGGTTTTCTATATAAACTCCAATAAAAACTTTATTCAAAACTGAAATGCTACTGTAGAAATATAGTGTGCATTCACCATGACGACAAAACGCGGTTTCTTGTTCGCTAATTTCCTGCTCAAATTTCAGCTTTTTGTTTTGAAACTTTAGAAAAATAGCGAAATTTTTCAACAAATGCAATACCACAAAATTGTTTGCTTTTTCTTTGAAATTTTATGAGAAAACAAATTTTCTTCAGAAATATTGAATTCGAGTGGTACTGTAATGATCGGAATTCTGCATTCACAGGGACGATATTGCGCACCCAGATTTCTCTTTTATTTTTTGCACGATATTTTCCCAAATTTCTGGTTTTTTGTTGTGAAATCTTCGAAGCTTTGCGTAATGCCCGAACAATTGCATGACTGCGAACCTATCAATTGAATGCGCATCTATAATTTTTGCCAATTACGCTATAATTATAGAATAAGCGTTGATGGAATTGAAATGATGAATGGTCATGTTTCATTGTGCAATGAAATCAGGAAAATTTTTTTCCAATTTGTTTTAGACTTATTTTCTGCCCTAATTTGGCCTCTTTGACAACCATTTGAGTGGCCTACCAAGCCAATAATATGAGCCCCCCCCCCAACCCTTGTTTTGTGTGCAAGAGAGCCACCACTCGAAACCGATTCCTGTTTGCCTTTTCACTTTATTTTCGTGTTCATTCAGCTTGTCGCCCTCCAACTCATGCTCATGGATTGACCTAAGCCAAGACGCACAAAAAACACACACACACACAGAATTCAACTTGACCCGAATCGTTTTTGAGATTAGTTGCGATTAAATGTGTTCGTGTTATGAAGGAAATGACTCACTCTTCAATAGTGTTTCTTTTTTTTGGTGTTTGCAGACCGGTTATCATCCACTTCATAATAGAGTCATATTTCCGGCGACAACAACATTTATATAAATGCATTCTTTCACTACTCTGATTCTTTTTGGCAAGAGTCTGCGGCGAAACCTTGATTCATGTCCGCAGCATTGCTATACCAATTAGGACTTCTTTTGAAAATCGCGAACGCCGTCCAATTTTAATTGCGCAACACCTGTTAACCTTTCTCCTCCTTTCATTTATTGCTTTTTGGTGTTTCGGCCTATATACGGTCATCGGTGTATGTGGGAAATTTGAAATTCGCGCCATCCTTTTTTTTTTCAAGAGTCGGTTATGTTCTTTTTTTCTGGAAAAAATTGAATTTTTGCTAATTTTATTGTTCTTTTTTGTTCCGAAAATCATCAAAATTTATTTCTTTTTCAAAAAATCGTGATTTTTTCGCGCAAAGACTGCTTCGAATTAGAATATCGCATATCGATTCTGATGCGCCTTTAAGAGCTTCTCAAATCTGGTTTTCATTCTGATTCTTTTTATTACATTCTCCTTCAAACCCCAAATCGGGCTTGAGTATTTTCGTACGCTATCGGACATTTGTGTCCAAAATACGAAGATTTCAACCATTTTTGGAAGTCGAAAAAAAATGTTTTTGAAATTATTCTTATTGCCAAAGGCGTACGCGACCATTTGGAGAGTTGGGTCTCGTTTCGATTTAAGCATCATTTCACCTCGAATTGTCCGTGTGAATTACACATGTGTAGCTTTCTTCTCGAGACCTTCCCCCGACAATATACATCCAAGAGCGAAAACCAAAAATTCTTGAATCCTGTCCCAATTTCCATTCTCGGCTTCAGCCATCGCGAGTTACCTAGTTGTTTGATGACCCGAACAAAATGAGTTGCAACAAGATCAATGAGAATAGAGGCCATAGGCAGTAGGGGAAAGGGAGACGAAGAATAAACAGTACGCTTCGTCACATCTCATAAATGTCGGTGTGCGATTCTTCGGAATCGACGTCGTCGTCGTCGTCGTCGTCTCCCGCCGCGAATTGCATTGATTGTGTCAGAACAAGAAGCAATAACGTGTTCGTAGTCGTTGTAAGTAGCCTATCAATGACTAATCCAACTTCTTCTTCGTCTTCTCTTCTCGTTCGTTTCTTTCTTGTAATACCAAACTATATAATTATATTATATGTTACGCTTATGTTTTTTGTCGTCGTTTTCCAGAAACGATTCACCGACCCAGTTCCACATCAATTCGCCTAACCACGAATGGCGAGATCGGGTTTGTATCGCGTTCGAATTTTTGAACCCATCTTCTCTTTTTAGGGACCATCGATCAGTATGTCCAACAACTTCCGCTAATGGCCCTTGCTTTTCTACCATTGATCAGCGCCATTTTGGGATTGCGATTTATTAACCTCAAAAGTGTCATTCATTTTCAGCAGGTTTGTGATTGTACATTTACGCGTGTTTGAAAATTTCACGTATTTGTTGTACGCTACTACATAGTAAAGAAAAATAATATTGCCCTATAGCTGCAGACTTCGTACGGTTTTACAATTGCCTACATGATGCGCCTTTAAAGAGGTCTTATGTGAATGCTTCTATGTATTTTATTTATATTAATTTTTGGTCTACGTTAAGATCCCTCACATCTGCGACGAATTTATTGCTTCATAGAATTTACATTTGAAGAGTTTCACTTTAATGTTAAAAAACGCATCTACGATAATTTTCCGATTTCTGGAATTAAATTTAATCCAATTAAATGGGACCATTTCAATTTTTCTACGAGATGGTATGGGATGTGGTAAGGGGCGTAATAAAGCTATACGAATTTAAATAGGTTCTCTTTTCGCGCTTACTGACACTGTGCGTTTTCAGGGCACACTTGGAAATTCGCCATGGCGCGCCGCCACCGCTATGACGATCCTCTCAATCCCGCCATTCTTCATCTGGTGCTTATGCGCGCGCAGTCCCGCCGCGATGTTCTTTCAAGCCGGAGCATCGTTGGCTCTCGTGCTCACTACCATCACCTCATCGCCGATCCTCCATTATCTGCCATCGACGTCGATCACGAAATACTTTCAGCTGCGATATCTCTCAAACACCTGTGAGTTGCGAAATTTTGCGCTGAATTGTGAGACGATCACGAATTTTCAGTGGAATTCCTCGCGACCGTGTTCCAGTGCGGTGTTCTGTGCTCGATCACAGTCATCCTGTTGTACGTGGCGGCTTCATTCTTGTCGTCGATCACCTCGCTTTCGATCTATCTGATTCTACCACTCGTCGCTTACTTCTCATTATTCTCAGTGATTTTCTCGGGACATTCATCCATCATGAACTTCTCATTCATCCTCCATTTATTGGTAATTTTCATTTAAATCGAATCTAATTGTCTATTGTGTATGTGTTTTTTTTTTGAAGGTGACCATCGCTGGAATCTTGTTATTCCTCTACTATGCGATTGAAGAAATCCCAAATTTCGAGGCAATAGTCCCCGTTCAGAAATTGAACATTTCGGGAATCATTTCGTCGACGCTCGTCGGTTTCATCGTCAATTTTCATCTCCTCAATTCAAGCATTCTGTATCAGGTACGATTTGCAAAGCAAACAATGATGATAGAAATCGTACCAAAAAAAAAATCTATGAATTGTAATGCGCCTTTAACCTGTTTTGGGATGGGACATGTGTATAGGCTCCTTTAAACACGCCAAATAATATTGAAGATGGATGGTGAATTAACATTTAAAGGCGCAGATTGTTTTGTAAACGATTTTTCGAGCGAGGAACAAAAATTATGAAAAAAAAAACCGACCAGCGTTTTTTTTCTTTGCAATCATCAAAAATTGCTTTAAAGCCGCATGGATTTTCTATTGGGCGAATTTCTTCTCGAGACCATTTAAATGCAATTTTAGGTGTATTCTCCGATGCCGACAATGCACAAACTACGATTGACGCTAACATTCTACGGCGTCTTTCAATTATTCATCTCATTCTTCGTCTTCCTCGTCGCCACATTATTCTTGAATTTTCTCAACGACCATTGCAAGTTCTCAATGAGCTTCTCGTCGTTTTTCCAATTTGTCAAGGTTCGTTGAATCGTCTGATCGATGATATTGAAGGGAAAGACGCAATTCTCTAGACTCTAACGACATATAAGTATCAAGCATTCGCGGTTTGCGCTTCATTGCTGTGCATTCTTCTGTTCTGCATTCAATGGAGCATCATGTGTTTCACAACGATTGTCTGGGAAGAGTGCCTCGCGAAGAAGTTGCGCAATTGGAATCCGATTCAGCAGTTGTGCTCCCTTCAGTTCGCCATGCTCATTTTGACGACGGCGCTCGTTGTGGTGACGGTCGCCGCGAAATTGTCTAAGATCCCAATAGCCACCCATCTGCCGACAATTTCCTACGTCATTTTGTGAGCTCAAAAATGTTTTTCTTCAAAATGAAACGAAGTCTTCATTTTTTCAGCTCGGCGTTCGCATTATTAGCTGGAATCATGATATGCGGCTATTATTTCCCATTCTGTAGCTCGCGCGGTGTCCTCGTTGCTCTCTTCTTGACGCTGATGCTCACACTACTGAATTTGACGATTTACATGCTCAACAATACGCCGGAGACGTTCCATAATTCGTGCGTCGTTTTCGACGACGTCACCAACTCGACGACAACCTCGAGGTAATCGAATCGCAAAATGTTTTTGCAATTCAAACTCGTCTAGATCGATCAGTATGGATCGTGTGGTTTATTTCGTTTCTCATTTGCCACCACAAGCTCAACCGACGATTTCCTTAATAGTAAGTCGTATTTTCTAAAAAAAATTCTTTCTTTTTGTAATCTAACTAGACTTAGTGATATCAATAAATTGATTTGTTCTAGATCTTCGTCGTTTCCTGCATCTTCATCTCATTCCTAACCGGCGGTCAAGATCAAATGGGTCTCGACTGGAATCTCATCGCGTTCACGTGGGCGGCCTCTGTGCGAAGTCCAACGTCATTCTCGAAACGACCATTCGTCGACAGCGAATCGTTCCGCTATGCACAACAGCAGAATAGCAATCCGACGCCGAGTCCGGATATAAATATTTATCGATAACTAGGCGGCATGCGCCTTTAAATTTCCAAAAAACACATATTCCCCAATTCTTTGACCACGGGTTTCACCAAATTGACATGTATTTGATTTTCATCGAATTTATGTAAATAAGAATGATAATAATAATAAAAATCAACCGAGAAAGTCACTCAATTTCCTCGATTTTGAGAAATCGTTGAGGCGGCGGAGAATTCCGATTGAAATTATAATCATATTCGGGTGGTCCTGAGTGGAACATTCCAGGCATACCGTAGCTGGGAGCGAATGGGCGGTATGGGGTCTTGAGAAGATGAATTGGTATGAAAATTGATTCGGGCTGAAATTTAGGACGTAACCCAAAATGCGAGGTGGATCCGAATACCTTATACGTCGAATATGGTGGCGGGTCCGGGTGCATAGATGGAGCGAAACTAAACTCCGACGGAGGAACACAGTAATAGGTGCTTGTCTGATCGCAAGTTGACTCGGGGTACTGTAAAAATTCTATTTCAAGAAACAAAAAATCTCATGCTATCGCAATTTTTTTAATCTTTCAAAGATCCATATTGCGTGCGATGAGCCTTTAATCTATCACTTCATTGAGCCCGTAAATCTACACCATTTAGTTTTGCGCCATGACCTCTGTCACAGTTTCCACGATTTTTCCGCAATCGTGCATTTTGACAATTTTCTTCAAGGCAAAAAATTACCATAATACTTCTCCTATTCGTCGATGGTCCACAATTTCCGATGAACACCGGAATGCCTAGCTCAAAATTTCCGCTGTTGGTTAGAAGAAGCTCATAGGCAACCTGAAGACAAACAATTTGTGAAGCTGTCATTTTTTGCTCAAATCAAGATAATGAAATTTGTTGAACAACCCCCCTGCAAGTTCTCAATGATCTTTCCCTTTTCATCCCAAAAATATATTGAGACTACCTGAACAGGACTTCCATTCCAGCACAGCGTCGGATAGCAATCAATCGGGATGCTAAGCGAATGATGAATATTGAACGTCTCATTCGGCGGAACGGAACCGACAATTAGTTTGGTGATCAATCGGTGACTGAAAAATGGGCGAATGCAATTTAAATATTGGAGAGATTGCAATTTACTCGATGCGTTGCGCGTCGCCGCTCGCGTACAATATATGTTGTCGCAATTCGATAGTGACGTGCCGAATTGAGTTCGTCGCATGTTCGTTCTTGATTTCGCCGCTCATCAGTATATGTTGGCCTAAACAAAGGTGATAAAACCGACGGGCGGCGGCGGCTTCAAACAAACGAATGAAGAAAAAAAAAACGAGATTTGATAAGCGATTACGCCATACGCGAAAATTTGATAGATAATGCCGAATCCGCTGACAGATTCTAAATACCTACCTACGATGAAAGCAGCTTTGTCGATCTCAATTCGAATTTTCGCGTCTAACCGATTCATGAAGAGTGTCTAAATTACATATTATATTAGCATAAACGTTTGAAATGAGCGAAAGTAAGGAAAATCGGCGAAATACGCCAAAGGTTACGGTCGATTTTTTCGCGTTAAAAACATGGAGACATTTCACCGCTTTTCGCGATTTTATTCAGAAAAAATCTACCTTTTTCTTAACATGTCTGTCAATAATGACATGATTGGCGAAAGATGGCTGCTGATCCAGTGAGACTCGCGGGAGCACGTCGGCGGCCTTTTCGCACTCGATGGTGGCTTCATCGCCGGATATGAAGCGTTTGACTTTTAGCTAAAATATTTATTTCATTATTGTATAATTTGTTCAAAAATTGGAAATAGATCGTTGCCACGTGGTTATTTTCCATAAATTACGAAAAAAAAAATTATGAATGACCTCAAACCTTTATAATGAATCGATAGGCGATGGCGCCGAATTTGCCGCGAAATGTGCCCGGCAGATTTGAAGGCAGCGTCAGAAAAATTGGCAAACGGTGTTGGCCTTGCGGCACGACATCGGTTCCCTGGAAAAAAAAAACGAGGAACGCAATTTCGGGTTGACCTCGATGAATTGACACCAGGTGGTGATGGTGGTGTTTCATCATCTCCCACAAACCTTTGACGTGGGCAATTGGATGGCCGAAAATGGAATGTGCAATTTCTCGTCGATTAGAGAGTGATGAGAGTCTTGACCGGAAAATGAAGCGCGACATCTTCCCTGCAAAAGAGAAAAGTTTCGATAAGGAATCATTGGCGTCGAAAATTTTCAAAATCATGGAACCGTTCCATATCATTTATGATTCAATTTCGGTTCCGCCTTGATAACAAATAAAAATTCGATGACCTCGAAGTTTTTTTTTCGCAAAGAAAAACAGAAACAATTTCGAATCGCGCCTCATTTCATACCTCGAAAGTCGCATTGTATTCGAGAATCTGTACCGCATCCGGGATCTTGAGACAAATCTCCACAAGCTCCTTCTGCAATTAGAAAAATTTTCGCGAAAAATAAATCGCCTTGTGCGCCAGAGGGATTAGGATTAAAAGCACGACCATTGTTCAAAGCCGAAATTGCGCCACAAAACGAAAGAAAGATTCGTTCGATGAGATACCCGAGATATGATCTTTTTTTAGTTGTTTTGTGGCAAATGTCTCGTCTCATTAAATTTTTTTTGGAAAAAAAATGTCTCGCCTTCATGTAGTAATTCGAGAGTAACGACAACAACAACAATATTTCAAGGACAATACAACAACTTCCTGAACACGCTTTCGGCGTTTCTAGAAGACCAACTTGAAACAGGAAGCGCGCAACTTAATTTGCGGTTTAAAACGTAAAATTTTAGTTGGTTTCGGTTCTCAAAATAAATGAGGCATCGTAAAAACAAAACTTCGAGGAAAAAACATAACTTCCAATCTGGGATTTTTAAGCATACGACAATTGTGCAGTGGAGCGCGTTTGCGCAACAGTTTTCTCGTAAATCGCCCCCAACTTATGGATCTGTTTGTGAAATTCACAAAAAGTGACAAAATTACATTTCATGTTTTTTGCATTCTTCCAAATTTTTAATTTTTTATTGTATGAATAGGTTGATTAATTGATATTCAAGCCAAAAAAGACATCAGTTTTTTAGAGCATTGTCAAATGAGAAAATGGAACTTACAGCTCCAGCACACAGTGGCCGATCAGGGAGAAGTAGACGAATCGCCTTTTTGGTCTTCATGATGACTGAAACACAATAAGGATGAAATTAAATAAAAAAAAGATTGCGGATTATTCGTATTCGAATAAAATGAAGTAGATCAGGTGTTATTGAAAACCAGCAAAAATAATTCGACCCGCAAGTTTTGAATGAATGCGTATCGGTCGGCGTCTCATGGTGAGAAGCGCCCACCTCCTCCGATTTGCCCTCCGCCTTTTCGGCGTGTTGTTTCGCGTCGGGTTGATGGAGAGCGGGAGGAAGGGTACATCGACCAGCAAAAAAAGCCGATAGAGTGAACCGTTTTGGCAGCAAAAAAACACACAGACACACAAATCGAGGTAATTATGAACGACCCCCCTCTTAATGCAAGGTTATCTTGCGCACACAAAATGGTGTGAAAATTCATAAATTGACGCGAGATTTGACGAATTCAAATTCGAAAAATGTCACACCCAAGGATGAAATGCGACAATAATATGCGATTAATTTGAATATTACTGAACTACGATTCGACAGAATACGAATACGAATCGCTAATCATCATGCGCCTCCGGAGGAGAACGAGTTTCGCGCGCCGCAGTACATGGATAAGACGACCAACTGAAAAAAAATCAAGCGTTTGAATTTGAATATATGTTTTCTTCTATTTACACGAACAAACTAAATGTGTTTCGTTTGAATTATGGGATTGTAGATCAACAATTTCTTTGACCTGTCCACTTGCAGATGTTTTCGAAAATTCCCGGCGCGCAAAATTGTCTATAAAAGTGGATTTGGCTAGACGTTTAGCAGCTTTATTCATTGTGGTTACTAACATGCAACTCCGGTGCTCGTTGTCACTGTTATTCGGATTCCTGTCATTCGTGTATGCTGACAATGAAGCAAGTGGGGAGCTGTTATCAGACGTTGAAGAGCAGCAGCACACGCGAGGTTGGTTACTGTAGGTCGCGCAAGTACGCAATTAACGCTGACGCTATTTTACACCAATTTTTTGTTGTTGTTGAAAATTTTCCAATTTTTATCTCATTCAGCGAAGTTTTTCAATTGGGATTACAAGGATCTTGGTACGTCATCATTTGAGGACATCTCATTCTCGCCTCGACAGCCGTTCGGGCAAGTAGAAGTAAGAACACGATGATTTTTTGAGGAATAAAAAAAAAATTTAAAAAATATTTAGACAGACCTATGTCCTGATGGATGGCTGAAATTCTCCGATTCTTGCTATTACATTGAACAAGAGACGATGGGATTCGCCAAAGCTGAGAAAAGATGTTTCGACAAGAAAGCTACTCTTTTCGTCGCTAACTCATTGGATGAATGGGTAATTTAAAAATTAGACAGTTTGGAAAAAACGAATGAAAATTGAAGGACGCCATCCGTCAACACTCGCCAAAGGCTTTCTTCTCATGGATTGGACTAGTGCGCTTCTCGCAATACGAAAAATCGGAGCAACTTCCACGCTGGCAGACAGAAGGAGGCGTCAACCCAGCCAGATTGTGAGAATTTTTGGGAAAATTGAATCAAAAATAAATTAAAATTTTAGGAACTGGCTTATCCGCCCATATAAGCCACTCTCGAATGGCTGGACGACGTACGCGAACTGCGCAGTCCATTACAACCCGGCAGTCTCTTTTGAAACCGCTTCGTACGTCTTCTATTACCCATGCACTTTTATGATGCATTCAATTTGCGAAAGAAACACCACACTTATCAATGCGGCCAACAATAGGCTATTCCAATGAAGCAAGCAAACAACCAACAGCTACAACTACGACACTCACTACTAACGTCATCACACTATAAATGTATTAAGTAGAATTTCTATCCTCAAAGGTCTTAAATTGTCTATAGTTGTTTATTACTATTAGTAGTAAAAACGATTAAAAAATGTGAGAAAAAACAATAAATGAGTAATTGAGATTTTGCATTGCTTTTTTAGGTGGAAAGAGAGGATCGCGGCCACGCCCAAGGAATTGATTTGACAGTGGTAGTATTTAGTTGAGGGGGGCGGGGAGTGTTCGCGAAAAGTGGAAAATGTGTGAAATAGGTCATTGAAAAATGGCATTGGTCTGGGTTGAGTTGAGATTTTGAAATGTGATTGCAGAAATCAGATGAAATTACTGGTTGATGAGTAACCAAAGAAGGCATTGATGTAAACATGAAAATATTGAGAATGGAATTGGAAATAAACTGGAAATGACAATTTTTCATTCAAAAATAGTATGCCTGGCAAATTTTGGCATTTTTCGTGAATTTGAAAGTAGTTTTCAGGTTCATTCAGGTTTTTGTGTTTTTTTTGTTTCAAAAATAGCTTTGCTCATTTCTTCGATTAAATTATTAAAAAAGTGAAATCTGCTTTTTTGACTTTCTATGACGTAAATAATATTTTTCAGAAAAAAAAATTTTGAAAGTTGTTTGAATTAATTTCATTTGTAGCAAAAGTCCAAAGAAAAGCAAATCTTTCGGATTTTTTCAATCTTCAACAAACCATATCAAAAAAAAATTTAGAGTCAAATTGTACTTTTCTTTATCAACATTTTTTCCAGATTTCTATAGATCAGGTAAGTAAAAAGATTTTAACAGGTGAGGGCGGGGGAAAGAAAACTCGAAAAACTAAAAAAAAAACTAGTTTTTACACAGCTTGAAAAGAACCATAACAAGACCATTAAAGGCGCATGTTATAAAGTTTTCCAGACATGCTCAAAACATAATTGTTTTCCATAATAGCGTCTCCTTGATTGTTAATTTTCTTAATTGTTTTCGTGTCTGATTTAAACAAAAATGGAAAAAAAACAAAAATCAGTGGAATTATTTCACTCCATTTGCGTCTGATTTTAGAACATTTACGGTTCAGCTCATCGAGTTCAAAGGTTCAACTACGCAATTTCTCCTCGTGAGCTCGATTTGATTGATGCTCATTATTGCGCGGAATGCAGGCGAACGACGAGCGATTTGTCGAGTATTTCCGAAATAACTACACGAAATGCAACAATTCGTTCGACTATTTCGATTCGCCGCAATTTCAGTCGACGTATTCGCACGCGATTCTGATGGTCTCGCTTCCGTTGAACGTTTTCGCCGGTTGGTGCATTTATTCGAAAACGCCATCGCATTTCCGTTCGGCGAAATGGTATCTCCTCAATTTGCATGCGTGGTAAGATGGCAGTTTAAAGGCGCATTCAATCATTTCGCTGTAGGATCATAATTGTCGACGTTTTGATCAGCGGCCTTCTGAATCCCTTTCTATTCTTTCTAGTCCTTGGAGGAGTTACCACTGGATTACTTGAACGGGTCTTCGGTGTGCCGGCGGCAATTCAAACATTGATGGCGCAAATCGGATTTGCTGGTTTGAAATTTTAAAGGCGCGCTGAAAATTGAGAAAGACGCCTAATTTAGGCCTTGGCGTCTCAATAATCATGATATTCGAGAATCGTCACAATCTTCTAGTTCGCGGACCATTGAAAATCGAAAATTGGCAAATCCGAATCGCGTTTTACTCAATCAATGCCTTGTATGGAATTGCGTTCGCGATTCCGATCTACATGAACATTCCCGATCAGAAATGGGCGAGATTGAAAATGTTGGAGGTTTTGTTGCAGCGAAATGAAACATTCACTCAAATTTTACAATTTTCAGCTTTTGCCATGCCCTCATAGCGATTATTTCACAAAGGACATATTCATCGTCTCCACTGATCCATTATTCGTTACCAAGACATTCCTAACCCTTTTGATTTTTTATGTCATCGAGAGTTTTTCATTTGCTTTTCATTCTTCATTCTTTTTATGGAGTATTAATAACCATATGTCGTATCGAACAAGACAAATGCAGCGGAAATTCTTCATCGACACGTGCATTCAGGTGAACCCCTGCTTCAAGTTTGTTTTGAAATTCGAAGATTTTTTTTAGGTCGCCGTCCCAATATTTGCAATCATCTCACCATTCTTTTATGTTATATATTCAATAATTTATAGTTATTATAATCAAAGTAAGATTTCGACCAAAAAGTTAAAAAAAAAAAACCAATAATTGATTCTGATGGCCTAAATTTTCCTCGGCCACGTCCACTTAAAATTCCGCTATCTAGATTAATTCATATTAAGACGAGCTCTCGTCATGATTCTGGTTTCAGTGTACAACAACATCGTCATCATTCTTCTGTCGTTCCATGGGTTCTCATCGACGGCCACGCTCATCATTCGAAGTCCCGCGTATCGCGACTACTTTTGCCACGTGTTTTTCCGACGGAAATACACTAAGAAAAATCACGTGGTGACCTCTGTGACCCCCTCATTTCTTTCATGAATATGCGTAGAATGAATTTTTCCTTGATTCATTCTACGAGGATCGAGACATCGATGTGAATTTTCAAAGTATGAAATAAATATTCAATTATTCAGTAATTTGTTTCAGACGATATCGAGACTCAGCACCAAATACAGTGTGCTCCTTTAATTATTACCGTATCTAAAAATATTTTCTAATCTGATGACGTCAAAAATTGGCTAAAAACTAAAAGATATTTTCTGTACAATTTCACAAAAATTTACGCGTTGGTTGAATATTAAATAAATGCATAATTACAGTATGCATCAAAGGCGCATACGGGAAAAGATTATTCTCTTGCCTATAAGCAAAAGTGTATTTGATGTCGTGGTATTTTATTTAATAACCACAGGAAAATTGTTGTGAAATGTCCGTCGAAGAAAAAAACATTTAAAATTGGATGCTAGCTGATCCGGAAGTGTTCTCTTCTTCTTAGATGAGACAACCAGAAGAAAATAATTAAAATCGGCTCCCGTCTGGCAATCGTTGCTTTTTTTTCATAAAACAAACATGACTCATAAACAGTTATATCTTTTCCACTATCACTTTCCTCCGTTCTTCTCGCGCATCGTCATCGCCGTCTTCATCATTTTCATCGCCCACCAGACTTGTGTGCGTGTGTTTCTGATTGTATGTATCGGTTTCACACACTGGAAAAAAATAACATCTCGTAATTTATCACTGTTCGGCGTGAAATCGCCCCCACCTTTTTTTGGTGTCTCGCCCCGCCGCTGCAATCATTTTTTCCCTCTGCTGCTAGAATCGAAACCTATTTGTTTTTCTTGCCGATTAAATTCGTTTCGATACCGATATTGTTTTTTTAGGTTGAAAGTATGAGCATTGGCATCGATTTGGGCACCACTTTCTCATGTGTCGCTCATTATCGAAATGGAAAAGTCGAAGTTCTTGAGAATGAGAATGGTAAGCATTTCCGTCGATGATTTTTTTTGCATCTTTGCCCTTTCGTTGCAAAACGCGCATTTTTTTGCAAAAAATCGCGTTTAACGTAGTTTTTGTGATGACCGGGTCGAGACCATTAAAAATTATAATATGTGCCTTTAAACGAATTACGGTAGCTAATTTTTTTCCCTCTAGAAATTTTGAAATATTCCTCAAATTTTAGGTAAATATTTCCCACATTTTTCCTAAAAATAATTCACCAAAATAAATTATTCGTAATTTTTGAAGGTTGCCGAACGACGCCGTCAGTGATTGCCGTTGATGAGGACGGCGAATGGCTGATCGGCCAAACCGCCAAAGACGTTGTTTCGAATCCGACCAATTGTCTTTTCGGTAATTTTCTTATTGGCGGTTGATTTCAGCAGCGAATTGATCGCCTAATTCAGACGTTAAGCGTGTTATTGGACGACGCTACGATGATGTCCTTTTGCAGAAGGACATGCCGTTGTGGCCGTTTCGGGCAAGTTTGTTTCATTTTGAGAAAAACGAATCGGCGATTTTGAAAAATTCAAAAAAATTGTATCAACACTTTAAAGTATCATCATGTGACCCACTTTTCAGGTAAATGAATATCAATCGGATTCGAATTAAAATTAATTATTAATTTAACGTGATTCGATTGAGAAATAATTGAAATTTGATTGAGAAAGTATATAAATTCGATTTGAAAACTTGGTTTCGATTCAAAAATAATCGAAATCGATTGATTTACTTCTCATTTTCAATTTTCAAATCGCACGTGAAATTTTGGTGCAATTCGAAACAAATTAATTTATATTTGATTTCGATTGAAATTATTTTCGAACCCGTTTGATTTTCATTTTCCATAGGATAGACACGAGAAATTAAATATTTCAAATATGTTTTGAAAATTTATTTTTTCTGCTATGTAATATTCTAAACTCGAAATTTCTCTGCGAGACCATTTTTTTCTAAAAAACTCAATTTACAGCTCGAAAGTGATGGTGCCGATCCATACTTTGTCGTGGAATCCGGCTCACATCGTCACAGATTCACCGCGGTCACCGCTTCTGCGCACATTCTTGCGAGTCTCAAGAAGAACGCCGAGAGGAAGCTCGGATTCCCGGTGAAGAATGCCGTCGTCACAGTGCCGGCGTATTTTAATTCAACGCAGAGGCAGGCAACGCAAGAGGTAGTTGATATTATCAAATTCAAATCAATTTTTCGTTTTTTATTTATTTGAGTAGGCTGCCAAGTTGGCCGGATTCAATGTTCTGCGAATTCTCAACGAGCCGACAGCTGCCGCAATCGCGTACAGTCTTGACGGCAAACGGCTCTCGCGCCGAAATATTCTGATCTACGATTTTGGCGGCGGCACGTTTGACGTCGCAATTGTGAATATTAATGGCCCTCATATTACGGTATGATTTTCAATTAAAAAAGTTATTGATCGAAACTTCATCATTTTCAGGTTAAAGCGAAAGGCGGTGATGCCCATCTCGGCGGGCAGGACATTGATAATATTGTTATGCTGAAAATGCTGGAAAAATTCAAAACTGAGAAGAAAATTGATTTGAAGACGAATTACAGAGCATTGAAGAGATTAAGGAAAGCCGCAGAGAATGCCAAAATCACTTTGTCTTCCAGTGGCGGTGCTCGAATTGAGGTTGCTCCTTCCAACTAAATGATATAAGAGAATTTCATGTTTCAGTTGGAATGCATTCATGAGAACATCGACTTCATCATGAAGATCAATCGCAAGGAGTTCGAGGGTTGGATCGATAATGTGCTTCTCTCGACGATGATTCATGTCGAGCGAGCGGTAATTGGAAAATAAACGAACATCTCGTGGCGTTTCCAGCCACTCCATTTCAGATACGCGAAGCCGGCCTTCAAAAATCGCAAATCGATGAGATTGTGCTCGTCGGCGGCTCGACGAGAATTCCGCGTCTCAAGACGATAATTCGCTCGAGTTTTCCGGAATCGACGAAAATTTGCGAATCGATTCATCCCGATGAGGCGGTGGCTCATGGAGCCGCAATTACTGCCGCAATTCTTTCAGGTGCGCAATACCGAGAATGGTTTTCGCTTCAAGACGCCACAAACTTTTAAATCTATAGGTGACTTATTTGAGGTGGGCGTGGTGGGGGCGAATTGTCATGTTTTTAATGAGTCGAATTACTTTGGCGCCACGTATCTCTGTCACAGGATATCGCATAAATGCAACCGTGTGCCTTTAATCCAGCTTACACTACTATACTGCATTATTGGCTCGTCCAACGAACATTTTTAGAGTTGTTCCGATTTTTTTTTTGAAAAAACATCCTCTACACTTGCCATGCGCCTTTAATCATACCGTAGCTCGGCCTATTTTCGTTTCTTTTTCGGAGCTCAAGTGTTAATGTCAAATTTCAGGTGTGGAAGATGTTCAAGACATGCGAATGAATGACATCATTCCAATGTCGATCGGAATCCAGTGCAATCGCGATTACATGAGCGTTTTAATTAAAAAAGGTGATTTTGGATTTTTGGAAGAGAAAAAAGAGCAATTGAAATTTTCTTTTTCAGGCACCTGCTTTCCGTGCTTTAAAAAGAAAATCTTCGTCAACAGCGAGGATTACCAGACGAAAATCGACATCGACGTTTACGAAGGTGAGCTCGAGTTGATCCCTTTCAAATTTTTCAAGTTTTCTAGGCGAGCGCGTTCTTTGTTCAAATAATCGTCACCTTGGCAATATTACTATGGATATTGAGCCAATGAGACGAGGTGAATCGGTTGTTGAGGTGAATTATTTACGATGACGACGTTGGAAAAAAGTAACAAGAATATTGTCTTTTTTTTCCTTGCAGATTTGCATGGAAGTCGATCACAATGGAATTCTGCAGGCGACGGCGATCGATAAGAAATCGAACAAAGCGATCACAACGACCATCCTCTATGATCACTGCACGTTCACAAAGGTGTTCAATGAGTTGATTTGATGATTTATAAATGATTTAGGAGGAGATTGATGAAATGACAAAGCACACCGAAGAGGACAGAATGTTCGATGAGAGATTCCGCAAGCGATACAAACAACTTCAATCCAGTGAAGATTTGGCATATGACTATAAGCATCGACTGGAGAAGATCACTGTAGGGATTTATTTATCCAGAAATGTTCCAATCAAATTCTAACATTCACAGGCGAGCATTGATAAGGAGAAGTACACCAAATTAATGGACATGATCACCGACGAGATCCGCTGGCTTGCCGACTTTCCAAATGTCTCCTGCGACGAGTATCAATCTCGCCGTCATACTCTCCGTCGCAAAGTGCTTCCAACGCTTCTTCTAAACCTTTCCTTCTAGGAATCCATAATTCTTCAACATCAAATGTTAGAAGTAAAACATGTATGTATTAATAACAATTCATATCAGTTTCTCAGGCTGCGTTTTCCCATGGAAAATAAAATTCATCTACACACCGCTTAACAGTGTTCAAAAACGTTTCATTGCACAAGAATTTTGTAATTGATTATTTAACAATGCGATAGATCATAGTTTCGTTTTTTGTTGAGATCAACAGAAGAATTGATTAGAATATAAAAACGACTAATATGCGGTTAATACATATATCACATGAATTAATTTTGCAAAAAAACCAACCAGGCTATAAGTTTCTAGTTGCTCGCATGCGCGTCCGCGTCGGCGTCGTCGGTTCATCAATATTCTCAAAAACTTGAATTCCTCGCGTTTTTACAATATCATTTGTAGGCGTTTGAGCAGCAATTCTCGAGACTATTGGACGCGAAGTTACACAATCAGCGAATATTTGATTCTCATACACCGATTTCAGCACTAAACCTCATAAATTTATTTTTTGGAACAAAGAAATAATTTCTCTTTACTTTTCTCGCTAATCGCACTCATTTTCGCGGCTGATTCTGAATCGCCTGGCTTCGCGATTATCGGAAATCCGTACATCACCACCGAAGCACCCGTAAGATATTTCAGTTTCGCTTTGGATCGAGCGCTCTAAAAATTCAAGCATTATCACAATTTCCCTTCAATTCCAAACCTCCATGGCTTCCGATAGCTGCTTCAAATTCCTCTCTTGTCTAGCAAACCCTCCATTATTCTCGAAACAATCATCGACCATTCTCATTAAATATCGATCGATTTCGCCATCAGTGATCGTCCAAAGGCATCCAACAACCAATGGGCATTTCGCGAGAACATAATCGAGCAGAACCGATTTTCCATCCCATCCAACACCTTGCGGCAACGTTCGAACACTTCCGCAGCCCATCAGCAAACTAATCGCGTTGCATTTGCTATGTTTCACTGTATTTCGATGTACATGCTTCGATCCGGATCCATGGCCAAAGTAGCTAAAACAGATAGGAACAACTCATTCATCGATTCCGAACAATTCTTACAAGAAAGCGTCCATGTTCTCCAGAGCGCTAACAACTTCATTCGGCTTCGGCGCGGCTCCAACAGTTCCCTCCCATTTGAATTTATTGATAAACTCGAGCATTCGCTTTTTCGTCTGCCCAAGATTATTGTCCGGATCCAGAACATAGTACGACTTGTCAAGATCGACGTGAAGCGGAACCTGCTTCTTGTTCAAACTGAGCGACTCGAAATGGTTAATCATCGCATGAATCGAGACCATTCGGCAAACGAACGGATGTGACGCGAAAATCGGCAAATTCTCCCAACAGAATTGCGATAAATCCGGGCAAATGACGAGGTAAGTGTACATTTTGCCCGGATTCGGCACACCGTCGAGGTCCACATCGTCGCGGAACCTCAAAAAAATCACACTAACTATTAAAATCATTTCAAAAACCTCCTATAGTATGCCGATAGTGTCGTTTCAGTAAGACTGACAACATTGCGCAACTCGGAGTATCTCAACATCAACTTGATCCACGCCCTTTCCTCCATTTTCGAACTCAAAAACACGAGCTCTTTAGCTTCTCCGAGACGAATTTTCGCATTCAGCTGTTTTTCGATCCTCGCTGCGTTCCTCAGCGTTTTTTCGCCAACTCGAATAGAAGGTCTCAGCAAATAAGCGGCGACATCAAGAAAATTCTTCTCGGCTTCTTCGACAAGCGACTACAAGACAATTTTAGCTCAAATCAATTCTTCGCGAAAAATACCTTGACTCTAGCATCTATTGCTTTTCTGGTATTCCAAAATTGTTCCGGCGTACGATCTCCCGGATCTCTTGCGATTCGTTCATCCTCCTGCAGCAAATGTGTGAACTTGTCCATGAGTTCAGTGGCTTGCGTCGCATGAGCAATCGGCATCACAATCGGATCTCTATCGCAGTGCATTTTGATCAGATAAACGTGACCATCGTCACATCTCGCAATCTGCACAATGGTCATTTCTGAAAAATATCATTTTTTTTGTAAACTAGTTTCGATCAACCTTCCGGCATCGCTCGAACAAACGTCTTGAGTTTCATTGCTCCAGAAATGGTCACACAGTCACGTCGGCATATTCCGATTTTATTCTGAAGAGCACCTCTTGAACCAACAGCAGTTGCTTCAGCCCAAGCGTAAGCGCTTTCCCAAGGATCCTGACAGATTCTGGCCGCATACGGAAATGCGCTCGCTCGCCATTCTCTATACAATAAGTGTGAATGAAGGGCGTTCTCCGTTCGAATTTCCTGATGCACTTGATAAGCGACTTCGATTTCTTTCAGCTTTTCAGCCTCAGAAATTCTTTCCCTCGCCAACTTCGGCTTGCGGCCAAACGGCGAAACGGCTCGAAGAATATCGACAGCGCATTCGATGCCAATTTTGACAAACGGCTTCCGTTCAACCGGCTGCATCCACGAAAGTCGACACGGCAGCGGATTTCGATATTTTCGATGGAGCTGATTCAGTATCAGCGAGTGTTCGAGAGTCCGAAGCGGCACATATCTCGATGCTTTCATTGCATTTTTCAAAATCTGAACGCTCGTCTCATCGAATTCCTCACGTCGCGCAATTTTGTTTGAAATCCATCGAATGACACACATCGCAAAAATCTCGTTCAACGCAATTCCCGGCCTCTAGAAAAAAATTGTAGGCTTTCGGCTCCGCAACGGCAATATAATTTGAAATTACCGGCTTGACAGCCTCCTTGAAAAGCAGACGCTGAACCTTCATCATCTCAAGACGAATGTCTACGTATTGCTTGTCAATCTCAACAATCGAATCTTGCGAAAAATCCGAATTCAATGCCTTGGAGAATTGGTACTCAATCGAAAACGAGCTCATATTGTAGTAATGCGTACAAGTGGTGCACCGACATGTTTTCGACACACGATGAAGAATACATTCCTCTTCACTGAATTGAAATATGCTCCAACAATTAAATAGTAAATTCAAAAATCGTACATTTTCAAATCATTCATTTCTTCAGTAATCTCATGCATCGTCAACGTCTCATCATCACCAGCAATTCGGCGAATGTTGGCCTTTCTTGAAGAAACCGTTTTTCTTATTGTGTACTCATCGTTCTCATCCTGCATTATTGGCGTACTACATCGAACAACAACAGCTTCAGGCTAAATATAGCTATAAGAGTGCGTATGGCATTATGTCGCGTCAAATCTGCAACGTACCGAGAGAAGATTCACACATGTTGCGTTGATAGTTTTCAAGTAGGATTTGGATTCCGGCTCGTCAATTACTTTGTAATAATAGAAAGCTCCATTGGCTGCTTGTAGAATCCTGATAAGAAGAAAAACAAGTTCAATATTTCAATTAACAGAATCGAGTTACCTCTGCAGCGAAGCGGATCGTAGAGCTACCCTCCAATTGAGAACAAATGCTGACATCGCCTCTCTAGATTGTGCAATTGAAGTATAGAAAAACGCGAGTTCTTTTCGGATCTCAAACATCCAAGCAATTGAAGAACCCAGGCATACTGAAAAAAATAATTTGAAAAGAAAAGAATGAAGGTGTTGATATTACTGTATTCTGTAGGAGATACTGGATTTTTGGAGTTTTCCAGATAGTCAAAAACGGAAGCATTTGCAGTATTCTCAAATGAATATGGTGAAAGGCCGGGTAATCGGTTGCGAACAAGGGAATCTGCCTTAATGGAAGCATCAAGCAGATAGTTAGAACGTTCAGGAAATTCCGATTTCTCCATATTTGAATGAATCGGAACATTGGATAACAGTGACATCATCCAGGACGAGAAGGAGAGAAGATCAAATGTTCCGAATGATTTCTTTTTCAATCCAATCTCCTTGATCTTCTCGTATAAATGTTTCATTTTTTCCAGTCTTTCCACTCTGTGCTCTCGCGATTTCATATAGCTTAGGAACAGGTTTACAATATCCGTATATAATGGGGACAACGAGTCCATCTTGAATTCTTTGATTTTCGCAAAAGTCAACTCGTTTTCGCCTAAAATACAAAAATTTCGCATTTTTTGAAGCTTGAGTGAAACTACCAAGGAATGTGAGCCATTTCAAAATGTTCTCCTTGACAATCACGTCTTCAGGCACGAGTTGAGCATACTGACAAAGACAAACGATAGCCTTATAATGCTGAAATGGCTACGTATTAAAAATTACTATTGAAGCCGTGCTACTTCTGCATTGTAAAACAGGCAAAAGGAGAGTCGTGCAGGGACCATAACCAACAGCCGACGATCATTTTTTTTCATAGCGAGAACCGCATTGAAATTTTTTTGCCAAGCGTCATAACATTGCTGTAAACTAAGATGAAAGTCGTTATCAATAAAATATTGGCACTTTTAAAATATTTGCAGTATTTTTTATGGTATCATTCGACTTGGAAGTAGCGAATTTTGATGTGATTCGAGCGAATTTTATAATAGATCCAGTATCAATTTGCCCATTTCGTCCGAATTCGTCCATTAAGCAGTCAGTCATCTTGAATAATTATTTTCTTCACAATTTATTGACTCTCAGCGATTCGATCGAAACGAACAGAGGAAATTTTGATTTTTGATAACCGGCGGAATATTTTGGGGATGAACAAGGGAAACCAATTCAATTAGTCGAAACAAAAGACAAACCGCGAAATTTTCTGGGAACTCACGTGTAACCCCCGATTTTTGAATCAAAATCAACCACTGTTCGTTCTTTTCGAATCGCTGAATATATACCTCGTTTTGGATTTCGGTTAGATCATCTAAATATGTGATGAGCATCCGAGAAACCGCCCTCATTTTTTCAATTGTCTGCGCATTATCATCATTTTTTTCTGCGTTTAAAAGCCGCATCGCGACCTGAAATTATTGCAAATAAATACATTTCAAATTTTTGTTTGTTTTCTATTATCCACTAAAAACATAATTCATCAAAATTAAACTCCGACGAAAATTAAAATCCAAAAATTGGCGCCTTTAGAAATATTTACCGTATATATCGCCTTGGGACCAATCAATAAAACTTGTATGTGTCTTTTATACGGTAGGTCTTTTTTTTTTGCTTTTTTGTTTTTTTTTTTTTCCAATTTAATAGCCCTGGTAGGCATATTTTCTTCGCTTTTTCATAGTTTTATTGCTTCAATAAATAACGTTTGAATTATTTATTTTTCACATTTTTAAAGCGCAATATTTCCATCATCTTGGCCATTAAATATAATTTTCTCTTCATTTCAGAAATACAATCTAAAATTGCACCTATCAATCCAAAAAATGTTATCAAATTGTACAGTTTTACGACACTCGCTACTGATAGCACACGATTTTTCGACTCAACCGGATACGGAACGTCTCAAATTCGTCAATGTCCGCTACATTGTATATATTTACATACATATAAATGTGCAATTTCGGAATCGTCTAACATAAACATCGAAAACCGTCGCCGAGCCGATCTCACAACGCGTCCGTCATCTCGCGTGTTCTTTCGCGCTCTCTTCGCCTCGCGCGTTGCTTTCGCGACTCGCTGCCGAGCACATGCCAGCCTTTTCCCTCTTTCACCGCAATGCTTTTGCGCTATTTCGGAGATCATTGTGTCGCTCGTAAATTGTTCCCTTCGCCGACCTCACCGTTTTTACTATTCCTCGAATATGCTGGAAAAAAAACGCATGCAAGGGTGCAAAATTGCCGAGGCATACCCGATGTATTGACCCCCCTCAAACAAGAAATATTGCTGTTTTTTTTATTGATTTTCGTCAATGTTCTTTCTATTTGTTCATGCTCATTTCGTTAGAGTTCTATGGGAAGCTGGGTGGAAGCAAGAAGAAGAAAAAAAAAATAACCCGACCGGTCCTCAAATCGATATTTTTTTGGCGCCGCTCTAGCGGAATGAAAAACAAAAAACAATCCATCCTCGCTTACGCTATTTTCACCATTGAAACGTTCATTTCATCGTCTTGTTCATGTTCCTCATCTTCTCCACCCCATCGTTTAACTATTATTTTCAGCATCTGGCTGCAGGCAGGCAGGCGGAGCTCCAATGATGAGCACTTCTTGCGTCACAATTTGCACCCCACCAGCATTGCCGTTGTGACTCTGTCTCGAATCCATCTCCAACAACTTCGTCTTTCTTCATATCTTCTTGCCAGTGTGTTTGTGTGTCTGGCGGTCTCTGCGCGAGGCGAGAAAGGGGGTTTCCCCCGGCGGTTGGGGGGCTCCGGCGACGGCTCATAGTCGATACATCCCGAGTGTTATTTTTTTGCTTCTTCTTCGTGGACATTGCCTTCTTCGGATGCGGTCATTGTAAACTTCAGCCGCGATGACGACCGATGAGAAGAAGTTTCTGATCACACCGATCACCATGGCCGACCTCGAGTCGAACGCGGCGCATTCAAATCTCAATTATGCGTCGAGTGATCCCGATGTTCCGCCGACGCCAGATGAGAACATGTCGCTGCGCGACAGCGACTGCCGATCGGCGACACCCAGCGGCCAATTCATTCCTCTTATTTACAGGTACCGTAACTGGTCCACCATTTCTTCCCTTGATGAGCATTCAATTTCAGCGAGCCGGCTCTCTTCAATCTACCGGACGCGTCGCTATTTGTATATCTTCACAAGCCGCTGGCGGCAAGCGACACACTCCTACCACATGTAATTAATAGGCTAATTAGTGGGCCAGTCAATTGGTAATTAACATATAGATGAGAGAAGCAGCGGCGGCTGCTGAGAATCTGCACCCGGTTGGCGACGAGCAATTATCTCCAGAGATCTCGAGGGCGCCTAGTATAACAACCGTCACCAATGATGATAAGAACGTGTATCAATCAGATATTTCTGTTTATGGGTATCAAGAGAAGATTCTCAAGATTCAAAATATTCAAATATCAATTTCTAGTCGTCCGGGATATAAAAAATCGTTTTCGACAAGGGAGATTCGCGAGCAACACGCTCGAATGCAGCAGAAGTATCGGGATGTGACGAAAAAGGAGAAGAAGGTCACCGACCCCGTCGACTTTGAAGCAATTCTTAACATTATCGGAGGATGCCGTTGGTGGCAGATTTGGATTTATGTGCTCATTGCGCTTCAGCAGATCCCGCACGCCATGTTCAATTTGAATGTCGTCTACATGATGTATGATCCGGAATTCCAGTGCATGGTTAGTTTGTGGGAATTTGCGAAAATCGCCTCCAGAAAAAAAAAATAGTTGTTTTTTTTTTCAAATTAACCGTTGTGGTAGACATTTAAAGGTGCATACTGCGAAAATTGTGCGATTATCGAAGCGAAACGAAATTTTTTCGAAATTCAAAGAAATTTTATTTAACACTTTGAGTCGGGAAACAAGTTTTTTTTCTCATTTTCCCACACATTCTCTGATTTCAGGTTCCCGGCTTCAACGACACCAACGACACGTCGATAGCGACACTCGGCGCCTACAAATGGGGTCTCGATGATATCAAGAACATCTCGTTCGTGTTTCCGAACGCGAATCACGACGGCGAATATCGGAGAGACTCGGTTAGTTTAAGCAGGGCGGTGAAGGGGTGGGGGGTGTTGTGAGGAAATTCGATAGTCGAAGCGAATACGTGTATATCTATATTTATTAGATTTTTTTTTGTCTCGTTTCAGTGCTATTTTTATGAGCGAACCGAGAAACGCTATCGCGAGCTCCGTCGAATGAGCCTTGATGAGGCGATGAGAGCCGCTTGGAATGATGTGGCGCCGAAGAGGAAGTGCATGGCATATCATTATGAGAAGGACGTGCGTTTCAAACGGCGTCGTTTTGATTGATCGCTTATTGTTTGCAGGTGATGAAGGAGACAATCGTCACCGATTTCAATCTAGTTTGTGATAGTTGGCTAGCAAAGGGACATGCTCACATGTTCTATTCAATCGGGTATCTTCTAGGATGTGTTTTAGGCGGAATTGCGAGTGATAAGTGAGATTTTTTCGTTTTTCTCGAGCAGATTGGGTAGGGGGGGTGCGCCTTTAAATTAGTGATATTCTCCAAAAAATTGTTTGAATTTTGAAAATTCTCTAAAACAAATGCGGCACTTCTTTGTGAGACCACATTTAAAGGTGCATTCTTCTAATTGCCACGAACAAAAAATCGTTAATCAGAATCACTGCGATAACATTCGTTGCAAGACCACATTGAAATCGATAATGTCAATGTTCAGAATTGGACGAAAGCCGACGATCATCGGCTTCGGAATTCTGTCATCGATGTTCGGCATTTTCCTTCCGTTCAATGATTATTACCCAATGTTCCTATTTATTCGTCTTTTATCCGCAATTTGTAATGAAGCTGCCGATCTTGCAGCGTACACGCTGTGCATGGAAATAACTGGTAATTCGATAAGCTCAAACATTTAAGACTCGGAGAGTTTCAGGCATGAAATATCGCGCAATGGTTGGAAGTATGCTTCAAGCACCCTGGGCACTTGGCTACGCTCTTCTAGCTCTCATGGCATATCTGACAAAAAGCTGGAAGACCATCCAGGTGAGAATTTTTGCGAAGAGAAATACGAATCTCTTTTTTTCAAGGTGTTCGCTTCGATCATGCACTTTTTCGCCGTCATCCTCGTCTGCTCACTTCCCGAATCGCCACGTTGGCTGATGACGCAGAATCGAACCGGCGAGGCGGAAGACGTGATACGCAAAGCGTGCCGTCCGCCACCGTTTCCATTTAATCTTTGCCGAACATCGAATTGCGGCAATCTTCCATCGGATTTGGAGCTGGTCGGCCATCGAGAACGGAAGCTTAACAACAAGGTACGCCGCCTCGAATTTTGCGAATTGTTGAAGTTTTGCTTTTTTTTCAGAACGGCAAAATTGGATTCTTTGATTTGTTCGTAATGAAAGAGCTACGCTATCGCACAATTTCGATTTGCATTGTATTCATGGCGACGGCGCTGGTTTACTACGGATTAGTTATGGGTTAGTTCGATTGTTAATTAGTTAAAAAATGAGAAATGAACAAAAAATTGCAGCCCTTTCTGACCAGTCAGCACCTGGCCGGACACTGTTCACCGGCTACTTCCATCTTAACAATGGAATCGCTGGTGCTATCGAGATTCCGACATTATTTGCTTGCGTCTGGATGATGACTTTGGGAAGGAAAAAGTATGATGATTTCCTTTGAATGTTCGGAATCGATTCAAGAATGTTTTGCTGAAATTTTGCCACAAAATTTCGACTTTTTCTGAAAAATAGAATGTCGATGATCTTCAAGCGAAATTCAAAACGAATTTTTTTTTGGAAAAACAACACAGAAAATTTTTTGGTGGTTGTTAACATTGATATTATTTTTAGAGCCATCATGCTCACATTAACAACATCGGGCATCTTCATAATCATCGCAATGCTGTTTGTCATCTCCGGCTATCATATGGGAGCTCTGGCGTTTATGTTGCTCGGCAAAATCGCCGTGCAGGGCGCGTTCAACATTTTGTACATATTCACGTCCGAGCTCTATCCCACCGTAATCCGGAACACAGCTGTCGGAGTCACCTCAATGGTACGCAATTCATTTTTTACGACAACCTCAAGGCCCCTCTTCGCCGGCGTTGTGAGCTTTGAGTTTTCAGGTTGCGCGATTCGGATCGGGTCTCTCGTCCTATATCGCACTGCTTTCGAATATTTCGCTTCCCATCGTGCCGATGATCATTTTCGCGGTGTTCTCGCTATTCGCTGCCATGCTTGTCATTGTGCTACCGGAGACGTCTGAAAAACCGCTTCCGGAAACCGTCGACGTACGTTGACAATTATAACGAACCGCTGACACCTAGAACAATTCCAGGACGCCATCACATTCTTGGAGCCGTCGAAACAAGTGAATTGCATGATGGGCAAATTCGGGATGTTCCGACAAGGCAAGATGACCAAGAGTATATCATTGACTGAGAATCCGAGCTCAACGGATATTGATATTAATGAGTAAGTCGTCGCCTTATAGGGAAATCCCGTTAACCGGAAGTGTTTTTTCTCGCAGAGTCATGGCTATCAGTAGAAGATCATCGGCGATTAATCGAAGAATGGCTCAGCAGGCGAATGACATTTTGACGAGAAATGTGAGTCCAAATCTTGTTAGCTTTGTCGACATTTGTTTATTAAATTACAAGTCTTGATAGAAGACAAGAAAAAAATGTAATCCGGCCAACATTTTTTGAGAGTTTTTCGAAATACTAATCCATTATGAATCAAATTGTCGAAGTTTTGACTTTGGAAGTTTTTTTTTTTTGGATTTTCAGAATTTTTTTAAAAGCTCATTCGATTCAGAATTTAATGAAAAGAACAACTATAATTGAGTCAATTTTTTAAAATTCGATTTTTTTGAGTCAATTTTTAAAAGTTATAAAATTGTGAAAGGGTAAAGAATGTAATTTTATGGAAAAAATTGCTTACGTTGATCCCTTTTTCCAGATTCGGGCCTGAACTTCAAATTATCGTCCATTAATCCTAGGACATTCTTCAAATTTCCATTTTTTTTTTGTAGGCCAGTCGAACCGAATCCATCGTGCAAGATCTTCACGATTTAAAGGTGCCATCCGACCAGAAAGTGCATGAGATTTCCAGCGAGTAACCCCATCATCCACAGGTGTCCATACAATTCAGTTCGGTTCATATTTTCCGTTTATTTTTTCTTCATTTCTTCAAAAAAAATCGGGTCAAATTACCTCTCTTCATGTTTCCAATTGTGATTCGCCAAAAAAAATTCGATCGTATTGTATTCACGCAAACAAATTGAGAGAAGTGTCAAACGCTCATCGTCGTAATCATTAATTATTATATATTATTATTATTATTATTTTGCCTTCACAAAAAAAGAAGAGATAAAGCTAATGAAAGAAAAGAAAAAAACGTATTTACACAAAATAAACGCAAAATAATACAGAAAAGAAATACTCGTTTTTTGTTTGATTCGGGACGAATCGTCCACTTATTATGCAATGTGTCGGGGGTCGGAAGGGTACGAAAAAAAACTACTTCACATCTAAATTATTATGACTAGATTTGTCGCATTTTGTTGAAGCACTGACAATGGGAGAATGATGAGAAACAATGACAAAAAAAAATAAATTACAAATTGTGCATGTGCGAGTGCGTGTGACGGAAATTTTCCGAAAACTCTGAGAGAGAGAGAGAGAGTGTGTGTATGTTTATGTGTAAATTCGAAACCCGCATGATTATATGCTTGTGCGTCATTACAACAAAAATGGGCCTAAAATGAATTGAGCCTAACAAGAAGAAAGATGAGAAAATTTTGAGCAATATATTAATTAATTGAAGCCAAAAATTCACTAGGGGACTAGATTTAAAGCGACTACGATGAGGATCGCCGAATCGTCAACAAGGATTTTAACAAACAACATCACCTTGTCGATGTTCGTGAAATGTAGTCCGCCACCGATTGGTAGCAAAACGAATATTGTTCCTGTAGAAAACGTAAATTTTTGAAGCAAATATCGAGATTTAACAATTTTTACTTGAAAATTGTCTAAAACTATGCGTTTTTTTATAACAAAGCGCCAACGGTGGTTGATATTTGTATAATCATAACAAAATCAGCTCCGGTTTTTTTAAAAAATATATCAACATTTATATTACCATCGCAAAAAAAGAGCCCCTTGTGAACCTTGTGGACCATTGAGTTTTTTCGAAGCGGTAATTCAAATTCGAATTAAACCAGTGGGAATTTTGATAATTTTTTGCGAATGTACAGGGTGTCATTTAAGTTCCCGCACAAAAGTTTGACGCCATGAAGAGCTTGGCTGTCGCACTTTTCGTGCACCAATACAATTTATTTTTGTTAAATAAGGTATATTTTACTTACTTTCCAAGTTTCACCTCATTCGGATGTGTTTCCGAGAAATGGCGAAGGCTAACATCCATTGCGCTTCCATTATCGAACTTCATAAGCAAAATGTGAGCTCGAGAGACATCATTCAACGGGTCGGTGTGCCTCGTAGAACGGTTTGCGACACCATCAAACGTTTCAAGGAGCTAAATACGACCAGTCACCGTCCCAGACAAGGAAGACTCGTCTCAGTAACCACTCCTCAGAAGATCAACGCCGTCAAATCGAGGATCAGGCGAAACCCCCACAGGAGCATGAGAAAGATGGCGTTAGACATAGGAATGAGCATCTTCGCTATGGAACAAATTGTCAAAACGAAGCTTGGACTGACCCCATATCGTGTCCAAAAAGCGGCAATTCTATCGGCCGTCAGCAAGCAAAGACGCTTCGAAAAAGCAAAACGACTTCTTGCTCGCACGCGGTCTGGACAACACCTCGTCACTGTCTTCTCCGACGAGAAGCTGTTCACTGTGGAGACGGCATTCAACTCACAAAACCATTGAGTACTTGCCCAGACATCCCAGCAAGCTTCTGAGAAAAGAAGAACATATCATCCAGCCTCACATCCTGCCAGCATGATGGTTTTCGTTGCCATCTGCTCAACCGGGAAGTGCCCCCTGGTTTTCGCGGATCAGGGGGTGAAAGTGAACAAAGAAGTCTACGTTCGGGACATTTTGGAGAAGCATGTGATGCCCTGGACCCAAACGCATTTCGGTGGGCAGAAATGGGTCTTTCAACATGACGGAGCAGCCGCCCACACTGCCAAAACTACTCAGGAGTGGTGCCAGACCCATTTTCCCGACTTCATCAAGTCATCCGAATGGCCTGATTGCTCCCCAGACCTGAACCCGCTTGACTTTCCCGTGATGGGGTCTTGCAGGAGAAGGTCAACGCAAAACCCCACTCAAGTATAGAGGCTCTGAAGAAGACATTACTGGCGGAATGGGACAATCTTTCCATCGAATACCTGCGTACCACAGTCGCATCCTACCCGAAGCGTTTCCGTGAAGTCATAGCTGCGAAAGGAGGCCGAATCAAAAAGAGTTAATAGATAAATATTTGTTATACTATAGATAAAAAATATTTTGAGTCTCGTTTGATTTGGACTTTTAGTTTCAGAAATATACGTCTTCAAAGTTGTGCGGGAACTTAAATGACACCCTGTAATAATCAATGTGTTTGATCTTCGAACGAAACAAGCATCTTTGACATTTACTGAAGTCTTTTACTTTTCAGAATGATAACAAAATAATTTCGATAAAAATCACTTACCAACTTAGTAAACATCATCGGCCTCTGATTCTGAAGACCCTTGACCGTCTGGAACACGTCAATTCGTCTTTCCGCTTTGAGGCGAAGCAACAACAGCGAAATGCATACGAATATGCCAGTTTCTGACGAACCGTTCCTAAATCAATAAATATAGACTCCGATGCGTTGTTGAACTCGATTGATTACCTGCAGTGTACAAGGATCGGACCAGAATCCGCGAGCCGACTTTGCCTCTCCAAAACCCTACTAATCAACGATAGCAGAGAAGTGGAAGACGTCGGCACCGGCGCTTCCGAAGGCCACGACGTGAACGCGTACTGCACAATCTCCTGTTTCTGACCACCTTCGTTATCCTTCATCGAGTACGCTAAAGTTCTCGTCAGATAGTCGGGTTGGCGTTCCTCATCGATGAATTCAACATCAACATTATTGCGGGGTGCTCGGAATGTCGCCGTCTTGCCAACCTCCTCAGGCCAATACTTCTCCGAAGCACTCCAATCCGCTTCATTTGACAACATCACCACCGTAGAAATTCGTTGATCAGCAATCATTCGCCAAAAATCGAATACGGTCACCTCGCTGACTGGATCTTGCGCAACAATGTATGAGTAGAAGTAGCCCTGAAATTGAAATAAAAATTTAATATTTCTCTTTTCGCATAAATGGGAAAATTTCGAATTACACGTTGAAAACTACTTTAAAAAATATTTTGCGAAAGATTTTTTGAAAATAATTTTTCATTTGTACTTTTGTCATAAATAATGTTCTTTTTGGTACAAAAAACTTGCAAATTGGAAAATCATTATTTTTAAGCCGAAATATGAAAAAAAAAAACCATACTTTAATATGTGATGCATTGATATAACTGGAATCGGCGTAGCCAATCGTCGGGCTCAGAACAACCCGATACTTATCATACGGAACCGCAGCTTCAAACCGATTCTTCATCAAATTCTCGTCTTTGGATGCGAAACTCGTCGAAGGAGGAACTTCGAGATTCCTCTCAAGTCGCTTAAACTCCTCCTCGAGCCCATTTTCACAGCTCTTGTCCGTAGATTTGCCAAGCATCACTCGTTGAGATCCATTAAACGATGCCGATCGCTCTCTGGAATCAATTGGAAAGAATAAGATGATTAGGACTAGAAAAGAAAATGTCACCTCATACTGGGTTCCAGAAGCATTTGATAGTGTTCTTCAAACTGATCAATGTCCATATCAGTGTAGCCATACAGGTGCCATTCGGCGAGAGCTTTGTAAATAAAGACGTACTGCTCAACCGACTGGACCATCAGATTCCGCTGCCTCCTCAGAGACGAGACAAACTCGAAAACATTCGCTTTTCCTTCCGCGTTGCATTGATCAAACATCGAATCAATCGTGATGAATGTTCCAGTTCGCCCAACTCCAGCGCTACAAATTTCTGATAATTCCAAAAACAAGAAAAATCTAAAACCTGCAATGAATAACGACCGGCGAATCATTGAATTCCGGAACGTCCCTCAAAATGTGCAAGAATCGGAGCATACTCGTCGAACATTCCGGCGCTTTGTAATCATTCCAATTCATAAAATGATATTGCGTTACTCGGCGAGCATTCGCGCCAAAAGCACCCGAATTTCGAATCATTGGGATATTCGCATACTCGATCATCGGATTGCCATCACTAGAAAACGAATTGAAAAGAATCCGTGGGTAAGGACTGGCTTACTTGATTGCTTCATCGACATGTACAATATCAAATGTTCGCACAGCGTAATCAGAAAAGTAAAAAGCTTGAACCGGCTTGACAACAATGTCTCCATACCTGAAAAAATAAATGATTTCACTAAAAACTTGGATTAATAGAGCTATGCGGATGAAATTTAAAATTCAACAATTCAGACTAATCATAACAAAAAATACACAAAAAATTCTTAATTTTTCCAAATTTTTAAATCTCAAATTTTCGATTTCACCGAACATTTTTCGCATTTTTTAATACTACATTTTTTGCTGGGCTAACCTTTGAACCGAATCATCCGGCCAGTATTTCGCACATTGTTGCCGATTCTTTTCCGACAAATTCGCGACCATCACTATCAGATACGCCTCCTGCTCCCAAATCATTCGCCAGAAATCGCCCAGAGTCGCGTCAAGAGGCGCTTGCGCCGCAATAAACGTCTTCAAACCATTCCAACTCTGAAAATAATTGGAAATCTTATTGAAGCAGCAATTACCTAAGAATTACCTTAATATAGTTCGCATTAATATAATCCGAAGAGTCATCGCCATCAATTTTGCTCAATTTTACACGCGTTTCATCAAATGCACGAATATCGTTATAACGATTCTTGTGCAAATTATCCTTTCGATTACTCGCCGTCGTCTCAAACTGATAATGCGGCAAAGCTTCATACTCCTGCACAAAGACAAAATCCGAATCCCGATGCCGCATAACGTATTCCGTTGGAAGGTCTTCAATAAGTACAGCTCCAAATGACGGCTTCAATAGGGTCCGATCGGCAACGTCCTTGGAAATGATTCGCGACAACGGGCACCAATGGTAAGGATGTCCGCGTCCGCGACGATGGCGGTTCACAATCGCCATTGCAAAAAGGGTCGCCATTGCGATGAATATCACCAATGGAACCACCACCTTTAAAACCGTTGCGAATCCACCAGAAGCTGAAAAAACTAGAACATACAACATATTTGCTCTCTTCCAGTTGGGAAAGAACTTTACAATTAAAAAACTTACATGCTTCCGGATCAAGGATGACCGGCTTGAAGTATCCACTGAATCCATATGCAGGTCCACTCAAATGTAATTGCCGTTGTTTTCTCATAAGAGACACTCGTTTTGTAGGGTTCGCGCTTCGATCACGATCCAAACTGAAATCAAAAGCCCTCATAAAAATTAGGGAAACTGAGGAAATCTCACATTCTCTGCAAGAATCGGCTTCCACCAATAGGATTCGACTTGTCAAACTTCTTCTCCTCTTCCTTGTCGACTCGAACAATCAAGAATCCGGTGTATTTCAATCCAGTGCGCAAAGCCAAGTCTTCGGCAGAATATCTGCTGAGATATCTCAAAACCAGAAAAATTCGTAAAGCGGACTAATCGAGAGGTGAAAACTCACTGCACATTGCAAGGTTGCATATCGGCAACGCCTCCGCCATCACCAATGATCGTCTCACGCGGAAATTCCGTGTACGATTCAGCGATATACGCGAAAAACCGTTTTTTCTCGGCGGCGGATCCATGCAAATTGTTGCTGAACACCTTCGAGAACGAGTCCATCACAATTTCATTCGTCGGCGGCAAAAGATCAAGCGACACATTCTTCGGTATCGGCACAATCGCAACATAGTAACAACTAAAAGAATACAATTCTAACATTTCTGGACATATGCCGAGAAATTTTAAAAATTAAATCTTATTAATAGTCAAGGAAAATATGCGCAGATGAGATATTTCTATGAGTATTAAATCAATTTCTCAAAACTACCTTATTGGACCATTCGTGTCATCAGGAGCAGCTCCAAATTTCAGTGAGAACGTCGATTGATTTGCAGCAAGCGAGGTTTGCGGCTCATGGACGACATCCGGCTGAGCATAATTAGTGACGCAAGACTTCTTAAAAACCGCAGGAAGCGACCGTCCGGCACTGTTTTCCGCCCAAACGCTAACCGAATAATTGCGATTCGGCTAAAAAAAATTATTGAAATTGAAAAGAAAAAGCAACCATACTTTGAGTGGTCCGAATTTGCACGAATAAAAATCAGTGGAAAAGTCAATCGGATTGATTCCACTCTGGCCAGCCTTTGATTCATCGCCATCCCAGTTCGCGCATCGTTTATCAGCTTCAGAAGCCATGGGGAAATCGTCAGGAATCAGCGAGCCATCAGGACGAGGAATTCGAAGAGCACCACGTACAGAAACCTATAAAACCTCAAGGTTACAAATAAATTTGGAATTTCAAAGAACTTACAAAATATTTAACGATTCTACCATTCGTCTCAGCCGGACTTTTCCACTCAACCTCACAAATCAATGAAGAGCCGCTGTTCAGAACTCGCACATCTTCCTCTTTCGGCGCATGAGGTCCTGAAACGAAAAAAAACGAAATAACAAAATATTGAAAATTCGAACTTTTCTGTTTCGTCGAGAAATGCTCAGTAAACTCGAAAGGGACGGTCCCATCTTTTCCGGAGACGAACAAAGTGTACGGCGTGGCAGCTCGAAGCTCTTTGACGATAACGGGAGAAGTCGCATTATCCTGACTGAACACAACGTGCCCACGATTGTCAGTTCGCCGAACAAGCCTGCAAAATTTCGAATAAAAAACATAAAGAAAATTGTTGAACGTTTCCATTTGAAATCAATCAATCCAGCAAAAAAACGTGTCAACAATTGAGCATTTTAAACATTTTTTCCTGCATTGATTCGTAAAAAAAACTAAAGAAAAAACGAAACTGCACTAGCCAAAGGGAAATATCGAAATTCTACAAACTAAAACAACTTAGAAGGTAGTGATGAATAACCTTGGAGATCTGCGGGCATTTCACCGATACAATTCCATGAACCAAAGTTATTCAGTGTGAAGAAAATTGAAAAAGGAAAACCAAAAGTGAATAGATTACGAAGAGCAACGCCAACACAAAAAATTCAACCATTCTCTTACGCTTTATTCTCCGACGATGTCGAATTCGCTGATCGCCGTCGTCTTGACCTGTTTCACGCTAATTATTCGAAAAAAAATAACTTCGGGACAAAATGTTAGGGTAGCGGATTTAGAATTTCGGGCATTTGTTTGAGATTAAAAAAAGCTGTCGATTTGAATTCAAAAAAATGATTACCTCAAATCAATCGGGACTACTTGGCTCCCTTCTGGACCTTCTTCCGATTCCCACGTTATAACTGCCTCCTTTTCAGTGGCATTCACACGTAGCTTATGAATCATTCGAGGGGCTGAAAAATTGAAAATATCATTTTCCGGTACAATTCAAAGAAAAAAGCCATGCAATAAATCAATCCAACCACTATTACTTTTGTTGGGGGGTTTCATGCCAAACTCACTACTGGAAACCGAATCCGTCGGTTTTGTCACTTTTTTCGGTCTTTTATACCAATAAGAGTGCGAGCGACGATGATGGTCTACAGTTGATTTAAATACATGATTAAAGTCATTCAAACGTATTATCTTCTGTGAAAAACGGCAATATCATGGATATGTTAATAACTTGAAATTTGCGCCATGGTTTCCCATGAAAAGCAACCAAGGGGTTTCACTTTTCAGAAAAATGCCACTAATTTCTAGAAATTTTGAATAAAAACATATTGTAATTTAATATATGTATACATATACATTTCAGAACTGATTCAAAAATTATTTTTTAAATTCTCATTCCAACATAAAAAAAAAGAGTTATATCTGTATAATCTTCATTTTTTCATGATTTGTCTCCAAATGCCGATCAAAGTCAAATTGATTCAATCATCAAAAATATCTGAAAATATTCACCTTTGACTTCAAAATCAATGGTATAATTGGCAGTTGCTCCAGGCACGCTCGACGTCACCATGCACATGTAGGAGCCGGTGTCCGACGGCTGCGCGTTTTTGATCTCCAATTCCCAACATGCATGTCGTCCCTGAGATCGTCGTCGATACTCCTAAAAAATCGCAACAAATTTGTGAGGAAAACGAATGTCGAAACCCGTTTCGAATTCGACAACAAGGGCCAGCGATTACCTCATTGAAGGGATGTGCGGTCGCCTCGCGCATCAGGGTCGAGTTCTGAATGAAAAACACTCCCGCGGCGTCGACGAAACCCTCCGGATCGACATTGATACAACAAAACAGTGTGACGTCACTTCCCTTGTAAACCGACGGCGACGGAAACGCGTTGCCAACGACTTGAAGATCTCCTAAATCAACAATGGAATTCGCACTACAGAAAAAAAACATCGGAGATACTTTTGTCGCATTTGATCGGCGGAAGTGTCGTGTTGAGACGAAGCGGAAGATCCGTGGCCGCCACTTGCACCTCATCGAATTGCGGCGGGCAAACGCATTGATTCTGCAAATACGCAATCCTAGTCATATAAATTCGCATTATCACACAACGCATCATCATATACAATCATCATCATTATCACACAGCGAATGATTCACAATGGAGACCGAAGACGCCGGCCGCGCCGGACGTAATCGATCATTTTTTGTTCGCACCCCATTCATACAGATTTATGGACAACATTCCCCCCCCCAATCATCGATGACGACAGCCCCATTCTATTCCCATTGATTGATTTCCAGTGAAAATTCGATCGAGCCTTCCGGCGCGGCAACACTGGTATTGGGTTAGGCCCTCACGTATTATTGGGACAACTCTAATCGAATCGTCACACTAAATTATCGTCAATGTCAGACGATTGGACGGTGGGCGGGCGGGCGCCACAAAAATTCTCCGTGTTTTTTCCCTCCTCCCAATAATCTCACGTTCTCATTTTCAAAATTCACACGTCGGACAGAGTGGGGGAAAGTTGAACGTAGACCTTTTTTAATTTACCGATTAGTTTGTCTTATAACGAAAAAAAGTTTGAATTCGGCTCTAGACAACCAAACAGTTTTTCGTTTTTCACGTTGGATTTTCAAAATTGTCCGCAAGATCACTTTAATAACAAATCAGGAAAAATATTCAAAATTTAAATGTTTTCTTACGTGATAGCACGCCGGATCGAGCACATCATATTTGGACCGATAGATTTTATCCATTAGAAGACATTGAGAAGCCGATGAGAAGCGGTAACCGCAGCGGACAGGAATCGCTAAAAATTCAAGAATTCAAAAATCAGTTAAATGTATCAAAAGGAAAAGGGGGTTTTCATAATGTCAGATATCAAAATATAACAGAAGGTTTCACCAAATCGTTTTTCCCTTAACCAAATAATCGAGATTTTGTTTCTATGATAATTTATATGTTTCGCGGATACCCCATCTCCCTCTTTTTTGAAAGTCTCACTTGCTGGGCATGATGCTGGACACATGCAAATCCCATAGCCGATGTTTCCCTTCTTGCACACTCCGCCATGAACGCAATCATGGTTGGATTCGCAGCGCGGAATTTCTGAAATAAGAAAGATCAGTCAAGATTCGGCGACAAGGCTCGGTAGATCAAATTTTTGAAAAGAGCGAACTTCTACAAATTTATAGGATCATTTTTTGTTAAAAAAAAAAACAAATATTGGGCCCATCATAGTAGGCTCATTCAGACCATTATATTTGGAAATTTAATTCATTTTAAAAAATGCCAAGTTGAATATGAATGTTGTCACTTTTTTTATTATATGATATGTAAAAATTAAATTTTTCATCAATTTCATTTAAAAAAAATCTCACCTAAATCCCTCGCATCTTTCAGCTTTGGTTCGGGTTTTGTCGTTGTGGTTTTTCCGGCATTCGTCGTATTTTCAATTCTAATCTCTCTTAAAAATAAAAATTGTTGATGAGTCAAAAATCGGGGCTCACTTTTTGTCAAGCAACTCTTCATCTGTGTCATCATCAGCATCAGCTCGACAATACCTTAGGAACAACAAAATCACTGTTATCCACCAAATCCAGCAATGTATCCGCATTATTAATTAAGGCAAAACGACAAACGTTGTGAAACGTTGATGGGTTCGATTCTTTCTGGCGGGAACGAGGGTGGTGCAAGTTCCGCGAATTTACAGCTTGATATCCATTACGAGACGATATTTTTTTGAATTTTCGTTGAGCCTGCAAATTAAGAGCTTATTTGGAGAAAAGAGGATCAATATAATTCGCGAATCGAGAATTCGGAGACATTGGAGGACACATCAGTTAGCATTAAATCAATAATTGAATTGATGCGTTGAGAAACAAAATTTGGTTCATTCTTCGTTGAGTGATACTACCTAATTAGGGATGACGGTTTGAAACTAATCGTCTCTGTTGACCATTGCAAAACACTGGACCAAGTTTTGGAGTTTTCAAGCAAAACTAAAATTTTCGTAGATCAAAACCAGGTCCCACGACTATCGAATTACGGTATTAGGGAGAAAACCCAGGAATCGAAAATACGCTTTTAAGGTTCGATGATTTCGAAAGGGAAATTTGACCTTCTAGCGTTCGTTCCGCTTATTTAAGCCACTCTAGATATGAGTTTTTCTGGTCTAAAGCTCAAAAAATCGTAAACGAACGAGAAATCACACACAAAAACAGTAATAAAACCACGCGGCCCAAAAAAAAACAAACATGCTGTACAAAATGTTTTTTTTATTGATTCGCCAATCTGCTCACTCACCAAACAAACATTTTCAGAATGAGATGAAAATTTCTTCGATTAAAAAACCATGTCATTAAAATGGGTATATGAGTGGTCTTTGACCAAAAACTGAGCAAAAGTTAAGCGATAGGATGGGACCCGAAAGAAATTAATTTCGTTTCTTGAACTTCGGGGTCAAATCGATAATTGCGGGTAGTTTTTTTTTTTGAAATGTGTGTGTGTGAGGGCTGCCTTCTCGTATTCAACGAGAATTGAATTCGAACACACACACACACACTCTAACACAACGAAGACAAATAAAAAGTGAGAAACAAGCGTTTCGAATTCGCCGGCAGATTGTTTATCAGGTGGTCGGCGCCGCTCTCACATTTATCAATTGAAATCATAATATTGATATTGTATTTAAACATTTGGGAGAGAATCGTATCAAATGACAACCGGAAGGAGTCAGTTTAAATGAATTCATATAAAAATCAGAAAAACGACGATCTGGCCGAACGGACGTGGCTGAATGGAAAACTAGTCTATAAATTTGAAATTTTGGGAAAAAATCTAAATTTTTCTTAAGCATATCAAAGGAGCATGCAAATCTTTTTAGATGATTTCTAAATGGAAAAAAATTATATTTTCAATTCTCATTTCTCACTCGTTCATATGTATTTTGCAGAAATTCGTTTAAAGCCATAAGAATTGGTAAACTTTCCTCAAAATTGCCGTTTTTCACTAATTTTTTTTCAAAGTTTTATTCGAAGCAGGGAAAAGTCCGAAACAAAGACACAACCAGATGAAATGAAATGGAATACAAGGAGGTTCGATTATATGGCTCAAATAAAACGCAACTGACGAGGTGTCCGAAAAATTGGCACCTACACACATATTTTCCAATTCTCTCATTTTTTCCAAAATCCCAGTTCCGAACACAATTTCCGCGTTATCTATCACCAATTTGGTTATCAGGTGTTACATTCATTCTTTTTTGACACCAGTGGAGACCCGCTTTCCGGTTTCAAGGAATGCAACAATTACCAACAGAAACTAAAAGGGATGAAGAGTGGAAAATGGGTATTGATAGTGATGACCCTTGAGAGATCGGCACAAATATTCGAAATCATCAAAAAAGTGCACGGACAGCACACAGTGTGTCTACCCGGGACGATGTTTCCCGGGAATTTCCGGGTTCCCGGGAAATTCCCGGGAAAATTTTCCCGGGACCCGGGACTCATTGAAACTTAATTTCCCGGGATCCCGGGATCCCGGGAAATTCGTTTCCCGGGAAACGCGGGATCCCGGGATCCCGGGAAATTCATTTCCCGGGTTTCCCGGGAAATTCCCGGGACACCCGGGACAATCCCGGGACAATCCCGGGAAAGTCTGCAAACACCGCGCGCGCAAACGCACACTCTTCGAATATTGCGTATTGTCGTTTTTTTTTTCGAAATTTTATGAGTTTTCTTATTTTCTTTGTCATTCTGATTCGCGACATATTCAAATCGAATCTTTTCAGTCAGTCTTTTCAGATCGAATCAGCGATATTATTTATTATTATAATTTATTGTTTACTTGATCGATCTTCAATAAGTTTTTTCGTTGAAAAAAGTATATTGAAAAAAGTTTAAAACCATTATTTCGTATAAAATTCTTGCTAATTTGGAAAAATCGTTATTTGCACATTTCAATTGTACTCATTTTTCTGCCAAATTTTAAAAATTCCAAATAGGGACTTCCTACGCCATTTTCTAAGCATTGGAATCTTTTTAAAATAAGAAAATTCATTAAAATGAAACGAGAATACGCAATATTCGAAGAGTGTGCGTTTGCGCGCGCGGTGTTTGCAGACTTTCCCGGGATTGTCCCGGGATTGTCCCGGGTTTCCCGGGAATTTCCCGGGAAACCCGGGAATTTCCCGGATTTCCCGGGAACCCGCTCATCCCGGGAAATGAATTTCCCGGGATCCCGGGATCCCGAGATACCGGGATCCCGGGTAGTTGCGGGACGAAACCGGGACGAGACCCGGGATTGGAGTCCCGGGATTTCCCGGATAAACCCGGGAAACGAAATTCCCGGGATCCCGGGAAATCCTGTCCCGGGTAGATACACTGACAGCACATGTGTCGATCGAAAAAAAAACTCATTTTGAACCGACATATGGCGTTTTCTGTTCAGTGAGCCTCAAAATCAAAACTCACCAGAACCCCGGGTAATCGAATCAGGTTGTTGCATCGCTTACTCAATTAACAAAACCACCACCACCACTACTACTAGTAGTATAACTAGGATGTTTGGCGTAACCAGCAAAAATTAACGATGCTACTGCTTCCGCCGTCAAACATTAAAAATGTGGGTCCCATGAGAAAAACCAATGCGGGCCAACGGCGCGTTATATTCACAGGAGGGGATTAGTGTCAAACCTGGAATGCCTAGCTCGAAGAATCATACTTTTCAAATTTCGACAAACAAAAAAATTTCTTAAGACAAGTCTTTTTGGCTAATACATATAACCATTTTTGGGTTTTTTCTAGTCAAAAATGTTGTTTATTCTGAATATTAATCATTTCGCCTCCCACCAAACAACTGACACAAGAGTGAAGATGGGACCATTGAGCTCGCGTCTGGTTAAGTGGGGTTGTGCAACAAGTGCTCCAGAATTAATATCGTCAATGATGAAGGAGAAGGAGAAGCCGAACGAGCGGTGACAGCACTTTACACCTTTTGCACTTTTTGCAAATCGACTATAAATTTCATAGGCCTCACAACGAATGCAAATACACTCATTATCATACAATCAACATAATTTCAATGTTAATTCCCGATTTAATGAATTATGCAAATAGTTAGAAGCTCATGGAACGAAAAATGATGAGACTACAGTAATCTGCTAATGTCATTTTTTTCGAATTTATCATAAAACTTGATGGAATTGGAGTCTCGAAACTCGTTTAGTACAATACAACAAAGAGAAAAAAGTCTCTGGTCCATTATATTCATATTTCATGACTAATGGCCCGATGTGTCATAAAACTACAATAAAATAGAAGGAAAGTAATAGATAGTAACGTGGAAGAGAATGGCGGGACCAATAAGTTGCCGTAGCAGAGAGAAGTGTTTCTGGAAGAATGAACACTGATCAATTCGCATGGCAAAAGCTCAAATTTCGCAATAAACACCAGAAGCCGAATGGCGGGCGGCACACAGTCATAACACAGATCATAAACAAACAGAAAATCAATAAAAATGGATGGGACCCGATGATAGAATATTCTAATTGCGTTTTCGGACAGATGAGGGAGGTTGGGTGGGTGGACCGACTAGAACGAACGAGCGAACGAGTGACTCCAGCATGCCCGAATGGAAATAGCGCGCAAATCGCGGAGAGCCGAGAGCAATGGACAACAAATGGACATTCATTGAAGTGATGGAGAAAAGGAGCATAGAGGAGAGGACCTAGACCGGGCTGGGGCCCGAACTGCAGTGGGTCACAATGCGGGTCTCCGTGTGCGGCGTTTGCGTGTCTCGCTGGTCATCTCGTGTATTGTGTGTATATGTGTTTGTGCATTCAATTCCGTAAAGGGTGCACCAGATGGCAGGTCCATTTTGATACACCCATTTTTTCTCATTCGGTGATTTTTTCTTCACACTCTAGCCGAACTACGATGACTTTTGGAATGTTTACCGAAAACATTTGAAGGGCGCGAGAAATTGAAAAAAAAAGCGGAAATTCCAGCTGATAAAAAGATTAATTACTCATTCCAATTCGCTGCATATCGAAAAACAGCTGATATGTTTTTTTTTTGAAAATAGTGATCAATCGCCGATGAAAAACAATTTTAAGAAGCCGGAAAACGAAAAAAAAAGAAGGGCGCGGCCGTCTAAACCTCATTCTACTCGAATTTTGGGTATCGAAAAAAAACGATCATTACTTCAATTTTTCCAAAATCGTAAAACAAACATTAGTGCAACTCTCTCCTTCTCTAAAATTCCATTTTTAGACCGCAATTCGTGTGCGATAAGGCTACGCCGACGTTTTTACGATTCTTTATGTGTTCCCGACGACTGATTACCATTACTGCAGGTCAAAGAATTATTATATGTTTTATAGTGTTCCGAGACAGATGCCAAAAATTGAACTGCACGGGAACGGTGACGGATAGGCATTTTTCTCTTCATTTTTCTCTCATTAGAAGCTGGCAAAGAACGGCGCGGTCAAGAAAAAAATGAAGAAGGTGGAGAAGGTGTAGGTGGATATTTTTTGCCATTGGCTTGTTGCTTGCTTGCCGCGTAGTTTAGTTTAGTGGTTGAGAGTGAAATAATGATAAAATCAATGTAATACGAAGTGATATTGCAAAAGACGAAACGAAAACGCGAGTGAAACGAGAAGCGCAGAGTGTCTTTACGCGACAGAGTCAGTCTCGACATTATTTCCGGTGGCCGTTTTGACAGTGTAAAAGAAAGAATAAGACGATCGTGATCGGATAGATGGAAATGCAACAACAACAAGATGAAGACAGTGCGGTGAGGCGGCGAAATGTGACCGATTGGAAATTGACGGTGCGGAGTGACCACCACCACCAGCATCATTATCCACTCGCCGAAACCCTCCTTCAATTTATTCTGTTACCAGTTGAATTATGATCTATTGATGATCCGTAGCGGAAATGTGTCGCATTCAACACATTCGCTTCATTCCATTCCATTATCGAAATTTCTGACCGTATTATCGTCGATTCGTCTTGTCGTGATGGACGAGACAAAAAACGTTGCGCATTCTATCGTCAGCTGATTACATTACAAATTCTGGTTCTAGGGTGTTCTTGTCGGAAAAGGGGCGGATATAACATATTCTAACACTCATTTCTTTCAAGTTTAACTACATATGTAGGTCTATTGAGTTCGGGAAAAAAAATCTACAATAGCCAAAGGCTTAATTCCACGTTATCTCCTCCCATGAAAAAAACCACTTACGTTTATAATTGTTCCTAAAATTTCCGGAGATTCCTTAAATTTCGTTTATCTTATGGGACTGAATCTTATATGAACAATCAGGAGGCAATCTTCAACCGTAAATTTACACCATTGAAAACTATCTTATCGTATTATTTATTATCATAAAATTTTACAGATATTTTGTAACTGTAACTGAATACATTGTGATGGCATGAGAGCAAATAAATATGGCGAATGAGAGATCATAATGAATTTCAATTTCAGTTACACCTAAAAAATGAATACGTCGATTGGGGGAAGAGTGTTGAGCAAAATTGACTATTTCTATAGGTTTTAACTGTCTTATCAATTAAAAAAATGAGAAAAAACTTATTACTGAATACAATAACGGGGGGAGGGGGGAGGGGGAGAAATTTCACGCTTTAAGCTTTGCAAAATATAAATATTTAGAAAATGGCACTCTGCCCAAAGAAAAATGAAAGGTGACAGAAAAATAACTCAGAAATAAGCATCCAAATGAAATTTTTTTTCTAAATTTATTGCTGGCTTCCAGTCGTAGGTGCAACAGCAAGAGTTTGCAACTTCGATGTGATTTCACCAACGCTTGTGCGTCCCTTTGCGCCCTTAAAACTTGATTGCAGCTGGATTTAATTTTAACAAGAAACCTTTGACTTTGTTGGTGAATCAAGTTCCTGATTGCTCTTTTGACCATCGTTACTCCAAGTACGCTTGTCTCCTCGATTTCCTTAACTTTTACAATAAAAAATATTGAACATTGATCGGAAAACCTTTCGGACTGCCATTCATCTCCTCTTTACCTTCGCTGTACGTTGAACGTCGTTTCTTTGGAGATTTCATTCTGTAGTTCCTCTGACTATGATCATTCTGGAAATAACACTCTTGTTCATTATTACACGAATTGAACTACCGTGCTTTCTTCAGATCTTCCGCCGTTATCACCTTGATTTCCACCATAGCAAGGTTGTGGATAAGTGAACATTGGCTGATTCATCTGTCCTTGGCACATTGGTTGCTGGTTGTTGTTAGCATAACCATGAGGATAATAAGGAGCGCAGTACTGAGCAGATGAGTTATATGGATATCCTTGGTATGGATATCCAAAACTTGTAGGAACATATTGATATCCAGGAGAGTAAATTGGCTGAATTGGATAAACATTCTAAAAATGACGAAATTATTTAATAAATAAAGATACAAAAATACCGATTGCGGATAAGAACCGTGAGCCAAGTTTTTATCACCATCAGAGTTGCTAGAATTCAAATTTCCACCAGTCTGATATTGATAACCATTGTTAGCGTTGGGATGATTCTCATTATAGCCAAAGTTGGTCTTGCTGTGGTGATCGAACGGTGGATTTTGAAGCTATAATATTTATAAATATTCGTTTAAAATTTTTTACGAAAAAACATGTAAAATACAAATACCTGTACATTGTATCCATATCCTTGAACATGTGGTGAATGCCCGTACTGCGTGTTTCCTGTGTTTTCGGAATTGTTCACCCGCAAGGGCTGTATTTCTCCAGTTCGGTCGTTTGAATTTATTCCTATTTTAATATATTTCGCTTTCCCTAACTTCAGTTTACACACATACCTTTTGCAACAGCACTGGCGTAGCTTTTGTTAGGCGTTGGCTCATTTGTAGTGAAGAATTGTTGTTGCTGCGAAGGACTAACAGCTGGAGAAGGCGTCGGTTCAACTGGCATCTGCGGTCAAGTTTTCTTTTTAATTAGAGTATTAATTAGTTTAGCCTACAACGGGAGGAAAAACAAAAACTGGAGTATTCGGAGCTGTTATGGCGTATCCAAATGAACTGGGCGAAGCCGGAACAATATGACTTTGACTTATCGCATAACCTGGAATATAATTTAAAATTAAGTTTTAATTGAAGCTCAGTACTTCCTGAAAATGGACCGCTATTGAGTTTTCGAATAGCTGGTCCCAAGTTCAATTTCCGATTGCGGAATTCCATTTGTTTAGGATTCTAAATATCGAACGTCAAATTCAATTGATAAATATTCTATACAATTTTCCGGACAGCTTCTGCATCGTCTTCGTTTTCAAATGTAACGAAACCATAGCCTTTAGAAGTTCCATCTAGAGATTTGATAAGTTTCACATCTTTCACTGGGAAGAATTTTTCAAAATGTTCTCGCAGCTCCGTTTCAGTTGTCTGATACATTTATATTATTGAATGAAATATTTTCATAAGCTGCGTACCGAAGCCGGATAGCCTCCAACAAATGTTCGATTTGGAATTAATTCATAAGTTGGTGGTGCCGGTACCAACGCCGCAGCTCCAGTCGGGTATAGTGGTATCGGACTGGTTGAAATTACACCGTTTGACATCACTTGCGATCCACAGTCTGCTCCCATTGCCGGACCCGTAAAAGTGGGTTGACATCCATGAGCAATCATCGCCGTGTCAACAATTCTCTGGAACGCGATTTAATTTTTTTTTTTGACAAATTGCTCTTGTTTCATTTATGGACCTATTCATGAAATGTAATTTTTTTCAAAAATTTTGAAAAATTACATTAATTTGCATTATTTAAAAGGCCGCAAAGAAAATGCGTTTTTTATATTAGTTGAATAGGTAAAACATTGAGTATCTTTTTTTAAGTAACATGGAGTGTTTTAAAATGTTTTTTTTTTTCAAAAAATTTTCTGATGAAAATCAATAATATAAAAGGAAAACCACAACTAAAGACGCAAAAAGGAAAAAGCCTAAAATCAAATTTTGCGCTGATATTCGAATTAAAGTCTGAGTCTTGTCACGAAAATGAGTACCGTACTCTGGCGCGATATTCAAATTCGAAAACGTTGTTTTTTCTTTTCTTCTCAAATTTGCTGTATTGTGAAGCGTGAGTATAGTAGTATTTGAAATTTTTATCGTTTGCGGTTAGTAGTAATGGTTAAATAATAGTACCAGTAACCGTATAGTACATTAAAACGCATACAGAATAGACAAGAGGAATGATACAGATAGGTCTGAAAAAATTTTCCAGCGAGGTCCGCACTATATAAAGCTAAATTTAAAAAATAATAGTGCCAAATTCACGCAGATGCGGATTCTCTGGCGACCGGCAATTTCGATTTCTCGATTTCGTCGCTCAAGGTAATTCCAACAGTGTTGCTCTCCTCATTCGTCGCTTTTCGCAGATTATCAACTCGTTGCCTCTGGTGGTAGTAAATCGGCATGATCAAGTATTTCAAAATGGACCATGGGAAAAAGTGGAAACCGAGCATCTATAAATTATATATATATATATTTTTAAAGAAATTGTAATGTAAACCTGCAGGTCATGATTGAAGCATCCAGAAGTCTTCTTCGTCAATCCAATGGTTCCAACAGCTTGACGGCAGAAGTTCTCAGGTGTAACAACAAAGGTTGATCCTTCCTATAATATTAATTCCACATTTTAATATGATAGAAAATAGAAATTCGCTGTCCAAACCGTATAATAGGTCATTTTTGTCGCAACCAGAGCCGGAATCAGGCATTGAACATTGATCGTCTTGTATTCTCTGTCAATAGATTCACAGAGGAAAGTGAGCAATGCTTTTGTGGCACAGTAAGCGGCAAGAAGTGGTATCGGACGAACTCCTTGGGAAGAGGAGAGGACGACAATTTGCCCACCTCCAGATTTCTCCATTGCTGGTAGAACAATCGACAAGAACTAAACATTTCGATAATTGTTCCGTTTTCTAGCCACCAACAAACTTCGGCTGCTCCGAGACCATTGACTTTCAAAATCTGCGAATCTTCTTCCGGATTGTCGCCGTATCTCTCGAGATTCTCTCTTCCAGTACCCACACTGTTCACTGCAAGATATGGCGATAAAAATCGAACGAAATGAAGAAAGGAATCGAACCGACGAATCCGACATCAATATCTGCGATATAATCGCGAAGTTTCGAATAGTCATCGCTTGCAAAGTCGAAAACGAACGTTTTGATTTGTGCATTGAACTTTTCTTCTAGAAACGCATTTTGATGATTAAATAAAATTTCAAGTCGTACCAAGTTCGCGTTTCACGCTTTCAAGCTTCTTTATGTTGCGTCCGACCAAAACAAATTTGCGCATTCCTCGCTTGGCGAGTTCAAATGTATAGGCTTTGCCGATTCCATCGGTTCCACCGGACACAACTAAACAAAAAAAAACAAAATAGTCGAAAATACAACAAAAAAACCTGTCCATCTATTAAAGTATTGTTCAAGATTAGGCTTGTAAAATGTCGGAGCGATTATGTAAATAAAAACAGCTTTTACAAAAGCGAAGAATGTTCTGAAAAGAATTTCGATTTTAGGTCAAGCTTCTTGAAGTAGCTGTTTTCGAATAACGGGATGAATACCTGCAGACGCGATAGCCAATGTAAAACACAGGTACCATGGCCAGCATGACGAAGAGAATCTGAATCCAATTCGAAAACTCGACGCGCGGAAAAATCAATGAGAAGAACGACGACGACGAGTCACGACGACGAGTCACGACGAGTGACGAAGTGGGCGGTGCCGGCGCCATTCTGGAAGAAACCCATGACATATATAGATGAATATCGCGCGATGTGGAGGGCTACAAAATATGCGGCAAAACAAAAAATAGATCAAACATTTCTCCATTTTTTTTGCATGCAATCTGCTCTTTTGTTATTGCGAATAAAGGTCAACGATGTTTATTTATTTATTTCTAGTGGCGAATTGAATGGGATTCAAACGAAAACTGTTGAAATGGACTGAGAAGTGGGCGAATCGAGTCGAGATTATATAGGAGGCTACTGATGGAATAGATAACGGAGTTAGTCGAGTATTTTATCGTCGCGAGGTGGACCTTGAATTGGAATTTGTCAAGTTTGCACTATTTTTGGTCAGTACAAAGAATGTACATATAATGGACGAAAACCAGTAAGTTTCCTTTTAATGATACTGATAACATCATCACTTTTTTTGGCATATCCTGTCCTATAACTGGAATAAGACGTCATTCTCGATTTCGACCCATTAGGGGGGGAAAAGCTGAAATCGAGCAGCAATAATAGAATTTTTGTAGAGGTAGATTTATGCCCAACTTTCTTTTATTTTCTCGCAATTATTGGACACGATTATTTTGATTTTTTAAAGTATATCGTTCTTTATTGTTTTTAACTTAAATGTGCTTGGAATTTTCTTGAATTTTTGATTTTGAAAATCAAATTTTTTCAGAATTTTCTCTTTAGAAGCCAATTTACTTTCTAGTTTTTCGTATATTTCCTTCCACAATTACTTTTCAAAACTATAAACTACAGAAGTTTAGCAATTGACGAGAATATAAATGAGATTTTTGTATGCGATAATGAATTGACCTCGATTTCCGCGTTTTGAATGAAAATAGGGAAATTATGGAAATATTCAACAGGCTTTTCTCATCAAACAACAACAATATTTTATTCTATTTTAGCTTAAAACTAATCGAATCCGACAATATTCGGCTTCGGATTACCGATCCGATTGCTAATCTTTCGGATAAGATTCTAAAATTAAATCGAATCGGATTCAAACAAATTGCCAAAACGGATCCGAAAATACCGAAAATACCTTTTTTTCCGTAGAATTCGGAAAAGGTTGATTCCTTAGACGGATTTTGTTAGTTCCGCAATGTTTATCATTTTTCACAGCAAGGATGCGGAAAACGTATTTCAGGAAAAAATAAAATCGAAAATGTTGCTTTTCGATCTACTGCGTCAAAAAGAGAAAATAATCTAGGCGCTATTTTTTGCGATTGCACCAAAACCAGCAAGAATCCAGTAAAAATCACAGGCGTATGCTTTTAAACGTATCCAACAGCTTCTCGCTTGGACGGAAAACATTTCGAATAGAACCGTTAAATAAACATGAATCACATACTAATACGGTTTCACGATAATGTCGAATTTCGAAATTTTTTGGTGTCACTTTTGAATTTATATTTAAAAGAATACAATTGAGTTGGTTATCTTATAAGAGGTAAATAGAGGAAAAAAAACAGAAAAAAAGAATAAAGATTTTCAATCGGCATTGACAATTCAGTCGGCGATATTCCAATTTTAGGCCGCATCGTTTGAATTTGCGGACAACGACAAAATGTGTTCCTTTAATTACGGTCTCGCGGCGGTGATATCGAGGCTTTCAGAAATTTTCAAGAGGGAATGTCTCACTGTTTGAAAAAAATAGGAAAAAAACCGAGTATACTTGTCGACAACTTTCTATTCTCAAACGAACCGACCAAACATCCGACCAAGTTTGGAGTGGGCTGGTTCGACCTTGAAGGAGCCTACAAAACCGCCAAATGAAGCTACAAAATTTCTCGGTTGCAGGAGAATAAAGACAAAAAAACTGAAGACATCGCAACAATCGGTGGCCCCCAGCCAACAATAACAAAACCGGTTGGTTGGCGGGAAAAGATTGAATGGATTCGAATGGAACGGAAACGCCATTCCGGCATAGTTACTACTAACCTGTTCGCTTATTCCTGGCCAATCTAATCAACTATATACATATTTCTATAATAATTTTGAAGAGGAAGGGGGAGGGAAGCAATTATGATATTAATGATAATGACAATATAGACCATTTTTGAAAGTTTCCGATTCAAATTGAAACTGAAAAGTTCAAAAAGATTGAAAAGTTTGGAAGAAAAGGAACGGAAATCCCGTATGGAAAAATGCCAGGCGGCAAGGTCATATTGGGTCAAGGCAGTGGGGAAGGGATCGGAGAAAATCAAACATCGCGGTGCCTTCTATCTTCTCATGGCATTCGTTGGTTTCGTCGAATCATAAATCACACACACGACTTCTTCAAAATGAGGCTACAAATTTCAATCATGCCTAGAATGTGTGGAAACCTTCTTTTATTATATGTATTACCAAAAAAAAAACAACGCGAGAAACACAAAGATGTTTCGAGAATAACTCATAGTGTTTGAAGGACATAAAATTCAGCCAATTTCGGCCCAAACCTCCCACATTATATTCGTCGCCGTGTCGATATTATATGATGATGATGATGATGATCGGGATTTGTACTTTATGAACGAAACCCGACGATTGGCGATAATGAATCTGTGGGCCACCTTTGATGAAAATTTCGACGCTACAATTAACGTCATTTCTACTTGATCATACAATGATTAATTGATCAGAAGATCGTCAACCTATATAAGGTTAAAGAAATTTTAAACTATATTGATAAAATAATGGAGAATTTCCAATTATTATGGATGAATCACGAGAGTTTTTTTTCGAATACAGACGACTTCCGAGGTTGGGCGGCGCGTAAAAATATGGGCGAAGCGATTTGATTTCGCAATAATTTACGATTTGTCTGATTATCAAACACATACAAAACTACAGTATGCATTAAAGGCGCATGCAAAAATTTGTCTGTAGTATAATAAAGGTTGACGCCAATGCACCATTTCACCAATTTCCCCCAAATTCTCATTTATTGATGGTCCACAAGTTCACCCAATATTAGGTGGTTCTCATTTTTCAACAATTTTCAACGTTTCTAGTGTATTTTAGGTTATTTATTGTTCTCAAAGTGTCAGAATATCATGAAAAACATAGAAATTTATAAAATCTTGATTTCCAGGGGTGTAGTTATACGAGTAGCTTCTTCTGTTACTGAGCCTCTTCTCATGCTCCGCTACATAACACGTTGAAAATTGTTGAAAAATGAGAACCACAAATTATTGGGTGAACTTGTGGACCACTGATTTTGGCGCAAAAATCACCATTACCCAAAATTGTTGAAAATCGTGTGAACATTGAATCAAATACATAGTTGTCATTTACATCAGTAAATGACTGAAATGCAAGAATTTGGGGGAAATGGGTGAAAGGGTGCGTTGGCGTCAACCTTTCTTATACTACTTAAACTATTCAACGATCGAGATATTTCCCGAAAATATTTTGAGAAATCGAAAATCGTTTCAAACTCGTTGCTTTAAAGACAAATAAATAAAAAAAACTATTTTATAGGATGTAGCTAAAAATTGAGTTCCAATACTTTTTTTTCTCTTTTCCAATGGGTAATAATTTTTTTTTGTAAATTGGAATATTTGCTAAATTCTCAACTTACATTATTTAGTTTGCTAAAGACTTCATGTTGAATATTTTCGATTCGAATTGTTGAGTAGATTTTCTGTATAAAACCCATCAAATCTGTTCAGCTTCTACTTGAAAAAAAAATCAAAAATTTTAGTTTCTAAAAACATTTTTTCAGCGACTTTTTAGTTTGAAAAATTGAAAATCAGATATCAGATGTTTCAGCTTCTAGTCAAGTTTTGAATCTTAAATATTTGAAAAAAGAGAAATGGGGCGTGGCCCAGATGTACGATCATATGAGAGACGCAGACACCAGATAATCCGATAGATGGGATCACAAATGGCCAATTTGAATATGACAGAGTAATCTTCACGCGATTAATGTGCCAAAAATTGAAATCGAAGTAATTTTGTATAATTTTAGAATAATTTCAACGAGAGTGAAGAAAGTTATTCTTCGAAAAAGAAAACCAATCGAGAAAATTTCCTCAAAAATATGGGAAAATTTTCAAGGAATTCCGTAATAATGGAAGATTTCTCGAGAAAAAAAATCTCTCATCATTTCTTCCAAAAATATCTCGAAATATTTTTTTCGAAGACCTACACTTCTCGACGGCGTCCATTTTTTTGAGTTTTTTTTTTAAGAAACTTCATTCATCGATTCTTTATGGGTCTTGAAATTCATGGGCCTTTGCAATATTCCCCGCTCGAAAATTGGCTAAAAAAACCAGTGATAAAGTTCTTGGCGTAAAATTAAAAGTATAGATTTACGGGTCTATGTAAGTAGATTAAAGGCGCACACCACGAACCGAGACCTCATTTCGAATTTTTTGGCATTCGGTCAATTTCCCGAAGTCTCGCGACACCCGAACCGTATGAGAATTCCAAGTCAGAATCCGAACATCAATTCCCAAATGATCATGATGTCTGTTCGAAATACCATCGGCACAAAACGCATACCGACCAAAAATTATCATAGGCAATAAAATCTGGACAATTGTGCAAAAACTATAACGCAGTACGGTAGGCGCATAGTAAACAGATTAGACAGTCTCGTACGTAGTTTGAATTCTTCCTGGTCACTCTCGAATTATGCAAATCACTCGATAGTTGTGGGGCAAAGATCGCCTTCCTCTTTCATGATGTTCCGCTATCAGCGTCGCAAAATATGCAAATCTATAAAATGTGTCTGGCTGGAAAAAAAAAACAACAAAATGTGTGTATGGCCCATCTCCAATAATTCCAATCTCTCTCTCACATTTTCTCTGTACTCAAAACCGTGTGCGAATCCGATTACGCTCTTGTTTATGAGTTCAACGCAAAAATTTATTTTTTTTTGGTATTTAAACTGACGCCGAATGGACTTCGAGACTCGCCATGCGTACTCAGTTTCTCGTGCTCGCCTTCTCGGCAACCACTGCTCTCGCCATCCTTCCAATATTTCCGCCATTCGGCGTCTTCAATCCGTAAGCCATTTGTTTGAATTGATTCCAGGTTGAAGGTTTGATTCAGAATCGTAGAACGAGTCGTTGAGTACCGCGATGACACCAATACCGTGCAGCAAGGTTTTCTTGCTTATCCATAGTATGTTGAAGCTTCTTCCTTTCCAACAAAGCTTTTCTTTCACAAAATTTTCCAGCTGGTGCACTGCCTTCAGAAAACGCCCTGCCGTCATCGTCTTCCACGCCTTCACCGGCCGCACCAAGTTCGACGATGACAAGGCGAGAGAGCTCGCTCGTCTTGGATATGTAGCATTTGCTGCGGACACTTATGGCAAGGGAAAAGCTGCGGATACTGTCGATGGCAACTTTGCCATCATGGGCGCGATGCTTCAGAATCGGACGACGACTCTTCGAAGCCGAATCATGAGCTCGTGGAATTATGTGAACTCGCTTAAATTTGTGGACACGTCGAGAATCGGAAGCATCGGATTCTGTTATGGCGGATTGTGCGCTTTGGATTTGGCTAGATTTAATGTCGGACTCAAAGCGGCCGTCTCGTTCCATGGAACCCTGACGGATTATCCAGGAAATGGAACGTAGGGCTTCATGGGCTGATCTCAGACTCCTACCTATTATCATTCAGAGAATTGACAGCTTCTATTCAAGCTCATCACGGCGATGAGGATCCGCACACAACGAATCAAGACGCTGAAGCCTTCATCCAAGAAATGCGTCGTAGAAATGGCGATTGGACATTCCATCGTTACGCCCACGCTCTTCACGCTTTCACACTTCCAGGTAAGTCTTCCTTTAACAAATCTGACTTCTCATTTTTAGGAGTTGAAAACTTTGGAATCCCTGGAGCCGCGTACGATCCAATCGCCGCCAATCGCTCATGGTCGGCGATGGAGGCATTCCTCGCCGAGAAGCATCTCTAAATTGCCATTATCAATTCGAAATACATACCTCAAACGAAAACAAACTAAAGAAAAAATATTTATTTATTTATTTATATTTTTAAAGTTTTAACCTGAAATAAAACTGTTGATATCGATTTTCCCGTTTAATTGTGAAGTTGTGTTGAAATTGGTTGATTATACTGCCCGATATTCAATATTGAATTCCAAATAATCGTATCTCGCGTAGGCTCCGATGACTGCAAGATTTCCATCTGACACAAAAACCTTCGGCTTTTGTGTATTCGCAACATAAATGTGCTCGTCGCAGCAGAATCTGAAGAAACGAAACAATGATGGCCGAAGAAAAATACAACTAGTCCCCCCTCAACAATTAAAGCGTATTCAAATTTACCTATATCCAGTCATGTGAAAATTGTTCAGCTTTAATTCCAAAGCGTTAAAAGAGCATGTCATTGAGCACGGAGAAATGATCGACTTGATTCGAATCTCTATCGATTTCTCATTTGATGCCTGCAAAATTGACGAATTTTTAATTTTCATCAAAACGTGAAATCAATGGCATTCTTGGCATTTCTCATCGTTCACTATCAGACCAACTAGAACGTCTTGCTCTATAAGGTAAAATTGGCGAGCACATTGATAAATCTTCATTGGTGACGCGATCAATTTCAGATGATCCAATTACTTTTCGCACTACTTCTCATCGTTTCAATGGTTCAGTGTGCGAAGAAAAAGGAGGAAGTGACGAATTCGATGAAGACAATCAATTCGGGAATGGGACAACCGGGTTCCGAGTCGGGCGGGGTACCGCCGCCCGCGCCATAACGCCGTGGCATTGGCAATATTCACTCATGAATGAAACGCGTTCCTTACTATGTATATTGTTTTTTTTTTGCTCGATTCTTACCCGAATGTGCCAGAAGCAAAATTCGGGAGCCGCCAAATGATTATTGGAATAAACGCGTGTTCGCACAGCTCCGAATACGTTTTGAGGAATGTCGGAAGCCTGAATCTCACGTTTCAATTATTTTATAGTTAGTATGGTTACCCAGAGCGTCCCACCACAATCCGGATTCGATTTCTGTCCAATTGAGGGAAGCTCGAACGATTCACAGTAATTGCCTCCGAATCCGTCAGGACATACACATTGCGAGCAATCGTGTGGAGCAGGATAGCCTCCGTATAAGCAGCGATTCACAGTGTTCGCGCATCTCTCTAGAAAAAACTATAATGGTCCGTAAATGCCACCAACTTAGACCACCTACCATGGCAATTATATAGTGTATTCATCCTCGTAATATCATAGAACGTGACTCTCATTCGATTTCCCATCGCCTGCTCATAGTTTCGATTCTTCGCATAAATCACTGGACGATTCGGATCCGTCGCAAATTGATCTGAAATCACCACGATGTTGCCAAAATCGGCGTCGAGCCGTCAAACCTGCAGAGTAATGCATAACACTTCCATATTCATAAGAAGTGTTCATCCTTGTAATATATTTCTCATTCTCTTTGGCGAACGCCGTCGTGAGATTCGGATGAATGTTTGAGTAGTCGATTTGGATGAAATCGTCGCGATCCGATCTCGCGTGCTCGTGATAGAAGCCAAGCGCATGAGCGAGCTCATGTGCTACGACGAAAAGCTGAAAATCGAGAGTCCCTTCGATGAAACTTCCAAAATGTTTATGTTACATGATCTATGCAGCTCGCCTCCAATGATAAGGATTGCTCCCGTAAAGATGGCTGTTTACCAACGAAACTCCAACAACCAGAGCCCTACACAAAATTATTTCAGGTTAGAATGAGTTCTGACACGAACCTCAAAAATGTTGACGTGTGGATACACGTAGGGATTTTCCTGGAATGTGATGCATGTTTTGTCCATCCAGAATCGCATCGCCTCTCGAACCCGTTGTCGCGATTTTCGCGCTAGAAAATTTTCCAGATCATATGTTGTGCAATTCTTAATGAAACTAACGAAAATTTGCATCGAATGCATAGGGAAGCGGTAATTTCCATTTTCTGAACTTCTGACGAATAACGCCTCGTTTCTGGCGGTGATTTACCGCGATGTCGCCCTGCGAATAAAATAAATGAAGTAATAAAATGAGGATGGGAAACAAACCTGATACAGATATTTTACTATTCCCTGAGATAAATTGATGTCCTGTTCGTTGCGCAGCTGCAAAAATTGGCATATTTCGGAAAGAGAGAGAGAGAAAAAGAGAGGGAGAGAGAAATTAAAGGATTTTTCGATAAGGAATTGCATTTTTTTCGGGCCGATAGAGAAAAAGTTATACGAATTTTCTACTGGTTCGAAATTTATTAACACAATTTTCGAGGATAGTTACTGTAGTTTTCGTAAAAGTGCAAGCACTTGACGATAATTCACACAACTAGAACTAAAATTTCAATCTTTTTTAAGCGAACAAATTTCCAATTTTTGATTTTTCAGCTTAATTTTAAACTAGTTTCTTTGCATATATTTAGGATACTTGTTTGAAAACAAAAATTGCCGTGATAATTAAAATATGAAAAAAATGCCCACCTGGCGAGCTCTTCTCCGGTACGCTGGAACATGACTTAAAGCCGTCGAGGATAAATACAACAAATAAACGAACAATGATCGCATAGACATCTGCAATAATTTCACGGTAGACGAGGAGGTGTTGAAGCTTCTCAACAGACAAAAAAAATATCGGAACTGATATGGTGTGCGATCAGCGAGAGTATTTATGGCGCCGCAACGTCTTCTTACACACATATACGTAGTTCTTTTTTATTTCGCGCAGACGACCAAACTTGCAACATAATATATTTGATTAAGAGGCGATGAGAGGCGGTCGGCGTCGACGACATCCGCCGCACGAACACCGGAAATGATTCGACGACACCCGAATCAGCTTTTTTTTATGACATTCTGATGGTTGATGCGACGACGACGACGACGACGACGCTTGGGAAAATGGCATTCAACAATGCCCCGGCGGCCCCCCTTCCGCCAAATATTGTAATGTGTTCGGGGTTTTTAAAGGCCAAAAACGACGCACCTTTATCAACGCCTTCGACTCATTTTTTCTCACCCCCCACCTCCCATTCATCGTTTTGATGCAGCCGAAAAAAAAAAGAAAAAAATTGACGACGATGATAATTCTTGTATCATTTTCGCCTCTTCCGCAGGAAATGGATAATCGAACAAAAAATGCGCGGCGGCGGCGGCGACGGCGACGAAAAATGTGGATTTGAATCGAGAAGATGGCATTTTGCAGAGAAATGGGTCATCAATTCGATTTTGATAAGCAATAGGCGAGAGGTGACGCATTGTGGACACACGCCAATGCTAATTAGGTATCTCAATTCCTAACAGGCGTTTTTTTTTGAATTCTGAAGAGATCAAGAAGCCAAAAAAATTGAACTAGAAATTTGCACCATTAAATCTCCTTGAATAGAGTTTTTTCATCATTTTTTATTAAAAAAAACAAAATTCGAAATTTTCCGATGAAATTAATTCACTATTGTGAATTCTGAACCTTGTGGGCTCAAAGTCGCTGTCTAATGGTCCCTCTACAGATTGCAAAATGACTTAATTTAACCATTTTCTTTTTTGAGTTTTCATTTTCAGAAATCTGAATAAGCTTTTAAGCTTCCCCATATAAGGCTACATTGAAATTCTGCGTCATCTCCTGTCGTCCATTATCAATACAATTTGTTTTTCTTCCTGCAAAGTCCTTGTTTGATTTTTTTGTACTTTTGCAAATCGGTTCCTCATTTTCGCTAATTCCACTAAATGATACAATTAGCTCGAATGCCGTCATCCTTGTTTGGAAACGGCATAACATATTCGAGGAGAGCATTTTTTTTTTAAATCGTCGATTTCTGGAATCAATTTGAAGACCCAATTTCTCACCAGGTGGTCTTTTCGTTGTCAAACGAAGCAATTTTATTGGGACACACGATTGGGTTCGAAATCATGATTAGTTTACATAATAGGCGAACACGGAAATGCGACGTCTTCAAGGACATCGGAAGCATGTTGATCTTATGCTGAATTATGCCAATTTGGGAATACAAGTATCCGACTTCGATTAAGAGGCGATGAGAATGACAGTGGAACATTGTGCAGTCGAGTATTCATCAGAAGATTAGCAATTTAAAGTTTTCGTGACAAGACCCCAACGTTATCAGTGTTTTGTATTTTAAATTTGCAACTACCAGTCCCAATTTCAAATGTTGTTATCTGGAATACGATAAGTCATCAGTAGAACACCCACTTGATAGCATATGATTAAAAAGATTATTTATAAAAAAATTGGACTGCTGCCAATTTTCAAAAAAAAAAACAATAGCGCAATTTCTATTACACAACGAGATCCAAACCCGGGTATTTATAAAATTATGAATAATTCGAGGCCTATTGTCCATTCCTTATATAGTCAAAAACCGCCCTGAAAATAAAGAACATTGACTAAAATAAATGAAAGTTTTGATGCCTTTTTGTCCACATAATCCCATGTTTCAGGTAGTAATCAATACTTTTGAATTTTGATCGATACTCGGTGAGCTCAATATCTTTCCTAATCTCGAGCTGTGGGCTGTATGACTTGCCTCTTGCGATTCGAATCTCCGTGTACTTCACGGCGCCATTCATTCCTCGAATAAACTAAAAACATCTTGAAGAAAAAAGTTTTGTGGGCTAATGGCTGTGGACGCAGAAAATTCGGCCATATATCAATTCTATTCAAGAATCGGTGATATTCTCCCGTTAAAATGGACACCAAAAGCATATTTCATTTAAAACTTTTACATCTCAAATTTAAAATTCACCTTGGTTACATGGCAATTATGCTCAATCACAAGAAGAGCATCGTAGGCTTCATCGCGAGAATCAATATACAAGTAAAATTCGCCTTTGTTGTTCAGATGGCCAACCGTTAATAACTCATCGAGGAACCAGACTTAACAAATTCCGTTGTTACGTTGAAAAAAATGCACTTACATTTATCATTTATTAGAGAAACGAAGCCGGTGCTGACCGGGACTCCACCACACGTCAGATTACCCGAAACCTTGAGCGGAAGGTGCCCACTTGCGTGTAGCACATTTAGTAGTAAAACTCCGAGCAGAACTTCAACGTGCATCCCAAAACTGGTATGATTTTATTGATAAGCGCAGTGTACTTATATACTATATGCTGAATGAATTATTTGTTTTATTATTTTATCAATGATTACTCACATTAAGCGGAGGAGCCATCTGTAATTGGAGACGAGCCAACTATGACAAGCACGATAATCGTTTTAAAATATTGGTTCAGGGTTCCATTGAAGTGTATGACGAATCGCGTCGCCCGTTTTAATAAGAAAAATGAAGCACATATTCTGCAACAATTCATTTTAAATATTAGTCGATTTTGGGAATTATGAAAAAGAAATGCTTGATTTTTTATTTATTTTTAAGTGCCTCTTTTTTTCACTTTCTGCATTCGAATATTTTTTATATTTTATAAATATAAAATGCAAAAATAAAACGGAAAACAAAAAAAAACTCAATCGCAGAAAAAAAATTGCGCGTCATTCTTAACGTTTCAAAGTCCGCATTGCGGACAAATGCCAATTTTCAGCGGGTGTTTGAATATTTTTTTTATAATTCTCATTCAATTCGTTCACTTTTCAATCTTCGTGCAATTCTAATCGAATCAAATCGTTCAAAATGTTGCGCTTCGAATAATTTCCAGTTGTGGCCGCAAAATTGGGCGATGACAAAAATGTAAAGTCGGAAAAAGCGGCTAATCGGATAACAAAATCCCGTTTCGCGTCCACTTTTATCCATCCAGTTATGAGTATTACTGTAACGGGGGCGACCTTATTTTTTTGTTTGCTGCAAAAACATTCGCATATTTTTTGGTGCGACGGCCCGACTCATCGTCGCCGTCCCGTTTTTTATTGCTTCCTTCGTCATCGACTGTTCGGCCCATTTTTAGATTTCCGCCGGCGGTATTATACAGGCCATCTCGGCTATTATTGCTATGTGTTCAATGTCAACCCTTCCCGGCCCTCTTCATAATTACCGGTCATCTTTGATTCGGGAGTGTTGTCTCGAAAATTGTCCGCAGCACGTTTCGTCCTATAGCATCGTTGTCGACATTGCTCGTTTCCAATGCCGAAAATGCACAACGCGACGAGACCCCATTTCATTTATTTGTTATTTTTTCCTTTTTTTTTTATCTTATTATCTAGTCTCGTGGGTGGTCAATGACGTCAGACTTCTGTAAATCTAGACACATTCGCTTCGCTTTGTTATTTTTTCCCCTACAAATAAAATTGGGCGCGGTGGTGTCAGAGTTTGATGTTCAACAATAAACAATGCGCCAAAGTTTTTTCGCGGCAAGACCCAACACGAAAAAAAAAAGAGAAATATGGAATATTCAATGGAAATGAACTCATCTGTATATGCGTCTTTAAACGCGCTGATTCCACGTAGTTAAGAGAATCCATAGAAATTTTCAAATCAGCGGTGTGTGTCTTTAAAATAGAATTCGCAAGGAGGGTCCAACAGCCACAATTTTGTCGAACACCTATGTTTCGTTAGCTTTGATGTAGGAGCGTACTTAAAGGAGCATACGCACGAAATGAGATAGAAATCTGTTTTTAAATTTTGAATGCGATTGGGGCCAAAGGTCGAAGGTTTTCGAATCATTGTCAATTTTTGCGTCAAATCACACTTTAACAGTCCGTTTTCGAAAAAAAAAAGTGTCTGCCCGAATAGGTCGCTGCGAGATTCAGCGCGTAAACGGCATGCGCCTTTAATTACCGTATCAAATTTTTTTGCGGAAATCAGAAAACTCGTCTAATATTCTTAAAAACCACTAACTTCGGGTTTTCTGTTCAACTTTCATTTTTTTTGAAATGACTTGATTTTTATTTTATTTCGACTTTTGAAATTAAATGCGAAAATGTGTGCAAACACCGCGACATAAAAACTCACAAAAACTTACCTTGTGATTTGATTGGCGCTTTTTTTCCCAATTATTTCAACAAAATTCTCCCCAAAATACTATGTATTGGAAATTTAATATTTGAATTAATTAATATTTGGAATTTTCTGCCCCTCAACCCCTCAAATTCGCAATGTCTTCTTCAACCACCGAAAAAAAAAAGACGAAATTCAAAAGTGTGTATGATTTCACCGAATATGACGGATTCCCAAGGCCAATGGTTCCCGAAGTACCATCGTCAAGTGTTACAATCTTCTATTGTTCTTCTCGACGAGACCCGAATCGAGCAAAAATCAAACCCGCCCCACAATTTGTTTCTTTTCGTCAATTATTCATACCAGCTAATGAATGAATGAGAGAAAAAAAAACCAAATCGGAGCCGCCCGAATTATTTTTTTTTTCTGCAAGATTCTCGGTCGCTCGTGACCTCCGGTTGTGGCTGGATTTGTGTTGAGTACCAATAATTATTTTCTCATTCAAAAAAAAAAAAGACGCACCCTCTTCAACAGCCTCCTCCTTATTTGGATTATGCTTGCCTGTGTGTTCCAGTGTGTTCAACCAATTATGTTGTTTATCCTTTTGACCTGCTTGTCAGCGTTTTGACCCGATTTCCTATTGTGTGACGTCTTGCTAGTGTGCAAGTGCGCTCCAATGAACTATTGAATTTTTCAAACAATTTTGTCGATTTTTCCTAATTAGCAAGAGGTAAAAAATGGGGTGGCCTAAAATTCGAATTGTGAATACAATTTTAGAATGGCGCCAAAAAAGGCTGAAATAGTTTCCCAGAGTGTTTCGAAAATTTCAAGAATCGATTGTTTGAGAGAGCAACCGCGCTCCATTGAACAACACTTTTCAGACCTCCAAATTTTCGAAAAATGAGGCAATCAAAATATTCGCTTCAAGACTCAAAATTTGGTCGAGAATTATTTGGGGTGGAGTACACTTCGTCTCCAATAGCAAGTGTAGATTGTGCGATATGTCGTCAAATCAAATGCAGAAGTCCGCAACGATTTCAATTTCTACGGTTCGGACGAATCGAAAATTTTGAAAATTGCACTGTGTACATTTGAATTGACGACAATTTGCACATGTGATGAGCCTGGGTTTGACCAGATAAATATATTTCTCAAAAATTTTTAATGCACTTTTTTTTAAAAGAAATCGATGATCAAAATTTCTACAAAAACATTTTTTCGACTTCCCAATTTTTCACGACGAGAAACCAACATTAATAACATGAAGTCGATGCTATTTCATCGGATTCGTCTTCAGATTTCACACTCAGACTCGTTATCGTCGTCTGATTCTGATAGAAGAAGATCGTATTCTCGATGTCATATGATATTGCTGAAAATTGGCAAGATGCCAAAAACCAATTACAATGGTCCCATCTTGGTGCTTAAAATTGTTTTTTTTTTCTGCACACAGATTCTTTGGGATGTTCCCAATCGATTAATGTAGATCTCAACGAAAACCCCTATATGGGATATATGGAATTATTTGGTTTGTCGGATACTGCATTCAAACTTCATGAGAGAACCCAACTCACGTTTATGGTCCATATCTGGAACCTGCATCAATCGGTTGGAAATGTTCCAATGAATCTGAAAAAAAAAATGAAGACGGACAACTAAAAGACCACCCTTGTAAGTAAAAGGATCGGGCGCCGAGGCCTCTTTTTAATTTTCTTGGCATTTAGCCAATTTTCCGCATTCGCCGACAATAAATCGTCTCCTAATAAATCGACGTCCTTTCCGAATTCCTCCTCCCCCATTGAGCCGGTATTCGATTAAAGAAGAAACAAAATGCGTTGAGACGACACTGTGTTGTTCGGTCTGAATGTCGTCGGTCGGCGCCTCCCTTTGAAACTATTTCCGTGCGGTAAGCCGCTCGGCAAACACGAAGGACTCCCGACAAACTTTGAGGTCCTGTTCGACCCACGACACTTGTCATTGTTTGCGTGTAGTCTTCGGTGCATCCCCACACTCTTATTCTACACTACCATTCCATTCGAGACCCCAATTTTTGAGAGGCTCATCTTTCGATTGATTCGACGTCTATCTATCAAGTTTATTGCATGGTGTTTCTGGAGGCCTTATTGCGTAAGAGGGTGCCCTTATATGGCATGGTATGACCATCAATCGCCTGCCCATGATATCGGGAACTTGGCATCATTCAAAAACAATTATTTGCTTTTTCAATTTTTTTTCCCTCCTCGGCCATTTCTTTTTGCAGTTTTGTTCTTGAAATTGGCTCGTATATATGCCGAAAATTGGCATTTTTTTTTCGATAATGAAATTTACCAAAAAAAGAGAAATTCATGTTTAAATCAATTCAAATCGGCAATTTATAATAATTCTTGTTTATCTTGAAAAAATAGACGTTTTGAACGCATATTTCGTGTAAAATAATTCCAACAAAAAAATCGAAAGAAAATATTTTCGATCAGCGCCGTGATCTCTACATTTTATTTTTTTTTTTCAAATTATTTTTTGAAATGTCGTGAAATTTTAAACGCGTGCATTTGTGCGTCGGGTGTTCATACAGACTCTATCAAAATTCAAATAATCGTTAAAATTGTTTCTTCGATTTTTCTGGAATCGTTTTTTTTTTCGATTTTTTATTTGAAATTTTCAATCTAACAGAAGAAATTAGTATTCAAAAGAAGAGAATTTATTTAAAAAAAAATAAAATACGTGTAAAATTCCGATTGTTTTTTGTTTTAATTTTTTTCATCAAAAACATTTTTTTTCAAAACTAATCAAAGCCATAAAAATCGGTCAAACTTTGCGCGAAAAAAAACTATCAAAATTATTTTTTAAAACATATTTTATTGCACGAATAATTATCGTGACAAGACCCAAATTGATTTAATTCATATGCTCCTTTAAATCTCGATGCAATTTTACATTCAATAGTTTTACAGGCTCTCAAAATTCAAAATTTCGAAACCTTCTCAAAATTCACCCTATTCAATTCGCAATTTTTCTCTCATCCCAAATATCCATAAGGATTGAAGTGAGCCACACATCATAGGCCATCTTTTCTTTCCGGTGGTGCTCATCAGCTAACAGTCGAACTATCAGCTAAGAAACAGACCTCATTGGAAAAGTGTACGCCAATTTGTTATCAATCTCTATTTCGCATCGCACTCTCTCTCTCTCTCTCTTTCTCTCTCTTTGTCATAAAGTAGAATGACCTCCATTCTTATGAATCGTAAAAGAAAGTTGTATGCTGACACCTCGATAAGATAGATCAATACGCGCTATCAAAAAAAAAAACGATGAAGAACAGAAAAATACATTTTCGAGGCCCTCATCATAATTATGCCATCGCATAGTTAACCAATGTTGCACAAAAATTTGTTTGTTTGATATGATCGATGACTAATCGCCGGCGTGTTTTTGAAAAATGTCCTCCCCCCCCTCCGATTTTTTTGTTAAATTTGTACAAAACGCCTACTCTTTTTTTTCTCGTCCATTTTCTTCCGACAATTTTCGCGCGATTTCAGCCCATGTTTTACAGTGACGGCTTTTTTTTTGGCCAAAGCTATTTGCTATTTCATTCTGCGGACATTTTTCGAGGATGTCCACAGATTAGTTTTTCCTTTAAAATTCCGATTTGCAATTGTTTTTTATGAGGAAAAGCTCAAAAAATCGCAATTTTACATTTTATTACAATCACAAAAAAAGAGCATGAAGATTTTATGAAAAATTTGTTGAAAAAGATTTCGATTAGTTTGATTCGCAGGTTATTCATAGTACGGTACCCGATATCGCACTGTTTAAATTGGCGTCTCAATAGAGCGCACTTGCATCAGTTTATTTTTTGCCTCTTTTTAGATCATCATTTAAGTGTTCATTATTAATTCGATGCAAAAATAAACTATAACGTCCATTTTATTTTATTTTGGATAACTATGCCACATGGACCAACATGAAATGTATTTAGAAATCGATAAACTATGCATGCTTTTAAGAAAAAAACGAAAACAATGCAAGTGCGCTCTATTGAGAATTCTATTACGGTCGAGTTCAACTCCGAAGGTTTTCACCGTTTCGATGATAATACAAATCATTCAGACTAATGACAATTCTCTGCTGCGGACATTATCCGGGGTATTAAAAATACCCATTTTTTCATTTATTTTCATCGCCGACATTCGCTTGAAGATGTCCGCAGCACGAAATCGCCAAATTCACTTCCTGGCGGTTTTCTAAACTCGACACCGTACGACAATAATTATCGCATGTCAACCAACTTTTGAGCAAACAATTACTAAGAAGCCGCCTAGTAATCGAACAAGTTTTGCCGTTCGGCCCTCAAAATCAAATCGCTCTACTCGCTTATCGTTTCCGTCGATTTCGCCGGTGTTTAATTTGATTCTCGCCTTCCTTATTTGGCGGTCAATTCGAAAGGTGCGCCCGATTTTTTATTATCGCCATTCGATTGCTGATAATTCAGCAGGCAACGCTATTATTCTATTATTGTTGCCGGCAACTCATTCCCGAAATTCCGAAAATTTTGTGTGTGTGTGTTTTCGAAATTCCTCAACGATGGTCTCGAAGCGAATTGCAATTGGTGGCGATCAAAATTGATCTTTCGAACTTTCTGAATTTCTATTTAATGAAAGTCACATCGAACGCATTGATTATACATTTTTTCTGGGTTTTTGTCCATCTAATAAAAATTTTAAAAATTTGGCAAATCGCCTTTACTATCATTTTTCATTTTTTCTTCTCTTTAAAAAATTCATCTGCGGACATTTTTTTTTTCAAAAAAATTGAATTTTAGATTTTTTTTCCCAAAAAATCAGTGTTTCCATTTTGTGCCCTGCTCGTTTAGATGCCACATTCTTTCGTTGGCCTCGATTTTCCGCATTCGCTTCAAGACCTAATACAGTACCCGTATTCGTTTCTGGTTTCATTTCTTCAAGTAGCTGACATAATTAAATAGAAATGACTATTATAATTTGTGTTCTAAAAGGGTCTCGCGGCGAAAATTATATTTTCAACATTAAAAAAAAAACGCATTGATGATGTTGTTGATTCGGAAGCAATCAGGTTTTTGTTGTTTGTCGAAACTATGATACCAGAAGCCCATTTTTCATTTTTCTCACCATCAGGAACGTATTACACTCATATAATTGCATATTTCGGTGTCATGAACAAAAATAACCCAATTGGGGCCTAAAAATACCTAAAGTTGAGGTTGTGTAGATTTACGGGCTTGATTGATTGAAGGCGCATCGTGTCAAGACCTCTCCATTGAGATTGTCATGTGATTTCGAAAATAGTTTATTAGATTTGCGATAATTTAATTAGCTGAATTGTCCGCAGATGGATTTTTATATTATTCAAACTCAAGCGTTAAGCTTTTTTTCAGCCGTTAGAATAATTTCTTTCTTTTTATTCTTATTTTTATTATTTGAGCAGAATACAAAAAAAAAATATTGGCCATAGTCTGTTTCCAAAGCTCCCTGAAACAGTCGCCACAAGACCCAACTCATTTTTCAGCGCTTTGCGCCTTTAATCGATTTTTTTAGTTCAATTTTGCGATTGAATTGAGTTTACTCACAATTTTCATGGAAATTTATTGAAAATCGAACATCAAAAATTTAAAAAATAATAATAATCGAAAAGAAAAATCCCGAAATTGGTGATTTTTAAGAATATTTGAGGATATTTAAAATTTTTCTTCATTTTTAATTTCAACCAAATTTTTTAATATTTCGTCCCTAAAAATGAGGACCATCAAATTTTTGAATTGCATTTTTTTTCTAGAATAGTAACTTTAAAGGAGCATCCAACCCTCCGGTTTTGCAATTGGTCACGCTTACTCAAGCGCATCCGATCCGATCCGATCCGATCCGATCCAGTTCGCCCTTCGAGTAAAAATCAATCGTCGTCCATTTCCTTCGCCTTATCAATACAATCACGTTGAGAACCACCAAAAAAAGAATTGGGCATCCGATTTATATAATATACATATATGGAGACATCTTGTGTGTGTGTGTGTACCTTCTCCATCCGTCCGTCGTCGTCGTCGTCTTCAGCGTGAAGTGAAAGTGTGGCGCTTCTTGTCTTTCTCTCAATTTGTCGCACCAACGAAATTCGCAAAACAGTCGCCGTCTTGTTCTTTTTGGAAGACCAATCCGAAGGTCCACCTGATTCCGAAGAAACCTCCGTTTCGTTTTTTTTTTCGACCATCAGAAGCTTAACGAATAGCGCCAACAAAATAATGATAATTTTTTTTGCTTCCTTATTCGTACTATTCCGAAGAATCGAGGGTTCCCTCCAAATCTGGCTCATTTGATCTACCAAAAAAAAAACTCGAACCTTGGCCTTCTCGGCTGTGTTTATTTGCAATCCTCCCCGCTAGCTGACCTTATAATACATAATCATCATTCCTCCATTCATTGAGAAAGAGAGAGAAAAAAAATCGAATTCATGTGTGTCCTTCCTTCTGGTCTCATCGTTGTTCTCGTTTTTGCATCCCCTTGTCTCTCTCTTGCTTCACATAATAATAGATAGACAGATTTATATTTATATATATATAATGCCTGTTCTCGTTGTCTCCGAGAACATCTCAATTTGCCCATTTTTCGTTGAGGAATTGCATTTTGGGCGTTGGATTGCCTCGATTTTGTGCCGTCATTTCATTTCTGAGAGTTTTGCAACAAAAAAAGCAACAATTTTGATAATAATCACGATTTTTGATTTTCCCGTGAGTTGTCCGCAGGTGCAAATTCATATCTGACTCGTAGATTATCGACAAAACAGTCCATGCATTATAGTGACTATTTCTGTTCTTCACCACTCTTATCTGCGGACATTTTCATGAAACCGAAATTTCGTCCGCAGATATAATAATGGTATATATTGCCCATTGTTTTCAGTTCGAATTGTCCGCAGCTGGAAATTCATGTAACTTACCAATCGATGTGTTCTCATTCGTCCAAATTAGTCGATGCGAGTGATTTCATGAAAATTGTCCGAATTATACAATTCAAGTCTCAACACCTCATTTTTAGACATTTTTGCTCTACTCTGAATTTAAAATGATTTTTTTACATCTCTGCGAATCGAATTTGCTGAATTTCTAATGAAAACTGTTGGAAAACGAGGTCTCTAATATCAGAGGTATCTGCGATTATTTTTTCAAGACAATTCTTATCTGCGGACAAGTTGCGGATTGAAAAAAAAGAAGCGATTTATTCGATAATTTTCCAAGCGATTTTTTCCATCATCCATCCACTGTTTCTTTTTTTTTTCGTCTGAACGAGACAAACCGTTCGAAGACCTTGTTTTCGCAGCCTTCTCTCTGTCTGTCCGAAACAATGTTATAATTGGAAACTATTTGGGAGAATGGAACAACTTTCGCCGCCAAAAATGGGTTCACCTAGATTCGATTTGTCTCATTCCATATATGACTCTCAACATTTTTCTGCCATTAGTTACTGCTAGCGAATTATTTCTGATATCAGTAGAAGCCATCTCTGATTTACTCGCCTCGAAGTCGCCCAAAAAATATCCGCAGATCGAATTTCGTATTTACAAATCCGCATTAAGTTTCGTTGGCTAATTGATTCCCATTTTCAGTCGCCTTTTTTGCTCATTTTGTGCTGCGGACATTTTCGCGTGTGAGATTGTCCGCAGGTGCAAATTTTGAAATTAACACCACCATCATTGTGAATGCTTGTCGTTTATTAATTATTTTGCTGCGGACATTTTATTGTCGATACTCTCAATTTCCAAAGACGGCAAGACAACTTCAATATTCTGGAATTATTGCACTAAACGATTTGAAATATACATTCAACCGATCAGCGGACAATTTACGGGTTTCGCCTAAGTTTCACGAAGCCCGCAAAGAAAAATTTCGAAAAAAAATGTTTTCCGCAAATGGAATTTTTTAACGGAGCTCCCGATTTTCTAAAATTGGCTAAAATGGTCCTGCGGGTTCTACAAAACTCAATTGGCCCCTGACCTGGTCCTGACACGAAAACGCGCTATCTGCCACTACGATCTAGTTGATGATGTTCCGGCAGGCTGGCTTCTTCTACAAGTTGTTCCGATCCTATCCGATCCGATCCGATCCGAATCTCCCTCCTTCCCCGATTTTTTTTCGAGGTAACGAATGTCTTTATTAGAAATTCATCAGCGAAACGCTCGCATTTTACAACAATTTGATTCGATTCACCGCTATTATTCTGCCATTTTGAGTTGTAATAACCTCATCGCCACGCCTCTCGCCCTTTTTATTACCTTGACTTTTATAATTGTTTCGGCTTTTATGGTTTTCTTGCGATTTTTTTTTCTTTCGTTAAAGGAGGGGGGGGGGCGAATTTTACCAAAAATGGTAAGAGATGGTTATCGCGGAAACAAAAACAAATGGAGAAACGCGAAAAAGAAATCGAAGATGGACTTGAGATAACTCTCGAATCGCTCTTGTTTCTATGTGAGCGCATGTGCGGACAACTCGCGGGTTTTCCAATTTCCTCTTTATTGCATTTTTTTTTCTCATCTACCGTCACATATTTGACAAAATCCATCTGCGGACAATTTCCCGACGAAATTCCCCCCTTCTACAAATATAGACAATCAATAGCGTTGGAATGTCGGGTGTCTCATGATTTGAAAAAATGCATCTGCGGACAATTCTCAACCAATTTTTGTCGCGTTCAAAATTCCGCATTTCTCCATTTTTTTCTCGACTCACAGTTTGATTTGATTTCAGCGGGTCTCCCGACGACCAAACGATATATGGACTGGATCTACTCATGGAAGGACTCGATATTCTACGGAATGTGCAGCTGCAGTGGCCCGCAGCACGATGCGACGAACCATTTCGACAAACTCGACATGCCGTTGCAATTGAAGGCCTACAGGTCGGTCGACTAATTTTTTTTCTATGTTTTTTTTCTCCCACAATCACTTGTCATATTAGTAGCGCGGGGGTCTCGAAGCGATGTCGATTTACGCGCGATCCGATTGCTGCTGCAGCTCATTTCCAACCCAACCAATGCGCCTTTAAAATTCTGACCAACTCGAATGTGTGTGTGTGTAACAAAACAAAACGCGGCGAGTAGGAATGTGTCATCAGCAGCACGAGCTCGACGAGATGCTCCTCCAGCTCCCATTCAAAATTGATATGTTGGCCTCATCGCTTCGCTTGCAATGTTAACTTGATATTGTTGCGAAATTGCTTGTGTTTTTTTTTGGTTTCTCGCCCCCATCCTTCGGTGGTCCCTGACAAGGGTGCTCCAGCTCATTGAGAGCCTGTTAATATTGGTCCAGCTCAATGACGCGGGTCCCCCCAAAGAGAGAGCTTCGTCATTTTTTTTTGGCTTGCCGTGGTGCTCCAGCTCAATCGTTGAATCTCAATCCGGTCGCCTTCATCATTCCCAACTTTTTACGGCTTTTAATTACGAATCCAGATGCCATAAATCACATTCGAACAGCCACAACAAAAAACATTCGCCGCGATTTCACTCAAAACCAAAACAAAAAAAAAACGAAACGAGGCGTTTTCACCTAAAAAGGCGACGAAATGACGGAGGGGGGGGGTTTGGGTTAGGTTATGCCATATATAGTTAGTGCATTGGCTAATCCAGTGCTCGCTGTTTGATTGATTGATTGCAAAATAATCGCTTGGTCCATTTTCACCCACTACTCGTTTGGTTTTTTCCACAAATATTTCGCATAGTACTGTATGCGCCTTTAAACGTCGGCTCGACGAAATAGTGTGCGGTTGCGACGAGACGCCGACAATGTGCGCCACATTTCAACAATTGGAATTGTGTGCAATTTTGCGTCTCGGTGTACGGTAGTCAGAGTAGTCTCAATGTTAACGTTTCAAAAACGCCCGAATCGGCGAAATTCGAAATTCGTGACCCTCGTCGGATCCCAACGCGACTTGTTAAAGGCGCATCGATGGCGCGCCTTGTTGAAGAAGCTCATGAAGAAAAATGAGCAGCCAAAAATAGAGATGAAAGCGAGTGTTTTGAGGGGGGGGAGTCCAATTAGCAAAGATTGCATCTCGCGTAAAATAAATCTCAAAATCTTGCCGATTATTCTCGTCCATTTTTATCGTCGCCGTCGGATTTTTTCGTGTCCCGAAGACAACAACCTCATTAAAAAGTGAAAAGATTTCGAATCGAGATTACGTCAAGGGACCCCCCCGCCCCTCAATCTCGCTATCTTCTTCCCATTGGCTTCCATGCGCGTTCGTTGGTTGTTCGCGGGTCGCCATCGAAACTGGTATGTGCTTTTGTGTCATATTGATGATGATGAACACGGATGGCGAAGGGCGGGGCGCGCAGGCAAAAAAAAAACCGCTCGACGCCACGCCTTTTTTCCATCACACATATTTCTCAGTTTTCCGGCCTCGAAGCATGTCCGCAGATCTGAACAATTTTTCCGTTTTTTCTCTGCCGGCCTCGAAGCATGTCCGCAGATCTGAACAATTTTTCCGTTTTTTCTCTGCCGGCCTCGAAGCATGTCCGCAGATCTGAACATTTTTTCCATTTTTTTCTCTGCCGGCCTCGAAGAATGTCCGCAGATCTGAACATTTTTCCCATTTTTTCTCTGCCGGCCTCGAAGCATGTCCGCAGATGGATGACAACTTTTCTCGAACATTTTTGGAATTGTTTTATTTTCTTTTTTTTACCTTTGCCACTGCCAGCGAGTCCGAATTTGAAGAACTTTTGCTGAAAACTTCAAAATGGGCGGCCCTAGGTTTTCTTTAAATCTTAACAAGATAAATTTGACATATCTTCTGACATTTTACGGGATTCGCCACAACGCTGGCGGGAATTCAAATTTGAGGTCTGCTATCTTGTTTTTTTTTCTTAAATCAATCTCTGATCTTCCATATGAGGTGGCAATTAAATATTTTACAAGCAAAAAAAAAACTGTCCAATTTTTTGCATATCCATCTGCGGACATCCTAGCGGGTCGATTTCATTCAAAAATAATCGAATCGAAAGCTTTTAATACGATAATCTGTTATGTTTTGCGCATTTATAATCCGCTCACGCCATTTTCTTTTTTCTGTTGGTTTTTTGCCGGCTCTCCAAAAAATTTCATTTCATCACCAATTCAATTCATTTTTTTTGCTCACTTATCACTCAAACGTGACTCAATCGTTTACTTTTCGAATTTTGCAAAAAAAAAAAGAAGAAACAACGCGGCCAATTTTTTTTTGCGATTCTCAGTCCCGCCCGGTTGGATTAACTCAAATTACCACCAAACGAAATCGAACCGGTCGACACCCATCGCTTCAAGACCATCAGTTTTTCCCTCGACAATGTCCGCAGATGGTTTCTCATTTTTTTCCCCCCAACAACGACCATCTGTGTGAGTGTTTTGTTGTTTCTGCAATTCGTTGGGTCTTGAAGCGAGTATGACTAATTGTGTCCCCCCCCCCAAAAAACCTCCTCATAAAACCCAATTGTGTTCATTTACTCGACTGCCTCGACTATTTCATTCATTCATTTTCCATTTCTTGAGGCATTGGTTGTGTGTACCCAATTTCATATGTTTGTTCTGCCCCCCACCCCTCAAAAATTTCATTTTTGATGTTAGAATGGGTCCTGACACGATTTTGTTGCTTTCCAATAGCGGGGGAACCTTCTGCCAATGCAGTACTGTAGCCGAAATCCCAGCTATTTCAATAACAGCGTGTGACGCCATTTAAAGGCGCACACGGTGGGGAGACCGCCCACACCCATTTATCATTGTTGCGCGGCGACGAGAAACATCAAAAATGATATTTGGCGATTCCCCCCCTTCTTCCCCTTCCCCTTCCCCTCCTCATCCTCCATCTCAATGTTGTCTTCATAACATACTGTTTGGTATACGATCCAGTTTCTGCCGATCGCCTTCTCTCTCTCTTTCTCAATTTCATCGCGTTTTCCGACACGACGGCTATTATCACCGATATGCCGAACGAAGAGAAACAATTTACAGCTAGCCGCTCCCTTCCCTTCTATACTCTCTTTGTCTCTCTCTCTCTCTCTCAAAGAAAAAAAAACCTCACAACAATTATCCGGCCCACCTCATCATCATCATCATCGTCGTCGCGCCTCAACTGAATCAGCATCAATCGTCTGCCGATGACGACGACGACGAAAGTGGTGGCGTCGAACTCGCAAGGCGTGTGCGTCATCCGAATCGGCGACGATGAGCCGCCGCCGATGAAGGGCATCGGCCGGCGTGCGAGTCGTCCGAATCGCAAATCCGCCAAAACGCTTTTCCATCAGTTTGGTGTTCGCCGGTTCCCATTGAACAGGTATGATTCTTCTTTTTTTTTTTGTTGTTGATGGTCCATAATTCAACGGGTCCGTATTTTTCTACTCATCATTCTTCATGATACAAAAAGATTACACAAAAATTGCGTTCTTCTTTCGTTTTGTTTCAAGGTCACCGCGGGACCAATTTTTTTAAAGGCGCAACCCTCTGCCACTTTCAATGCGCCTTTGAATGCGTCTTGCAACGATGCGAAAGCTAGTAGAGCGTTTTGAGAAATTCCGCAAAAATGCAATGCGCCTTTAAATAATGTCGTCGATTTGAAGTCGAAAAGAAACAATATATGTATGTATTTGAGACATTCATATTGTTGTCGTCATTTTCGGCTTTTAAGCTTTTCCTTTGAAAAAGAAGCTCGAGATTGCGGAAATCTCGTGTTTAATCCGTTTTTAGACAAATTTGAGCGAGAGAAAAAAAAACGAAGAATGGAAACCATCGACTCCGATTTTTGACCATCGTTTTCCATTTTCTGTGCTGCCGACACTCTTCCGGTCCACACAAATTGCCGTCCATTGTCCGCAGACAAAAAATTGATGATCAAACATTTTCGATGTCGACTCACTCATCATTGTGGTTGATCAGTAATTAGCACCCCCTCAAAAAAAAAACACCATATAAGGCATTCCCTGAAGAGACCTATGTTTATTCGATCGAATGAGTCATTTGTTGCAAATTTGGCGAATTATTTCATTTTGTCTGGATAACACAAATATTGTGGCGTCGCCATTTTTTGTTTGGCGATTCACGGCGCGCGTGCGCCTTTAAAATGGGTCTCAGCACTATGAATCCTTCTTGAAGTGTGAGACGCGTGTTGAGACCTTATTTAAAGGCGCATGATACGAAACGACTTGAAATTGTCCGCAGATGTTATATATTGATCGAATTCTCGTTTCGCCTTCTCCCCTCCAAATTTGTTTATGAGAAAGTGCATGTGCCGACAGTGTTACGGGTTTGGGGTGCAATTCGACTAATTGATTGTTATTCGTGTCGGCCGAGTGGCGTAAAATTCGTTTATATATCTCCCCTTTTTTGGGGGGCGAGCGAGCACGTCTTGAATGCCCCTTTAAAATTTTTAAAGGGACAGCAACCATCCAAAAAAAACCATTGGTAGAGACCCCCATTGAACTTTTAAAAAAAGGCGATTTGAGACGAAACCCGATGGTTTTCGCAACTGTGACGAATCTCGCGCGAAATCGACGACAAAAGTCACTCAATTAGTGCGAATCATCAATTTTGGCGAAATATTTTCGCGTCCGCAGATGCGATTCGATTTGGTGTGTGTGTGTTGTCACTTATTAAATGTTGGTTTGATTTAGTTGAAGGGGGTCACGGTTGGGCAGGTTTCGTCAATCTCTCGCCCCGCCCGCGCGCTTCGGATTAGCACTCCCTCTTCTAATTTGGAAAACGGGCGGGGATTAATGATGGTCCGTCGTTGCCTCGTTGCACACACACACACACATCGTGGCCACCCATAATTTAATCATCGAGCTTTCCCATCGCCCCTGTTCGGACCACCCAGACTGGCCACCCTCAGCGAAAAAAAAACGAAATTAGAGAATTTTCATAGCAATCTCAAGCACATCGCATTACTCGTGGGGCAATTTTTGCTTCAAAAATTTCCATATTGATCTCATCGTTTTTCAAATTTATTCCTACAGTTTGAATCCCGCGAGTTGTCCGCACATCGAAATCAATTAATTGGTTGCCAACAGCAACAGGCTTCTCATTTTTCAATGAAGCTTGTTGTGTGTCTTTTATCCCAACCTCGATCTGCGGACAATTTCGAAGCAACGCGAATAGTTCAAAACCCGCGGCGTTGTCCGCAGATAAAATTTGCTAAATCATACAGGCGTATTTTGTCTGTTAATCAGAAGATTCTCTGGGCTCGCGAAATTGTCGGCAGATGATTGTTGGTAAGTGCGAACTGTGCGCGTCGGCCAACTTTCGAAACCCGCGCGTTGTCCGCAGCTTGCACAATTCACAATATAGTGGGGGCCAACTAATTCGCGGCCATTTCCGCCCACTTGCTTCTAATCGATGTCCGCAGCTGAGTTTTTACATTAAAGCCGAGAGTTAATGGTCTCTCAGCGCCCTCATAAAACTTCATTTTGCACATCGTAAAATCGAAGCAAACACTATAAATTTTTATATTCTCCTCTCGTTCCAAAAATGGTCGTTTCGTTTTATGATTACTGTATATAGGCTTTTTCGTGCCTATTTTTTGTTCTCGTTGAATATTCCTTCAATTCGCAAAAAAAATGCACCAATTTAGAGAATGGTCTAAAAGTGAGAAAACCCTCCAAAAATCTGGATTTCGAGTTTAAAGGAGCATCGGTGTGAAGAGCCTCTTTTTGTCGCGTTTAAATGGCTGCGCTAAAAAATGCGACGAGTGGGCGGAGCTTGAGACGAGCATTAATTAGAATTTGGCGTGAAGCAAATTGACGGACAAGCGCGATTATTGCCGACGGAGGTGTTTGGGGGGTGTTTTATTAGTTGTAGTAGTCGACGAGGCGAACGAGAAGAAGAAGAAGAAGAAGCTCTGAGTGTAAAACTCGACGGCGAACACCGCGCCGCCGGCGGCGACCAATTTACCCCCCCCCCCCCCCCGTCTACCCGTCACCGGCGCGTAGGACCATCACACACACACACACACACGAACATTATCACACATTTTGCACAATGTCGGTGTGGTTTCACATATGTTTTATAATGGTGATGCTCTCACGAGAAGCTCTTCTCAACGTTCAGCTTTTACAACAAAAAAACGCCTCACTCCCCGTTGAACTACTGCTACAGTACCCCACTCTAGAATAGCAGTATTTTTTTCGAGAAAAATAATTTTCTAGAAATATTTAGATATTTGTCTTGTTAACAAATTTCTACATCGCTTGGACATTCTATATAAAGGCGCATGACCGCTTATGCCACCACTGCTAGTGTAACACAAAACAAACTGCTGTGAGCCTTCAATTTTTTTTCTTGCTTTGACAAATTCCATCTGCGGACATCTCGCGGTGTTCTCCAGCGTCTTCATCTAGGCGCCGCCCCCCCCCCCCATTTCGAAGAGGCCCCGCCCACTCACAAGTGCCATTTCGCTACGAGACGCCGCTGCCGGAAATCACATAGGCACAAGACGGGGCCGGATTAATTGCTCGTCGAGCTCACTTCTCCAATGTTTTTTTTTTGGTTGTGCCTCCTTTTAAAGCGAAATTTGAGATTCTAATAATTGGAGTCGAATTTCGAACAAATTGAAGAGAGAAGGCTATCTGTCTCTCTCTCTTTATTGAAAATGAGAAGTAAAAAAAAGAAAAAGAAAAAACCAACTCAAACGACTCATCTTTTTTTTTAAATGCATTTAATGAAATCGACTCATTTTGCAGACGAAACTCGCTGAATAGCGACTCGTACTATCGCGAGCTCGAGAAGATGCACGAGTCGGGCTTATTCACGACCGGCGTCAATTGCAACTCGGAAAAGGTTGGTTTATTGTCGAATTCGTGCTGCCGACAATCATCGAGGGGCGGTGATTGATTGTCGGCAGCAAGAATTGCATATTGAGCAAAATTCATTTTTTTTGCAGAGCGATGACTTTTTGAGTTTGATCGAGAAAATGCAAAGCAATCGTCTCGATGATCAGAGATGCGAATTGCCCGATCGGGTTGGTCTTTAAGCTTTTCGTTTTTTTTTATTTTGTGGGTTATGCTGGCCGAAAAAAATACTATATTATGCTAACTATATGTCATTTTTGTTCGACTTTTCAGGTTCTAAAAATATTCCTTTTTTGGAAACTTTCCTTTTATGGATTTCAATACAAAAAAACCTGAATTTTTCTTTGCTTGTGGCGAAAAAAATTAATTATTTCTCCATTTCGTGAATTTTTCCCAAAATTGGCTCATAATTATATTTTGCAATGGTGTTATGCCAATTTTATATTAAAAAAAGATTATTAGGTCTGAAATTGTTTTGCGAAATTTTTCATGCGCCTTGAAACGCGGGTACTGTAGTTCCCAAAAATTTCACATTTCATCGTTTTTTTGTTGAATTTCTTCAGTCCTTTTTTTGAAATAGAACCTTTTGCTAATTATTTCCGCATCATTTATTTTAAAGACATTGTGTTTTCACTGAAAAGGCGCAAAATAGAAAGTTGATCATAATTCGTTTAAAAATCACGGAAACGCGAAACCCGTTTATCAAAGTGCTTCGAAATAACCCTTTAAAATGTCAGGCGATTTTCATAAAAATTGGTGAGATTGAAAAAATTTTTATTTTTTTCATTGACTCACTAATGCTGTCATGTCGATTTTTTCAAAATCCATTAAATCGAAATATACTGTTTATATTCAATTACGAGAATCGCGCGCACTTCTTAAGAGTTTTGCCCTGCGCGATCTGTGGTTGCGTGGCGCAGCTGTTGGCTCGCTGTTTTAAGTGCTGGACGTCGAATTTTCGACCTCGAGTCCCCCGTTTCTGTTAAAAATTAGTTTTTTTTGTCTTGCGCGTTTTTTTAACACAATTACGCCCTATTTTGATCATTCTTTGCTTTTTAATACTATTCAGATTCATTCCAATCTTAACAAAATTCAATATCATTCTAAAAACCTCATCATTATAAAACTTCCTTTTTCGGTTTTTTTTCTTGCAAGTCGAAAAAACAAAACAAAACCAAAACCATCAGTTTTGATAACTGTGTTGCCGGTTTTTTTGCAGGCCTCAATTTCATCAATTTGTATAATTCGTTTTTAAAAACAACCCAATCAAATCTATACTATTATTTACTATGTATATGTTATATGTATATATATACATACATACGCATATTTTGATAGTTGTATAGAAACCGGTAGTTCGACAAAATTTGTTGTAAATTGAGCGTTGAACCAATACCATTTTATCATTCGCCTCGTCGTTCGGGAACAAACGCCCATCACACTTATTGTTTCCTTGTTCGTCTCCAAATTCATCCCATCTCATCTGCGGACAATTCCCCTTGGAACATTCAATGGTCAACCATGTGTGAAAGTTGGCTCAAGTTGACCGCAACGTGCTGCGGACATTTTTACAACCCGAGACTCGCCGCCCTCGCGCGGTTACTGTGCTGATGTTGTTGTTGTCGGCTGAGGGTCTTGTATCGAATTTCGGAGAGCGTCTCGCTCGCGCGGGCGGCCCGTCTCGAGTCGCTTTGCTGCTCGATGATCGTCATCGTAGCTTGCTGGCCAATCGAATCATTTCAAATATTGACTACGAAATTTTTTCTCTCTCCCCCCCCTTTAAATTCTCTCTCTCTCTCTCGCCCACTTTTGATCTACCGATTTGTTTCCAAATATCCACATTCCACTTTCAAAAAAAAAAAAGAGGCAATTTCCGTTGGAAATGTGGGCCTAGAATTTTTATGGCGCCCCTCCACCCATATATGGCCTTTCCACCATTTCCGCTATACACCTACCAACCCACCACGCCCCCCTCTCATTCTATACGGACCATTTGATGGAATCGGATTTGAAATGAGCCGTCGAAGGCCTCCCCCCCCAACCAGCCAACACAGTTCGCTGCCAACATTTGTTCAAATATTGACTCAATGTTGTTTTAACATTTGATGCGCATCTCGGTGGGTATCAAAAATCGTCGAATGAGCAGCTAGATGATTTTCTAGACGTTTAAAGGCGCATATCATAAATTGTAGATCGTTAATTTTTTGTTGTCCTACATTGATCTTTAAATATATTTTTATCTCTCAAGACAATTTTTTATATTGTCAAAATCGCTCTCTCCTTTATTGTCCGTGTGGAGTACACAGACACCTCCCAATCGTCTCAAGACCATTTTACCAAAAAAAAACCGCTCGCAAATCGACATCATTGGTCTCGAGACGAATCGCATACTGTAGCTATAAAATCTTAAATTTCCGTCGAGAAGAGATTTTGAAACGATTTTGGCTCTCGATTCCTCCAAATGCCCAACAATCCGAGCATGTGTGAGCGGCACTGAGAAATCCGCGCCACATGTGTGCGCTTCTGTCTTTGCATTTTCGCATCTGCGGACAATTCCCCCCCGGCACATGCCCATCAAGCATTCGGTTTTCCGAAAATACGGTCGCCATCATCCAATCAAAACTTTCACTAATTCCCCCCCCCCCCTCGCCTCTCAAAATCGCTACGGCCTATGCTAATTAGAACGGCCCATCTAGTGATAACTATAAAGAATCAAACTATATGGTATATAGTATATAATCAATCAAGTTTGCATTGTTTCCAATTGTTTGTCTCGAAGTTGGCCGCCTTATTGTGTTCGCAACCAGCTGATTCCTTATAAGGCAAATGAATTGCGATTCGAAATTATTCGAGGCATTTTTATTCTCGTTGATTCGTCCCCCCATCATTTTGCATTTTTGTCATCGCATTTTGCGATAATTGCATCCGTTGAGGTAATTAGGTAGCGAACAACCTAATTATCGGGTGGTCCCGGCGCGACGAATTTCGCTTTCGGAAATCTCATCTGCGGACAATTCTCTCCGAACGTGTGTAGTATCGGGGGCTTTTGAAAGGCTCAACGCCGCCTAAATTGTGCTTTTTTTGGGCTCGACAATTGTCCGCAGATGGAATTTTATAACCAGCGAGAAACACTTGTGTCATCAATTCATAGAATGGCAGCAACACGAAATAAATAAAAAAAAAGAAAAAAGATATTTTCTCTTTTTTTTTTGATCGAGACACGTTGATACACCCACAAAACACACCTCTCTATGTATATTTATGCAAAAAAAATTTGTTTTTGGGCAGGGGAATTTGCGGGCGCGTGCGTCTCACTCGCCATCATCAAAAAATCTGGTTTCGACAACGATGAATTGCAAATGATGCCCATTTTTCATAATTCTGCAAAATTTTTTTTGTGATTTCGCTTCAAGACCAATCTCGCCGCGCCTCGCGTGCTTTTCGATTTTTGCCGCCCTCAAATTTGCAAACTGTAACATATAACAATATATATGAGGGCTGAAAGTGTTGATTGTGGTCTCGCCGCGAATTGGCAGGTGAACAAACGGATCCATCCCACGGGGATCCATCCATGCCATCAGCTTCTCCCCCCCCCCCGCCTCTCTTCTTTTTTTTGGCCCCCCGCCTCTCACTTATACATATAAATGATGATGTTGTAAACATACGAACCATTATTACTGCTTCATAATCTTCTTTTCTCATCATTTTTGTGTGTTTCCAGCCCGAAGTATACGACTTCCGGCGGGCTTTTCATCACTGATTATTTGTGCGTCTCTCTCTCTCTCTCTTCTATGGTTTTTTTTCGTTGCTATTCTCCTCTCTCAACATCTATTCCCGACTTTTAGCTCTTTTTTTTTGTTTTTTTTTCCTCCCATCTCAAGAAATTTGATACTAATTAAATAGGATTTGTGTTTTGGTTTAAAGGTGCTCACACGGGTTACGGTGGCATTTGGAGGGAAGTTTCAATCGCATCTAGTCTGAAATTCCATAATTAAAGGCGCATATTGGATTACTGTAGCCGTAGACACAATTCAAGTGTCCTGGCGCGCAAATCGTTATTACGGTAGTTGTCGCAACAACAGGGATGGTCTCGAGACGAAACGAGGCTCTCTCAATATACCATTCGTTTTCTGACTAAAACTCAGCGAGTCGTCCGCAGTTCGATTTTCGCCCCGCGAGATGTCCGCAGCTGATTTTGGCTGTCACGAAATAGACGGTGTTCATCCGCAATTAGAAGTGCTTTCATATTTTCCCAATCGCCTAATAGTGCGGCCAGCCAAGCCAACTCCTACTGATCAAATTCAAATTTGAATAGTCGCGTCGAAGAAACAAAAGCAATTCGATGGTCCACAAAAATGAAATCGCCATCCGGCAAAATCATCCCATCTCATCTGCGGACAATTCCCCTTGGAACAGTCGTCGAGCCAAATTTTGCTCCGATTTTGTCGTTTTCAATTTCTCTTTTCGCAAAGAATATCATAAGAAGACACTAAAATTGCTATGAATGCGAAAAAAAAAACCAAACAAAAAAAATTTAGGTTCACATTTTCACGAAAATTTTGACGAATTTTAAAAAATTACATTATGGACCTATTCAGGCAATGAAAAACATTTTTTAAAAATCAATTTTTTTTTCATTTGAATTCCCTATGCACGCACGTCAAAAATTACAAAAAATTGACGCGATATATCGTAATTCTCCGCTATTTATTTTTAAAGGCGCACGCAAAAAGTTGCGCAGGTCACGTAGCGAAGTCGGTACTGTAATTTTTTATTTTTCATTTTTTCCGTATTTTTCGAAAACTTCGAGGAGGAAATAAGTAAATGAAAAAAATTGATTTTTTCCATTAGGAAACGGATATCGCATTCATTTTCATATTGGGACCATTTCTATTCGCGTTTCGTGGGGTGGCAATATGCGGAGCATTGTACTGCTCAGAATGCTCATTTTACGTTTTCAATAGTTTACCGCAATTCCCAAAAATTGTTCTATTAGTTCGACGAGATGAGATCGACGCAAATCTCGAATTGGCCTCGATTATTGGTTGTGTTTGAATGCGCAAGAGATGGGGGGGGAGGTCTTTCCGTACGAATTCGGCGATGAATTATGAATTTGCAAATTAGGGCCCCGACGGCAGAAAAAAAGCAACGAAGAGAACGAATAAATAAACTACTAAACCACATCTCTTCGCCTTCTCTCCTAGCAACCAACCGACCAGCCGCACGTCTTTCGCTTCAAGAGACCCGATGCGCCTTTAAATTCCCCCCCCCACGGATGCCAAACATGAAATTTGGCGCGTTTTAAACACGAAAAAAAAGTGTTTATCTCTCGTCGTCATCTGCTCATGTTTGATGCATTTTTGCGGCGAATATTAAGCCCGCCGGGCGCGGCCCCGCCGCATATAGGCGATTCTCATTCATTCCCGAAAATGTTGGCTGCTTTCTATTTCTTTTTTTTTCCTTTTTTGTTTCTCCATTTTTTTTTCGCTTTTGCTGTTGCGTAACAAATCATAATAATAATAATACAAACACCGATTTTCCCATAATTAGCATATTTCGGACAGGGCGCGCGCGCGCGCAAGGTCGTCGTCGCGAGCTGCGTAATTGAGACGAGGGACCTTGAGCTGCTTCCTTTTAATTAAATGGACCCCCCCCCCTACCCTCTCCTCCACCCTTCCCGATTCTCAATCTTCTCTTTATACATACATAAATCTATCTAGTGTTCGCGCAGAGTGGTTTCGAACCTTTCCTTTTATGGGCCCCCCACCTGCACTTTGTTTTGGACCCTGAATTGTCCGTGGAGCACGACGCGCTCATTTTCGATTTCTCATTTTTTTTTCTCCATACGTCCGCAGCATGTTTCATCGAATTTCAATTTGATTTCCCATTCTATTTTGAAGCATTAGAGGTCACAAAACTTTGAAGATCCTCTTTTTTCAATATTGCTGTTTGGAAAAGCGTATTCGAAAAAAAATGCAACTAATATTGGTATTTTCAACAAAAAAAAAAGAAATGCTCGATTTTGAAAACCGCAGAATTGTCCGCAGCACACCACTTATACAGCAGATATTAGAAATATTGTAGATTAGTTTTGTCCGTTACAATCGCAAAAAAAACCGAGCACCCTGCGCTGATTTGTTATCCAGAATACAGTATCAAAATTCTCATTAATTTAATTCGAATTTGAATTACCGCCTCGAAAAAAATGCAACGGTCCACAATTGGTTCACAAGGCCCTCGTTTTTCTTTTTGCGATGGTAACACAAAACTTGAAAATCGATTTTTCAAAAATCTTAAAAATACCACTTTTCGAGACATCGGTGTAGGAATTGCCCGCTGCATTCCACAATTTAAGCCTGAAATAGAAATCGTATCAATAATGACTTTTCTTCGTTTGATCTACCCAAATGTCTCATTTTGTCATCATCATATATTTTCGATGCGAAAAATGAAAATACGCCACCACAATGTTTTGCCAATTCGTCTGTTTCTTGCTGCTCGGGTCCCGCCGCGATTTATGTTTTAAACAAAATGTGTCACAATCGAAAACAAAAATGACACAGCGATGATCGCCGATTCTTTCCCCATTTTCATTCTGCTCTTTTTGTCAAGTAGTATCAAAAACGAATCGAGTCGGTCGAGAGTTGACGACAACAACACGACGAATCCTCATAATACGGGCGTCTCGTCGATTCAAGCGCTGTCTCGCCAAATTCAAACAACATCATGCTCAGACGACGGCGTATGTGTGTGTTTAAAAACCGTTCCCCCCTCTCTTCCTCTCCTCCTCCTTCTCCTCCTCACACCTTTTTTTATTGCATTCCTCAATGCTCACCGCCGATCATTTAATCATCATGTCGTTCAGTCGCGTCGGCGCGCTTCGACGACGACCGATGAAGTTCATCGATAGCAGCGAGGAGGACGATGATGTGTTCAGTCTCGGTCCGCTAAAACACCGCCCGCCGGCGGCGCCGCCAATGGACCCGATGGTCCGCGCCACCTCAATGAACAACATTGACAAAGCGCGCCATCCGATCTATCGCCTCTCGAATCCCGATCGTCGCGCCTCGTGCATCGATCTCAACAAGGATGACGAGTTCAAGGTGATGGTCGCCGACAAGCTGCTCGACGCGATCGACAATCTGCGAAACGCCGAGCGTCAGGCGGCGCGTTGGAAGGCGTCGACCGAATCGCTGGCGTCGGCGATCAGCAGCAAGCGGCGACACAGTCGCGGTCCGCTAGAGCTTCTACACAATTTGGTGGCGAAAAAATCGATTTCGAAAAATTTGAATACCCTTGTCGGTCCGCCAACCCTTATCTCATCAACCGTCTCGTTGAATAACCTTTGTGTAAGTTTGTTCAAAACGACAAAAAGGCCAGCATACCCATATTTGGTACATCGGTTTTATTCTCAAACACGATTTTCAGACCACAAGACCGAATGAGTCAAAATGCCCGAATCGGTTGACTCAGGAGCTCATGAATGAGGTAATCCGATTCAAGCTTCTATCTTCTCAGTCACCCCTAATGGTTTAGATGCTCACCCGCGTCGGACCCTATCCTCAAATCGTGTTGCCTTCCAATGGCTTCTGGATGGATGGTGTCAATCAGAATCATGCTGGAATGGACGACCAAGTTATGAATATGAATGTGAACAGTTGCGCGAGATTCAAACTCGAGACTGATGAGACGAGCCACTGCTATCGACGCCATTTCTATGGAAGAGAGCATCACGATTTTTTCGCCAACGATCCCGCGGTGGGACCACTCGTGTTGTCGGTGCGAACCGAGGTGATCTCATCGTGCGATCACTTCCGCATCATTCTGCGAACACGCAAAGGCACGATCCATGAGATCGTGTCGGCGACGGCGCTCGCCGATCGCCCGTCGGCCTCGCGAATGGCGAAACTCCTATGCGAGGAGATCACCACCGAGCAATTCTCGCCGGTGGCATTCCCCGGCGGCTCGGAGCTGATTGTGCAGTACGACGAGCACGTGCTCACCAACACCTACAAATTCGGTGTGATCTACCAGAAGGGCGGACAGACGACCGAAGAGCAATTGTTCGGCAACGCGCAAGGCAGTCCGGCGTTCGACGAGTTTCTGTCGGTCATCGGCGAGACGGTGCCTCTTCAAGGCTTCAAGGTGCCCAAATTTTGTAATATGTAGTAATAGTAGTGGACGCATCGTTCTGGGCAAACAGCTTTCAAATGTTTGCCCACAACTGTGTCCATTTTTTTGTTCGTTAGTTGTACGACAAATAATACAATTTCATTGTAGGGATATCGCGGCGGTCTCGACACGGTCCACAACCAAACTGGCCAACAATCGGTGTACACGCAATTCAAAGGACGCGAGCTCATGTTCCACGTGTCGACGATGTTGCCGTTCACGATCGGCGACGCTCAACAGCTTCAGAGGAAACGCCACATCGGCAATGATATTGTGGCGATCATATTCCAGGAAGCGAACACGCCGTTCGCGCCTGACATGATCGCCAGCAATTTTCTGCACGCTTACATCGTTGTTCAACCCGTCGACGCGCTCACCGATCGCGTCCGCTATCGCGTCTCGGTGGCCGCTCGCGACGACGTGCCATTCTTCGGGCCGACGCTGCCGTCGCCGTCGATCTTCAAACGCGGACAAGATTTTCGCAATTTCATTCTCACCAAATTGATCAACGCCGAAAACGCGGCGTACAAGAGCTCGAAGTTTGCCAAGCTCGCCGAACGCACGCGATCGTCGCTTCTCGAGGTGTTGTTCAGCACGTTGCGCGAACGCGCCGAATTCTACGCGACGCCACTTCTCGAGTCGGCGACGAGCGGCGGCGGCGCGTCGCCGCCATCGCACGCCTCCGGCGGATTGTTGAGCAGCGTCAAGAAGGCGTTCATTGGAAGGAGTCGATCGGTGTCGCAAGACACCAGCACACCGCATCGCGCGGCAACGATTTCCACACTCCAACGGCCGTTCTCGATGAACACCAAGAAGGTGGCGGCGACACGCGAGACGTCGTCGTCGTCGTCGTCGGCGAGAACCCATTCGCCATTGAGAGATGACACAAGGTAAACGTTTCGTAAAAAATCGTAAAGCAAAAAATTTGAATTTAAAAATTGCGCGTCAATTATGGCGCAAAAGTCCGCAATTTGGCGTACCGTACTTTTTTTTTTTTGAAAATTGCATTTTAAATTTTGTTTTTCCTATTATTTCCCCTCAGATAATTCGAATAAAATATTTTGAGGTTCATTGAGAAACTAACGTGTCTCTATAATATTTTAGATTTTTCGCAATGAACCTTATTATAAGAATTTAGAAGTTATTGAGATAATTTAGAAAAAAAATCCTATAAGACTTTAAAAAAGTATTTTTAAGATAATCGAGTCTCAAGGAGTTCTGGAAAGTATCAATCAACTTTAGACTTTCTCATAATATTTTAAGTTTATTATTGAATTTTTGATTCTCAAACTATTTTATTTGATTTGCCTGATCTAAATAATTTATTGTTTATTTTAGCGATGTCATCGAGGAAGATCGCTCAATTCCGCACAAATGCCGTCATGTTAGTCTGAAGCACACCCGAAATGAATGGGAGGCTTCTTCGCAGGAGTCGCCCGATCATGATTCCGACACTGGCATGGAATCGATGTCATCGACCGATTTGTCGTCGAATCAGACGCGCGCCTCCTCGTGCACATTCTGCGCCGATGATTTTCACGCCAATGAGACGAAGCGGCTCGGCGAGCTCATCACGGTAAATCATTGTTTCTCTTTGAAATTAATTAATTTAACTTTAATATATTATGAAATAATTGTTTAAGGATGTTGCGCGATTGCAAAATGAGAAGCACGACTTGCTGCGACAAAACGTGTCGTGTAAAACGGATATCAAAAAGCTGAAGGACAGGCAAGAAACCCGAAACAGTTGGGCGAAAGTCTAAAATCTAAGATTTCAGACAAAGCTGCCTCTCGGAGGAGCTCGACCGAGCCAACGACGAGATCGCACGCCTTCGCCGAATGCTCAAGAAGCCTCTCAGCGACATGGCTCCCGTCCATCAGCACATCGAACGATCCTACTCTGACGTCTCCGTTTAAATCAACATAATCATTGAGAATTATCTCAAAAACAATGAGAACCACACACTATTCCTCCGAAATTATTTCAGGGTGCTTTATTCCGGGATCTTTATATCCTACGTTCCTTACTTTCATCATTGTCTTTTCCACTTCCTCGCACAATGTATTAATTGTATTTTGTCTTCGTCATCTTCTTCTCATATCCATATTTAGGCTCTATCTATTCCCGATGAAATAATATATATTTAATGATGAATTGCGAAAAAAAGTATTGCGCATGTGACAAAGTCAAAAATTTCAATGGACTTTTTTCAAAAAATATTTGTTTGGAAATAAAAATTATCTAAGAAATGGTTGCAATTTTATATTTCGGTTAGAAATTCCCCATTATTTTTTTTAATGTTTCGGATCTGACAGTGTGAAAATAGTCGGCTTCAACCAATATAATAATTATATTAGTTAGACAACTTGAATTAAAAGCTTCATGTCACAATTTTCCGTGATAATCAAAATTCACAAGAGAGGTCATTTTGATGTAGGTTTTTAAACCATCAAAGCATAAAAGCTTCGTTGGCAATTGCCATGTATAAAATCTATAAAATCCACAAAATTTTGCAGGAGAGGGCGGATCTCACTTTGATGGTCCATATCTCCATAACTAGAAGTTTGCGAAGTTTTGCAACGGACAACATAACGACCTCTCTTGTCAGAATTTCAGAAATTGATAGAAAAAAATTGGAACCCGTGAGTGTTTCCACTGATTTCCCAAAAATGTTCTCACGTGTTCTCTTAAACCAAAATAGGATCGTCGCTTAAAACAATAGGATTATTTATATGCGGACCGATAGACTCCGCCCATCGACGGCGCAATAGAGTGAAGATGGGACCAACATTCATTTCTGCCCTCTCCTGTACCTATGGGTCGTTGCAGGTCTCCGCATACTCCGCGTCTCTATTCATTATCATATTCATACTTTTTTATTCTAATTAAGTGTTCCATGGCTTTTTGTGAAAATTGTGGAAGCTGTGAGTTACAACTAGTAGGCCAATGTATCCCCACTCTCCCGATAATACAACGGAAATATGTGAGTTAAATTGAACTTGAGTTGTCTCGTCTAATTGATTTTATTTTTCCCCCAATTTTGTTCAAAAATATTCTACGGGTTATCAAAACCAATAAATGATCGCTGGTTGCCTCAATCGAATCGCTCAGTAATCAAATAAATTGAAAAGCCCCGAATGAAATGATGAGATTGAAATTAATTTGTCCTTAATTTCTTCAAACTATGGTTAGTGGAATATTTCTCGTAAAACTATGAATTACACATTGGATTGTGTCGATAAGAGTTGCTAATTTCCACCGCCCTCCGACCCACTTTTGTTTTTTAACAAATGGCTCATCATTGGGCTCAAAAAATTATGATTGTCTCTACCTAATGCTTCTCATTCTCCGATTTTTTTTAAATTGCCCCGATAATTCAAAAAATGAATCGAGATTAAGCACGATTTGATGTCCCTGCCCTCCGTTCCAGTAATACTTTTAAAGGAACATCATCGGGCGAAAAAAAGAAACAAACGTAATTGGCAGTCCTTTCAGCCAAAACTCATCTTCGACGTTCTATTTCCGAATCGATAAAAACGAAGAAGGCTTCTGTAATTTTGAATATTGCAATGAAAGTAGCTTTTTTTATTTTCTTACCTTTTCAAAGAAGCACTATAAAATTAACAGCAAAAAAATTGTGTTTTTTTTTTTCAATTTTTAACGACTATGGATCTTTTTAAAACAAAAATGGTTGTCCGTCGTTCTTTTTTTTTATATTAACTTGTTTTCTTATCTTTCAACTAGAGATTCAAGTTTCTTCTTTCTCATCAAATGAATTAAATGTTTTTTTTTTTTAACATTTTCGACCAAATGTTGACGATCCTAACAAATTTTCCACGACATTCTTTCTCTTCAAGAGCCATCCCGTTGAAGCATTATTGAATTATACTAGTTGTCTTCTTTCGAGTGTTATTCGAGCTCGTGTCCATCCAAACTTTGATTGGAAATTAAAAATAGATGAAGACCTCCAAATTAAACGTGTTTGCACGTGACTTTTTTTCGAATTTAATTTCTAAAATTTGAAAATTAACGAAATTTAAGTTGGATGATAATCATACGATTCGATCGGCAATTTCCTTCTTTGTTTCCGCTGATTCGAGCTTCTTCAATCAACTTCAAAAGAGCTTCATGTGAATATCGACTTCTTTTTTGAATCGATCTGAAATATAATGAATGCTTTGAGACCATTAACTTCGAAATTACTCACATTTTAGAGCCGACCATTTCCGCGTAAAATCCTTTTCAATTATTAAAGGATTAGAGAAAAAAAACAAAATTAATACAATAAAAGTAAAAAAAAATAATCAAACGACACTGGATCTTTTCTTTCTTTTTTTAAACAATAGAAGTTGTCCGTCGTTTAAAATATTATAAATATGGAGAAAAAATATTATAGTAAGAAATGATTGCTAATAATGGAGCTGGGATAGGGGGAAATCGATATCAAATAAAAATTAATAGTTAAAATAAACAAGGGAATAAATAATAATGCAGGAATAAATAATTATTCAGGGATGCTTAATACAATAAAATGGGAGGACAGGTCGAAACGACATTGGATCTTTTTTTTCTTTTTTTTTACAACACATGTGTCCATCGTTTTTTATGAGAAAATTAATTGAAAAATTAGATAAATCTTTTTGATAATTTATCGAATTTGAATTTCATTTTTGGATTACTAAAGGGTGAAATTAATTTTGAAATTTGAAATAATTCAACAACTCACCAATCTGAGAGCACCTTGATTGTGTGATTGAGATATTGAATGCAGTATCTCGAATAATCCCAGAATTCTTCTTCGTCTTTTCGATCTGATCATTGTCCACTTGAGTTCCACTAATAATTCTTTCAAATGCCGATGATATCAATATCAGATCATATATAATAGAATCTGAAAAATTAAGATTAAATTATTAGAAAAAATAAAAAATGTCATTACCAAATTTCAGGAACCATTTTTTCGTGTTTTATCATTTTCACATTAATTTCAGGTCAATTCTTGCCGTCGTTTTTGTACGTTTTTTTAATATTCAAACTCGTCTTCATGCTTCAAATAGATCCTTTCTTTATTTAAGGGATCTTCTTCAACTTCTGTTTCGATTTTTGTGCTCAATTGCGGAAAAATCGGGTTTGCACGTGATTTTTTTTCGAATTTCATTTCTAAATTTTGAAAATTAACGGAATTTAAGTTGGATTATAATCATACGATTCGATCGGCAATTTCCTTTGTTTCTGCTGATTCGAGCTTCTTCAATCAACTTCAAAAGAGCTTCATGTGAATATCGACTTCTTTTTTGAATCGATCTGAAATATAATGAATGCTTTGAGACCATTAATTTCGAAATTACTCACAATTTGGAGCCGACCATTTCCGCTTCAAATCCTTTTCAATTGTCAAAGGATCATAGAGAGAGAAAAAACAAAATTAGTACAATAAAAGTTTTAAAAAAATAATCAAACGACACTGGATCTTTTCTTTCTTTTTTTTTAACAATAGAAGTTGTCCGTCGTTTAAAATATTATAAATATGGAGAAAAAAATATTGTAGTAAGAAATGATTGCTAATAATGGAGCTGGGATAGGAGGAAATCGATATCAAATAAAAACTAATGGTTAAAATAAACGAGGGTATAAATAATAATGCGGGAATAAATAATTATTCAGGGATGCTCAATACAAAAAAATGGGAAGACAGGTCGAACCGACACTGGATCTTTTCTTTCTTTTTTTTTAACAATAAAAGTTGTCCGTCGTTTAAAATTTTATAAATATGGAGAAAACGGGAAACTAATTCTAATAATGGAGCTAGGATAGGGGGAAAACGAAAATAATAAAAAACTAATGGTTAAAATGAAAAAAGGATTATAATAATGGAAATTCACATTAACTATATGAAAATTACCATTCATGTATGGGATTCTGTACATTACAATATAATGGGACTTCTAAACGATAATGGATCTTTTTCACTTTTTTTTACAATTCATTTTGTCCATCGTTTTTAATTGTGAAATTATTGTTAAAATAATTATGTGAATTGAATAAACAATTTTAGAGGTACTAAATAAGAAAATCGGTTAGAAATTTAAGGCAAGCTTACTAACCATCGAATGAGCACCTTGATTGCGTGCTTGAAACAACTAGACGCGGTCTGCCTTCTTGATTTGGTTTGTTTTGGATAAACGTTGTTCCTTGTGATTGATCAACAAAATAAAATTGATTCTATGATTCACTTCGAGATCATTATTTCTCTAAAACCAAAAATTAAATCGAGAAGACTAAATGTCATTATTACCTTTTAATATGCACCATAATTATGTGCTTCAATATATATTTCGAAAGATTCGAATCTGGTTCAATTATTTCTGGGTTCTCATTGAGAAAAAAATTAAATATTGTTGGACTTGAGTTAAAAGTGTCCAAAAAATGAAGAATCGCGTGTTCAATCGAAAATGTCACGCGAATATCTGAAAATGAGATTTCAAAACTGTTGATCGAATGAGACTTCCTCTCACATAGTTACCATTATTATATGCATTTTCATTTTGGAAACATCATGTTCCATTCAAATATAGTCATTTCGATTGAAAATCAATAGGAAGAAAATATGAAGAATAATCAAGGAGTACCATTCCAGAAGCAGCTTGATTATGTGCTCTACTCATCAGACAAATTGAATAAGGATAATCCGACAATCTCATTGATCATAACAGCGATTTGAGTTGATATTTTTTCAGTTAATATTTTCTAAAACTATTTTTGATTCGGCCTAGAAATATCTGATTACCATAAAAATTGCACTTTTCTTCTGTGCTTCCCGATTTGAGACGTTCAGACTAATCGATAATTCGGTAGAATAAAAATGCTGTCGTTGTTCATCAGAAACCAATATCAGAAGAAAGTTGTTCACTGGTAATCTATGGTGCATCATCAGAATCGCAATTCTTTTCAATCCACTTCCAACTCCAAATACTCGTTAGAATATAATTTGAATATTCGAGAAAGCTGAAAAGAACACCTATTTTTGGTCAAGATGAGAAACTCTTACTTCAATCGAATCACGATGATTCCTATCTAGGCATTCGCAACTGGCTAAGCTTCTGCCGAACACTTCTTCATGAAGACAATCATTTCCGATTCGATTCATAACAAATCATAGGTGGAAGATAGAACTAATGGCTTCCTAATATAGGAACCAAACATCAATTTTTTTATTAACATATTTTTTCTTCTTTCTTTTTTTCTTTTTTTTTTTTTTTTTTTTTTTTTTTCTTTTTTCCTTTTTTCTTTTTTTTTTTTTTTTTTTTCTTTTTTTTTTTTTTCTTTTTTTTTTCTTTTTTTTTTCATTATTTTTAATTTTTTTATTGTTATTATAAATATTTTTTAATTTTTTTCTTATTAATATTATATTATTTTAGCTGTGCCTCGTCGTCACGCCAATTTCTCGCGGAACAGTCGTGTGATCTTGGTTGTCGCGCGAATCGCCGAGGTCCTTTTAGATCTTATTGGAGCACTCGGGTCATTTTCGGGAAGTGGCGGATTCGCAGATGCCTCGTCCGCAACTGATTGAAGTTGCGAACTCAGCCCTTTCACGACGACTCGCAAAAGGTTCTGCTCCCTCGCCAAATCCAAACGCTCAGCCGCTGCCAGGTTGCTAGTTGGTGAGCAGAGGAACTTCCTGGCATTGGCGATCACGAACAGGCCGCAGCTAAACCCGTCCGTCTGGGCCTCTTGATGTTTCTGAGGTGCCCATCTGACACTCGAGAGTGTCGACGGATAGAGCGCGGCGAGAGCTCGCTTCAGCCCATTCGAGATGGTGGCCTTGGTTTTGCGCGAGTGGCTCGCGACAAGCGAATCGTAAATGACGCACTTGCCGGTCGCCACTGTGTAGGCTGCGAGCAGCCAGTGCTGATGGTGGTGCACTGGCATGAGGAGCACCTCGCAATGCCTTCGGACTCCGGCGGTACACTCCTTTAGCATGGTTGCAACATGCTCGCCGTCCTCGTCCACCGTCCGCTCGATGACAGCTTTCGTGGCCGACGGAAGGACCACACCGACCTTGCGGCTCTGCGACTGCACCAGGTTCAAGAGCCCGGCCGTCACAGCACCAGATGTTAGCAAGGTCTGGTATCCCGTGGGCAGGTCGTCATCAGTGATGAGACCTCGCAACGCGCCCATGATCTCGGGATGAAAGTGCCCCATCTCTAATGTGGCTACCACCACCTCTTCCTGAGCCTCCACTAACCCCGACTGTCCTGACTGTTCCGCTTCTTCACTGCTTCCGGCTACAGTCTCCACCTTCTCCTTCTCCTCCGACACGACGACCAATGGAGGGCGCTCCTCTGCCACCGGAACTGCTGACCACCATTGATTGGCCTCGACCAGCTTCTCCTTCCTGTCTCGACGGGCACGGTACTCTGCCAGTAGCCGCATGGTGTTGTGATTGCGGCAGTTACTTGGCAAACACGGGCAGGTACCGTCACACTGCACCTCGTCGAGCAGGCAGGGACAGCTCTCGGTGCAACCTGACGCCTCTAAGCAGTGCGTCGAGCACAGCGCCACCATCGTCTCCGGCTCCGCCAACGACGCATCCTCCGGCCCGAAGCTGCGTTCGATGTCTTCTTGGCTCCACACTGCGGGTCTCTTCGGACTGCTCGGCGCATCCTTGATCTTCGAGATGCGCACTTCGACAAGATCTCCGGTTGTGCGAGTGCGCTTCTGCCCGATTTTTGGGCCTTAACATCAAAATTTTTGAACTCCAACAAATTTTTTGTTTTTCATTATTCATTTAAACGACTTAAAAGGCGATTTCGCAGGACCGAATGACCGGAAACAACTCGCAAGATTGACCAAATTTGGAGAAGAACGTAGATGAAACGACGAAGAAAATCCGAATTCAGGCCGCACGAGTCGCCTTTGAAGTCGTTTAAAGAGGAAAATGTTGGCTTGAAAAACACTTGCTCAACTTTCTTAGCGATTCTGATTGATTTTAATGAGTATTCGCTTGAAAAAAGCGACGCACCAAAAATGCGAAACCCTTTATTGATGAATATCGCCCGAATCCACCCTCTCCGACCTCCCCCCGTTCCTCAAATATTCAATAATTCATCAAATTCGGTGAACTCTCTTATTCTCCTTCAATTATCCCCCCCTAATTGTGCAGTATTTTCGAATTTCCGTAAAATCAAACTTTCGAAGAAACTATGAAAAAAAAAGGAAATACAAAAATACTGCAAAAAAAACAGAAAAAAGATATTTTGCAATTTAAAACATTGTCGTGTTCTCGTTGATAAATTAGCATAGAATCGGTTAGATGTGCTTGAATTTTTAGAGAAAAATAGTGAATATTTGATAATATTGTTGTGAAAGAATTTTCGAGAAAACGACAGATGAGAAAAAAACATGGCGCACCTTCGACGATTTCAAGATGGACCTCGGTCACATCTTCTTTAAAATAGACACGTTTTTGTGGAATAACATTGTCATCCTGAGCACTAGGGCTCTTTCTCTTGATCGTCACCATCGACATTTTTCTTGTGATCAATTTTAGCGTAATAAATGAAAATCGGCATTTCTGATAACAGATCAGGATCACGTCAGTAGATATTAATGAGAATTCTTTTTTCATTTCTAAACTCATTTCCATCATTTCTAATGGTGTTGCTCAATTTGAATGAAAATCACAAGAATCGCAGAATCTAATGCATTCCTTAGTTGAAATCAAACATTTCGAAAAATATAAGAAAATCGATTTTAATTGCTAGACCAAACTGCGTTGATCAATTTGGTACTCCTAGCGAGAATTGGGCAGATGCAGAAGAAAAATTGGAAAAATTGCTTCATCTTATTTGTATTTTGAAAGCATTATGCATTTTCAAAAAAAAAATCAGATTACAGTTTGTTTCAAACGAGGTGTTCAATTTATTTTAATCTTTGAACAGATTTTTAATGTACATATCTGGTTCAGATTTCATTGTTCAAGCCTCATGTGTATATCTTTTCCACTTTTTCGTGAAAATGATATTTTTCTAATTGAATCCATTTCTGGAACGTTTTCGAGATATTCGACAAAATTGGGGTGGGTGTATAATTATGTGGAGCGCTGTATATACAGGGTGTCATTTAAGTTCCCGCACAACTTTGAAGACGTATATTTCTGAAACTAAAAGTCCAAATCAAACGAGACTCGAAATATTTTTTATCTATAGTAAAATATACCTTATTTAACAAAAATAAATTGTATTGGTGCACGAAAAGTGCGACAGCCAAGCTCTTCATGGCGTCAAATTTTTGTGCGGGAACTTAAATGACACCCTGTATAATTGAACACCTTTTCGTCACAACATATATATTATAAACGACTTGACAAAATTAAAAAAAAAATATTTGCTAATTGCCAGATATCTCGAGGCGAAGAGAAGTGTATGTGGCATACACTCTGCAGCGTGTTTTTGGGCGCGTTATTTTCTGAGAATTTTTCTGTGTCTCTTATTAGCCAGTTTCTTTTATTTTTGCTGGTTATCTTACATTTTTATAATCGCTGATTGATAGGCCTTATAGTTTAAAATTTTTGTTTATTTTTGACATTTTAAAATTAATTTGACATTGTTTAAACTTATTCTTCATTATTTTCCGTTTCCTAATTTTCAGTACATTTTAGGAGACACAATCATATTGAACAGGAGCCGAAGGACTTTGACAACTACAAAAGTTAACAAGTTATTTTATTTTTATTTAAAATGCTCATTGTTTCATCATAGCGACTTCAATGGCGTCAAATATTGAACCCTTCGCGCAACCTCGAAGACAACCTCCAACGGACACAAAATTCTGAACTACATATATGCTAGCCTTCACATCTTCATCAATACTAGGGAAAGGAAAAAAATACTCAATGACTTCAAGCTTCTTCCCAAAAGTAAGTCATCATTTTTAATCTTTGTAAACTCAGTTTTCTTTTTAATTTTGTATTCAATGTGAAGTTATTACTAGTTTTAGGCGATCGGAATCAACGCTCGTTTGGCTTTCGGTTATAAATTTCAGTTGTGCGGCGTCTTGGTGCATTTCGAGAATTCTCAATTAATCGGATGACTTTCCCCTTTAAACAATAATTTTCATACTATTTTTACGATAAATAAAACATTGTTGTGGTGCTCTTAAGATATTCGATAAATGTACGATTCTTTCGCTTGTTTAAGTAAATGCCGTTAGTTCCGCGAACTTTTACATATATATGGAGGTCGACTCATTATAAGAATGCAAATGACAATGGGTATCAGGATTGAAATACATAACATTTTTTTTAATATTAAGAAATCGAAAAAAAAAACCATTGAATATTCGGTCAGCCCGTAAATCAACTCGCTCGTAAATCTACACCTTAGCATGGCTCCTGCGCAAGGATGACACGCAAATTCGTGAAGCGTTCCAAATTTTTTTGGATAATTTTTAAAACCCCATTTGAAATAAGGGGGGTCTTTTGAGACGTACAAAATGTGATAGGGTGATAATCAGAATGAGGTACTATTTGAGTCACATCTCACCCTTATCGTCAAAACGCTGAGTTTAAAGTGTTGCTCATCTTTGAGTTACTGATAAGATGCAATAACGGGTATTTAAAGGCGTGCGAAAGATGTGCCGATACGGTTGAATTCACCGCCATAATTGGTCGATGTCTCTTTTAATTTTTCACTCTCGCGTCTTCATAATACATCACTTTTGTTTGTTAAAAGAGTAGACTAATTTCGATAATTTCAGCCCCATCTTGCTAGATTTTTGCCGAACCATGTCTGATAAACCAGCCCGCAAAATAATGGATGGAAGAGTTGGCGATGGGTTCGTAATCGCAAAAAACTACGAAGGAAATTACAATAATGCTGTCGGAATCCCGCTGAATACGCCGCATGGCAAGCATATGCCGATTCCATCAGGAAACGGTCCCGCCGATCTTACCGTGATTGAACGTCCAGATTTTCGCAAGGTCGATAAACATGAACGTGTTCACAAGTAGAACATCCAGTGGACACCGTTAATATCACAATTTTAAATTGCAATAAACATTTAAGCAAATTTATGTGTCTGTGAATGCCTGAAAACAGTTTGAAAATGCTACAAATGGAATATGAGCAAAATGGTCCCTTCTATGTTTGGAAATGGTCCCTTCTATGTTTGGAAATGGTCCCTTCTATGTTTGGCCCAAGAAATGACTTTAATTATTCGATGAGCTTAGACACATTTTCGTTTAAAAATAAAATCGAGATTGGGAAAAACGACAAAAAATTTTAGGTATTTGATTTCCACTTCATTTTTTGATTCCATTTGTGTTATTCTCACTTGTAGAAACGCTTTCTGAGGGTATTACAGTCAAAAGCTCGCTATTCGGCGAGTCTCGACCTGAATTCAATCAATGACCCTCCGACAGAAGAGGCACCTGTGACACACAAATGGGCTTGAAGACTAGCAGTTGAGCGAAATTTCGCAATCCGCAAATTTGAGAGAGCATATGAGGTTTTTCAATCAATCAAAAGTGGCGAGCGTGAATTGAAAAGATCTCGAAATATAATATATGTGACGCATCCTCTCCCGCTATCAAGCGGAAGGGGACCGTCACCCTGTCGATGCCCGATTGGCCAGCCAAGTGCTCACAACGTTCATCGTATTATCGGGAACTTTAAAAAATTGTAGAAGCTGCAAGGCTTTCAAACTATTAATCTACTTGTCACGAACCCACTTCTAACGTTATTAAAGAAATTATTTCTTTTCAGTTTTATCTAATTGCTAAGAGCTGATAGAAAAAAATAAAGTTTTGCCGTCAACTAGGGACTTATTGACATAAAGTTTATCATTTTATTCTTTTTTCGATGACTACCCTTTTATTTGTGTAAATTGTTCTTCTTTCTTTGAAATTGAGAAATTTAAAAATCGGTAGTGAAAAAACTATGTTTTCGGTTCAAAAAATGGTCCGCATCAAACGAATGGCTGAACATTTAAAAAAATTTATTGGCTGTGTGCCAATGTGTCTCGAGGCAGCGAGATTGCGTACAATGCATTATAGTGTACGCGCATTTAATATTCAGTCAACTAGAAATTTAAATCTACACTAATTTCGTGAATTCGACGGTCCCGCCTCCCTTCAGTCGTTTGACGCCGACAATATATTAATTGCATTCACGATTTCCTGTATTTCGCCTGATGAGATTGTGGAGTCCGCATTATGTCGTCATTTAAATTACGGATTTATTGCTACAATAACCAAAACTTCAACGTCCCTGTATTTTTTGTATTTATTTTTCGAACATCAAAATTTTCTTGTTTTACTATTTTTAGGTTTTGATTAATTCACATAAATACTTGTTTTGTAGGCAATAAGAGATGCTGACTTCACTTTCTTCAAAGGGGAATTTCTTTTTCGCAACGGTGGAAGTTTATTTTTATTTATTTTTTAATATCGATATTCACCAATTTCGAATTGAATTTAGAAAAAATCGATAATTCTTTAACATGATTTTTTTTCTCTACAACGCGCGTGTTTCGGACCGCTGTGAGCGTGTCTCGCGAACATTCGTTGAATCGGATTTGAGAGAGCCCGCACGGGTGCCGCGCTTCTCGTGCCACGAGACGCGGACCAACACCCCGCATCGGTGGCCCGCAAAGGGTCCGAGCCAGGAGGGAAATGCCTGGTGAAGTCTAGGCGCACACGGTGGAGTGGCGTCGAGACAGCTCGTTGTAGAGACTCGGCGAAATCATGGAATCGCAATTTTTGAAAAGTGAAAAAAAAATTGGAAATACTCAAATAATTCGGTGAAAATCGTCATAAATCTTTGTTTTTTTTTTTCTTTAATTCTAATTCATTTTTTTCATAATCGTTGTGAAATGAAGGATGATCGAAGCCGAAAAAATGGTGAGCCTTTATTTGTTGGAGCTAGGAAGGTGGGCGTGGCAAACCAAAAGGCTACTACTATTTAATAAGAATAAAAGCATGACGAATATTTTTTCCAACGACCTCTTAGCAGTGTATCTGACCGGGACAGGTTTTCCAGGAGTATCGTTTCCCGGGTTTATCCGGGAAATCCCTATTTGGAATTTTTTTTTAGTATTGCAGAAAAATTTACACAACTGCAATGTCCAAATAAGGATTATTCAAAATTAGCAAAAAAATATATATTGGGAGAGTGTGCGTTTGTGCGCGCGGTGTTTGCAGAATTTTCCCGGGAAACATCGTCCCGGGTAGATCCCCCCATTGCCCCTTAGCATATAAAAATCATGAACCCTTGGGTTCACACCTCTTGGTTCATTTCCACATGGAACAAAAATTAGCGCTTGAAACATGGGACCCTCCACCCTCAAATTACCGTCAATTTGTCATTAAATATAAGAATGAAATTGAAAATTTTCAACGATTTTTTTCAGGAAAAAATCGAAACATTTTGTATTTGCGACACAACAAAAAGAATGGACGCCGATGCTCGAAAAATGCGATACTTTGAATTCATTTGATTATTTCTTACTTCTTTTGTTTCAATTTTTATTATTATTGTTTGTATTTTGAAAATCTCCTGATAGGTCGTTGATTTTTTTTAAATAATCGTTGGAACTGCTGGAATCTGTTTCAATATGCTCAAGATGTCGTCACAGGTATTTTTTGGGTATTTTAACCTTCAAATTATTCTCAAAAGAATAACCGCCTTCGTGAAACGTGCAAAAATGTCCGTTTTTTTGCTCTGCACCAAATTTCGCAACTCTGCCCAAATTGCACCCGTTCAATTCTAACGAGAAACCTAGGCATGTCTTCGGCCTGAGCACTTAATGTTTGAGCTACAGGTGCCTCTTCTGTCGAAGGGGGGTCAATGATTGAATTCAGGTCGAGACCCGCCGAATAGCGAGCTTTTGACTGTAATACCCTCAGAAAGCGTTTCTACAAGTGAGAATAACACAAATGGAATCAAAAAATGAAGTGGAAATCAAATACCTAAAATTTTTTGTCGTTTTTCCCAATCTCGATTTTATTTTTAAACGAAAATGTATCTAAGCTCATCGAAAATCAAAGTCATTTCTTGGGCCAAACATAGAAGGGACCATTTCCAAACATAGAAGGGACCATTTTGCTCATATTCCATTTGTAGCATTTTCAAACCGTTTTCAGGCATTCACAGACACATAAATTTGCTTAAATGTTTATTGCAATTTAAAATTGTGATATTAACGGTGTCCACTGGATGTTCTACTTGTGAACACGTTCATGTTTATCGACCTTGCGAAAATCTGGACGTTCAATCACGGTAAGATCGGCGGGACCGTTTCCTGATGGAATCGGCATATGCTTGCCATGCGGCGTATTCAGCGGGATTCCGACAGCATTATTGTAATTTCCTTCGTAGTTTTTTGCGATTACGAACCCATCGCCAACTCTTCCATCCATTATTTTGCGGGCTGGTTTATCAGACATGGTTCGGCTAAAATCTAGCAAGATGGGGCTGAAATTATCGAAATTAGTCTACTCTTTTAACAAACAAAAGTGATGTATTATGAAGACGCGAGAGTGAAAAATTAAAAGAGACATCGACCAATTATGGCGGTGAATTCAACCGTATCGGCACATCTTTCGCACGCCTTTAAATACCCGTTATTGCACCTTATCAGTAACTCAAAGATGAGCAACATTTTAAGCGATAAGGGTGAGATGTGACTCAAATAGTACCTCATTCTGATTATCACCCTATCACATTTTATACGTCTCAAAAGACCCCCCTTATTTCAAATGGGGTTTTAAAAATTATCCAAAAAAATTTGGAACGCTTCACGAATTTGCGTGTCATCCTTGCGCAGGGGCCATGCTACGGACATGCTAACGGGACACGGCAAAGTCTATGTACATATATTGCACGTGACGAAAAGGTGTTCAATTAGTATCAACAAAAAAAAAAAGAGAGCACTTTGTGTGTTTACGGACCATTGAATGATTTGTGCATGGATATTCAAAATTCAGAATTCAGCAGAACTAATATTCATTCAATTATTTGTTAAGGATCAACGACATTCGCTCGAAAAGCTCGTGAACCTCATTAATATCCTTTTCCATTTCATGGGCCTTCATTAATAAATCCGTCGTAACGGCGTCAATCTGAAATTGCGAAAACACGACTAAAAATCCAAAACATTGGGGGGCATTTCTTTACCATATTATATTGCATTTCATTCAGCCGAATATGGGCTTCGAGTTTATCCAGCGCCGTTTTCAAATCTCCATGACTCGCGCCAAAATCGGCCAGCATCGCTCTCGCCTCTCGAATCGTCTCCATTTGATCCTCAGATCGAAGCATTTCGCAAATTTGCGAATCCGATGGAATCTCAATCGCCTGATCTCCACATGGCAAGTGGCCATTGTTGAATTTCAGCTCGTTCTCCTCGATTCCTTCTGCAATTCAATTCTCCGCACATCATTCCTCATAAATTTTTTCTTAAAAATTCAGCAAGTTCTCTCTCGTTGGCCGCATTTCCGACCATATTTCTCATATCGCCGACAGCTTTTTTTTTGTTCCGCGTTGCGCTTACTCTGAATATTTTTCCAGCAATCCTCTTCTCGATGATCAAACTCAATCGCGGTTCGCGTCATGTTCTTCTTCCGGAAAACCGCCTCAACTCGATCATTGTACACCTGGAAGCTTTTTGTTGTTCCAGCCGAAAAAATCCATCCGACTACCGGCTGATCTCGCTGAATTCTCGGCTCGCGTCGAACATTGCGATTGTTATTCGGGTTCGGATTCGCGCGTTGAGCCATTCGACGACGTTCAGCTCCATTCCCTTTAAAGGAGAACTCAATTAAATTTGCCATAATCAAAAAAAAAGAAAATTCACGATTTCTTGGCTGGAACATCACATCGAAATGATGATTGCCCAATTGTCCTTGATTACTGTAAAATTGCCACGTGGATTTGCGATCAACTCCAAAAACGGTTTACTTTTGCACTTGTTGAGCGACAAATTGCGGCTGTGGTAGCACTAAATTATTTCCGCCCGCGTGCGCTCTCGGCGGCTCATTTTCGTCCATTCGCACCTCTTCGTATCTTCGATTTTGATTGCTCATTCTGAAAAAAAAAACACGACGACTAGCATACAATTTGGATAATGGTTTACCTCAAATTGCCACAAATCAACCAATTAATTGAAATTTGAAATAAAGTTTGATTCACGTGCAACATAAAGATCACGCGAAACGATATTTATAAATTCTCAGCAGAAATGCAAAAAAGCGATTGCCCAGAACCAGGATCGAACTGGTGACCTTTAGATCTTCAGTTTAACGCTCTCCCAACTGAGCTATCACTGATTAAGCGCGACGCAAGCATAATGGAAGTATTGTGGGAAATCTGTGGAACGGAAGCATAATGCTTCCATATAGGAAGCATAATGTAATTCTTAGTGGCTGTGGAAGAAATATGGGACGAATATGGATGGAATGAAAACGGGATGAATATGCTTCCGGTGTTTGCGAGCCGTGGAACGAATATGGATGAAATATGGATAAAATAATCATATATCATTACACATTATACAATTGGCGTCTGGACGGCAGACCAAGACAATTTCTAGAAAAATCAATACAAAAAACTTATGCTATCATATAAACAATGAAAATTTGAAAATTACATGATACACAACGGACGAAATTTAGCTTCTACCATTTAATGACTTATGTTACTCAGATTTATGTTAATTCAGTCAACTGTTCCTCACTTTGTTTAAAGATTGCCAACTACAATTTAGTCGTATTAATATATTTTTGCCGGTTTTTCCGAAATTGGCATCGCAAACTACTCACAATTTGCTCCAAACTGGTAGCAGACGCGCGTAGAAGAGGCGTGCCGCAGCATTGCAAAACCGTGCGCCGCTTTGCACAATGCGGCCACACCTCACATTTTCGAAATTCGTTTTCAAAATTTTTGTCCTTTTGCTTTTTCTCAATGAATTTTCAAGATTTTTTGTGTTTTTTTTTTGTCAAAAATTAAAGAATTTTTTTCAAAATTAAAGGAAAAATGTTTTTAAAAAATAAAGGAAAAATTTTCATGTTTATCATCAAAATCGAAACCAAAAATAAATTGATAGCATTCGAAAATTTTAAAATCGATACGATGTTTTCAAATCGTTTCCGACACTTTTAAAATCGAATTTAAATATTTTCTCAATCGAATTGTGTTTAATTTCTCATCGAATCCGTTTTATTTTTATTTACTTTAACATATTTTTTATTATCGCTCGCTTTTTTCTTTTAATAAAACATAATGTTTTGAAATTTTTTACAGATGAAGACAAGATCGAGAGTGTTGTCAGATATAACTGAAACTGCTCTAGAAGTCAATAACAAAGAACCAGAAGTCCCTAACATGGAACCAAATTCGGTCGACACTTAAGATCCAGATAGTCCAATTTACTCGCCAACTCAGCAAAAAAATTTTTCTCCACAGTCCTCACAAACAACAAAATCAACGTCAATTCCTAAACCTTCGTACGCCCAATTTGTAAGTTGTTATCATCAAAAATTGGCCTGTTCGACTCCAGAAATGGTTTCAATTATAAAAATATGCGCAATGAAGTCTTTATAAAGTACTTCCTAAGTTTAAAGCTTGTTGATTATTTGGTTCCAATCAGGGCTGTGCGGCAATGGAATTGCCGATTGCCGAAATTGCCGGTTTTTCAAATTGCCGAAGAAAATTTCGATCGGTAATTTGCCATTAGCCGAATCGCCGAAATTTCCGATTGCCGTACAGCCTTCGTACCAATATCATTCAGTGGCATTTATCTTTTTAAGTGGGGCTCTAGTACAGAAGTCGCCAGACGCCGACTATATAAAGATCCTATACTTTATTGCAAATATCTATATTACAGATGTTCTTATCCATGGCTTTGGGCAACAACCGACAAATGACTTCAAAGCGAAAGCATTACGCATGGTTCGAGAAGTCATGGATAATCTTCTGTAAGATTTTGAACTATGACTATTAATTTATTTACTTGATTAAGCGATAGAATGCGCCAACGACTTCAAAGGAAATTTGGTGTAGCGCCGGAAGCGCTCGCGGCGCAATTAAGGAAGCTGCTTGATTCTACCAGCAACCCTCAGATGTGAGTATTCATATGTCTTTGAAATTTTAACCAAAATGCCTTTTTGCTTCAAATTTTGGAGTTGTTCTTTCTTCCGCCAATTCACTTTTTATTTTGTGCACTAAAGGGTTTCCAAAAATGCAATAAAAATAAATTATTTTTATTTTTAGGAAAATTATTGATGTAAAAAAACTGATTGTATTTTCTCGAAAAATTTAGTTTACGTAACAATGGTTTACAAGTTTTTCAAATTAATAGGCCCATTATAATCGAAGTGTAGCGACTAGGAAAAGTGGAGAAAAGGTAAAAATTCGATAACGGTTTCTTTCTACAAGCGTATATTTGCGAAAAAAGGATAGGTTAAATGTGCATTAGGACTTTTGCCTAATTTCTTAGCAATAGTTGTTGTTTTTAAAAATATCATAACACGGCTTTTTAACCAAGTGTGAACGATATGAATTCTACTTATTACAGCGTCCCGCTCGATGTCAGTACTGACAATGATTCGAATAGTTCGGCAGTTGCCAGTAACTAATGGTTTGATTATATCTTAATTGAAATTCATTTCATTGTTGTTTTTTTTTATTTTAAATTAAATAAATGTGTTAATATGAAATAAATTTTGAATACAGCAATCAAATTGTTTTCTTATTTTCCCATATGGAAGGCATACGGCTCATTCCATATACGAAACACGCGGTTCCGCAAAAAAATGCTTCCATTATGCTTCCATATAACTTGCATATAAGATTCCTATGATATCCACAGCCGTTCCATTATGCTTCCATTGTGCCTATGCCGCCGTTTATCTGTGATCGAGGCACGTTCGACACTCTTTCCCATTGCAGTTATCAAACCCCACTGCACGACAGGGCAGCTGCACATGCAATAGAGAAGAGAGAATGTAAGGGGATATTGAGTTTTTAAGTACAAATATATATATTTATATATTTTTTTTTCCATAAGAAGCCAGAATTCCGTCTCACATCCTGCAAACTGCGAAGGGAAACCGGTTGTTGCAATACAATCACCATGGCAACATAATTCATAACAACCTACGATTTATTCCAATAATCCTCGCCTTTACGCAAACCGAAACCAATTCTAAATGGTAAGTTGGTTTTCTTTTCAATTTTAATAATTATATAAAAATATAAACTATTTTAAGCTTCTTGCTCGATTACGCCCCAACAAAAAGTCCAAGTCCGGGCAAGATGAGCAGCCGAGGCGAGTTCAAAAAATGCCCGAACTCGAGGATTTTCTACTTAAGAAAGATTATGAAGCGGCCATTTCTATGTTGCAAGTTCGAACGACTTATAAATCAAACTCTAAACTAGAAAAATTGCAGTTCAAAGAAAGCGAAGGGCCATATGATGAAACAAGGTCGTTATGGTTAGGACATTGTTATGTGAGAAGTGGCGAATACCGAAAAGCGGCTCAAGTTTATGAAAAAATGATGAAACAGTAAGATTTTTGCCAAAAATAATGAGTAATTCATTGAAAAATCGAGTTAAATAAAAAAAACAAGTAACGACACTCCAAGTACACTACATCACCCGTTGTTTAGCGTAAATATAATCAAAATTCTTTCGCAATTTTTTTTCTAAAAATTTCCGTCTACTTTTGCATCTTCATAGTTTCGCTTTAAAAATTGTCAAAAATAAAAAGAAATTATGACAAGAAATGTTTATTTTAGATCCAATTATCCTCAGGAAGTGCCCACTTATTTAGGATGCTGCTTGTTCTACCTTGGAATGTACAATGAAGCAAAACAAGTAGCTGAAAAAGGTTTTCAATAATTTTTTTATTTAAAATTAAAAATTGTTTTAAGCCCCGAAATCTGGACTTCAAGTCCGCCTTATGTTCCATGTATCGCATAAATTGGGAGACGAGAAGCGGCTGATGACCTATCACCAGCAACTCGGCGACAATCTCGAAGATCAACTGTCGCTGGCTAGTATTCACTATATGAGGATGCATTATGGAGCTGCAGCTGAAATATACAAGCAATTGCTCGTTGAGCATCCGTGAGTGAATTTTTCTTCGAAGTTTTTTTTTTGAAGAGGCATTTTTCCAGGAATCTACTGGCAATCAATGTATATATGGCAATGTGTTATTTCAAAATGGATTATTATGATGTTGCGAAGAACGTTCTCGAGAATTACGCAAATGTCTACCCAACTAGCCCAGCCGTTCAGAATCTGAGATCTTGCATCAATTTTCGGGCATATTCTGCGAAAGCGGCCGATGTGGTTGGTGAGAAATTAAAAACCAATCGTGAAAATTCGAAAATTTCAGCCGGAAATCGAAGCAATGCTCAAAACCGATTTGTATCCGTCAGCCAAGGCTATAATGCAGCACAATCTGGTGGTTTTCAAAAATGGCGACAAAGCTCTTCAAGTGTTCCCATCTCTCATGGACACAGTGCCGGAAGCCCGATTGAATATGATTCTTTATTATTTAAAAAAGGGTAAAGGTTCTGCTTATTTTTGGAAATATGCTCATAGCTAAAAATTGTGAAAATGAAAAAATCTCCATCTTCATGGTGTCCGAGTCGATAGCCAGGTGATTTCGGGAGGGGGTGGAGATTTAAGATTTACTAGCTTGGATTTATCAATGTGTGGATATTTCATTTCGATTCAGATCAAATTCAAGACGCTCTTGCGCTTTGCGGCGAAGTTGAGCCGCAATTGCCAAGCGAATTTTTGATCAAAGCCATCACATTTACAATTTGGGGATACATGAAAGATTCTGTAAGTGTATCCCGAAGGGATTCCCCCACAATTTAGATATTCCAGAAAGATCACTTAAAGACCGCCGAGCAGTTTTTCAAAATGGTTGGTCAGTCGACAGCGGAAGCCGGTACAATCAACGATGACAGCAAATGAGAATTGATACTCGAATTTCTAGACACAATCACTGGCCGGCATAGCATGGCGTCGACGAATTTCCTCGCCAACAAACACGACGAGGCGCTTGTGTTCTTGAATACGATCGAGGTAATCTTGATTGCGACCTCATCGAATTTACGCATCGTCCCGAATTATCAGGAATACCATCAAAATGACGATGTGTTCCACATGAACTACGCGCAATCTCTCCTCCAATGTCGACATTATAAGGACGCCGAGGAGAATTTCTTGAAAGTGACCGGACCCGACCGAGATAAGCCGTTGTACAAATTCATGTTGGCGAGAGCATGTTCGAAGAAACTCTTCGAAAATAATTGTCTCTTATTTTTTTGTAGTTATTTTCAATGGGAAACCCAATTTTGCGTGGGATATTCTCACAAAAACCAAAGATCAGAGCGACGCGTTCCATTTGATGAAAATCATTGCTCATGATTGCTATAAGGTAGAGTTGCTCCATCGCACTCGTAGATCAGTTGTTGATATTCAGGCTAGTGAATTCTTCTATGCGGCCAAGGCATTCGACGCGCTTGAGAGGGCCGATCCATCGCCGGAAAATTGGCAAGGGAAAAGAGGAGCCACTGCGGGGCTTTTCAGGCAGCTCGTTCAAGGAAAGGCGACAAAGTAATATTTTTTGGAAAATGCCCGTAGATTTAAATTATTTTTTTTTTAATTTCAATTGATAGCAAAATTTGTAAAGAATACGGGGATCGTAATTTTTAAAAAGGAAATTTGTTTTATTTCCATTTTGCGGTCTTGCGATTTGTTTCCTTAATCGCATTTTTACGACTTGTATTGAAAATGGTGTTTCAAAACAATTTAAAGGCGCATACCCGTAAATTTACCCAAACTTGAAATGTTAAATAATAATGGATGTTTCTAAAAATTTAATATAATAGAATGCAAAATATAATATGATTGAAAAATGCGATGCTCCTTTAAATTGACACGTGACAATTTATTGAAAGAAAAGAAGAATTGCATTTTTTTCTAGCAGTTTCTCGAAACGGGAAAAAATTTATAATATTTTCATTCGAAAACTTTGATTTGAATTTGTTGATTGCAGCGATCAAATGTCGGAGATCCTTGCACTGGTCGACACCAGCCATCATCCGCACGCCGAATTCCTGTCGAATGTGATACGCAAGTGGGCGAAATCGCACGCGGTGGCTCTTGATTAAACTTGTTCCGATTTGGTCGTGTTCTACTTTACTTGTACATAATATAAAGCCATGATAAGAAACTTGTTCGGGATTGTATAAAAAGCGCGGCGATCGCGTCTCGAATCAGTCGTCAGCCAGAACATGAAGATTGACAAAGAGGACGATCAGCAACAGCAGCAAATGCGCCGCGTCGCGTTCTTCGCCGTCGCCGTCTCGACGGCGGCTGTCATTTCGAGCATCGTCACGCTGCCGATGATCTATTCCTATGTGCAATCGTTCCAATCGCATTTGATCATTGAAACCGAGTTCTGCAAGGTGAGCCACCCCCCCAATCCGTTCAACATCAATCCGATCTCGATTTTTAGTCTCGTGCTCGCGACATGTGGGTTGAGACGCAAGTGCTCCACAAGTCGGGAATCGCGAGAACGCGTCGAGCCGCCGGCTATGACGAGGGCGGCAACGCGGGCAGCGGCGGCTACGGTGGTCCGACGGGCGCCGGCGCCGATATTGGTCCGACGTGTTGTCCTTGCCAACAGGGTCCCGCCGGACCACCGGGACCTCCGGGAGATCCGGGACCGGCTGGAAACGACGGAGCGCACGGAATTCCGGGATCGCCCGGCAAAGAGGGCAACATTCTGTTGTCGGCTCTACCACCGTCGGAGCCGTGCATTATCTGCCCGCAGGGACCACAAGGAGCCGTCGGACAGCAGGGACCCACCGGGCCACCGGGACCGAAAGGCAAATCGCAGGAGCGCGCGTCGGACGGCAAAAACGGCGAGCCAGGCATGATGGGACCTCCAGGACCGCCGGGTGTCGTCGGCGAGCCCGGACCACCGGGACCACCGGGAGCCAAAGGACGACTCATTCAAGTCAACGGGCCCGCTGGGCCAGCGGGACCACGCGGACCAAAAGGCCCGCCAGGACCGAAGGGACTTCCAGGCGTTCCAGGACTCACCGAACAAGGAGAGCAAGGCGAGCCCGGCGACAATGGAGGACCAGGACCGGTTGGAAACCAGGGCCCAGTCGGACCACAGGGACCACAAGGGCCACCAGGAGACGAGGGATCTTGCGATCACTGTCCGGAGCCGAGAACACCGCCAGGCTACTAACCGACGGTGTCACATTCACCCATCTATCAATCATTTCTTTCACGCTGTGTTAATCCTTGCTCATTTTTCGTTGTTTGGCTGACGACTCAACCTGCTCGACTCGAATAAATAAGCTCGCTCAAATTGTTTCGTCGTCGTCTTCTTTTAGTTATTATTATTGGCAAATTCGCGGCTGCCGATTGTTTTCCCAAAAAAGGTGTCGGCCGGCGGAGATAAGAATCATGTGAATATCATGAACACACATATCAATCGCATGATTTGTTTAGATTGAGGCCTGCAAGAAAAACACATTCATTTTGAATGCAATTCGTAGTCCGTCGAACCTGCTTCTCGATATTTATCGCGGAAAAATTCGATTCAAGGTCGTTAATCATGCATTCCTAATTTGATCAGAACCTACAATTCTCAAACACTGAGTAATTATGTATTTAAAAATTCTGAGCGCCTTGACTAATTGCACTTTCTCGTGGCGGGAATTCAAATTTGAATACTCAAGATAACATGCAGCTCACCGAAAATCGGTGCGATTTTTTTTTCAATCCAAAAATAAGCGAGAAATGAAAAAAAAAAACACGTTGAAGCGGACGATGTTTCTTTAGAAAAAGTTGCCGGAAATCACGCAGAATGGTTACCTACCGATCGGCGAAAAAAAAAACCAACACCAGCCGGATGAAAATCGGTAACGACGCGGACGGAAACCGACGGATATTGGACATCAATTGAAAGCCATTTGGTGTCTTGGTGTTCACTGATACTTGTCTCCTCTCAGAAGCAATTTGGTGGAAATTCGCCTGGGGGATAAGGCGCTAATTGCTCTTCGGAACGAGTCCCTCAAAGCCTGCGAGTTTGGAGCAAAAAAAAGCGAACTGTTCCAAAAGTTCGCTGAGCTCGGTTCCCCAATGTTGGGTTACGGTATCTGGGGTTGGGTATAATTTATATCTAAAAACTAAGTCCTCAATTCTTAATTTTTGATGATATTTAGGGTTATTGGACATGTAGAAACACATTCTGATAGTTTTAGATTGGCCAGACCAAAACTCGCTGTATTATGAGACCCCCGGTTTAATGTTGGCTTACGGTATCTGTGGTCGGGTATAGTTTATTCCTACAGAGTAATCATGCAAAAAAAAATGAGCAATTAATCAAAATTCTCCAATAGATATTCTCATTGGAATTTCTGCAGATTTCTTTCGAAAAAAATAATGTTTCAAGCCGACTCGGAAAATTCGAAATTTTGGAAAAAAAATCGTCAATTTTCAAAAACCAATCATTAATACATACACCGTGACGCAAAATTGCACCAATTTATTGAATTTTTGCCTAGGGACCACAAAAACGCTATTGACCAGCTGTTTTCGCCTCGTCTCGTGTCATCGCCGCCGTCTCTCGCAAATGGTTAGGCGCGTCGCCTCATTTCTCTGCGCCCTCTCGCTCTCCCACTCTCTCTCTCTCTCTTTTTCGCATTTCACCGCCCAAAAGTCGAAGCGCACCATTCTCATTTTACTTTGCATTTTTGTGTTCAGCCGTCGAAACTCAACGTTCTCGATGCGATGAGCTGCACCAGCATCGGTGAGTTGAAACTCAAATCCTCTTTATCGTATTGACATTGGGTGCGGATTTTCAACACCACCAACAACAATAAATCAATAATAAAACAAAAACTGAAATAACACACCCAAAGTACGATTTAATTTTTGTGCCCTCACGCGTATCAATGTTGTTCTCGAGTGTTTGCACTGTAAATACGCGGCGCGAGTTCCCCCAAAATCGGGGGGGCTGGCTGGCGACATTAATGAGCGACAGAATGAGCGAGCTTCTTGCAGTGAACAGCCTTCGAATCGGCGTCGAGCCCGTCGACGTCGAACTCGACGACGACTCCGGTATTCTATGGACGTCGTTGCAGACCGCGTTTCCCGGTAAACATTTCTTTATCATTGTCTGAATCAGCAAATTCATTATCACAGCCCCACACATTTTCAGGTTGTTCGGGAATGTATTATCGCGACGAGGGAAACGATTGCAAAAAATCGGTGCGTTTCGATGGGAAGAAGTTTCTCGCGCCCGGCGGCTCGTGGAATAATCGACAATTCTATGTGACATTGAGTAGCACAAATCGTGAATGAATGATTGTCAATCAATCGGAATCGGTTTAGGTCAAAAGTGTCACGCCGCTCAGGGCAATATTGCGGGATCGAATTATTCGGAAGCGACGAAAATGTTCGAGAGGAATGTGCAGGCCGTTCAGAGGATGTTAGCGGCGACCGGAATGAAAATCGGTAATTGATATGCGCCTTTAAAATGGATTGAATTCTTCCCTTACAATTCTGCAAAAAAAGCTAGTCGTACTGGATTTCAATTTAAAGGAGCATTGCTTTGCAATCAAAAAATTTAAGCACTGATTCTTTCCATTTTTTTTCATCAATTTTTCCACGCGAGACCACGCACAGTAATTGCATCGAGGAAGTTGAATAAAAAAAAACTTTAAAGGCGCATACTCATTCCACTTCTTTTTTTCTAGACATGAGCCACTTATCGAAACGAAAAACCTCGCGTGAGCATCGAGATTCTGATGAGCGACCGCCTTCTGGAATCTCAACGCCGGTTCCGGACCCGATTCATGCGATCAAGGTAGTCGAGCCGCTCCCCCCCCTGATCCACAAGATCCATTTTTTTTTAAGGAACGATCCGAACTGCTTCAATCGAGTCAACGCGATCTGACGCCGCTCGAGCAGCAATTTTTGGATCTCGCGCGAATTTCGACGGCAAAAGACCAAATCATCGAATCGCATCGGCAGGAGATCGCGAAACTGAATGAACGGATTCGAGAATTCGACAAGTTTGTTGATTTACCGACACATCGAAATGTGTGTGTGTGTTTTCGAGAGGATTATTTTTTTTAGGGAGGCGAAACATCGAAACGCGCAACTCGAGACGGCCAACGCGAAAATTGCGGCGCAAGAGGCGGAGCTCGAGATTCTCAGGAATCTCGGCGGACAATTCAATGAATCGAAAGAAACTGTAGAAATCTGAAAGACATTATTATTGACATTATTGATTTTGAAGGCGGCCGAATTACGGAATAATGTTGAACAAATGACAGATGAGCTGAAAACATTGAGGGCCAAGATTGAACAACTTCACAAAGAGAATGAGGAGCTCCGAGAGAACAATGAGGCGAGTTATAATCGAAATCGAGAACTCGCTGAAAATCTGGAAGTGATGAAGACGTCGAAGGAAATACTTTCCAAAGTAAGCATTGCTAATCCATTTATGAAAATCAATTGACATCGTGTATTTGGTTTGGTTCTAGGAGCTCAACCAATTGCGACCGTTTGCCGAAGCTGCCGAACTCATGCAAGACTTGGAAAACGTCCCAAATTATATTGAAACGCTGGAAAGGAACAAACAGTTGCTAGAAGAAAATGAAACGTATGATTTTTATTGTTCATTTTTTTTTCAAATAAAAAATTGAAATTGAGCAATTTTAGCTGTAAAAATGAAATCGAGAGTTCGAAAAAGGCGTTCATCGAGCTTCAAAATGTGCATTACCCAATGGCAGAAGAAATGGAAAAATTGAGGCAAAGGTGACACATTTTATTTGAAAAATAAGACAATTTTTTAATTGTGGCCGCGGAATTTCTCGGCCACTAAAGTTAGACCAGTTCCATTCTTCAAAATAAAATAAATATTATTTCGTCTCCATTTAAAGAAAAAATCGCAATTTTTTAGAAATGAGGATCTCGAGCAGCATCTAAGCCACGTCGACGAAGAAATCAAATGTTTGAACGAGAATTGGGCAAAAGAATTACGAGACAAACAAAATGAATGGGATCAGATTGTAAATTTTTTGAAAATCGATTTTCCAGAAAGCATTTTTATTTTAGAAAACCGACGCCGAAGCCGAATTGTTCTCGCTGCGCGATCAAATCGCCCATCTTCAGAACATCGTGGAATGCGCTTCTCGAGAAGCCGCCGAACAGGCAAGAAGGTCAGCCGATCCCCTTCTCAATTATTCACTTAACTAATAATAATCAAGAAAAAGCAAATTCAATTTAGAAACGTCATTTCATGGAACTGGTAGTTTTGTGGTAAATTCCCCTAGTCTGTATCTCCCCTTAACAACTTTTTTTTCCAACTGTGAAAAATGCGATCCCGAAAGTGTGTAAATGAAAATGAGAAGGAACACCTTGAATAAATATTCCCTTAACAATTTTACATTCAATAAATTGTTTTGATGAATTTTTGCTCAAGTTTCGTCCGAATGAGAATCGCCAGAAAACCATTTTGGATTTAGGGCTGATGAGCTGGAGCACAATATACAGGAAATTCGGCAGAAGACGACGGCAGCTCACATCAAAAAACAGGTTAGCTCCGGTGTTGCGCGATTGTCGTCGTCTATTCGCTTTTAACACACTGGTCGCAAAAATAAATGTTCATATTTACATTTTGTTTGTTTTTTTTTTTGGTTTTGCACGGCTTTCTAATAAACCAAACAATTTAAAGGCCGGCCGAGCCGCCGAAAATAAATTACCTCTATATTTGTAAAAGTTTCGAAACTATGCCTCTTTGATAAAAAATCAACCATTTTCAACGTTTAATGTGAAAATTTAACCTAAAAATAAAAATAATACTTAATCAATATTCAAAGGTGTCAGGAATTACTTATAACATTGATTTTTCCAATAAAGGTTTTCTAAAATTAAATTCAAACGCTGAAGCATGCAATCCGATTTTCCTAAGCCGTGCTTTGTTAACTTTTGTGATCTGCAGGATGAGCTCACGCGTAAAGTTCGAACGCTCACCGAGCAACTCGAAGAGGCCGAAAGCCGTGTGGCCGAGTTGAATGTGCTCGTCACCTCATTGGCTCAAGACGCGCACAGCTCAAGGCGGGATATTGCAGATCTCTTGTAAATGGTCAAAATCAAATAAATGTTTTATTGCTTCTCGCTATGATGCGTTCGTTTCCAATTTTGGTCAAAAAGTACAAATAGAGATTCGCCGATGGTGCAAATCGCTGGGAACAACGCCAACGCCAAAAATATCCAATTCGTGTAATTCGTGCAATTCTCAAAATTCGCGCTGAAATGCATTTTTCGCAACGTTTTCAAATCAAATTCTGGAATACTCGGGAAATTCGGTGCTCGTTGAATTGAAGCGATGGATAGTATTGATTGTCGAACAAGTCGGAGTCAGTTCAGGATAGCCACCTCGTTCGAGGAAGAAAGCGAGGACCATGACAGGTGCGATCTGATCGGCTGGCTTGTTGAACAACGCCTTCAGCGTGAAGATGATTGTAGAAAAGGGGTTTCTGAAATCAGGACAATTGAATTTCAAAGAAAAATGGCTCGAAATCAAATTTCTAAAATTTTGGAAATTCTATGAAAATAGTTCCCCTGACATTTGCAAAACCGACTTCACTACAAATTTCAAGTCGTTGAATTTTAAGACATCCACAAACAAATATCCAGAGTGCTTTCCAAAATTTTGTTGACACACTGAATAAAATGGAGTTTGCCGATTCGAAATAACTCAAAAATTCTAAAACTGGGGGGTTCCCACGTGAATGCCTCCGCTTGACTGGAATGCGTTCATTTTCATTTCGCGGCAGTCTTTGAAAACTTTTCGGGACCACAGAAAATATAACAAAAAAAAGAGATGAACCCATTTCTTTGTTTTTAAATATCTCGCCAACTTTTGTTTATCTTTTCCGTCTCTCTTTTTTTTTCAATAAACCATACACTCACTTTCGATTGTTCTCTTTCATGTCCGTATCGATGACCTCACCAGCGACGATCATATAGAATCCCTGCCATCCGCATCGACACAGTGCACTACAAACTACATAATTTCATATTTTCTCGTCGAGATTTTCAACGCAACTTTTCAACGACTATGAAAATTGCAATTGCCCACAGATTTTCGACACCGGCGAATAACAGGAACGCGATATTGACGACTGAGACGATGCACAGAGACTGAACGATCGCTTGCGATCCATATTTGTTCGTTGGCGACCAGAGGGAAAGAAACAGAATCTGAAAACGCGCTCTTACAAAATTCTCGTCAATTCCGTACACTTCCAAGCGATCGCGCTAGAATATAAAATCCTCCGAGCAATTTCGAACCCTTCTCAAAAAATCCGCCGCGGACCAGCAGCGCTTCGGTGAAAACGATAAGGAAATTCTCATTAGCGGTGTAGCGGAGAATTCGAAAAAATTGGGCGCCGACGAGGCATATGAAGCGAGGTTCTCTGGCGATTTGCCACGACACTATCAACGCCTTCTTCCAGCCGGTTTTCGACGTCCCGTCGGGTTTCCCGATGACAGAAGGGTCCGAAAATAAACGAAATTTTCAATTTGCCAAAGACAACGTATTTACTTCAAGCTGATGCGCTTCATTGGTAGGCTTCTCAGTTTTCAAATTACAACCTGAGAAGATCATGAGGGCTCCCGCAACGATTGCAATCGCCACACATGCCAATTGAAACATCCAAAAATTCTCGTTGCTATGCGGCATGATTTCCATGGGAAATATCAAAAATCCGGCTTAATAATATGTATAAATATATATGAAATTTCAGCAAATTTTCAGCCGATACCCAACACACTGAACATTTCGGAATAGACGATGACACGGACTCGTCCCTTGTGCGTCGTCGAGTTCTCCACACATAATCCACAGTAGGCCGAAAGGACCAGGGTGAACAGTGTGTCGTAGACGAACAATGAGACGAGCAAATGAAGGGCGGTGATCCAGCCAACAGTTCTGAAATCAAATCCATCTTCCACTTCCTTTATTTTACGACATACGTCGACCAAGGGAACCAAAACAAGAGGAATGAAGCGGCAAAAACTGGTCCTGCGTACAGTATCACCTTGCGTCTGTCCATAATCCACTCCATTCCGGCGAATCCGAGATCCTGAAAATGGGATTTTACACTAAAACGAAACATAATAAAGCCGCAATACCTGCATATATCCCATGATGGGATCATTTATGGCGTTCCATACCAGGAATAGAAGCTGCACGATTTTCAAGTAACCGGGAGGTAGATGGAATTCATCGAAGAACACCTGAATTTTAAAAAATCAGTTCTGGCTCTGAATAGCCCGTTTTTCGACAATTAAAAATCAATATTTTGACCTGCAAATATTTGGAAGAATAGAGGAAATAGTGGCATTCTGAAGCGAACACGATAATACTAATCAATAAAGGCGGATTGTTGAGAAGGCATTGAATCATCGTGTGTTGAAACCGGCGAGAGGGATTGGGTGTGGTATAAATGCGAAAATTCGCCAATCAATTTTTGTACCTATTTTCATGTTTTTCGTTTTCACCGCATTTTATTTTTTATTGTTTCCATTGTACATTTTCAAATAAACGATTTTGTGGGTTTAATGAAATTTCTGTCTTTCATTCCCATACATGTAAAAAAATGTTAACACTAAACCGAAGAAACAAGAAAAAGCTAAAAAAAATTATATAAGTAAATCGACTCAAAATCAATTCTGAAAAGCAAAAATTGAAATTTTCATATCTTTAAAGTGTAAATCCAGTGAAATTAAAAAAAAATAGAAAAATTCAATGCAGGAAAAAGAAGAATAACATTTTCCTGCATTGCCTTATAAAAAACGACTACAGTACCTCAAAGACGCACATATACTTTCTATTTCGCGGTCCCAAGGCGAAATATTATATTTACTTGTTTTCTTGAATTTTAAGCTTCCAAATTACACAATTTGATATTTATTTCCTTCATAAAAAACTTTCATATCAAATTCCAAAGACCACACTAATTTATGGACTACTGATAAGCCGATTTTTGAGACACTCGGCATCTAAAAACCATGAAATTCTTATATAAAAGTCAATGCACGAATAAATAATTTTATGACAAAATAGCAATTTTTTCAAATATAAATAATTTTTCATGTTACTCAATAATGAATTTAGTTAATTTATTTAAATTGATTAATTTTTCGAAATCGATTCGCCTACCTTGATATAATACAAATTATAAACAGAGATCAGAAAAAAGGGTCCAATAACCGCGAGCACTAGAATAATCGTCGGTTTGTGTATGAGCCCCATCAATAGTTCGCAGACTCCGTCTAGGAACGGTGCCTTATCTTTATATGGCCGCCGACTACAAAATACAACCCGCCTCAATTGGCGAATGTGACAGTTTCGATTACCACAACTTTTTAATCGTCCACTCTCCCCCCCCCCACGCACCTACACGAAAAACACGATTATAAATATATTAATTTTTATTTGGTAAATTAGTTCTCGGTCAACTTGGGATAAAAATTGAGAATAGAGATCGCCCAAATGAATTCAGGAGAAAAAGAAGACAGGTTTACAAATGTAATGTAAAACGAAAACACTTTAATAAGGCTTGAAGCGATCGCCTCCAGATGGTGGTCCGCCTCGTCCGCGATCTGGTCCTGACGATCCACCACCATCAGCTCTTGGTGCTCGGCATTGATTACATTCCTAAAATGATGCATTACAATTCGAAAAACACTTGGAAAAGTTACAAACCCTTCGGAAAGCAAAATTGTTATTTCCACACTCAGCGCATTCCCAATCATTCTTTCTCGGCTCCACATTCGCATTGGCACCGCCAGGTCCACCACCGCGCGGGGCTCCGCCACGTCCGCCTCTGAATCCTCCTCGATCTCCACCACGGAATCCACCGCCACCGCGTCCACCATCGAATCCACGACCACCACGATCACCGCCGCGTCCGCCATCGCGATCACCGTACCCTCGTCGATCATCGCCTCCAAATCCTCCTCGACCACCGCCGAATCCACCGCCACGCCCGCCAAAGCCACCGCCACGGCCTCCATCAAAACCTCCACGTCCACCTCTTCCACCACGATCTCCGCCATATCCTCCACGGCCTCCAAAGCCGCCACGTCCACCACGAACAGCATCAGGATTCGGTTTGAATTTCGCAAGACTAATTGTCATCGGACTTTGACATCCTGGGAACGGCTGCCCATTGTACATCTGAATCGCCTTCTGAGCAGTGTCAGCATCAACAAAAGTAATCATGCATTCTCCCTGAAAGTTGTCAAAGTTATTCGATGAGATCCCACAGAAGTCAAACCTTCGGTTCTCCAGTATCGCGATTCGTGTAAATCTTGATTCTCGGTCCACGATCATTTTTAGCAATATCTCCACAAGTGTTGAAAACGTCGGCAATGTAAGCTTCATTGGCGCTAAATTGTCGAATTATTAATACAAAATTTAATGAGGCGCAGTTTCTTACGTTTTATTAATTCCTTGAACGAATACAGTATCCTTAAGTTCAACTCGATCATCGACGCGCGGTCCGCCCATCGGTCCTCCGGGTCCATCACGTCGCGGTCCTTTATCTGTAAGTTCAACATGCTAACTTCAGAATCAAAATGATGGGCGGAATCAAGGAACGACTACAGAATTATACATGCACGTGAAAAATATTTTTTTAATTTTTATTGTTATTTCGTTATTGAACCCAATGCTTCCTTTTTGAAACAAATTCCCCATAAAAAGAACACAGCCCTGTTTTTTTTTTCAATAAGCAAAGCAAACTCGGCGGTTTTTTTTTCTCATTTTGTGAAACCATTTCAAACCACACTCGTAGCCCATTTTCAGAAAGAAAGCGTGTCGTTAAAATTTCAGCAAATTATTTTCACTATAATATAAGACATATGGAAAAATAGAGAAACACATAATAATGAACCAACGTGATGTACACTATACCTTGGAAACCTCTTCCACCTGGAGGTCCACCAGCGCTGCAAATCATCAATTTCACTTTTTTCTCCCGCCGCGCCTTTTCAAACACATGTTTATCAATTTCGTTTTTTTTTTTCAATGTTTGGAACTCAGTTTTTTTCAACGCGCTTGACACCGCACAAAAAAGGCGCGACGGGGGAACAATTAGTGAGAAGTAGAAAAACACTGCGTCATTTCGTTGTCGTTTTACCCTGTTTGTTGATATACGCTGAACACTTGTTTTATTTGATGAAATAATGAAAATGAGAAACCTTTGGGTTCGCGTGTTAACCGTGTGTGTGTCACACAAAACTTACCGCTATTCATCGCTCATAACGCGATAAAACATATAGAGAGCGAGAGAGACAGTTTTTAACAATATTAACCATGTTTCATTTGTTTTTGGTACCACCGTTTACACACCGTTGTTGAGTTTCTAGGAAATTTTTAAACAATCGTTGAAAATACTAACCCATATCGATCGCCACCGTTGTCCCAACGGCTACCGCCACGACGTTCGCCGCCGTCGAAACCGCCACCGTAGTCGCGGCCGCCACGATCGCTTCCTCCGCGGAATCCACCGCGACCACCATCGAAGCCACCGCCGCGACCACCACGTCCGCCACGATCACCACCATAGCCGCCACGATCGCCCCCATATCCACCACGACCACCGTCATAACCACCACGGCCTCCGTCGTAGCCACCGCGTCCGCGTCCAGCGCCCATTGGGGCGCCATGCGGATCTGGAGCTTGTCCTGGATATTGGTACGCTGCGTACGGATCAACGGCACCAACAGCAGCGGCCGCAGCCGGGTCTTGTTGATAATATCCTTGATATGGCTGAAACAAAGCTCAAATGAATTTTGAATTTTCAATAATTGATTTTTACATCAGCTCCTCCTAATCCACCGGTTGCTTGCTTATGGGCTTCTAAGTGAGCGTAGTAAGAAGCCCAAGCTTCTTGATAAGATTTTTCATCTTGAGGTTGTTCGGCGTATTGTTGTTGATCATATGACGCTGAAATTAATTAATAAATTCAAGTCGAATTGCTGAATTGCTCACCCATTATTAAATTTTCAAGTTAGAGTTGATAGATTGAACTAAAACAACCTGAAATGTTGAAAAATTTAGGTGAAAGAGGAAAAGAAATACGGGACCTAATATCAGTAAAATCGGCATAATTTTCTTATTATTATATAAAGAAATGAATAAAACATGTGATATAAGAACGAATATACAAATAAAAACAAAAAAAGAAACAAATAGTGGCGAAAGTGTTCAGAAAATGTGTGAAACGCTCAAAATATGACTCTCGCATTATCGATCCGCGTTTGACGGCCTACGCCGTCTCGATGGAGCGCACTTACTGCATCGTTAATTAGCGCGCAGTTCAAAATTCATGAGTCATTGAAGTTGGCGAACGAAAAAGGCGTAAAATCGTTATATTCGAGAGAAGTTAAATTGTAAATAACAGTAAAAACAGCGTTGTGCATAATAGGAAGAATTTTCTGAGGGATAGGGACTGCACAAATACCGTATTGCAAAAAAAGGATAACGATTTTTGCATATTTCTTATATTAAATTCGATGAAGAGATTTTTCAGTGATAAGTTTATTTTTCATGTATTTTTCTATTTTTTCAGTTTCGGATATATTCTTGAAATTTTCAAGGCCTTTATTTCAAGAACTTTAAGGCAAGTTCTAATTTATCCATCTTTCTAGTCCAATACCATATATTCAGAATTTTTCTGAATCAAATATCTTCGGAAACTTCAAATATCGCTAGAGATCGTCACAAGTGCGAATAATTAATTATTATCTTGTGTATCGCCAAAATATTTCATATTTCCGACATGGCGTGACGAAATGTGCATATTTGAAGCGAGTTGCCACTGGCAACGCCGTCAGGCGTCGCCAATTTTTCGATTTTCTATTCGCTTTCGTGTTTCTCTTTTTTATGTCGCATGCTAAATATCATAATTCGCGTTGATATTGGTTCACAAGAAATATAGACCGTTTAAGAAATGATTATGATACCAAATAATGGATTCTAACGAGCATTCGTCTGCGTTTGCTGCCGCTGTACTGGAATTTCCATAATTATAAGACAAAATTGATAATTATTCCTGAAATAATTCGTGAAAAATTCGAAAACATCGAAATTTTTGAAATAGTGCGCATTGTCCGCAAACACCGCGGCACGTTTCCGCACACATTTTTTCATTGTTCGAAAAAAAAAGCACCCGAATATTTCAAGGAACACCGATTTCTTAAATCCATTTAAGCCAATAAGAAGCCCAGCAGCATTCAACACCCTCAGATATGAGTTTTTGAACCAAACTTCAGAATTTTGTTGACACATGTCTATTTTCGGTGCATTCCATCAAATCACCGCCATAAACGACTTTTCGATGCCTACGCAAATTGATAAGAAATAAGGGCACAAAAATGAGTTTCAACACTATTTTTTTTATTGCGGCAAGTGAAGAAAACTTCTTATTTGGTCAAAAACGGATGAGGGGAAGAAAGTCGACGCAAATCTAATTAGCTTTATTTATTAATGTTTTAGCTTGAAGATTTTCAAGAATAATTCCATAAAATGTCACGATTCATGCGATATTTAAAAAAATCCAAAATCGACTTTTTAAATAATACACCTGAAGCATTTAAGCCTTAAAATTTGCTGAAAATCATTGAAAATAGAAAACAAGACTGATTTATGAAATAACTGCGCGATATCAATTTCGCAACAACCCGTGACTAATAAGGCAATAATAAAAATAATGAATATAAATTAAATGAGCATTTCACGTTATCTTCAAAACTAATCGGGCGAGTTTTACCGGAAAAAATTGGTGTAACCGTCTGTGCCTTCAATTTCCGCATTCTCACACTCTCGCCGCCTCATCCGAATGATTTTCATCAAATTGCCACTGCCCGCTGCCGCTTCTTCTTCTTCTTTTTCCCTTTTTGCACACTCGCTCATCTTCTTGTTTTTTTTTCGAGCCGCCTATATTGATTCTCTTTTTCCAACACCTTATTCGGTCATGCGTCCCCAAAAATTGTTGAGAATTTTAATCTTTGAAAACCATGACGTAGGAAGCGACTTTGACGTTTAAATAATCACCATTTCTTTGAGTTCGATTGACCATTTTCCTTTAAAGGAAGTTGAAATTGAAGTGCTCCTTTAATAATAAAGAACATCACATCACTGTTGAGTGGAAAAACATGATGTCAAATTGTCCATGCTCTCCTTTTTTCCTCATTCTGCTCTCCTCAAATATTGACATTTCCGCCGTTTATTGCGTGTAACCGGTTTCCGGCCGGTCTGCAGACCTCCCCTCAAAAATGAACTTCAATTCACAGATGTTGTCCACCGCCTCAAGACGCGTTGAAAATGCTCCGGAGCTCGCTGAGAACATCTTGAACGGTTTTAAACTGTAAGCCGTGCCTTTTTTCTCCCCGTTTTAAACCAACTTTTTTTATAGCAACTGGATGAACTTGCGCGATGCGGAAACCGGAAAAATCCTCTGGCAGAGCACTGAAGACATGGCTGATCCGCAAAAGGAGCATGAAGGTAAGCAAAAGGTCTCGGAAGTGTACCATTCATCACAAACATTATGCCTGGGGCGGTAATGAGTTTCGTCACAGACAGAGGGAACGAGTACGCGACCTCTCGCGCGCATATCGGCGCTCTCTAACCACGCCGCCAATTCGCTGGCTGGGGGGAGGAGGGCTGAGTGCGTATATCAATGCAGACTCATAGCTGCCACCACTCTACGAAATTGTTTCATTGCTGGGAAAAAAAATTTAAATTTCCAAATTTGCTTCATTCAGCACACGTTCCAAAAAGCATTCTCAAGTGTCGTACCGTTTCGCGAGAGATCAACTTCACATCGCAGCACAAAATCGAGAAGTTCCGCTTGGAACAGCGCGTGTTTCTCAAGGGAACAATGATTGAAGGTAAATAAGAAATAATCATTTTTTTAATAGAAAATTGTTTAGAATGGTTTTTCGAGTTTGGTTTCGTGATTCCTGATTCAACAAACACTTGGCAAAATATGATTGAAGCGGCGCCAGAATCCCAAATGCTTCCGCCGTCTCTTCTAAGGTATTCCTCCGTGTGGACTACACCCAGCGAATTATTTCTCTTCCAGTGGAAATGTGGTCGTCGAAACGCACTTCTACGACGGCGATATTCTCGTGTGCACATCAAAAGTCCGTCTTTTCTACGATTAATTCATAATTCAAGCATTTTCTCGTCAAAAACTTCGATCTCACTGTTTCAAAATTGTAAAATAATCGACAAAAAAACGAACACAATTTTTTTTTACATGATTTTCGAGATAAAATGTGTATTATAAGAATTTATGATGTTTTTGTTGTTCTCGCATTGGCAACGCGCGAGGTTGGCGCCGAATTCGCCTGGAAATTACTCTGAAAATTCGAATTTTCTTCGAAAAAACAAAATGCAAAACTCTTACCGTTCGTCGTTTTCGAAACGAGAAAATATCGTGAAGTCGTCTTCGGAATTCGAGACGGAAGAAATAAAAAACCGGAAAATTGAGAGCTGATTGAATGCCGTACAAGCAATAAGTGACTCCTGGAATATGGCACATTTTGCCACGTGGCATTTCGGGTAAAAAAAAAAGAACCTAATTCTATAAAGAATCAAGATTAAAATGAGGTTTTTGGTCAATTTTAGACCATCTGATTTTCTTTTTTTTTATATAGAAATTTGAAAGTTGCACTGCTTAAAATAAGGTTCATATGGTCCACTATAAAAATTTCAAAAAAAAATTTGTTAAATTGTTTTTTTTTTGTGGAATTTTCCGGAAATTCTCAATAATTCTTTTTTTTTGAAATATTCCTGTCTGCGTCTCGTTGAATTGCACGCTCTCTCACACTTGTCTCTCTCTCTCTCTCGATTTCACACGCTATTTCATGCACCAGGATAATCGACATTTTTTGGTGAGAAAAAAGTAATTGCGACCGCACGCGGACCGCAACGCGACTCACAAGCGTTCTACAAAAGACAAAAAAAACTTGAAAGAGATGTTGTCACATTCGCGGTGCTCCTTTAATGGACCTATTCATGCAATGAAAAAAAAAATAAATCAATTTTTTTCACTGCATGAATAGGCCCATAACCGGCAAATTGAATTCAAGTCGACATTTTTCGCGTCGAGACCTGCGCAGATCTAGGAAACAAAAAAATTGGCATTTCGACAAACCTACCAACAAAAAGGACATCAAAGTGTCCGGTTCGAAACTCGTCGACGACGAGCACAATATTGGGAATGCTGACGAGCAGAACGCCGATTCCGGAAAGGCACAGCACCGATATTTGTTTGCGTCGTTCGACGACATTCAGAAACTGAATAATTTTCGATTCAATCGCACTCGTCAAATTCCGAATTACTTTGGATTTGAACGAGCGGAAAAATAGGTAGGAAGTGATTGCAAACGCGATGAAATATGAGAACGCAATCCATATATAATGCACAGTTCCGTAGATGATCCCTTAATTGGCCAATTAAGTGATTAGGATTGCTGGCGGTTGAGAGGAACCTGTGGAATTCATGACAGCGCAGATTTGATCGGGATTCTTGAATGGAGCCCATAGGGCCACCAGGAGAGCGATGACATTTAGTGTCGCACAGAATAAAAGGGCCAAGACGGTGAGATGGAATCTCTTCGAATGGGTCCATTGGACTCGATACCAGCTCGGACGGCTCACGGCGAGCACACGCTCGACTGTGAGAAGGATTGTGAACGTTGCTGGGAGTTGGCCTGAAGGAATCGGGATTATTCGGGCAAATCGAACAACTGGAGCATTTGTTTTTTCGAGGCGGCAATTCAAATTTGAATTTTGACAGTGCGAATTTGGGTACCGTACTACAAATCACCAGCGAATCGCTCTCACCGTAAATCTACACAGGCTGCTCGTTTTATTTGCAGCCAGCGAATAAATTGAGATCGTTGAGAGAATAACGAGACTCTAGGAATTTTAGAAAGAATTATATGATTTTTGAATGCAATGAGAATTTCCAATTTTATTTTTACAAACTTAAAAAATCGTAAAATAGCAATTTTGCGTGTTTTGAAATATCAATAAACTTTTTTTTAACAAAATAAAAAAATTGTAGGGCTTTGTCTAGTGAAACTAGTATGGAAACATTAGCATGTTTATAGAAGACAGCTGCGGACATTTTCCGAGTTTCGTCAGCAAACGAAAATCGCCAAAGCGAGCTTCTAATGTACAGTAATTTTAACTTGAACGTCCTCACGTGCCCTTTAATCAGGATGATCTTATTAGTATAGTGAGGGTCTCGCCGCGATTGCCTATTTTCATCTTCAACAATTCATTGATTCTTCTTTGGGCTCTCTTTTTATGGCTCCCCAAATGTGTGTTCTTTAGTACACATGCACCTCTGAGAATTTTGGGGAAAAAATGAAGGAAGTAAAAGTAGTTGTGAACGAACGAATTTTTGGATCCACTGAATTTAATTTTTGATTTTTCGTTTTGGGTAAGAGAAATGGAAAAGAGAAACCCGTAGAAGCTAGTTTTTTTTTCAATTCAACAATAATATGTAAAGTAAAAAGAATATTATTTTTAACGAATTTTAACTAATTTGATTTTTGAAAAAATTGGAAAATTGCAAAAAAATTGTCAATTTTGAATTTGACCAAAAAAAATTTTGGAGACCTCCAAGAAGTAAAAATATTGGCCAAAGATGTTTCGTGAGACAATCGAAACTTTCGGCGGGATTGAAGAAGTCGCGACTATCGAGAAGTGTGAGCCTTCCGATGCCGCTGAGAATGAATGAGAGGCCGTTGGTCTGAAATCGAATTGCGAGATTCGCCAACACCATCATCATCAATCTTACAATATCGCCAATAATGAGCATGGTGAAGAATGAGAATCGCTGTCGAAACTCCTTCGTCGAATTGAACACCAAACAGCATATGCTGTTGGGAATGATGACGAAGATGCCGCAGACGATGTACAGATTGCAGCGGACGCGCAGCTCCTGGAGATTCAAATAAGCTCCCTGAAGAACACAAATATGGATATCAGAAAGAGGAAGGGGTGGGGGGGGGGGGGAGCATTTTCTTGATGGGGGACCGAACCTCGGCTTGATCCATGGTAGACGACATGATGAGGATGACTTCAAACTGACCTCGACATTGATTAATCTCGCGTCCGACGCCTCCATTCTCGTCTTTTGTTTGTTTGCTTGTTTACTGGAAGCGCATGACCTCTGACGAGTTTTTAGATGATTAGAATTTTTTTACGCGGCCGGACAACCAAATATGGCCAACAATGAAGAAAGCTTCATTCTTCCATCGAAGGGTGGGACACACATTTTTCTCAGGAAACTCATGCCAAACGATGACGAATATGGACTCCGTCGAATTTTTTTTGTTTTTGTTTTTGCCTAATTATTATCAATTCTAGAAGCTAAGCTTCTTGAGTTATCAATTTTGTGAGGCGCTCTATTGCCGATCTACTCTCTCTCGAATCAAATCTTCCACACGGGACCCACTTCAAGTTTGGCGTTCTCAGAATCTAGCACTATCAAAGTACACTCAAAAATCGCCACGTGCTACAGTACTCCGACCTTGGGAATTTTGGCTATAATTAGGAAATGAGAACAAGTGTTGACATCAACGTTTGAAAGACTCCATGTGCGTTGTGCAGCCATGCAAATTAGCCGGCCATGTGACGATTAAGGTAAAGAGAATTTTGCAGTTTTTTTTTCTCCTTGGAAGTCATCTGATGTCAGCGAGTCCAATGAACTTTGTGCACCAATGAGCACAGGAGCCACTCAATGATTTATCCATTTTTGGACGCCGAAAGGAGATTGAAATTTCAGATATGAAGAAGTTTTGAGAGAAGCCTTACGAGGATGGTCTCAGCTTCAAGAAATTGTTTAAAGGCGCATGGATCCAATGAAAAAATAATTGGTACTGTACTCTCCTCAAATCAAATTATTATTTCCACTTTTTCTTATATGTGCTATAAAATATAAAAGATGGATACGAAGCTTATATGAAGAAGAATTTTTTTGTGGACATGTTCCTTTAAAAACCAGTCTCTGTTTTAAATTTCCTCTAGCATTTCTTGATGTCAGTACTAAATGAGTTTAAAGGCGCATGACATTCATATGTGGAACTTGTCAACAAAATCAATGATTCACAATTGTAACCCACTCGAAAATACGGTTCAAAATCGGATCATGCAAATGAAACAAACACACGCGGGCCCAAATAGGGAGTTGTTCTCGACATCGTGTGTCAATCGATAACCGAACACAATATGTCGTCCGATTTGCCGAGCTTCACCAAAGAGCCGCCAAAAACGCGCACCAAACTCCCAATCTATATTATTACGGCGATTGTGATTGCGCTAGCCGTCATTGTGCTCCTCATCAATCTATTGGCACGGAGTGATGAGAGTTCGAATGCGGTCACCCAGAAGCCAATCACATTGAAGACGCAGACTCCCATGATGACGACGACAGTGACGATTGCGACGACACAAGCGGCCAGCAGTTCAGAATCGTCAGAATCATCGGAATCCTCAACGTCGTCCGATTCATCAACAGATCAAGGAGTCGACAATGAGAAGTCTACTCTGACCCCAATCCCGTCATCAACTACGGTTAATGAGACCCCAATTGTAACATCTCCTGCTTCCACAGGTATGCATATCTTAAACACCATCTGCGGACATTTTCCAACTATCAGAATCTACTACAACCGTCGGCTCCACAGAATCGTCTCCGACGTCTTCAGCGTCGCCAATTCCAACAAGCCCCGTGACACCGGCCTGCGATTCCACATGCAGGTTGGTCAAATGGATCAAATGGATTGTGAACATCATTTCAACCTATGCCTCAAATATTGTATCACATCAATCATAATAAACTATTATTTATAGGATTACTGTAGTTGAAACGATTCCGCACGGAATGGTGTTCCCATCGATCATCGAAACTCGCGATTCCTACGAAGCCTGGTCGGAAATGTTCGAGAGCGCTCAAGAGTTTGGCTGAGCTCATTGGCGGCCTCATTCAAGCATCCTCTTTTCAGATCAATCAGCATTTTCGCGTACAAAATGAATTTGCGTGGAAGTGAGATTCGATTTGACCACGATAACTCAACTATTGAAGTCTGTGCGCCTTTAAAATCGTTTCAAATTTGAATTGGCGGTTCAGGGACGATTATTGTACAACTCGTTGGTGAACAAGGCGAACACCGGGGTCAGCGTGAAGCTGATTGACTGCAATCCGCCAACTTATCCCAATAATATAATCGATGCCGATGAGATGTCCAGATTGGGTAATGCGCCTTTAAAGAGAAGCAGGGGTGCCTTTAAAAAAATCGTTTCCTCCTCAATGCGCCTTTAATGGGGTTGCTTAAGAATTGTGCCGAGGACACTAATCAATGGCAATCAATTCGAAATATTTAGGCTTAATCCATCGTCATAGTCTTGAAATGAATAAGATCAACGGCGGGAATGGCGGCATCCACCACAGCAAATCATTCATAGTCGATGGCAAACACTTGTTCGTTGGATCCCATAACTTTGAATGGAAGTCATTCTCACAGGTTTTCTTCTCCCTCAATGTTTCACTGATATTCTCACTTCGATTTACAGAAACTTGAGCTCGGACTCCAATTCCAGAACTGCTCGTGCATCGCGACGGAGGCTGACTCGTTCTTCAACAAGGTCTTCTCAATGCTACATGGAAACAAACTCGAGCCGACCGAATTCAAGAAGCATGTCATCGGAACGACGAGCGTTCAGTTTCTCGCCTCGCCGACGCTATTCCTCGCTTCGCCGGATAGTTGGGATCTCACGCAGATTCTGAATTTGATCTACGAGGCTGATGAGTTTGTCGACATCTCCGTCATGCAGTACTTCCCGTCGTGGATTTATTTCAAGAAGAAGGAGTAAATCAACAAAAAAAAAAACCCATTATTGTGGGAATTTCAGCATTACTCATGATCAAAATTGCAGGTTTTTCTCTCAAATCGACAACGCGATTCGCATGAGTGTCTCGCGCGGTGTCATCGTGCGGATTCTTGTCTCCGGCGACACACTCGAAGAGCAAAAACTATTGTTCGAGAGTCTGCACAGTTTGCAAGTGTTGAATAATCCTGGAGAAAATCACAATATTTTTGTGGTAATTTTGAGATGCAATTTTTTTTTCACACGCGAGCACAAAAAAACGTGATTTAGAAGTTCATGATGGTGCCTCAAACGGGACGGGATTGGTATAAGGACCGAAAATTGCACACCAAGTTCATTTTGTCCGAATCAAAGGCAATTGTCGGTAGGTGTGGGAAAGTGAAGAAAAACCCAGATCAACGGGTCCAAATGAGGAAAATGTTAGAAAAAAAGGGACTCAAAATTGAATTTATTTAAAATGTCCGTAAAATGTCGTCAAAGTGAACACGGCCTTTGTGCAGAAAATAATTGATTGCAAATTTTAAATATTGAAAATTCACATTTAAAGCACTTTCAATTAGTTTTTCTGATTCAATTTTTATTCAGGATCTTCAAACTATGCTCCCGAATATTTCTACAAGTCTTCTGGAACCGCAGTCTTGATTGAGGAAGAGCCAAACAATGGAGTTGTCAATGAGCAGCTTCGCCGAGTTTTTGAGAGGTTTCACCCATTATTCTAACGTAATTATTTCTTTTTTTGCTGGTTTTAAAGGTACTGGAGCAGTCATTACGCGATGAGTTTGGAAGATTTTGGTGTGAAACGCGGCTATTTGGAGTCGAACGCTGGAGAAGCGACGAACGGATTTTTCTCGTATTTCGGATTGGATCAGATCGGATTGTTCGGCGAGAAAAAGACGAAGCGCATTTACGAGACGAGAGGCCAACAACCACCGCCGCCGATAATTTTGATTTAAATTTTGAATTACGATTTTTTTGTTTGTAAATGCAATTTCATGCATGTCGCTTTTTTGGTAAAGTACAACATTAGATTTTTAATAATGTAAATGTAAATACGTATTGTTTCGCTTGTTTTCTAAAATATCGAAATAAATATGATTAATCACGTTATTGAATTGTGAAATGTTTATATTAACATAACAAACATAACAAGAATAGGAAATTAATAATGACGTCAGTTTCCAAAACATTCATTTCAAAAATACCTCATGTGTCTAAAGTTTCCTAGTAAAGCCAAGTTCCTCATTTGGACAAAAATAGTGTTTATTTCAATTATTTTTTAAATTTTGTGTGAGATTTTTTTTAACAAATTTATGCATATCCAAAAAGACGCCTTGCGTAACTCATTGGCGCATTTTTATTGACGCATTTGAAAAATTTTCGACTTTTTTCGATTCCTTCAATATTTCCCAAAAATCATTGAAATTTCAAAAAATTTCGCTTTTTTTATCAAATTTTTTTTGAAAATCGTTAATAGTTTCTTTCAGAATATCTAACTTCAACTCTCATTCTTGAGAACAATGGGTGATAACCTGGTGTACGCCGTCCGTGGAAACATCGGATTTACGTTGAAACGAGGCCTCGGCAAGGACGCAACGACAGTTTTTGATCAAGCGTAAAACTATTCAAGTCAATAATAAAATAATTAGTTTCAATTTTCAGATCTTCTAAAGAATCTGCTTGCAATGTCTTCGCATACAGTAACAATGGTCTCCTCTTTGCATATTGCGATGGACAAGTGTATGTGATTTTTTTTCAATTTTAACTCTTCAAAAACGTTCGAATTTCTGCAGGACACGGGTGATTGAAATTGCGACGGGTAAAGAAGTCTTGAATGTTGAGTTAAAACGAACTCGGAAGCTTTTGTTCACTCCCAAAGATAGTTACCTTCTTACATTCGAGCCATACGCTATCTACGGCAAAAAGGTAAAGCCCTAATTTAATTAAGTAATCAAAGTTGTCTATAATTAAAGGAAACAAGCGATCAAAAACCCGATCCAAACGTTCGTGTGTTCCAATTAAGTGATGGAAAGCATGTGTCAAGTTTTGTTGCGCCAAAAGAGGAAACCTGGGAGCCTCAGTTCACCGATGATGAGTCTCTTGCAGTGCGCATGATTCCCAGCGAAGTTCTTTTCTATAATGATCTCAGTTTCAGTATGATCGTTGAAAAATTTTGGAAAATAGCTGACCTTTTTTTCAGCAAGATACGATAGCCGTATTGTCGAGAAAGGACTTGGAGCGATAGCTTTAAGCACTGGAGGAGCTCCCTATCACGTGGCGTTGTACATCCCCGCTTCTGGTGTAGGATTTTGTTGTTTTTTTTTTCAAACATAATATTTCATTGTTGAATAATCTTCAGTCAATTCCTGCAAGAGTCCGTGTTCATCGCATAAACTCGAGCAACTCTGTTATCGCGAACAGGACATTCTTCAAATCAGACAAAGCGTCCATGACATGGAATCAGAAAGGTTTTCTTTCAGATTTTTACTTTTAAAAATGTTTTAATATTATTTTCCAATATTTAGGCAACGCACTTTTAATTTTGGCCAGTGTTGAAGTTGATCAGACAAATCAATCGTACTATGGAGAGCAGAGTGTAAGCTTCATACATTTTATGATTATGATGCATTTTCCTCATTTTCAGCTTTATCTTATTAATATTCAAACCGATGAGAGTGTAATTGTGCCACTTGCCAAAAAAGGACCAGTTTATGCGGCAAAATGGAATCCGAATGGACGAGAATTCGCAGTTTGCTATGGTTACATGCCGGCAAAGGTTCGAAAAATTGATTTCACCAAAAAAACATGCGACATTTTGCCAATAATTATAGGTGACATTCTACAATTCGAAAGGTTTGCCAATTTTCGACACCGTCGAGGGACCAAAGAACGACATTTTCTATAACGCGTTTGGAAACATTGTGCTCATTTGCGGCTTTGGTAATTTGAGCAAAGGAAAAATGGAGTTTTGGGATGTCGAGAAGAAAAAAGAGATCATTTCGGTGGGGGGAAAAATCACATCGAAAATGTTGATTAATTGATCGACTTAGATTGAAGTTCCAAATACGACGTTATTCGAATGGGCTCCAGATGGACAGCATTTTGTTACTTGCACAACATCTCCAAGACTTCGAATTGACAATTCATACAGGTAGAAATATTGATTTTTTTTTTCAAAATTTGAAAAAGCGTGAAGTTTTCAAATTATTTTAAGTTGAATTTTTTCGAAGTTTCCAAGAAAAAGAGCAACCAGAATAATTCTATTTAAGGCCTAACTTTATTTACATGTGCCTTTAAAATTCAAAGAGATTTCAATTGGTCATAATTTGAGCAGGGCCTCATTGAGCTTAATGCTTTTATTGGTTTTGTTCTCGGAAAATGTCGCCAAAAAATATTTTCTTTTTCGAAATTTCAATTTCTTTGAAACAACAACGTTTTCAATTTTTTAAGTGAAAATTATCCAACGATATTTTTTTTCCAATTTTATCGCATCGCTATTCGTTTCGCAGATTCTGGCATTACACCGGTCGCATGATTCACGAAGTGACGTTCGATTCGCCGCGCGAAGAACTCTGGGAAGTCAAATGGCGTCCGATGAGCGGCTACAACAAATTCGAAGTGCGCGAGATCTCGAAAAGCGACCGAATGGCGGCGGGATTGCCGATCAAGAAGAAGGACGCGTCGCATCCGCTCAACAATGTCCCGGCTGGATCGGTCCGACAACAAGGTGCTTATGTGCCACCACATTTGAGAAAAACTGGTGAGTTGTTGTGAGATTCGATAGATTTCAAAAGGCCATCGTCATTTTCTTGTTAGGTGGTGCAGCTCCACCCGCGGCGACGTCAACTAAAGGAGGTCAAAAGACGAATGGCAACGCGCCAACTGCCATCAAACCGCAACAATCCGAAGCTGAAAGGAAGTTGTTCCAGCTTAGAAAAAAGATTGATGATATAAAACTTCTTAAGGTGTGTTTCAAACATACCTTATATAGAAAAAATCTCTTTCACTCAATTTTAGGAGCGAGTTGCAAATGGCGACCACCTTCAACCGAATCAACTTGAAAAAATCAAGCGAGAAGCGGAATTTCTGGCCGAAATCGAAAAGCTTTCAATCTGATGATGCTTATTTATATTGTTGTTTCTTTCTTGTTAATTATTCACACAATTTTATTTTTTCCTTGTTGTGCTTGCGTTTTTTTTGGCTTGACCATATTCCGGTTGTCGAGGTACCTAGGTGACACATACACACATACATCTCTCGCTGATTGTTGAATTGGTTTTTATTTGTATTATCGACAATGTTATAAAGTATCAGTTCTTATTCGGAATATTAGTGGAGAGGACCCGAGGTTGGAATGAAGTGTCTAGGCGCTGTTCGGTTGGCTTTCATCGCTTCGTCGATGAATGTAATCGGCGATCTCCTTGCGCAACTTGGGATTGCATTTGGCGTAGATGCATATTCGAATCGCCGATGAGACCATGTAGCAGATCGAAACAGTATCGGAAAGAACTGAAAAACGGCAATAAGTGAATGTGCGGAGAAAAAAAGAAAGATGAAAAGACCAATGTAAAATGTCGACGATTGACTGCGATCGTCGGATTCGTAGAGATACGACGGATCGAATCTCTCAAGAATCGTCAAGAACAGATGGACGCTGTTGCAGACGAGGTACGAGGTGACGATGGCGAGCATCGTGTAGATCGCGTTGCGAAGTTGCGAGCGTTTTGTTCGTGACGATCTGCAGGAAAAAGAATTGGGAGAAGCATTGGTGGATTTCGAGGCGTTCGTCTAGCATTCCAGAGCGATCGATCAATTTTGAACATAATCATAGTTTGAGAGGGCATTTTCATATGTTAATCGATAAGAATCATGCCACGTGGCAACAATTAGGTTTCATTGTTGTCGTCGATGGAAGAATTTCGGGACATTGACAAACCAAAATATTCGTTGGCTGAATATTAAATGCTGCACCATGCTTCAAGCAGATTTTTCACTTTTCGGCAGAAAAATCGTTTCTTAAATTTTTCTAATTGTTGGCAAATAAGATTCAAAAGCGCAACACAATAATTTCGCATCAAGACCCCAAATCGTCCATCTTCAACAAATCAGTCAATCAATGAACAAAACTCTCTGCATTAGACAATAAGAAGCGACATTCCATGCACGAGGCGAATCCTTCGGCTGATTATCCACGTGGCTGAGAAATCAGCGGCCACGAAAAAAAACTAGTCCATGGAGAAGATTAGGGGCCATGCATTTCTTTTTTTTCCAGCCAGCTTGAATCATCGAATCAGAGAAATCGACTACGAGTAGAAATGCTTTCTAACGAGCTTCTTTTGTGAATTCACTCACTGCTTGAACGCCAAAACAAAACTGTGGAAAATTGAGGCCCTATGCTTCGTTTGCTCATCGATCGTCTCGACGACACCAGCGGGATCGGCCTCGGTGTCGCTGTTAGTTTTGTTTTTTGCTTGTCAAAAAATTTACGAATCAAAATAATTATTTGTTTTTTTTTTCCAACAAAAACAAATTCCCAGTTTTCTCGTTTTTCGGAATTTGAAAAAAAAAAGTACCTATGAATCAGCGATCCTTTGATGACATCAGCAGCGACTTGAAGAAGCACATAATTCTCGGGCATATTGCCTTGGACAAACGCCACTTTTTTCATTTCCCCAGCGGATGTGCCGCGAAACACAGGATACATCTGAAATTTCAAAAAAAATAGGACAAATTGGCTTCCACTTTCAAAGATTTGACAACACACCAAATAAAAAACGCTCACATTTTCCCGTTTTTCCGCTATTAATCGCTTGATGATGGTGAGATTGAGGATGAGAAGGACGAAGAATGGGAAAAACATTTGAATTGCGGTGATGACGTGGAAATCGAAAACGTGATACGCTTCGCTGTTGATGGCCCATTCGGTTGGCACCACTGATTCGCTTCGAAAGTAGTCTTCGCATAATGGGAACGATTGAACCTGAAAAAGTGCAAAAAAATGAAAATTAATCGAAAATTTGCAAAAGTCTGCAAACACCGATACAACAAATGCAGACTTTGTAGTACAGTACCATTCTTTCCTCAAATTTCATTTTTTTTTATTTTGATTTTTAACGGTGATGTTATTTTAATTTTCGCTTCTCACCTTTGTCGCAAAAAGTACAGGAACCCGTAAAGCCAATGAAACGGCAAATAGGAAAATGACCGTCACATTCCTGCCACTTTCATTGAAAAGTGCTGAGAAAATTTGCCTAAATTCAATTATTTTTTTTAAACTAATAATCGTTTCAAATTTCTCACCGTTTCGATTCAGTACATGTCCATAAATAGCGTTCAAAGGTTATAAGCATCAAAATGAAAGGGATTGCGAATTGGACGACTTTTGCCGTGAAAAACACTGGCACTATATATTGATGGTACAAGAAGAAAAGAGCCTGCAAAAACTTTTCGATTTTATTGGGATTTGTTTGGGAAACTTCGATTTACTGTTTCATAATATTCTCAAATTTCAACTTTAACACAAAATGCAAGAAAATCTCAAAAAAAAGCACCGTTTGTCCCGTTAAGGAGAATTGCTCAAATTTCAGCAGAGGAAATTTGAGAATGCCAAATTAATGCTCAATTTAGACTCAATTTATTTAGACTCAATTTAGAAACTAGGCTCTTCAGAACTATTTCGCGATGATCGCCGTTTAGGGACCATCATGTGGCACTCACCCGGTTTTTGAGGTACACAATTCCAGCGTCGACGCCGAACAACAACAAGTACGTTAAACAAATTAGGGCATCGCATAAAGCGAGTGCAGCGAGGAAAATTGACGAGGGCAGCGTTCTCCGAAAAACCGCCATCAGAAGCTGAAAACGTGAATAATTGCCAATATTTATTATGATGGAAAATAAAATGTACTGTAGGTTTAAAGGCGCATGGCGATATTGGCAATAATCTCTCGACACGAATACCTGCTCATTTCGCTAATAGCGCCAATTTTAATCATTTTTTTTTAATTACCGAATTTTTTTTTTGTTCAATTTCAGCACTTACAATATTGGCGAGGAATCCGAATAATGAGCACACCGAGCAAAGTGTGATAATAATGAATCGTTGCGTCGAGTAGCCCTCAAAATACCCGCAAATCTCCTCATCGGTGCCGTTCGAAATCGCGCTCGTCGCCTCGTAATCATCCTCTAGCAGCATACTGTAACAATAGTTCGCCAATAGACATATATGTGTGTGTGACGAGAATTGTGCAGAAACGCGTAACTAATCGAAATTAATAAACGAGGAAGCGAAAGAAATAAAATAGATGAATTGCGAATGAGAATGATCTGTTGAGCCCAAAAAAAATGAAATGAAGAACGAATGAATGTCGGAGGTTTTTGTTTTGAGATTATCCAATGGAAGGGGGGGGGGGTTCTTTTTTTGGCAGATAATTAGCGATATCCTTTGTTCGAAAAAAAATGGAAAAATTCATGAAATACAGCAAACCGATTTATGTTTTCTAAACTCTGTTCATCTAATTAAATTGAAAAAAAAGAGGAGTTTGCCTCTTTTCGGAAATTGCGCTGTCACAAACATAACTAGTCATTTTATATCATATAGTAAATTTGATGATCACACCATTTGGGCTTCAAACATCTAATAATTAAATAGTACAGTATGCCTCATCTACGTGGGTTGCTTTTACGCTTTCACAAAAATTGAATTCGTCCAAACAAAAATTGGAGTCCCAAAACTACTGGTGTTCGGTTTTTGTCTGTATACACACATACGCAATATTGGACACATTTCATTTCACGTTGATAAATCCCTTTTTTTTAAATTCTATTTTTTTGGTAGAAATAAAATGCAAAAAAAGGGTATTCGATGTAAATCGTGACATTATAAATTATTTTAATAATTGCATTTGCACCAAAAAAACGAGCACTGTGAGTTTGACGGTTCTCGAGTTCCCACAATTGAAATCGAAATTTGAATTGCCGCCACGAGCAAAGAAAAAAAATGCGATGGTCCACGACTACTCGAGGTCCTCGATTCGTTTTAGAATTATCGCGAAAATGTGAGCTCACAACGGAAGCATGTAAAAAGGGGAAAAAAAGTCTAACTAAATGTCATTTGCGTAGACTACAATTTTTTTCAAGGTGGCCGCCCAAAAAGTTTCGAACAAATCCAGTCGACATGCGCATTGGTGTGGAAAAAAAGGGTTTGAAATTGGAAGGTAACACCCACCGAGCCAATAAGACAAAAAAAAACGACCGATTTAGTCGGAGGAAGAGGGGGGGGGGTTTCGTCGTTTTTCCACTGAATGGGCAGCACACCGAAGGCGTCCGGCCCGATTTTTGTGGTTAATCGCATTTTGCGGGGCTTCGACGACGAAAAAAAGCGGTCGCCTCTCTTCGGATCGAATGACTTCGTCGTCGTGCACTAGAGCAAATTGACACTTGATCTCGCATCTCATTTATGGTCATCCTCGTCAGATTCCCCCCCCCTTCGTTCCTCTATCTCAACAGAACAGGGACAAAAACAACAAAAAAAAGAGGCTTACGAGAGGAGGAGAGGTCTCGTTTCCTTATAGCGGGCCTCACGATTAATCGGAATCGATTCATCATTGGGCGAGATGAAAAAAAAATTTGGGGGGGGGGGAAGGACGCGGAAATTTGAGAGATTTCAGCTCTCGTCTTGAAACACCGAATCATCGGATTTCAATTGCGAACAATATCCGAATTGGGAGGCGCACGCCGAAATGCTTCCTTGGCAAGTGGGCGTGGCTTCGTGGACCCACGCCCCTCTCCAAAAAAAAAAGTAAACCAACTTATTTTCTCAATTGTTGCTCGAGTTTGAAAATGCTTTTTTGTGTTGGGTCTCGTCGCGAAATTGCCGATTTTTAAAGGCGGCTTCAAACTCACCACGGGTGAATATCGCCATAAAGAACATTGGGTGAAGGGTCTCGCAGCAGCGGACTACTGTGGATCGATGAGGGGAACTTCATGCACATATGTGCAATGGGATAAATATTTAATAAGTTGAATAGTTTATAAACAATTTTTGAAGACATCTGGATGCAATTGTTTTCGGTGAATGATGACGATTGGTTAGAGAGAGAGAGAGAGAGAGAGAGAGAGAGAGAGAGAGAGAAGAAGAAGAAGCAAGCAAGCAATTGAATAAATCAATATAATAAGAGGTATCAAAGTTCTTCAGAAGAGCATGATGACGTTAATGACCGGCCGATTCCTGGAAGTTTGTCCGCTTAGTGCGTCTGCAAAGTTGAATGTTGCAAGTGCGCTCCATTGACAATTTTGCTTCGGAATTTTTCTCAAAATCTCGATTTTTCGTGAATTTGACAAAAATCTTTTTTTTTTTTCTATTTCGAGCAATTTTAATTTCGTATAATGAGAGTGGACCACGAGAGCGCAAATATTTATATTCTCAGCCGGATGATGAAGATGATGGACTCAAGGGTCCCGCAGCGAGACATTCGGTCAATTCGATGAGCTCACATCGATGAATTTTATCAAAGGAGCTCAACATCGAACAGTGTGTTGGGTCTCGTCGCGAACAGCAAAAGAAAAAACCTAGAACTTCTTAATTGGCGATATTGAAGAAGAGAACAAAATGAGAAGGAATTGAAGCGAATTTTTTAATGCTCCAAATAAGGCAAAACAAGTCATGCTCATCTGAATATGGAAAGGAAAAAATGGAACGAACGAATATCGAGTGTTCCTTTTATGGACGGGCCGAACACACAAAATAAAATATAATACGGAATTTGGAACGAGCAGGAAGCGAAAGGTGTGCGAATCGTTTCCCTATTGCTGATTGCGCTCCAAGAAACTTGTGCTCCTTTAAATGCCCATCTAATGTATTTTAATTTTATTCGGTTTTTCTATGCCGGCGGACAATGCTCCTTTAATAGCAATATTTGAATAGTACGGTATGCTCCTTTAGATTTTATTTTTTTCTCAAATAAATCAGGTACGGGTTAGATTGGTCCTTTAACTACTGAATGGTTGAAATCGAGACAATTCACTGATAACCTATTTTTCCCCAAAATCTGAGAAACTTTTTTAGACGATTAAAGGCACATACGCAAAATTAAAAAAATTTCATATTGTTCGAAAGAGCAACAAAAGCAATGAGCTCGTCGATTTTGGCAGACGTGATCAAGTTAGAAGCTCGTGCTCACACCAACTCTCAATTTGGAGTAGTCAGGCTCCTTCTTATCATCAGACGCTTCAGCTTAGAAGGCAAACAAAAACATCAAAATTATATGGTTGCGGGATATCTGCGCAAAATATTCATATTTTCGTTCGTTCCACTCCTCCTCGAGCATTTTTGTTCTGGTGGTCCAAATCAGTGGAAAAAGGCGAAATAATGCACACACACACACACACAGAAAGCGGGAAACTAGGCCGGCAGCAAAAAAGGAAATGAAAGAATGGATAATTAGCGATTCATGCCGGACGCCATTATATATTCGACACGTTTGGACCAGTCTGAAAAAAAGCTGACAATGAATGAGCGAGAGACTCGCAGAAAAAAAACAAGATGAGGAACGCGCGGAGTTTGACTTGAACAAGTTCAAGCAATTCGCGCAGCGATTTGTGCGTAAATTTTGGGTTTAAAGGACTATTCAGATTTTGCCAAAAAAAAAAACCCAAAAATGGGTATGTAGATTGTCGAAGAAGGAAACTCCAAAAACCTCGGCCACGGCCAGCTTTTTCGAAGCCTACAGTATCAAATGTACTGCAAGAATCATGAAATTATATTTTATGCGCCTTTAACCGTAATAGAAAAAAAATTGCAACCGTTATCTAGTTTCAATGCTCCTTGAAAGACACTCAAAACACCATTTGGTTTGATTAATACGATTTTAAAGGCGCATAGCTATAGCACGACATAAGCAAGATGTGCCTTTAATTCCAATCATCCACTCATATTCTAAAATGAGGAATAAGAAGACCAAGACAACCTGCGGTCATCATCTCATCTAGCGACGTCTTGAATTTAAAGGAGTATCGATAAAATTCTTGGTGTCGCCACACCATTGGTTTCAATTGTCTCCAGAATCCCATTTACTCACTCTATCTTCCTCTCAAGGATACTGTGGTATGAAGTGCACGCGGGGCGAAATTGAAACAAACACGAAAAGCGCATTTGAAACGTGAATTGGAAAGCCGAGAAGAGAGAGAGAGAGAGAGAGAGAGACGGTGTTTAAAGGCGGGGGGGGGGGGGGAGAATGTAATGTAATTGAGACGAGAACATCATTTGAAATGGCGAAGAAAAAAACGCCCCCAACTTGATTATACTACGGTAGGGTACGGTATTTAAAGGAGCATGGGTCTTAAAGCGAACTCAATAATGCAATTAATTTGAATGACAATATGTTCTCTTGAAATGTTGAAAATCGCCAACCATTTCTGTCGTTGCGAGCCCATTGTCAATTTTTGTCCAATTGGTCTCACAGCGATTTGAGATTATTATGGAACATTGGTCTCGGTGGGTAATTAAAATTATTGTAGGACTTGAAGGACCATTAATATTCTCAAGACAAGAATCATAAAAAATAAATGATTTGGCTTTTTATCGTTGGTGAAATATCGCGCTTAATGATTAAAATCGCATCAAGACCCACGACCTTAAAGGCGCATATGCTAACACCTGTTTGCCGGTGTTATTTTCCTCTTGAGCAAAACTAATTGGAAATAACAAAAAAACCACCCACCAATTGGCGGTAATTGCCATTATTGTTTTTTTTTCCTTCTTCCTGCTGTTGATCAAATTACAGACAGCGGGGTTAGGAATTGAGGAAGTCGAAAAACAACCAGCCACACATCATTTTTGGTTCTTCGACTCAATTAGTCTACCGTATCACGACGACGGAATGGCCGCCGCTATTGAATTTCCAAATAGGGATCGAGTAACCAGAAAAAATTGAAGCAATGAAGATTTGTGAACATACAAGCCGAATAACAATTAGTCGGAACCCAAATTGGCGAGGTGGGGGAGGGAGGGCGCCTTCGCTTCTTTTTTTGAGCAAAGAAGAAATTGAATTAAAAACGCCGAAAAGTTTTTATGAGCAGCGAAAATTCGGGGAGCGAGCTGCTTTTTCAAAAAGAAATGGGTTGAGACTTTTCATTTTTTTTAGTTTCATTAAAATTGCCGAATTTTTGTTATTTAACCTGCTCACCCAATTTGGA